CGGCACTAGTATGGGTGGCGGAAATTTAACGTTTTAAAGGAAGTGGAGGGCAAGTGGAAGTCTGAATTCGGATCGATGTAAAGTGAAAAAAAGTTGTTGCCAGAGGTTAGATTGATTTGTTTGCCTCTATATCACAACGCCTCTGTGACACGAGACGTGTTGTGAAGAAGTGTGTTCAGAAGGGAACACAGTGCAAACAGAAGAAGTACGTAGTTATGGTAATAATACTGGTTCATCCGTCTCTACAAGAACCACAACAAACAAATTGAGTAGTAATAAGTTAATCGGCAGTGGGAACACGATGACCTCTGTGAGTGGACACGGTAATTATGTTCCCTTGTTTGTCTGCCAAGTTTATTTCGCATGTCAGTTCTTCGCGAATTTTAGCCGAATGGAAGAAAAACGGTATGATAGGAAGGAAAACAGAGTGACCGGGGGATTAAAAGCGACAAAAAAGGACTGCAAAACAGGAATCGAGCAGAGGACAATGTTCTTTTGAGGGCTTACAAACGGAAAAGACCGTCTGTCTGTGCGCATAGCCTGCCAATTTGTGTGCTGGTGTCATGTTTATTCTTCTGATTACTGCGACAATTTGAATCGTCCATCGGCCAATAGAAACTTATTGCTTAGGCTGGTTCCCAAGCTGCCGTGATGAGCACCCGAGCACGGTTCGGACCGGTAGTTGGCATTTATCAACTCCGCAGAGAACCACGTGAGGAAAAGAAGGAAAGAGGGAACCAGTATTGCGTTGTAGCTGAGGATTTCACAAAATACGGAAAAACCATAGGTGTTTTGAGTTGAGCGCGAGAGTGCTAGTCTGGTCTCGACCAACATTACCTCAAAAAAATGTTCAAGATGCAGGTTCTGGGCCGATCTAGCCGGGAGGGGTCAAAAAAGTCTTTCAAAATTCCTTTTCTGCAATTCTTTCTGCGTTATCCCTCATTGTCACTTATCTCGATTGAGTTTTCCAAGTTGATACACTAACTCTTAGGTGTCATATCACACACGAAACTACAATTCTCGGCGAGCTGTCGTTTCTTTTCCTTTCTCTTTTTCCGCTGGGCAACGAACTGCATTCACAAACAAAGTATGTGTGGTAATTTTTCAACCCACAAACATATCATGTATCAACGTTAGAGAGCAGCAGTGAAGGGAGTCGGCCCACTACTCATTTCCTGCACAAAGTTCACGTTTGATTGATTGTCTCTTATAGATCAGAGACGAATTTTGCTTTTTTCTTCTCTTGTTTCGATGAAGAAACGAAATGATGGAAGAACTCTACTCATCTCTATTTATTCGCACTGTGTAATTATGCGGACCCATCAAAAAACGTGATTTTCTCCCCTGCTGCCGCAGATTCAATAACTTTCTGTTTTGATTTGCTTTGTCTTCAGACACTTTTCGAATGTGTTCCCAGAGCAATTAGGGAAAAAGAAAGGACAGTTATTTTGTTGTTATTATCGGAAGTTCATTCGGAAGTTGTCAACTCGGTAAATGGTCCTTTTTTTCATCGCTGATCACCAGGAAACAGCCAGAGGTGTCAAGATGACGAGCTCTTCCCTCGGTTGAAAAAGAGAAGTTGAAAACCACCCAAACAATCATCTTTTTTTGAAGATCATGAATCATATAGTATCTCTTCCCACACATTCCCTCGGGACATCGCAAGAAAAAGTCCATGACCCCCTCGAATTTTGGTTCTTTATCGATGAACGGGGTCGCCCTCAAAAAAAAAGAAGGCCACCTCACAACACATATATATTTTTGTGTTTTTCTGACCTACTTTATAAGTTCCTTGTCGAGAATTGGAAATGGAATTCAAATTTTATGCACTTTCTTCATTTCCTGATTTGTGGCAGGCGTCCTTCAAAAATTCAATTTACTGGGGTTCTGCCCAGAAAAGTGTTTTTCGATACTCTCTTAGTGTGGAACGTTTTCGAAGCGTCTCCAAGTCACCCTGACAGCGGTTCCGCGCATTTCGCCATTGCATTTTTTCTGCGAATGTTCGATCTGTTTGTGTATCCCATGAATAAGGTATGATGGGTTGAAACTCCTGAACGTTTTACACAACAAACGGATGCGTCGAGTCATTGAGCCGTACGTATTCGGAAGTCCATCCAATTCCGGACATGAAACAGCACGTCGTCGCCAGTCGCTCATATCCCTCTCTCTCTTCCGCTCTCTTTATTGTTCCTCTCCAATAGTGCGTGCTCGATCCATCTCCTTCTTCCATTTCTTCGTCTTCTCCCCGTTTTCCGCCGCTTCACACCTAGAATTTAGCGCTCAGCTCAAATAACAAATTGCTAGTTTCCGTCCCATCTCAAAGGAGTATGCCGAGAAAAAGCGGCTCGGGTGTCTCTTTCAACACAAAACCATGGAAACTTGTTTTATTTTGTAGTTTTACATTTGCATATTGACCCCCCTTCATTTCCGTTCTGAGACTCGGACCGACCTTTTAGAAAATATATTCATTCTACTCTCATATTCAAAGAAATGTATTCAAACTACCGTAATCTGTCAATCCAAAATTGATTTAGTAAAACGATTCGCTATTGCTCATGGGCCACAAAAAACTAGTGTTGACTGGTTATTTTCCAGCTTTTACCCGACTGAATTGGTTCATTTTGGGGTTATTCAGCGATGTCAGAAAAAGGAAAAAACGCAAGGCGTGCACCGTTTTTTCCTATTCTTATCTGTTTTTTTTTCCTTTTTTGACATCGATCAGTCGGCGCAAAACTTTAGAAAAGATTCTTGGTTCATATTTTTTGTTTTCTGCATCAGAATAAAGACCTCCATTGTTTAAAGGAATAAGTGAGTACAAAGAACTTGCAAATAACACAAGTGTAAACTACATAGAATGGTCCGATGGGCGCAAAAAAGTAGGGTTTCTCGTTTTTGCTCTTTTCTCTTTTATACCCTTCAAGATGCAACACATTCTCCATCGTGACATTTCACGTTTCCGCACTTCCGCCCTTCGTTTCTCTCTTCTGTTTTTGTGAATTTACCTGAAGCCGGTCCATAATATATTTTCTTCTAAACCCTCTAATCATTTGTCTTAACTACAATCCATAATACCTGGTTTTTTCCCGTTGAGAATGTTATTTGTCTGGTAAGCCATGGCATTTCGGAAAGATGCTGTTACCAGCTCCGCACCATATAATTTTTTGTAGTAAGATTATATATACATATGTGGCTTCAAAACGGGCAGTTGGTAATGGTAGTCGACCCGCTTTCGACTCATAATTCTTCATCTCCTTGGACGGAACACATTTCCGATTCATCGCTTTTCATTTTTTTTGTCCTGTTTTTTTATCCATTTTAAAGTCCTTTTCCCATCATGCCGTTACGTTTAGGATTTCTTTAGTTCTAAATTCGAGATCAAGATCAAAGATTAGTCAAATCTGCATTCCTCATTTCGCGAAATCAATTCTCGCGGAATAGACGAAAGGTAATAATTAGGCAATTTTTGGGCGGTCCAACATAATAGAACTGGGCAGAATAGAACCGCAACATAATAGAACTGTTTTTGTGTATTTATATGAGCATTTTGTCGGTTTCTTTCAATTAACTTTTGCAAAATTTTTCGTCTCTCGAACAATTAAGCAGAAGACCACAGCTTAAACCTAGAAAATTGGTTTCCTTTCGTTTTTGATGGTACCATAAAATTATTTTCTGTGGGTTTTCGTTACCGTAGAAAAGAGGGATCACGACGGAAGTGAAATTAATGAATGCAATAAATCGATCACGAGATTCAAAAATTATCTTTTTCTACGAAACAATTATTCTACAGATAGGTTTTAAAGGCGCTCCAAACAGTTATATTGTGGCCGGTTCTATTCTGCCCGGTTTTATTGTTGGACCGTCAATTTTCGAAAGTGTTTGTAGGTGAACATATCTTGGAGGAAGGGTTTTTGAGTAAAGTTGCGAGTTTCTCTTATACGCCAAGTAATAGAAATCTTTTCTTTTGGGCCCATGAAAATTTATTCCGCATTCCCGATCTCTGGTCCAGACAATTGAGCAAGTGGGAGGCATATTCAAGAATGTACATAATTAGTTGACTGGCGCCCTTATGATGATGATGATGCTGTGGATTTAGTTTAATTCCAGTTTGTCTTTTTTGTCTCGACGTCATGTAGTATCGAATAACGGTTGTGGCCTTCCTGTAATTAGTAAAAAAAAGTTGTTGTTCACTTCTTGAAGATACACAAGCGAGCGCCCCAAAGAAACATAAACATTCGCTTGCTAGTACGACTTCTACCACAACCACAAAATCAAATTCCATTTCACATTACAAGTAGAGTTCCAAATTTTGGGAGTTGGGGGTCGCTCACCAACTTTCAGTGAGAGAGAACATACTGAATTCATACATGCCCACAAAGTTTGGAAACCCCCGTTCTCCGTTCTTCTTTGTGTTTTCCCTTTTTTCTTTCATCCTTCGGAATGGGACCATCGGACCAGATAAACAAAACATCACCCACCTGTGCTTCCCTTCCGGCACATTTGAATGGGACGGCTTGTCTGATGGACTTCTTGTTTTCACACTTCTTTTCAAAAGTCGACTATTTCTTTTTTATTCTAAAAAAAACGCAAGGCTTGGTCTTTTATGGCCTTTATAAAGAGTCCCTTCAGGGAGTTAGTATTCCAAAAATCGGAGCAAATGTTTCAAAACGCTCGTTCTTTGTCTGCTGCGCTCCCGAGTTCATGGTTCAACTTTTTTAGCTCTCTAGTTCTTGTAGTTCCAAAATTGAAACTAACAGCCAATAATAATATGAAAACTTGAAGCATTTATAAGAGAAAAGAGTGTGCTTCGAAAAAAAGAACCCGAGTCCCATAATGAAATTGTGGGGTTTTAACGAATAATTGATGTTATTTACTTCCATTCCACCAAACTCATTCAGAATGTCCCATTGTGTTCTGCTAACCTATATGTGTTTTTACCAGTCAGACCGCTCCGTAATAGTGTTCCCACCAAGTGTTTCTGATTTCAGACGACTCACTGGGCAATGAAAAGGTCCAAACCGAATCTACTCCTATCGCGGGTACTTCTGACGTTGTAAGTTTCCAATGTTTCATACATTTTCATCGAAACTTATTGCAAAGATGTACCATTTCGAACTGTTTACCGCACACTCAACCGAACATCTACAAATTGATACAAGAAACAAACACCCTGCCACCAACTGCAAACGTCTCCGCACCCCTCGATGTCAAACTCGGAATGTACCTGGAGAGCCTGGGCAATTTTCGATCGTCGGAAATGGTACGTTAGTCCACCGCAGACCTCATAAGTCACCATGTTTCAGTCGTTTGACGTTGATTTATATGTGTACATGTCATGGCGGGACGCTCGTCTGGCGCATAATTTCTCCGACTACGTTCTCATCAATAACGATGCAATCCGCAAACAGATATGGTGAGTTGTCGGGACTTGTGAGCATCAAACAACTGAGTTATTTAGGCTACCTGATTTGTACTTTGCGAATGCCAGACAAGCGCACTTTCAAGAGGTCACCGTGCCCAATTTCAATATGTTTGTGGCTCCGGATGGAACCGTCGCCTACTCGTGTAGGTGCACGTTGACAGTTGCATGTAGTCTGAATCTGAGGTACAAAAATCAAGGGTAGTTAAGTTTTGAAAACAGCAACATTATTCAGATACTATCCAATGGATCAGCAGTTGTGTTCAATCAGAGTTTTGAGCTGTGAGCTAAACATTTACATCCAGGGCGGAGCAATTGGCTTGCCTGGGCCTAGACTTTTAGACCACTGGCAATAATCCTATTGAACTCTACTTCAATCCAAGTTCAAGAAGTTTGCAAAGAATAGTCCAAAAGTCTAGGCCCATGCAGGCCTCCGAAAAGCTCGGACCGGCCAATGCCTGTTTGGATCTATTATTGTATAAACTAATGTTTTCAGACGCATACATTGCAAAACAAGTGAATGTGACATGGTTTGACAAGAACCCAATAAGATTCAACGAAGAAATAGGACTGCCCGAGTTTATGATCGATCATGTATCCAAAGCATACTGTAATGGCTCATATCAATACGCTCTTACTGCAGATTCTTACAAATCCGGTAGAAATTTCATTTCATTTCATGAATTTCATATCTTGACCATTTGTCCGTTTTCAGATGACTTTAGTTGCCTGTCGGGGAATCTGTACCTTTCACGTTCGATTGGTTACAATCTAGTGCAGTCGTACATTCCAACGGGCCTTATTGTGATGATATCGTGGGTATCGTTTTGGATCGACCGACGCGGTAGGTCAAAAGTCGAATGGCAAACTTTCAGTGAGTCGAAATATGTGTATTGCAGCTGTCCCGGCTCGTGTTACTTTGAGCTTCACGACATTAGTTTCTCTGACGACACTGGTGAGTTCAAACTAGACTAATTGAGGAGCAGGAGTGACGTTATGGGAAATTGCAGGGAAATGGCCTTCGGTTCGGTCTTCCTCAAGTGAGCTATGCAAAGGCAATTGACTTGTGGTACGGAGGTATCAAAGAACATATCCCTCGGGAACTAGTCCACATTTTTCAAATGCCTTTCAGCGTGCATGTTCTTCGTCTTCTGTGCCCTTTTGGAGTTTGCCACTATCAACAGTTACATGCGAAAGTCCGAAAAGTTCGATAGTATGGCAAAGAAGATGCAAAGCGTGGTCTTGACGGGAAGAAGTAAGAAAAGAAGGATACCGCGCATAAAGCATGAGCCATTCCACACTTCTCGCAGTATTTCTATCCGATATCCTTTGTTCGAATAATTTTCTTTACAGACTTTGCACTTTGCACGAACCGAATAGTTTCTTGCACCCCAAACCTTTCCGTTTACCACTTCTATCTCTATCGCACCACACTGTTTCAGAAATAAGTATTTAGTTTTGTTAAATCAGAAATTCCAGCAAGGGACTATTTGGTTCGCGGAATCAAAGAGAGCATGCGGATTGCAGGAGGTGCTGCAGGAAATGCAGCGGACGCACTTAACGATGATTGGTGTACTTATTCGACCGAGAACGGACGTAAGAGCTTCTCTGCAATGTGTTCAAACATTCTAGAGGGAGCCGGCAATGCAGTTTCTCCCCGTAGAAACCGATACAGAGGTGTAGACAGTGTCTATGAGTGTAGTCTTTCTAACTAACTTTTCATTTTCAAACTGCAAAAAGAAGTTTGAACAGAAACATTTTCTCTAACAGTTTGGGCTGTGGTTTTACCTAACTTCCTGCTAACTTCTTTCCCTTGTCGTTGTCAAATCACATGTGAATTTGTCGTACCCCTGTTTGTAACTAGTTCCCTTTCCCTATCAATACTTTGATCCCGGATATTGCTCTCGCTCCATCCGCCCACACATACATTAACAATTGTTTTTCAGTTCCTTAATCCCTCATTTGCTCCCTTCTTATTACCGAAATATCTCTTTTCATTTCGCCTGAGCCAACATCGTTTGGTCCATGACACGCTATAATCTGATCGTTAGCACCCTAACTGGAATAATCCGTTTTGAACACTAATTAGTGTTTTGACGAATATGCGTGGGAGAGAAAAAGTGTGTTCTTGATAATTTGTCTGAGAATTCAGTATCTACAAGTTTGATCATTGAATGTTTGATTTCTAGGACTAAAGACTCAGAAGAGTCCGAGAAACTTCGGGAAGCCGGACACTGTCCAGGATATTCTGAGCGAGAGGATTAAATTCATTGACAACGATTTTGATTTCGATACGAAAGATGACGATGGTGAACAAAAGGGGATTAGCAAATCCAATTTTCATCAGACAGAGATTCCAGGAATGGCCATGTCGATCTATGACAATGTCTCGTGCAGGAAAGACGACGCGGACTCGAGTTCCGGTCAGAGATCATCTGAATTGAACTTTGTAATCTACTTGTTACAGAGGAGACAAAATTTGGGACGAAAACAAAAACCAATGGCACGCGGAAGTACATTGACAAGAGCTTGAACCATGCGAGTCAGAACGAAAGCCTCATAGCAGCCACTTATTTCCAGGTAAAGCGGTTGAAAAAACTATAGAACTGTAAAAATATCTGATTGTTCAAAAGTCCCTGACAACAACGATAACGTGCCAGAAAATAGTTCCTGCCTTAATCCAGATGACATTAACCGACTGATTGTTATACATGAACACGTATGAGATCTCGAGTTGTTTATCAGTTGATGATGTTTCTGGAGTGTCGTCAATTGCGTAGCCAGTGCCAGTCCGTATCATTCTCTTACGACTTTGCCATCACGTTTCCTCAAAATCCCTTTAATTCCTTTTGAAAAATATGTATGACCTCGCAAACAAAACGGATAAGTAAACATCATGCTCAGAAACTATTTCCTCATTTCTGTCTTATCACGATTTGGAACTGTAAAAGTGCAAAGTGATGAAATCAAACGCAAATTCGAGTCATCAAAGTCTTTCTATTGCAGATCTCCGCGAATCACTCCCGCCACGCTCTGAAGATTGATAAGACGTGTCGGTACCTGTTTCCGCTGTCCTTCCTCATTTGGAATGCGTTCTACTGGTGGTACTATCTGGTGTACACCAAGACGGTCGTGGATAAAAACACCTAAAAAACTTCCTCATTCCCCCGTGTCACCTTTCGAATTGTCCAATCTATGTGATCTCATCGTCTTTGCCCCCTTTCTTGTCTTAATCATTATTTTTCAAACTTTTATTAAAGTAATAATAAACGAACGGATAAATCCGCTTGCAAGCAGCAGAAATTAAAGATTGGACAGTGGTTGTAGGGATTCAGATTGATCAAGTTGTATTTTCGGCTACTTGGCAATGTGTTTTGACAGCGCGCACTACCCATATGACTAACTACAAGTTTTGGTCAGAATACGTAAAGCTTTCTGGTGACAAATACGAATAATTGGTGATAAGTGAGAAGAGAAACTGTGCAGATAATGAGGTTAACAATTCGAAAGTCAGCATGGAATGAGCAATAGTACTTCTATTTATACATGGTGTATTAGTTGTTGCTGTTCATTGAGCTGAACACTATCCACTGATGTCGAGTACTGGAAGCGCATAGAAACCGATTGGGACTTTCTCGGTGGGTCACGGAAGACTGGGACCGCCGTTGTAGTGGAGTTCGAACGGGTGTATGAACAGCGATCAGCACGGGACGCCTGAAAACGTAAACATGTGATCTTAGTGATTATGGTAGAACGTACTTTCAGTTTTTCCTCGACGGATGCGCAAAGTACACCGCTTCTCATCTCGCTGAGCACTTGGTTGAACACCCGCGTCGCGCACTCCTCAATGTCGTTCCCACTAAATACAACATTCTTTCCGTTGGCTTCTTTTGCACTTGCAGCCATGTACGTGACAATTGTATCGACTACTGTACTTCGGATCAGTTTCCACTGGTTCGGCTTGAAGTTGATCTTAGCCTTGAGGGCCGCGTCCGTGTACTGCTTGTAGATGACCTTACGAGAGACTCGTCGGTTGCGGTCTGCGAACCACTTGAAGACGTCTCTGATGAAATGTCCGATTTCCAATCCGACAAGAGTCTCTCGCTCCTGCTGCTCGCTTTCCTTCTCCAACTTGCCTCTGACCGCTTCGCTAACCTCGGGCATCTCTTCACAAAGCTGTAAAAAACGTCATTAGATTGAAATCGAGAATGTTTTTGCTAATGTTCTTTTTAATACATTCTAGTCGCTGTTCTTGTTGTTACCTTGTGAATAATATCTATACCAAGGGCAGATGCCAGCGGATTTATTTGCTTGCTGATGTATTCAGCGACCCGATGTTTGACGGAATTGTACTTGATTGAAGTTGACAAAGTCATACTGACAGCGTCTTTTTTCTGTAAACACAAACAAACTGATGAGTGACCTTCTGATTATGTAGTTTGTCTGTATTTCGAATTCTCTCCCCCCACTACTGTCTATTTCAACGTCATGAATCACTGAAGTTTTCCGAGAATAAAATAATTGTCGGCACAACTACATCTGTCTTCACAAGACACGTAAGCGCTACTAATCAGAGAGCAGTACGAGGGGATCAATTTTCTCTGAGCCGAAAAAAGAGAAGAAGCCGGACAACCGCTAATTATTCCCACGACAAAGCCGTTGAGAGTTCGTTTCCGTGAGAAAGGTAGGACTGAAAAATGTTCAGTGGACTCTGAGCTTACTCTGCAGCTTGGAAAATTATAGAATAGGAGCCAGTTGGTGGCGCTGTGGACAACGAGAAGCATGTTGGAAGCATCGGTCAGATAGAACGAGTTGATGTAGCCATCGTAATCGCCGTTACTGAAAATAAAATACGGTAGGATAACTCGATTTCGTTTTGGGGACGCACTCCATATTTCCATACTCCAACAACTCCAAAAGAATTGTGTTGAACATGTAAAGAGTATTGCAAAGAATGAATTTGAAATTGAGCAGCTGAAAGAGAAACGTTTCCCAAGAATATGTGCACGTCAAGCTGACCGAAAGACGTAGTGGCATATTCCTGTTGAATCTCATTCCGATCTGAAAGTTTCCGACACTTCTCTGGCTGCACGCCTGAATTGTGCGGACTGTAAGGGTTCCAATAACGATGATTGGAGTCGGGGCGCGGAAAATGAGGTCCGGGAAGAAATGGACTACTGAAACGGAATGAATATGGATATAATCTGGTTGTTATCCGACAGCTTCTTACAAAATCTGTATATTCTGATTCGGTCATCATAGTACGGTTTCATCATTGTGTGATTCCGGAAAATGGGTTCACCACTTCCATCAAAGATTATTTCATAACAATCCACCTGAACAATGAAACATTGGCTTACTTTCCGAGAAGTCAGAAGTCTAATCTTTGTCTGAACAACGAGATTAGCAAACTTACAAGCTCATTTTCAAACGGAACTGGCAAGAGATTGAGAATGAATGCGCAAACGGTTATGGCGAAGCAAATCCATCCGACTCCGAACTTTGCTTTCCTAGTCCGCTGCTCCAATGGCGATGACACGGCCAGGTATCGTTCGAGGGTGATGGCGAAGACTTGCCAGATTGTGCAGGAGACACAGAAGGAGGCGAACGGTTGGAGGAAGAAGAGGATGTAGGAGAAAGGTCCGTAGATGGGGGTGACTTGGTAAATGAGAGAGGGGATACAATAGGTCGCTGCAAGACAATAATCAATAATGTTGTTGTTTTCAGTTGAGACCCATTCTTACAAAGGCAACACAGCAAGTAGAGCATATCCCAGAAACATATCATTCCTAGGTGAACTGCGAGACGCCTTGAGAAGACCCGGGATCCATAGATCTGAATGAGTTCACACCAATGAGTCACCCCTTCATTTCAAATTCCCGAACCTGTTTCAAAAGCAGCAAACTTCCCACCAGGCCGAGACCGATGAGGGATAGGGTGAGCAATCCGTTGTAGCGATAGCTGAAATGAAAACAGAAATAAAATAGATAACCTCTCTGGGATGACCGAATTCAAAATTCCGCTGACTTTTCGTTTTGGAGATCCCATGATTATGGTGATACTTTTTGGTGTTCTTACTTTTGACTGAATGCTTACACGCCATACTACACGCCATGTACACGCCATACTACATACCTGAACTGCTTGTAGTGCGCGTATTTGGTGCGCATTTGAAGCGAAACGTTGGCAGTGGCCACACTGTGCAACCACATTTCCATGTTGAAGCACCAGTCGCCCGGTAGCTGGGGCATTGTTTGGTTATCGTCCATGTTTAGCTGTAAACTTTGTGATAATGTCAGCATTCAAAATAGAAAGCGTAAACATCTGATTTCAAAAGTTCGAGTGAATAATATGAGGAGTGGGACTAAAGTGCTGAAAGGGGCGGCCGCAGCGGCTTGGCGCACTAATTGGGGAGGAGCAACTTGGATACGGATACGCCAAAGCAGAAAAGAGGTGGAGCTTCACGCTTTCTATGAACTATGGAAGCGGACGCGAGAGACGAAGAAAGCTGAGAAGGGGAGTTGGAACAGAGGAAGAGGAAGAAGAAGTGCGAGCTGGTCAACCAACAGAAACAAGCCAAGCGTTATGTTCCATATTAGCAGAAACTGTTCTTAAAAATAGCAAGCATCAAACTAAACTCTACGAAGAAACGAATGGGTTTGATTCGCACGAGAACCGAACTTTTATAGAGAATACGGTAGGTCGGTTGGTATCATCTCACTCACGAGGTTGGTCCTCTGGTCGATTTGATCTCTTTCACCTGTCATTCGGCATTTGAATCACTGTTGCTGATAGAAATACATACACCCAACCGTTCCTGGCCGAAACTATGTTTTCCTTGAACCGTTGTTGCCTTTTCCCTTTCGAAGATCATATTTAATGCCCACACACGTTGTGAACCGTCCCACGAGACATGCAAAAACGGAAAGAAAAGCAGTAGAATGTAAACGAGGTAATTGGTGATTGATGGAATGGAATCAAACAAATGAAGGGATTCGTGTAGACCATGGTTCAACGAATTTTCTCCATCTCTCTTCTCTCAAGTTCATTTTCGAAACTAGAGTCTTAGTTTGTTAGACATCTGGAAGAGAATGGGCTTCCTTGTTTGTACGCGTGTGTGTTAGTCACGGACATCGAATGATTGATCTTTTGTAGTAGACAAACCAGGAAGGGGACGGGAGGTCACTATGAGATAATGGGGATGATGATGCTTAACCCATCAGTAAGGACATCCAAAGTACTTTCTCTGGGCTCACGTTACCCATTCCGATGATGAGCGTTTACCGCTCGAAAAAGTTTTTAATTGAACCGACCTCGCGAGGTGATGAGTTAGTGATGAGCAAAACAATGCGAAGAGGGAATGTGGGAGACGAGTCGCAAGGAAGTCAAAATGGAATACGCATCAGTCACGTTTTATTTCCGTTTCCGACATTGCGTAAATTGATCCGTAAGGAAGCGGCGGGAACGTAACAAGCTTGTCGGACTCAAATTCACACATTCAGAGGTAGTGTCGGGTTGCACTGATTGCTGCCCACCTACGTCTTTTTGCCTACTTGTTGTTTTGAAGACGGATTCAGAAAGAAAAAGCAGAAAATGACGAGAGAAGGAGAAAAATGCGTGAGATGGCTGAATCGTATCATGCACGACAACGTATACAAATCGAGCCAATTATCCTCTTCTTCCCGATGTCACGTGTTGAGGGTTAAAAAGGAGTAGGAATGGACAGAAGAAGGTTTGGTTCATCTCTCTTTTATGTCTTCTTACCGATCAAGGGCCCTGCTAAGAGTACAATTCGATTAGAACTGAAGAACAGTTATCTCTTCGCTATCAAATTTGATTTGGGTTTCGAAAAATAAGGTCATCTTGTGAAGCGAAATGTGACTAGCATTCATTCTTTGCTTTTCATTTAATTAAATCTGGTTAAACCCTACGATGGATGAAATTCCCCGAAATTAGGAGATGGGTTTGGTTAGATCGAATTATTCAAGAACTGAAGATCAACGGTTCAAATTTGAAAAGAATTGCGCTGTTAGTCATTAAAGCCTATGGGAAATGTAAAAAAGTGCTCGCTCGAAATGAACTCATCGTACTTTTGAAAGGACTAACACCGCATCCACATTTAGAGGTAGATGATACCAGAGTTGCTTACTAAAAGACAACGAGACTACACATCATGCACGTACGACTCATTGTGAAGTGTCTGATTGTGCTAGATTTGGATGTGCCGTTGAGACGCGCGAGCAATGAACAAAACTGACGGGAAAAGGGTAATTGCCGCAGCCGTCTGCTCGTTTTGTTTTCGCAAGTAAGTCAATGTCCGGGAACTGAGAAAACAAGCTCACAGATGGCGAGGACTAAAACTCAACGAATGATGTTCTGGCTGGGGCATCTTGTATTCAAAGGAAGATATAGGAGCGAAATATTTGCATGGAGAAGAAGAAGAAGAAGAAGAAGAACTTTTCAACTTTTCAGGTCATTCCCAATTCCATGTGATTGATGACCCGAAAATGTAGATAGAAGAACTTCACTTCCGAGTGGTTCGTTTGGCACATATGTTTGAGAAAAAACAAATTTTGAAAAATCAGTCAAAAATGGTAGGATCAAAATGCTTATAAAGAGAAACGTAAATCCTGTCAAAACACATAAAATTTGTGTGGGTTTTTTCCGCATCAGAACACATTTGGTTATCTTCCTGATGTATAAAGAAGGCTGGTTTTTCATAATCTCTCAGGATGTTATTAATTCACATTGCTACACCACCTACTTCACAAATTACTTTTTGAGTCACACCGTTAAGAATCAATTTATCAGAATACAAACCACTGTCAGTGTATTTAGTTTGGTGGGGGTCTTGCGTACTTATTTATATCCGGAGATGTGGGAAGTTGTAGGTGAGAAAGTATAATAGAATTACGTGAGATTCCAGGAATTGGGATTGTGCATGTGGGATCGAAACAATGCATAAATGTAGATTATAGGAGGATTCACTAATCTGCCATCATTCTTCACTGATCCCATATCCTCATTGTATCGAAATATTCTTCCTCACGAATTTAGTCATGCATGTTTCGAAGAGCTTCTCTCAGAAATTTCATAAAAACTTGGGATTAATTCTATTCTCACAAGGATTGCGAATCCAAAATTCGCTGATTCAGATTCGGTTTAGCACTTGAGAACCGGAACCAAGGATGCACTTTTCCGAGTTTAGGAAGGAAAACATGTGGAAAAGTCGGGAAACGGGAACGTCCGGCGAGCAACAAGTTTTTCATCAAACAAGTTTTATGTTTTGTATATCGGTCTGGTTGGTTTAATTATGAACCAGGAATGAGAGACGCTTGAGAGGAGGAAAAACGCATTTTATTGAAGGTTTCGCATCCCCCCGCTCTGAAACCATACTACACTTCCGCTTTTCCTCCTCCGGCAATATTTGCTCTGACACATCTAACGGCAAAAATTCGGAATTCTGAATATGGATTCTGACTGGACGGGAAGAGAAAAAACAGAGAGACGTATTGGATATTACTATGATGATGATGACGATGATGTTGATGATGTCTGTGTCTGTGTGAGGTCTATTCAAAAAGGACACAAAGTACTGGGAATTTGAAATTCCGAGTTTGTCGCATGGACTGTCGTCAAAAATAAAAATAACGTTTTTTGGTGCAAAACAAATGGCTCCGGGTGGGTGGAATGCCAATTGTTCCATCAGAATAATCTCGTTTCCGTGTTTTAATCAACAAATGGATTTTGTTCTATTAAAATTCGATGCTCGAAATAAACTGGATTAGGTTCAGATAAGGAACACTTTTCCGCGTGGGTGTATTGCACAAAAACTGAAAATGATCACTGAGTTTGAGGATCACCCGCTTCTCTCTGATATCATCCGGCCACCTATTTTCGGTGTCATGTGAAATTTTATTTTTAGTTTACTTTCCCAATCCACAAATGTATTTGTGCGGGAAGAGGTTGGCTACGTCATAAAACAAATCCCACGCTCCGATTGTGCTCAGACATAGTGCATCTGAATCGGATTCCGCGAAATTTTATAAAATCCTGTGAATAATTCTGAACAGATACGCCGTCAGTGGGAAAACTTGTAGTTTCGACGCTGTCTCATGAATCTCCGATTTCGTAGTATCTATGAGTGGACACATTAGTTGAAAAAAAGGGGGGAAGGGGCGAATAACAAGTTTCTAGGAGAGCCAAATATAACACATTTGCCGCCTAAATGTGTATGGAGTCTGAACGGAGCATCTGCCATTGGTTAGGTTATAGGAAGATTGGGAAAAGCATCAAGAATCGCAGACACGGGAAACACATATTACCGTATTCCAAATTGGTCTACAAGTCAGAAAAGATCAAGGAATCACGTACTGACAAGTGATTACCGATTAGGCCCGAGCACATACACACACAAACAGACTCTGGCAAACAAATCGGAGGAAATGAGGCATTCAATATGAGTATCGGATGCGTATCCGCATCCTGCACAGAAGTCGAGGGAGACGCCGCCACGACGGACGAATATTAGAAATCGGATATTTACTTTTCTAACTAGCATGTTCGCTTCAAGTTGTCGAGCAGGAACGGAAAGCTATGCAACCGAGATCCAAACACCACTCACTTTTTGTAATCTCAAAAGAGGCGCGGAGGCATTTTAATAAATTATGAGATTAAATAACAAAAGAAATGAATTCTGTGGAAAAAGTGCAAGGCTCGCTCACTTTCTGAATAGAAAAGCATGAGAGACTGGCGCTGCTTGTCTTGTTTTTTGTACTAAAAATAACATCGGGTATTGGAAGAACACACGGAAATACACGAATTGTCTTACCTTACTGAAAATGAATGGAAAAGTAGTCAGAAAAATTGAAATAAATCATTTTCCCGTAGGTTTCGGCCAGAAATTTTCTCATCTATCTATCTATCCTAAACTCCCTCTCCTTTCGGCTTTTGAACGTAATTAGAGTGAGTTGCAGACTTTCTCCATCTTATTTCAGCTGTTTCTCTCTCTCTCTCTCACGTCGGAAAGGTTTAATTATTTTCCACAAGATCAACTTAAACTTTTGATGAAAATGAGAGCAACAACATCGTCAGCGTTGAGCCTTAAGTCAAGTAAATGTGAAAAAGGAGAGATGCGGGAAACTAGAACAGAACTAGAACCCTTTGAAGTTGAGAACGGAGAGCTGGAAAATGTTTTCTGCAATTCACTTTTCCTTCGAGTTCCTTTCGTAATGTTATTCTTCAACTTGGCCATTCTCTGACGGCGAAAGGTCACCGATCCAGTCATTTTGCGTATTAAGTAGCCTTGGACAAAATATGAAGTACATTTATTTTTGGAAGCAATCACGCTAATAAAGAGAAGGATATTCAACAAATGAGAGAGATTCATGTTGTTATGACGAACCTTCTTGAGCTTTTTAGTGACAAAACAAGTTACAAATGAGGCTGATAAGTGAGAATGACTCCTCAATCGTGCTGTAATAAGCCTTATTTATGTTTTTGTTCATCTTTCTTCCCTTTCAACTGCAAGTTTCTGATTGGTGCGTGCCGGTCAGAAAACGTTTCCCAGTCAATGATGTGTCCAGTGGCCAAAAGGGAATACAAAAAACAGTGCACATCGTTTACTTTGAAAATTGACACGCGACGACAACATGAATGATAGTGTCAAATCCGTTGGCCAAACGGAGACATTCTCTTTTAGGGCCACCAAAATCCGATAAGAAGGCTCGAGTTGATCCAGAAAATCCGTATATGGGCAACGTTAAGACGGTTTAGGAGTGCTAAAGAAGATTTTGTGTGCGTCACACAAAATTTTGCGTATAATGGCCCCTCCGAGCGGGAAGAGCTCATTTTCCGCTCATCTCGCACCTGCCGACACCTTCCTTCGAAATGGTCGAAATCAAGTCGCTTTCTTCGCCAAAGGTGGCCATCCCAGTTGTCGGAATTTTGGTTCTTGTTGTGGTTTCTACCCTGGTTGCCATGTTCTATATTAGGTAGTTTCGCAATTTATCTCAAAAACAGTTTTTGAACCATACAGAAACCCAACGGTCACCGACGGTCTTTTTGGCGGAAACAACGACGAGACAACGTCGGCGTCGTCGGTTTTGGCTATGCAATCAGGAGACCTTTCGACTGAGCATGTTACATCATCTTCGGTAGATGCAACCAGTTATAATTTACGTAAACGATAATGTTTTAAAGATTCATTCTGACGGTCAATCCGCTCATCTCGTCCAGTCAACCACTTCAGGAGCCTATGAACGTACGTTGAGGGGTCTTATCAATAGATTCAATATAATCAATCAATGATGATGATAATTCGAATGAGTCACCTGGTATCAACAGGAAAGTGATTATATGACTTTGCTCTTTTTTTAGTCATGTGAAATAGTCTTGCAAGATTTCAGAACCAAGTACAACAACCTCTTCTGCAGCCGCTACTCTTCCGGTAACCTCGGCTCCAGACCAAGTTTCTACCCCAATGCACGCGATTGAACCCGTCCAGCATCTTTAAGAAAGACAACTCGTCAGCCCTAGCACACTGACTCCTCGAAAATAATCCTATTACCCCCTCCTCCCAAGTATTACCAACTAATAAAGACAGACGTAGTGAGAAAGAAAGTGCGAGTGAAACAGAGAGTGTGCAAACATTTTATTGCTCGTCGTTTTGTACCATCTAGTGTCTTGTGTGCATCGGCCTACTGATAAGGAACAATGTGAAAGACCCAATAAATGCTTGGAAAACATTGTGTGCATTGTGGAGAGTATACATGACACGTCGGATGCATTCGAATCGAGTCCGGCATCACGGGACTGGCCGACTTTTCAGTCTGCATTGATAATCCATGACTCATCGGGGTAAAACGAAAGTTACCAGTTTGAATAGCCAACATAATAACTATTGGGCATGCAGAAAAACACGCTGTTGTAGTTTGTGATTTATAATTTTGGAGTGCTAGGAAAACAGAATTAGAGTTGAGATTAGTCTTTCTTGCAATGAAAGCTTAATCAGAAGTACAAGATAAAGTGCAAGGTCTTGTCTGGAGTCAAACATGAATGAAACAGATTTCCAATTTCAAACACTTGTTTTAGGGCTCAGCGCAAAGTTCTGGAATTTGTTTTTGCAAGAGGAACACATAATGCCGAGAATGTGTAAATTTCATTATCAAGCGGAGAATTTCTGCGCTGGAGACTGGTATCAAACCTGAATTCCCTTTTTATATAGAATAGATAATGTTATCTTCAATTGATATTCACTTCTGAGCCACCGCGATACTGACGCATTCTCGCTGCGATAAATTTCTTCGTTGATGTGTGATTGCTGGAAAATCGGAACTCTTCAAATGCGACTTTGGTCCCCGTCTTCGTTGTTCTGTCAATTGAGCTGCATACAGTTTTGAGAGTGAAAGGTAATACGGACACTCGTCATCTATTGATAACGGAAAATCGACCGTACTTCACTTCATTCCAAAAGAAGCTCATTTCGAGCGCAAACATTAGGAAATGAAGAGAGAATCGGCTGGCTATTACAACATTTGACTGTCGTGGACATTGAACTCGACGGATGATCATAAAACAAGTTTGGTTTCTGGAAGAGGTTTCGAAGGAGGGAAAAGACGACCTCTGCTCAGTTCTGATTGTGTTATCGGCAGAAAAGATATACTTTATCATCAATTGATTAGCTTTTTTGTCTGATATTGCAAGGTCGGGTAATAATATGTGCGTGCGTGGCTTATTATCAAAAAACTGAAAATTATCTATTTTATTTCAGACGATTGTACTGACGGTCTCGGTCAGAACGCAGTGTTACACTGTTTCTTATTGGACTGTTTCAAATTAGAATCTGATGATTTTTAGAGCAGTGGCTACTTCGAATTGTAAATTTTTCAAACAAACTGCTTAGTTTTTTTATTATTACAACAGCCGCGATGTGAAAAATGTTTTTATGCATTATATCCAAAATTTTACATTGACATGTGCTCATTTTAAAGTTATTAATCCAAATCTGAGAGTTCTATCTTCAAAAACTGAATGTCTTAACAATGTTCAGAATGTTCACAATAATCATCAGTTTTGCAATAAGTGAATTTAACTATGAAACAAGTAAAACCATGCAATATACTTCAAATGTGCCGGTTTCGAGTCCCGTACAGTACCCGGTGTGGGCGGACCGGAGTTCAGTGTTTGGCCAGACGCGAAGAGCCCGCGTAGAGGTATGGGCTGGCGTGGTGATGACTGATAAGAAAGTGGCCAGAATCGGCATAAGAACCGGCGCGTTGTACACGTCAAGAGAGCAGTCGTGTGCACACCACCCAACCTAACGTCTTGTCTCTTCCACTTTTTTTTTGATAAAATCAACCTATCTCTACTTCCCAATCACTTTATTCTTATCGTCGAACAGCTATCGAATTGCCACCACTTCGACTGATACGTCTTCCATTCTGGAACGTAATCTGGAATTGGAGGTGTTTGAGGTTTTACGCTTGATTAGAACCAGTTATGGAATTTCCTCAACTTTAGCAATCATCTTGAATTTGAATGTCTTTTCTTTCAGCTTGCATATGCCTATCCGTGTTTCAAAATCCCATTTTTTGTGTATAGCGCTTGGTAGCCACTCGCCTTTCTCTCGAAGCGAGTGTCTGATCACTGATAAGCGAAATTGGCGCTAATTTTCAAATTTACCGTACCCGATGACGTCCCATTCATTCCCTCCTTTGGAGCCGCGCCTTTCCTCACTTTCCTCATTCTTCACTCGCTGCCGCCCACGAGTTTGATTTCAGACGAAAAAAATGGACACGACGTACGCTGAGGCTTTGAACAACGGCTGGACCGAAATGGAGACGACGCAACCGATCGGAGGTCTCCGACTTCCAACTCAAAACATGGACCCTCCCGAGCAGAAGGAGGAGTGCCGCATCGAACTGTCGAGGAGTGAGCAAGGAGCTCTTTGATGAAATCATGTGATTCGTTTCAGTGAAATTGGAAAACTATGCGGCTCCAATCGAACGACAGAGTGTTATCACCAACTCAAGTGCGATGAATTACGAGACGAAAGTCGAACCTGCCGCTACTACTCGTAGGTTCAATGTGCAAAGTGCAGAAACTTACCGAAATACTGTAGAAACCACGTATACTACCAGCTTTGAGTATCCAAGCAGTGCATTAGGAATGATTGACCAAACGATGGGAGTGAATGCGGCTTATTACCTACCGTATACCATCAACACTGGTGCTATTGGAACGTTCAACGCGTTTTCGACTCCGAACATCTACGATCGGACCATCACTTATGACACTAGCAATCTTCCTACTATCAACATCCCGACTTACACGACTCAACCAACCTATGAGTGCGTTAAGTGCTCTCAAAACTGTGCAGCCGGAGCAAAAGCAGTGAACGGAGGGTAAGGACGCGTTTCCCAACAAGATTAAGAGAAATAAGTGTTCAGAATGATGTGTGCTTCCTGCTCGATTTCTATTGCCAAACCGGTAACGTATTCTCCGCCTGTCATCTACGCGACTACCATCACCCAGCCACCAATTCTGGAAGTGGCTGAGTCGACGCCATCCGTCAAGATTCCAAAGCAGTCCAACAAGAAGTCGAACCAAACCATTAGAGGAAACAATGTAAGTGTGAACGTTTGCTGATTTTACTATTCGAGTAGGCCCAGGGATCTGCCTCTCGCCGCCAGGGCCTCGTGTGCTCTAACTGCAATGGAACCAACACCACTCTTTGGAGAAGAAACGCCGAAGGAGATCCGGTTTGCAAGTAGGAGCAATCGACAAGCAAACGGAAGATTACACATTTGAACTTTCAGTGCTTGCGGACTCTACTACAAACTTCATCACATTCCTCGTCCGACTTCGATGAAAAAAGAAGGTGCTTTGCAGACCAGAAAGAGAAAGTCCAAGAACGGAGACTCCACACCGTCATCCACGAGAACCAGAGAGAAGAAGACCGATAGAAGTGCCCATTACGCGGAAAAGAACACGAGAGCATCGGTGCGTCGGGCTGGAAGCGCTAAAGCGGAACGGGAGCTGAGCACGGCTGCGGTCGCCGCGGCCACTGCGTACACCTCTCACTCGGATCTCTACTCCACTATTCCGACGTCGACCGTGACTATCCAGGATCAACCTTCTTATTACTATCCGTACGCGGCTGGACTTATGATGGGTAAGAAATGTGTCCCACCATCGTTTGACAATATCCATTGTGTTACAGATCCTAGCCAAATCTATAACACTGGCTACTCGACAACTCTCTTCAGACCCGACGTGAGTATGACGCTGTTCGGAAATTCATCGCTTGCCCCGAGACCGGTTGAGTACTTTCCCATTCTCCCTTCTTCGTCCGAATTGGACTCTTTCTCCTCTGTCGCTTTTCCCATAAGCTTTGCTCAAAGGTTCTGTTGTTCTCATACAATGGTTTGTTTTCAGAATATCCAAGTGCACGTGATGCCGGTGCAGGACGAAGAGACCAAGAATGCGGCCAGGGACTTGGAAGCCGTCGATGCGGAGTCATAAGCAAAGTGTTGGAGCGAAACACAATCTACTGTCTTGCTTATTATGTGTCTGTAGAATTACCATTAATTTTAAGCATAGTCTGACACTTCAATATTTTTTCAAGATTACACGCATGGTTTCACAATTGCAAGTACTGCCTAAGTCTCATTTGATACATTCCCTTTATTAATACTTTTTCCATCCCATTGTTTGTAAAATTCTGAACTATTTTCACATTATGAGTATGAATTCACCATGATTGCATTTGTTTTAAAACGAACCATGTAATACAATAAAAACGTACTAACTTCGAAGCATTTTTTAATACTGTATGGTAGAATTTCCTATTTGTGCTCACTTTTTTTGAGCCGCCTGGTAGATTTAGTAATTCAAGCATTCTCCAGCTGTGACATGGAATAGTTCTGCTATTGAAGCGGCATTGGAAACGGCGTGACTCGGGAAGCGTTCCATGTCAGTCAAAAGAGAGAGAGACGGTTGCGAGTTGACGCGAGTTGAGCTAACATATATTGTAACTAGCTGTATTTCACCAGTTTTCATCCATTTGGTCCTTTCAGAATACCTCTCGCGGCCGCCATCTTAAAAAAGCTGTAACCTGTATATGCAAGGGACCCCTGTATGGAACTTGAACCAAATAAGCAAACAACAGGGCCTTTCTAAACATTATTCACAGAAAATATACAAAGTATTCAAATATACAAAGTATTCGGCGGTGCCGTCATCGCCTTAATATTTGTCGTCATACATAATCTTCTGGTTTTTTTTCATCTTGACAGGATGTGATCCGGCAGAGTCTCAATCGTGATCACCTTCTTCTGACTTTCAAATCGATGCGCCTCGAACACCGAGTCTGGCAACGTCAGCGCCTCAATTTTGGATGCTACGAGACAGTCGGAATAACTTAGTTTCCCCGAGTGCTGAACGAAACATAGTTTGTGTGTCTTCCAGAACATCCAGAACATCCATCGATATTTTCATAACGGTCACCGGTCCATGCCATTTTGCTTAATTGGCATGGACTGGTATTTTCGAATCGGATCGTCTGAAATTTGCTATAAACGACGAATTCCTTACTGACATCCTTAATCCATTTCTTTGACCAGGATTCTTGATCATGACAATCTAATATAGTAACAGGCTAGCGGGTTTGAACAACTATCTGCATTGTCGATTTTAGTTTTGATATTGTGTACCTAATAACTCACATTTTCAGAATGACAACACACAGTATCTTCTTATTCAGAACACAATAACATCCGTTTCAGCGATAGTCCGAACAATTCTTGGCAATAGTAATCTTCATGGCTTTTATCAGCAGTCCTCTTATCCGCGTCTTGAAAGTATAACACAAAAGTGACTCTAATAGTAAACTCTGAAAAGCAATATTACCGGCCCCCGGGGTTTCTTGGAGAGTCACAAGATAAGTATAATCAAAACGTGTACCTCGTAGCCTCATCAATCGTAATAACCGACATCTGCTATCATCATAGTGTCCTATCGAAATCTATCGAAACCTATCGATAAGTTGAAAAAATATATAGTGTCGGAATTGGAATACGGGAGTAGAACCAAGAATCTTTCACTGACTGAAATAAATTATTCTACCTGTCCGGGGTCCAATGGATCTTGACTGGGACGCGTTAGGATGTAGTCGACCGTGCAATATCAATACTGTTTTCCATCGTGACTGAAATTAGGAATCTGAAATGTTATTATCGTCGTATAAATACTCGCAACTGGAATATCTCTCACCTCACTGAGTCGTTAATTTTGCTTGAATCAAAGCAACTAACACACTGCTCGACGATCATCTGTTGGAAAATAGACCCTAAACGGATTGATTGCGGGGTCCCGGTGCTTTTTTTGCGGGGTATAAAATAAAACTAACCTTGATGGGTTTGGTTGCTCCTTATAATTAAGATGATCTAGACGCCTACAGCGACGGTCGGACCGGCAACGGGGCATTATGAAGTGAATCGATTGAGATCGGCGAGGGGGACCCCCGGCCAAGAGACGCAGACAAAAAAGGTGTGCGCGGTTTGGCGGGCGATAGGTCAAAACGGACTCGGTGCGCCTTGCTCGACTTTTTTCGTCCGCAAATCAAAAGCTGCAAATATGATGTTTTGAGTGCAAAACGAGCGTATCTCGTGCCGATTCGAGCGATTTGTATTCATTAACACCGAAAAAAAGGAAATTGTCGAATCGCTGCGGCACTATTCCGACGTCGACCGTGACTATCCAGGATCAACCTTCTTATTACTATCCGTACGCGGCTGGACTTATGATGGGTAAGAAATGTGTCCCACTCTCGTTTGACAATATCCATTGTGTTCCCATTCTCCCTACTTCGTCCGAATTGGACTTTTTCTTCTCTGTCGCTTTTCCCATAAGCTTTGCTCGAAGGTTCTGTTGTTCTTATAGAATGGTTTGTTTTCAGATTATCCAAGTGCACGTGATGCCGGTGCAGGACAGCCGTCGATGCGGAGTCATAAGCAATGTGTTGTCGCGAAACACAATCTACTGTCTTACTTATAAAATTTTTTCGGGACGATATTGATTCTCCGTTCGTTTTTCCTTAAAATCAAGAAACTCCATCTGCTCTTCATCGTCGTGAAATTCGCTGTACTCTGCATACCGTATTCCTGAAGCTGAAATCCTTCCGCCGCTTCGATCTCCTTCAGTAGCTCATTTTGGGGACAGTTCTTGTCAAGAAACGCTTTCAACATTTTTGGGTATTCTAATTTGAAATCTCGATGATGTTCTTGATTGCAATTCATACTTGGAAAGCTCTTTTCTCAAAAACCAATACACATTTGACCTATTTCGAAAAGTATTTTGTTCGAAAAAAAAGATAGATGATATCTAAATGTCCTTGGAAATTTCTGTTACACTGTTTTCATCTCGAAGTTTTTGCGTTGAATTCTCGGCAGTTTTTAACCTTGAAAACACGGTGTGTGAAATTTTGAATGGCTTCGAAAAAAAATCAATTACTTTCTGAAAGGATGATGTTATGGAAAGATCACAGTAAATCCGTTACAGAAACTGAAAAATATGTGAAAATGAAGGGAAAAATGAAGATACTACTCACAGCGAAGAAGATGATACATCGTCCAAATGCAAACTGATTCTCTCAGTGAGTGGGGTTCATCACTTTTTGTATTGTTACCCTGAACCTGAAAACATACCCCTTATTCCACGCTTTACAAATTGGAATGCTTGAAGCAATCCTGACAAATCTCCATTTCGTTGTAGACCACTATGATTATCAGTTTTAATGAACGCACTAATTACATAGATCCGTAGATTTGGCGATTTCCGATTGTGTATGTTCAGCTCCTTTCAATTATCCATTGCCCGACCTTTGTATATTTATTTCCATTATTTGAGAAGCATTAAAATTTTGTGACTAATATAAAAACTACTTGTAGGTAAGATGATTTCAACTGAAGTTTAGGGGACACCCGTATCGTCGGCAGACGAAGGTTCTCAGATAAGACGATCTGACGAAAGTGAAAGGTGGGAGGTGTGCCGATTCCGGTTTTCGTGTACTTGAACACATTTTAATGACACTTTGGCTGAATTTATTTCGAACTAGATACATTTAGCTTCTTAATGAACACGTAAGTTTTGCACGAATAAGTAGAATTTGTGAACAAACCAAATTCAGTGTTGTGGAACTTCCGACCTCTGAAACGCCTCTAGAAGGGAACAAACGTCATTGGCAGACACCGTGTAACAATTGCGGCAGCGCGTTCTTTCGACACAAATGCAAGCATCCAGAAACAAAAGTTGTTCTATGCGAGTGAGTTTCTTCACTTGTAAATTGTTAAACAAACATTTTTCTGGAATTCTGTTAAGGACGTGTTATGGGTACTATATGAGAAGAGGACGTGATCGACCAAGGGAAATATGGTCGTGAGTCTTTTCATAGAAATTACACACAAATCGATAAAAAAACTGTTCAGAGGAGAGAAACCGAAAGAAAACTTGGAACTGAGACAATGCAAAAACTGCAAAAGAGTCCTCGCAGACAATCGGTATTTGGTAAATCACTCGAGCATGTGCATGTTAGTTCTTTCTCAAACCAAATTTATAGTTTATCGAATGTTCTTTTCAGAAACTGTCACATGTATCTGAGAAATAATAAAAGAGACCGTCCAGTTGCATATGAACAGAAGTTTGTGAAAATATTACGTTGTTTGATTTGGGAAAGGTTTTTTTTGCAGAAGAGAACAAAATGTTGCATTCCGAAATGAGACAGAAGAAGAAGTGAGAGCAAGAAGATTGGCTGAAGAGGAAGCGAAAGTGTAAGTTGCCACGTCATCTTATGTTAGCTCAAACGTTTTATTACGTCACCCTTACAGAATTGACAGTTTGTTCAAACTCAGATGTGGAAACTGCAACGCAAAATTGGTAAAAGGGGGAATCGAACATGTTGTGACCAGAACTATAATTTGCCTGTAAGCCCTTGTTTCTCATAATCTCAAAAAATTATCAATTTCTAGTGACTGCTACGATTACTACAACGCATATGGCAAAAACAGACCGTTAGAAATCAAGGCAAAGTATGTTTCCCCTTATAATTTCACTTTTATATTCATGTTTTGAAATAGGAAGAAGGAAAGAGCACCAGCGGATAATTTATACCACATTTACAATGGGTTTCCACCTCATTTTCCTGGACCTGGACAATCTGGGAGTGAGATACATTACTGTCACAGTAATCAACATGGGAATTATGCCACGTTACCGTATCATACAAATCAAGAAGGCATATTTTCATTCCATTCATACTTGTCACCTCATCATTTTAATCAGCATCACAATTACAACTTTAATTCAAATCAAACAGTAGCGGACAACCATCCAAGTCAATTCATAGATAGTGGTCTCACTTATCACACGTCTGATCAGTTCTGCCCTCTTCCTTCATCGCAAACTTTCAATACACACGAATACTTTGACCAGCCCGCCTCCAAACTTCCTGATTTCCCCTCAGATAGCAGAATTTCAAGTTTGTTACCACCTCTTCAGTTCAAGAAGGTCATTCCTGCTAACAATAGTGATCACTATCCATATGATGATGCGTTGTTGTGTTTGGACAATTGGTCCTTAACAGAGGAGTTGCCAACACTTGACATTTCCGAAATCGATTTTCTGTGATATGTTCTTGATACGTATCTAATCATAAATGTTCATTTCCATCTCAAGATTTCAAAACCTTGAAATTATAGTGGTTCAACTATAGACACAAGTTTTAAAAGAGGTACCTTAAAAAATGCCGACTTTGTGGGAGGTCTTGTTCGGTGAAGATTAGATCGCAGTAAGGACGGTGATCGCACCCGAGATAACCACTTCGGACGAACTCTATCTCACAAATCATATCATCAATCAAGGTTTTCGGTCTCGACTCTTTGCCGAAGGACACTTCGTTTTTGTTTTGTTTTGTTTAGTCTTGCAAAAAGATATTTCATTATGATGAAAGCATTCTCTTATCTATATACTTCCAATAAAAGAAGAACCGCTGCCGAAACGTTGTTTGTTTTCTTTCTCTCTTTTTCTTGCATTTCGTCTTGTCACGTTTCATATCTCTAAATACTTATCTTCAATCGCCATTTTTCGTTCCGACCCGGTTTTTTCTCAATCGGTATTACCGATGGCAGCACGGTTTACTCATGATTTCACACACAGTTGCAGTTTTCTTGGGCGACAATATGCAGAGTGTTCAATCATATCTTCAACCAGATCCACCGTTTCTCCAACCAGAAATTGTAGCGCAACCGGTAAGAATACTCATATTCTTCTATCCTGTGCTCATTTCGACTTTGTAGACACGTTTTTTCTGCGGTAACTGTGTGAAATTCACGAATGGATATGCCAAGCTGCATCCAAGAACAAAAGAACCTTTGTGCGAGTGAGTTGATAACTTGTAGTTATCACAGAAGGCAGTTTTCTGTTTCAGTGCTTGTCATTCATATTTTCTCAAGTTCAAAGTGAACCGGCCAGTAAAAAGAAGAGAGTGGGTAGCTTGGGGTACTGGCAACGTTCAAATCGCAATGATTCAGACGGGTCCCGCCGGCTCTCCGCGATGGTGATCTCACTTGTGCCAATTGTTACCAACTACTTCGGAAAAGAATTTATAGACACCCGAGAACTAGACAGCACATTTGCATGTGAGTTTTTTAAATTGGCGGAAGCGAAAATGTATGCTTGCGGTATGCTGAATGTTTTGATGCCTTTTTTTTGCGGAATGAGAAATAGGGAATACGGAATGAAAGTTCACTTCTGCGGAAAGCGGAATTCATTTTTTGAGGAATGCAGATTCCGCGGGCCTCTGGTGCCAACAAAATCGAAACCGTCCGATTCAGACTGTTTTTTCAGGAACTGCTACGATTACCTTCGGAGAAACAAGAGAGATCGTCCGTTGATTATGGAAATAAAGTTAGTAATAAACAGTTCCTCACAACTCAAAAAAAAACATTTTCAGGAGGAAAAGAGTGAAAGCAGAGGAAGAAGCAAGGTCTATGCAATTGCAGGAGCAAAGCATGCAGATGTCGAATGGGACTTTGAATTCGCAGTATGAATTCATTTTTCCTGAAAAATATCCGACTAGTTCTCTGAATTACAGATTGTCGACCGTGACTATGAAGCCGCCAAATGAGAGCATTCCAGCAGAGCCCGAGTTTTCAAGTGTTTGGAACCAGCATTTCTACCCACAATGGAACGGACGACCGGATAATAGTTCATTTGATCAGAGGCATTGGCCTGAATATCCGCCCTACCCCACATCTCATCAAAATCAGCGTGTCAATCAATCTCACAGTTACATTTACTCTTCTCATAGTATCACAGTTTACCCAGTCCGTCCTGCTGCCCCACCTTCGTATGATAGTCCCGGCCACTATGACACCTCCGTCCGTTCATCTCATGTTGCCAATTCCACTTGCAGCGTCAGTTACTATAATCAACAACCTGTACCGTTTCAGCAAAATGGTCTTCCGAAATTAGAAGTTTGCGATTTTGACTTTGCCTAATTCAGACTCTATTTATAAGATTTTGCAATTCGATCAATTAATTCTTTAAGAGTGTGAACCCAAACGTCTAATCTTTTCATTTAATAAACGTTTCTACCGTATCCTTTTTGCTACCAATAAATATCGTTTAATTTACCGACCACCAAGAGCCCATCAATTTTTTTTTCTACGAGGGAACCCCAACGAGGTCATCATCGCGGTAACGGAAAAAGAAATACGTTAGTGTGAGAATCCGTTGACTTCCATCAATTTCATGTACCGTCAAGGCATTTTAATTCGAACCCATTGAAATGCCTCAATTGTACGTCTGGACGTGAAAATTGAGATCTCTGGCTGTGATGGTGATGTTGGATTGCAAAGTTGTGTGTAATATAGACTAATTCTATGGTGCTAGGTTGATATTATTTCAAAAGGGCAAGATTTGACACGTCTGTCAGCAGTTCTAAGAATTTGGAAAGTTGGTAATGATCTGCGTTTCGACTTTATTATGAAATTCTAAGGAAAGCACAAACTTCAGATTCAGGTTATGTTATCGAAGAAGTCTTATGAACTGTCCTTACAATTCTCTTACTGACAACTGAATCTAGATCTCTGAGGGACACAATTGTTTGTTGAGTATCCACCGATGAAGAAGAAGACGACTTCACAATACGTAAGAACTTGTCGCGGAGAGGTTTCGTGAACAAAATCATGGTGCAGGTGGAGAAGAATCCGTGATAACTCAATACTAGGAGGAGTACATATGCAAACTCTGTAAGAATCCGGTACAAAAAGTGTGAAAGGTAGAATATAAACCAAACCGTCAAATGGAAGTGCCGATAAAATGCCAAACACTGCTCCGACGGCAGGAACCGCAATCATCGCTCCATGGACAAACGCCTGAAAAAATACTGTTATAGTAATGTTCAAATGCTGATTTTTTCTCGAACCTGAAACCCCAAACTGATGACAAACATCTTTTGCATTTTCACTGTGCTTGCTGACAGTTTACAGCTCATAAGAAACCGCATAATGTAGTAAATACTCAAAGGAGTGACAATGGCAGCTATCACTATTAATGCCATGTATAAAAAGAGACAAACAATTTGAACGTAGTCATCCACAATGGCTATTAGGGATGCATAGCAAGTGATTTCTAATGGGAGAAGTGGATAATCCTGAAATGAAAACTTTGAGATGTGACAATTGGAGTAGCTCCAACTTTTATAAACTTGTTTTTTCTATCCGCCTCAATATCCAAAACATGGCTGAGAGACGCAATTGCAAAAATTGTATGAACAACGATTATGGTACGAAAACCATATATTCCAACTTGTAACGTTATTCTGAATTTGTGGTGCTTGTAGTCCATTACGCTAACTTTGAAGCGGTAATTGAACATTTCAATTATTGATGCACCAGTCACTGAACGATAAACAAGTTGAAGAGAAGAATATCAAATGATTCTTACTCATTACAAATGTGGCCAGAATGTACCATTGAAAAATGCCGCTGAAATTCCAAGATGCGAGAAGGCCAGTTGTACGAAGAATAGGATGCGGTAAGTATGTCATCGGGAGCATGAAAAACGAAAGATGCGTCTCCGATAGCATGTTTCTGGAATAACGAAACATGGAAAACAAAAATGATGCGCATTACCTTACATGACAGTATGTCCCATCAAAAAATACTTGTAAGTTCGAAAGCTTTTTGCTTTATTACGGATTAAAAGTATCAAGGTAGTGATGTAAATTGGGTAGCTGATGAAATGTGACGTTTGCATAGCTATTCTAAAAACGTCAACTGTGACCACTTACAGAAAAAGGGTCAAGTACCTGTAACCCTTTGGAACTGGCAGCGAGCAGTCTGGAGAGGACATTCAGTGAGAAGTGCAAGACTGAGAAAGAAGACTGACTAAAGAATTCTTCATCTGATTACCAGGTCGACGTAGACACGTGTCCTCAAGTTGCAAAAACTGAAAGCCAAAATTATATGAGGAAGTTGTGTCTCCGACAAATTGAGTCATAATCGTATGAACTACACACAGAAAACGTTATAATTTGCGGCATGCCTTCGTGAGCTGTAATTGACTTTGGTTTCAATGCACGCGCACAAAATGAAATAGAGACATGTTCTCTGTTTCAATAGGGACCGGTAACTAGCTATGTGTGATACATGTTTAATGGATGAAATTTTGACCTATATTTGAAATTGACCTATTTGAAATTTTTGAAATTTTTACGATCCCGCCTCCTTCATCTTTGTGATCGTCACCTAAAGGCGCGTGGTGACGGTGAAGCACGGTTGAGGAGTGGCCTAGTGGGCGTGATTTCACTGTCACTATATAAACCGAGTACAACGTTAATTATGTCTTTCTCGAAACTTTTTTTTCATTTAGTCTCTCTTCCTTCCTCTGACGTTATTGCTATGCAAGATGTCAACTCTCTCTTTCTCTCTTTGACATTATTGCTATGCAAGAAGTCGAACTGTTAACCATCTCTCTCTTCCTTTCTTCGGCATTATTGATATGCTCCCGAAATCATATACAGAAAATAACATGTTCGAACTGAGCTCGATGAGATCTATCAGAATTTGTACAAATGGTGATGCTTCCTTAAAATTCGTAATTTCGTGTTTCTCGCATTTCCGTTTCCATTTCAATCCTTCCAGATGAATTTTGTTTCCGTGGTTGAGCTCGTACTGTTCTTATAGTTCCTGTAGAAAGTTATCAGGGAATAAAATTTCACATTTCACAGGAATCTTTCATTCAGATATAATGAGAGCTATTTCCAAAGCATTCATATGCGAAACATAGTAAATTGGCAACAATCATCGATGAGTCTTCGTCCGAAACAGAGCCAAACGTCTGAATTGCGCCCTCATTCGGTTTGACCCACTTGCAATATTCCGATCTGACCCAAACTTTGCAGGCTTCTTACACTTGGATTGAAGTACATATTTTGGGTCCAACATTCCGACCGATCAGTTCCAGAGATATGTTGGTTTCGGATCGACTAAGTAACTAACTGAGTAATGCCGAAAAGGCCAGGTTTTTGCGAAAATATTCGCCTTTTCCGAGGGGCCTGCAAAGTCTGGGTCCAGGTAGAAAAACATAAATTTTCTATTTATCAGGTTCGTCTAACTTCTCCTCCTTCATTCCTTTTGTAACAAGAAATGTTTGATTGCACAAAAACTCTTTTATCGGCTAATGTTTTCCCACTCCCGCTCTTTATTGTAATGTGACGACAATGCCCTGCTTCCTGGAAGAAAGGAGGTGAACAAGAAAAATGGAAGGAAAAGATGAGAGAGGTCGGGGGAGAGGGCAATGGGCGGTTGGTCCGCTCTCCCCCCATACCGCAACACACTCTCCTTTCTCCCGCAACTCTCGTTTTTTCTCGCCACTATTGATTATAACGTGACCACCACTCTCATTGTGCTCTTCTTACACTTTGCTTTTTTGGCTCGTCAGTTGGATAAATGGCCGACGACAACCTGCTCGAAGGAATCGACTTCTCCCTGCCGCTTCACACTGCTCTCGTCGTTTTGAATGGCAAGCCGGCTCAGGAGGAGAACGTCTTTCCGAAACCATCGACGCTCTGTCGCAAAGCTGATATGGAGGAGGATCAACCGCCAATTACTGTGATTATCGACGAAATAATCGCAAAGTTCTCCAATTATCCCGAACTAGTGACGATTCTCATGAAGCGTCGTTTTCTCAAGAAGAAGCAGCAGTGCCGCAGATGCAATCGGGAAATGAGCTTGAGACGTCGGAAGGGTTCGTATGAGGTATGCTCCTGGAAGTTATGGCATTTAATGGTGTGTTTGTTTTCAGTGGCGCTGCAGATCAAAAACGACTAAAAGAGACTGCTCCTCGTGTTCCATCAAGGCCGGAAGTTGGTTTGAGAAAGTGAAGGTCTCGTTCGATACCATCTTCAACTTCCTAATCATGAATGGAAAGAAGTGAGTTCAGAATACACAACAGTGCAGATCAGTTTTCAATCCAATCCTTCAGCTGCTCGACCGATCACATGGTCAACCACTTGGGACTGTCCTCTCATGCCGTCAACGAAATTCGCAAAATGTCCTACGATCTGACTGAGAACATCATCAAGAAGTACAAAAAGATTGGAGGAGACAACAAGGAGGTCTTCGTGGAGGTGGTCACTGTGATACCGAATAAACCAAACGGACAGATCCATGTGTTCAAAGTGGTCGCAGGTACAATTTGTTTTCAAACAGAACAAGAAAAAGACAAATTCTTTCTTTTGCAGGCGTTGAGCTTGAAACAAAACGTTGTTTCGCTCGAATTGTGCCCGACGAAAGACCAGCGACAATTGAACAGACCATCAAAGATCACGTCGCTGAAGATTCACTGGTCACAATGGTCACTACCATTAGCAACAATGTTGAATGCTATGACAGGTAATGAATTTTCCCGAGATTGCTCTAAGATCTGTTTGGTTTCCAGCCAAAATGTCAAGTATTTGGACGAGAGAGTTCTGCGTTCGCCGGACGAGCTGCCGACGGACCTGCTCTTCTCGAACATCAGAAACGCTCCGATTGAGTTCATCCGCTCGACCGCCGAGCTCTTCCAGATGTATCTCAACGATCAAGTTGTGAGAAGACAAGAGGGAAAGTTCTTCCTGGAAGGTTGCTTCAACGAGCTGAGAAAGTATTTTTAATTCTGTCATCTATGTTTCAATTTTTGTTTAAATTCTCTGTGAATAAATTCTTTGTCAGTGAACAGTTGTTTTTTGGTGAATCGGAACTGTTCTAAAGATCCGGAACAATGATAATGCTGAAAGCTTGAAGGAACGAGCCAGAACACTAACAAGATTAACCTTTATTCAAAAATGATAAAAGTTTCTCAAAAATCTGTTCATTTTCGTAAAATTCACCAATTACACATGTAAAAATTGAGGTAGTGGATGCTTATTCATGAAGATAAGATCAGAAACGTGCGTATTTGATACTCATTCCTACGCGAATATACACTATACAGTCGAAGAAACGGAGCTAGAATTGGAAATTAGAAAATTTACAAATTGTGACATTATATGACAAAACAACAGACACGCTGAATGGAAGTAGTTGCGGGATTTGACAATGGGAAAAGAATGACTCGAATTTCAAAAAAAAAGGAACACGGACCAGTGGTTGCGAATTAATTCTAATAAGTTACATAGGACGGAGAATAAGAACAGAGACGATACCGAGGATGTAGGATGCGACCAACTTCTGTTGGATCGACATGTGCATCATCGGAGGGACGGACGAGTTGACCGATTCTGGATCTCCGGCGGTCGGGCAGATGAGGGCCAGAGCGCAGCAAAAACCGACCAGAAGACATACCCACATACTCGATTGGTTCTGCAAATTGGATTGGTTTTTATTTGTGACAATGGAACAGATTTTGAAGGCCTCCCTCCAATTCAGCCTAGAGCAGATCTGTCGATGCCAATTTTCAAAAAATGCCTTGTACCCGTGACCGTCAAGGGTTCATGCCAATTTTTAGGGCCGGCTTCGCTGGCTTTCGCCGCTGTGGCCTATAGCTTTAACGTAGTGATTGATACTCACCCGATCTCCGCCTCGTTCACTCAAAGTCAGTGACGTGGTCATACGGTTCGTTTGAGGAATCCTCTCAAACTGCGCTTGCTCTCCCGGGTCCATGTAGTCGCTGGGCATCGTGAACAGGCTGATCACTGATGAGCCGCTCATCTGAAAAGCGTGTTTGATGAGAAAGCAGTGCGTGAACCGACAAGATCTTACCGTTGGTGATCCTTTCTTCGAAATCTCAATTTTCAACTTGTCCACATTCCCGAGAGGCAGTCGTTGTATGCATCTCACCACTCTGCAAGACAATTATTCTCTTTGGATTTCTTTTTCCTCTCAAATCACCCGTCCATCAACATACATCTGCTCAAAATCAATTATGTGGTCTGGTCTGGTCTTATCGTACAAAATAGTGAATGGAACAAGTGGTAAACAGCCATCTACCTCCAGAACTCATGTATAACCGAACAAAAACTAACATATCTTTGCAGCATTTTGCTTGAAGCACTCCCGAAGTCTCGTTGACGGTGTAATTCCTGGTTGCCGTGCATAAAACTGTAATAAAAATTTGAACACGTCAAGATGATCCAAACTAACCTTTGTACGCTATCTGATGTCCGAATGGGTTGTACAACGTGAAGAGCTTCGCCTGGCTCTTCTCATTGAGTCGGAAATGTAGCTGCAAACAGAAACGTGTCTGGAAAACACTTGAAAACGAGTAAAACTCACTTCTGACGTGTTGACGAATACTGGCAAAGCGTCATCTTCCACTCCTGACATAGATTTGCGAGATTATATCTGGAAAAAATACTTTTCGGACGGCTAACAAAGGTTACTGTGCAAAATAAACGAGTTTTCATTAGAAAATGAGGCGATAGAAGCAAAAGAAACGTGATCGGGCGTAGTGTCCTCAGTCTTCATATCGACCCAGCAGTGTAAATACGACAGAAACACACGGAACACGCCAACAGCCGCTTTGCGCGTTTGTGGGCAAAGGCACCCCGTGAGGGCTGAGGATGGGGGTACAAGATGTGCGCAAGACGACGTGGCGAATGCAACATAATAATTGGCTGCCTACGACCCGCTATTCGAAAGAGCAAACGTGGACAGGTGTTCTGATGACGAGTGCTGTGCGCAAGACGAGATTAGAAAGAAAATGGGCCCAGCGATATTATCGGCTCTCTTTCAACGTACGACAATTATGCGCATCTAGATCATCGGATGGATACTGTGCAATTAGAAATTAATACAACCATACTTGCAAGATCTCAGCCCGGAAATTTTTTTGTGAGGCAGCATGAATAAAAGTTACCCCAACAAATGAGTGATAAAACATTTCAAAAAGCGAGTTTAGGATAATTGAAACCAGAAAAATGAAGTTTCAGTTCGAATTTCCTAATTTTTCCTGATGTCCGATCTGACCGTGTCAAGTCGCATCCAATTGATTCCGGTTTCGCAAAAATCTTCGTAGCCAACACAAATTGACACAGAATTGTTGAGACTAACGCATTTTCGAAGCCAAAAGATAAGAATGATGTCAATTTGAACAAAATTCGAGCCGAAAGTGAAGCGACAGCGAAAAAATGAAATGTTGGTAAACAAGTTGCGAAACAAAACCAAATTTCATGCAATTTTCGTTTGCCAGTGAAGAAAATACTTCTAAAAATGTGACGTTATATATTGGAACCAAGTTTGATTGAAATCGACGACGCATGACAAATTGGTGTCGGAAAATGCGATCAAAGGACATAGTGCATGATCTTTTTCACCTCTCTCACATGACGCAAGTCAAGTGTCCATTCGTCCTCCATTTCGTTTCAAATAATCATTTTAAAAGCTTTATTACAAATTCATAACATCAGCATAGAAAAAAGAGTAATAATACAATAAATGAAAGCTGGCCTCAAAGTTGGAATTCACACAAAAATGTGAGATTTTGGCTGATTTCATCGAAATGCTGAGAAAAAAAAACGAACGGTGCTAAAGAATCGAGAAATAGCAATAAAAATTCGAAAATCAGGAATGGGTTCAAAACAACACTTTTCCCTACATATAGTTGTTAAAATTCCAAAAAAATGTTCCGTAAAAACTACTACAAAGCCGTCAAGTGTGTTCCTATAAATACAGTGATGGAAAACGAGCACACAATTGCTCCCAAATACAAAAGGGGGTCGAAATAAATTTGAAATTAAGAAATTAAGAAATTAGAAATTAGCTACCAGTGATAAAGTGTGGGGGAACTACAAGTTTTTGGTGAGGGGAACAACCGTTTCTTGTCTACAGAATTGTGATAGGCAAAGGTCTAGAAAGTACACGGAATACATCGGGGAGGGCGGGTGAAAAAAGGGGTTTGGGAAGCAAGAATGCACATAAGTTATTGAAACAGAAAATATTGCTACTAAATATGGAGTGGGTGCGAATTGGAGAATAAAAGCTGGGGGATGACAAACATTTTATACAAGGGAGGAGTTAAGTGATTTTGAAATTCTAGAAACCGGAAAGTGTGAAAAAAGAGTCCTACCGGGTGGCCAATTGGTGGTTTACATGTGAATGAATAAGTGGAAAGTATGAAAATTAAAAATAAAACATGATAAAATGGAGGACTACCCAAGACAAAAGCATCTAATGTTATGGGAAGAATTAGAGAAAATGGAAAGAAAACTCGAGAATATAAACGTGGTATCAGAGGGGGGGACTATTCACACAATCAGCTAAGACGATTTCACATAAGAAATTGGAAAAATGTTTTTTTTAAAGGATTTTTCTGGGTTTTTTTTGGAGCATGAAATTGAAAAATGAAAGAAAAAATTGAGAATAATTTCCGCGGCGACCTAGATGATGGATTCTAGCAACAAAAAAGTTGTTTCCGATTCAGGCCTATTAAACACGAAAACGATGAGGAAGAGAAAAAGATTGTTGATGGACAAGTGAGCCGAGGGGCGGGGCTTGCTTGTCATTGGAAAGTGATCACATAAAATTAAGACAATGGACAGAATTAGAAGTAAAAAGGAAATAGAAGAGCAAAACCGCGAAAACGTATGAGAAGGATTTAGTTGGAGCAGACGGGGCAAGAGCTCTGACTGTCAGAACCCGAACGGGAACGGTCCCGTCCGCAACGAGCACATGCTGGAGCGCCGGTGTCACATTCGTTTTGGAACTCCTGCAAGAAATATTGTTTGTCAATTGATTTGTGAATAGCTAAGAACAGGGCTTGGTTTTTCGACGGCATGCCCGCGCTTTTGGACCATTTGCAAAGATCTGATGAGATCAATCCCTTAAAGTTTCTCTTACGCTAAAAGTCTCTTACTCCGAAAATGTTGTATGGTGGGCTATGCTGTAGACTGGCAGACGGACGAATTCCTCCATCATAGTTCTCTTGCGGCAAGTTGATGGAAAGCGGAGAACTGATCTGAACTGGTGGAATGAACGGCGACTGTTGTTGCAGTTGAATCTTCAAAGATTCAATCTGCGCCAGCAAGCCATTTCGCTCCACGATCAATCGGTTTTTCTCCATGGATTCCTCCTCGAAGCGGTACCGCCACATCTCAGAAGTCTGTCTCATTCGGATCCACGCCTCCTGCAGGTACTTTTCCCGTTCCATCGTGTTGTTGTAGTCGCTGCTTTTCGGCTTCGAGTAGTCGTCGTAGTCTTGCTGGTACTCTTGCTGGACCTGCAAAATGCGTTCCTTCAATTGTTCATCAAACTGCCGACAAACCACATTTGGATCGAACTGACTGCCGAATACGTCAATTGGCACTGGCTCACATTGACCAAATAATTGCCTCGGGTATGGATCCAAAGAAGCGTGCACTGAAAATCCAATCTGTTTTGCTCCACGACAGTGTTCGACAATAACAGTACCATCATTGTACAGATTGAAACGGCTGCGATCAGGCTCTTCGATTGGCGGAAGTTCGAGGCTGAGCTCATCTAAAGTGGCCAGAGAAGTATCGTTGACGACGTTGAATCCACTGTCAGAACGGCAGAGAGACTGGTGGGAAGTGAGTGCTGGATTGCTGTGGTCGATAGCCGACAGTCCCTGGTTGAGAATCAGACTCCTCTTCAACATATCCAAATGTCCCATGTTCAGGGAATGAGTGCGAAGTCTTGTGTCACGACCTCCGAGTGCTTGGAACTGAAATTTGACGGATTTTGATATAAATTTCTTCGAAATATGTACCTGAGTAACATCAAAGTTGCCGACAAGTGGCGACCGCTCGAACCCTGGTGCTTTCGGGTAGCTGCTCGAAATTGAATCCGACGACGAGAAGCCCGGTGGTTTGCTTATTGGATTCGGAGTTCTTTGTTTGACAACTGATGAATAGCTCTGTGTTCCGTTGTTGATTGGTGAGTCAAAACGAAGTTGTTCGGTCGGAATGCTGACTGAAAACAGATATTGATGTTTTAAAGTAAAGCCGAGAAAACTTACATCCATTCGGAGACGGGCTGCACTGCTCCTTAGGACTTGGTTGGGTGCTTCCGACGTACGGGTTTCTTGGCGCATGAAGCTCGGAGTCGTGATGAGCAAATGCGCAGAAGACTGCACGCGGGCAGTAGCCATGCTGAACAGATTCATCAATTAACAGTTTTGTTTTCAAAATGTACCTCCAACATATCATTGCACTTTGTTGACTTGTATATTTCTGGATGGAACTGTTGTTCAGTGCGAGTGTGACAATATTGACAGCTATCGCCTGCTTCGCAAATGTCCGGATCCAACCACTCATCGATTGTTTTCGCAGCTGGGCATGGGGTCGATCTGTAATTTCATTACTTGAAAAGTAGCCTTTCGTGATTTTCCTGCTCACCTGTACTTGAACAGTGCAGGAGGACGTCTGCGATCCTTCGAGTTGTGATAGAAGGGACACGCATAACCCTGTCTGCAGAGCCGTGCCGGCTTTCTGCATTGCTCCGTTTTGTAGCACGATAGCACGTGGTCTTGTGCTGCAACTATTTCAGACGTTCGCGAGTGTCGGAAAGTGGAATTCATATATCCCGTTTGAACGTCCCCTTAAATATATTGGTATTGCGATCGGATTCAAAGGTAATGCCTGGTCTCAATGTCATTACTACCATCTGCAGATCGTGCACAAAACACGTCCATCCATTCACTTTTTTTTCTGCTGCCGTTTTTTCCGTTGCCTTTGTGCCGTCACGTTCCCCCATTTTATCCCCGCAGCGCACAGCCCTTCGATTTTTTTTTTGGCCAACCAACCCAACAACGACATCCGTGCCCATTGTGTGTGCGTTCTTCGCAAGCAGTAGAGAGCACGCAAACTTGAGAGTTGGCCATGACGCTGGTCATGTGATAGATGCAATAACATGCCACACAAAAAAAGGAGGGGGCTCTGGAGCAGAAAACGAAAGAAGTGGAAAATAGCCGCCCAGGGAGAAAGAGCACGTGCACACTTGATGTTTGACAATGCGCTTTGAATAAAACATCCCTAATTCAGATTAGACAGAGAACATTCCTTTCCCCAATCTTCGTTGGAAATCTACGAACAGGAAAAGCAACTCACAGTGCCATTGTGGATCTTCAATCACAAAGCTGGTCTTATCGCGACCCTCGCCATCCACAACTGTCGAAAATCCAACTTCGTGTTGGTCGAACTGAAGAACCGATTGATAACTGGTTTTAGGTGATGTCTTTGCTACCATTGGCGGTCGAATGTCGTTCGCTGTGTGGGCGAAGGCGCAGTGGGCACCGTTCTGTAAAAAAGTAAAGTTTTAATCAAAATCTGATTGTTGGCTTGAGAAAAAACCTTGACGCACTGCCCCCGGGCGTCAGTTGGATGCACGCATTGCGCGGTTTTGTAGTATCGTAGATGGTACTTTCGTTCGACGTCCCCAGATACCCGATGAAGATAAACACATCTGCAAGAGTTCGCATGGGATCATCATTCCGGAAGTGTCTTACTCATCGCCATCCGGGCATATTCCTGTGTTTTCGTCGTATTTGTCGCAATAAATGTCGGGCGAATAGTTGAATGAGCCCTCGCTTCTCCTTATTGGCCTGAACAACAAAAAGTCAGTCAATTTGTAATGTTTCCGTAGAAAAGCGACCTTCGTCTCCTCTGATTTGCAAAATGCCACTTGAAACAAGTGAACGGTCGGTGTTGCTGACACTGATGCTGTTTGAATAGTGGACATGCCTCTACTCGAAACTCGCTCAGATAACTGAAAAAAAAACATTTTTATTTTCTCATCGACATTTAAATCCGATTCCGATCCCTCTTCAGCTTTTTCCAGGGAGGTTTCATTTTTGTTCTCGCGTTTTTCTCGCTCAATTTGTTTGCTCGAGAGCACGAGTACCAAGTACCACGTGATATCTTTTCCCCAAAAAACATAAATTTCGCGAACAAGTATGTGTGGGCAGTGAGTAAACACAAATGTTTTTGTAACCGTTTTGGCTAGTGACGAGAATCGAATTGTGATAAGATTACGAGTATTGCCAATAAAGTATTGTGCATACATACGCGTCTTGTTTGCAGAAAAAAGTCGGCTTAGAAAGTCAAGTCCCTATTTATTTCTGCTCTTAGTTTTCCAGAGTGATTCGTGTCAAATGACTTGTTATTCAGTCAGTCATCATTTCAATGGAAGAGAGAGAGAGAGAGAGAAAGCGAGAGGGACATCATGGGAGGCTCGTTTCCTTCTCTCTCTTTCTCTTTCTCTTTCCGGACAACCTTCTTCCCATTTCCATTCAAATCTCTTTTTCCTGTGACATTTCCACACACATTCACGTGACCCGACGTCACCGTCCGTGCGGATAAAGAAAAAGAGAGCAAAAGAGAGCGAATAACAAGGAAACATACTCTTCTTCTTCCATAATTGAGCCTAAGAAATCGCTAAAGGTTGGAAACATTCGACGGGAAAACGAACAGTAATATCTAGAATTTGGAGTAAGGAGTATGTACGAAATATTGGAATTCGGGCGAAAGCAGACATTTCAGAAAATTTTCAGATTTCACCTGCTCCTGCCTTATGCAAATGCGCTCCATGGAGTTGGATGTTCTCTAAACTTTCTCCCCTTCCGAAATGCACTCGGGAAACGCTTCCTATTGCTGTGAATTACTTTCGAAATTGTTTTGTTCAAGTTCTTAGACTAAGCATTAACATTTCGTCTCTGCGAACGGAACACCTACTTGTTTACTCAATTTTTCTTCAAACGAACAAATGTTTTTTTCAGAAATCCCTTTTCACTGACTATTTGCGCACAAGTGTCGGGTTTTTCTTGCTATAAACCAAACGAACCCTGTCGTCCTTCTTCATGTCCCGCTCCTCTATTTTCCTCCTCGTCACTGACCATATGATCATGCGGATATTGGTGAGCGAGCACAGGACAACGAAAGACGCAGCGCAGCCTAGATGCAGGCAATTCGGCGGAGGTAGCAGAGAGGTTAAAGTGGGCGCTAGTGGTAAACAAGCGCGGCGGCCGTCGCCCTCTTTTCTGACGCTCCGAACGTGTACAATGTGGAAAAAGAGAGGGCCTGGGGGTGGTGTGAGTGGCAGTCGAAACGAACGAACGAGCGAACATCATCATGACTTTGCAAGGAGCGAAATAAACAACAACTGTTTGAATGGAATGTTTTGATCGACTCTTGAGTATGTATTCAGGCGGAACAGACAAGATGGATTGGACTTACTGTTGATGGCTTGGTTTTTCCTGTAAAAAGCCGACCGGCGACGAAGATGAATTCTGTTGTTGACCACCACTTCCCGCTGAATTCTGTCGCTGATTCTCCGTCATCGAGTGACGTCGCGACGGCGGTTGGCCTGCGTTCAACACAATCTGCTTTGAACCGCTCTCACTCCGATTTGATTCTGAAATACATCGCGTTGAATTGGAAACGAGCAATTTGAAGAATCAATAAATGAACTGAACAAATCATGTTGCCCGCGTCGGTGTGAAAAGTGATGTGAAACTGACTGTACCGTCTAAAAAGTCTCCACCCCTCTGCCCAATTCTTTCAACCACCTCACATCAGTTTTGGAAACGAAATGGGTTCTCTTATTCTCAGTTGGTTGTGGCGTAAGATGGAACGACCTGATTTTGATTCGCGCGTGATGTTTACGCAGGGCAAGCAACACATGCATCCATTGCAGTTTGGCAGCAAAAAAATGACGGCGGCGCACCAGAAAGAAAAAAAATGAGATAGCGGAGTTGATGAACACACACTTTTTTCAGACACGTACACCCTGGGTCCTTAGATGGAGTACCAGGAACGAAAAAAAGGAGCATAAGAGAAGACCAAGTGTGAAATAGTAAATGAGAGAAAGACGCGCAGCAATTACACGAGTTGCTCTGGAATGTTTATCTGTTCAAGAATTGCGTGCGTATGAGAGAATACTGTAGATGCAAACCGTTTTTGTAGTAAGAACCGCTTTGTGAGTCACATTCTCACACTGCAAACTGGTAGTAAACAGGATTACGGTAGGGAAATTACCTATGCGTGCGGGGAAAGCAGGGAAAACGTTGTTGCGTCGATGAAAGCAGACAGCTTCTTCATCTCAAATCGGACATCGTCCTCTTCACACGATCAGGTCTCGTTTTGTTGCGTTCCAGGCAGTTGATGCGGCAAACGATGTCGATAGTTGTCCGTCAATAATGACAACTGATAACAACTGGTAATTTCCTTCCGCTTATTCAAGGATTAAAGGGAAACGCTTGGAATGAAACGAACAAAAAAGGATTAAAAGCCAGCAAATGGGGAGGTAAGTGAAAGGGATAATGCCGATGATTGAGAGGATGAAAACGAACAAAGAAGTGGGACGTGCAGAGGATGGGTCTCTGGGTGGGGGTGCCTTGTGACCGACCCAAACACCCCCCAGCAGTACGAGAGAGATGGCAGAGGTATTGTAGGAATCGGCGAGGCGAACCACAACGAGACGCCGCGCCACAAACACACGCTCCTGCTTCTTCTCTTTCTCTCTGCACAGCGGCAAGCACGAGACGATGCCTGGAGCCCCGAGGGCCAGAGCAACTACCCCCGACCCCCAGTCGCCAGATCGCCGCCGGCAGAGAAAAAGAGGCGTTCTTTCGTTCCTCCCACTATTTATACTGCGTACTATTTGTGAAGTTTTTCGAGCAGGCAAGCAAGGAAGCAGAGCATACAGACACAAGCAAAAGACAGACAGGAAAAGACGGAGCAGCAAAATATTTGGCGAAGGGTCCCCTCAAGCGCCAGTGAGCGTGGAAAACGTTGCATGAATTTTCAAAATATGGGAGTGAAACGTATAAACAATATTTTAGAAGCACTTTTTGGGATTTCAGAGAAAAGTTAAAGCAATTTCTAGCCATAAAGAGTTTTGGTTTGCTCGAGGTGAATGGCTTCACATTCGAGTATCAAAAATATTACTTTGAGGTGGTTGATACTTTCAGAAAGAACCAATTAGCTATATTCATATGTGAAAGCAATTCCCTTCAAAATGAGATTAAACCCTAGACTTTTGGTGAAGCTCTTTTGAGAAATGCCACATATATGAGTGTTTCTGAATGTAAAACAGAGAAAAAAATATACCCATTCATATTTTTTTCTGAAATCGCCTTGAGGAAACTGCGTAATGATGGATTGTGTTCACGGCCACACTCAGCGTTCTCACACTCGTAAATAAGAGACGGGGGGAAATACATAGAAGTGGGCTGGAAAACCTCGTACATGACCACATAACATCCTCTAGAACTGGAGAGTTTTTTCAGTGAGAGACATGTGGAGTAACATAACACGAGCTCCGTTCGTGGGCACAGTCGTGTTTTTAGGGAATCCGCGTGACACTTTGCTCGGTTTTTTGTGCGCACGGATGGGCACATGGCATTTGCAACTAGTTCGGACTCGGAAAATAAAATGTTTTTGTTATATCCAGAAACTTTCATTATACATCAAGCCTCAATCTTGTCTATAAAAAGGTTAGTGACTATGTAAAAGTTCAAATTCAATTGAACAAATGAGCGGGTTGTCTAGCAACTATTATCGAGATTTCAGAGTTGACTAACGTACGGAAGAGTTCAAAAACCGTAGTAAACAGAAAAGTTCCGCAAGTTATCTGGACGCTTCAGTTTGTCGCAAAAACGTCAACAAATCGGGAAAAAACTAGTTGAGGTATGCGAAAGAAAAGAAAACGGTTTTGTGAGGTCAAAGCATTGTTGCTGTTTTGTTTCTCCATGTTGTGGAATCTGCCTCGAACTCAACACAACAAAAAAGAGAGCTGACTCGGATTTCACATCGATGCGGGTAGCAGTGCTATTTATATTTTATGAACTAAATACATTAACTGAAAAGAGTGCTGCCGATGTTTTGTGACACAACTTCCCACTCCAATTACGCTCGTCGAGGCCACGACACTTTCCGGTCGAAGACGGAAATCAAACAAGAATCGAAAACGGGCCAGTACCAGTAAAAAGTGACGGAAAAGGTTGCAGAAACCTACCGAATTTGGCGCTTTTCGAAACTTTCAAGTGAAATGAAACTAACCTTCATCCGCTCGTGAGGATAATTCCATCCTTCTAGGCGACCCGATGGAATTGATCTGGTTATTGTCGCTCTGAATGTATATAAACTGTGTCGAATATTTTCAATATCTGACTCGAAAACAAAACGTGCGAAAGTCGGAAAAAAAGAGGGGTTATCAGTAAACATTCGAGAAAAACTGTGCGAGTGAGCATGTGACACACAAATATTTATCATTTTCAGAACATTTTCTGATATGTCAACACGCACACACACTTTCCGGCTGGAACTGCATAAAAAGAGTCATGATTGTTGACAGAGGAGTCGCGAGAGGTGCTAAAAATGAGGCGAAAGTTGAAGAGACGGAAATTTTCGCAATCGCCAGTAGATACTGAGATCAAAAACTAGCTAAAGTTGATGATGAGCTGGAAATATATGTATATAGCCTTAGAAAAAAAAATGTTATTTGAAAAGATAAGCAACTGTTTGTCCAATATGATATCTTAGATACGCGCTGATAAGCGTTGTATCAGAAAACTGTTTCAGATCATAAGATGATGTGTTTTCCGTCGAAACATCAAAAATTTAATCTTAATGTCAAAAAGTGAATAAAAATATCATTTTTATTATTCTCTTTCTTGATGGTAAGCCAGATAAGCCGGCTTAGAGGCAAGAAACGGATCCCTCCGAAAATTTGAGAAAAAAGACATTATACTTCTCTTCGGCCCTTTATCGCAATTTCTTTTTGGTTGAACTTCAACGCATCAGACCGTCGGACAATCGTCGTCCTGGCAACGTGTTTTTGCGGTTATGTTCGAAAATTCCCAAAACTTCTCATTAGATACGTGCCCTCCTTCTGAGATTCACAAGAAACTAATATATGTTGTTCTCCAAGCTGTTTTCCGGGAAAACGTTAAAGAACCATAGTGCGTGCCGTTGGGAGATAGACAGAAAGGATGCCAAAGAAAAGAAAATGAGGGAATATTCACGAGGAAGCTGAAAAAACGAACAAAACTGGATGGAACACATACGAATAAACATAGCTGTATTGAATAGCCGGTCGGAACTATTTTCGGCTCATTTTGAGAGGGGAAGAGCAGAAAAAATGGAATGGAAAACATCAAAGGGCATGTTGACGAGTGCAGGAACTTGCAAGAAAGGCTGTCAAAGAGAGAGAGAGAGAGAGAGAGAGAGAGAGATTGCCAAGTTTGGGAAAGGCGGAGTTTGGTGACGATAGAGCACGTGAGGTCGAAAAATGGAAAGCGGATTAGTTACGTGAACCAGGAAATGTTGACCAGATTTCATTTGTTTTTGCTGGTGGTGAATAGCAAAGAACTTTGGTTATGGATGGAATTGCAAGAAATACACTTTTCGAGGGGAAGTACTAGAATAAAGAGACCGGTTCGCGTGTTTGAATCGAGTATTGAATCGAATCAAGAGAGTCACGAGTGAGGGAAGACTCAATTATCGAACAAAACATCGAACGAGAATAGATCAGAACTTTCAACCTTGTTTTCGGCAGATTTGCAGGAGCAACAACAAACAGGACAAAATGGCAAAAAAGAAACCGATCGATAGGTATGAAGTTGGCAAGTGAGGGGAGCCGGTCAAATGAATGCAAATGGGCAAACCCATCGAGTGTGAGATATCAGAGCATGAGGTGCACACGGGACCAATAAACGAGGCCAGACAGAGGGAGATAATAAGAGAGTGCCGCGGGTCGCTCTAACGCTCCCTATTCACTGCCGCAGCTGACCTCAATCACGTTCCGAATGACGTCACGCGAAAAAAGAAATGAGCGAGAGAAGTACAAGCGACCCTGTATGCATTTGAACCCTTAGAAGCAAATAGAGCTGGCTACAGTTATATCAAAAAACCATGAATTGATGTGATGAAGGGAGGGGACGAGCGCAATGGCTTCAAGTGAATAACAATGATATTGAGCAGAAAAAGCCAACAAAAGAGTGCCTGGTGAGCACAGACAAACAATGGCGCTGGAGAGAACAGAAAAGAACTGTAGAGGGGCGAGGGACTGCTGGCACACGTTTGATGGACGTGTTATTTTGGCAACCAAACACTACGGTATCATGTGACGCGCAAAAGGTCGTCGCACGTTTGAATCGTGGAAAAGAAATTGAACCACTATTTTCTTCGCTCACAGCTGACGGAAATGGTTCGCCCCGATCGGGGATTCGAGGATCAAGGACACTTTTCGAAAACAGAGAGGTTGTACTATTAAAGTTCAGCAGAAAACGCATTTCTGGAAGCTCCCTGTTCTGTAATTTGTGTTTTGAACATGCTGCTCGCTTGAGCACACCCATTAACAGCCGCTCGCTCAAATGTCAGTTGAGAAATCTCAGTTTGCATTTTCATGTTTATTTTTAGGCAATCTTTCGAGACAACTAACCTCGAACCAAAAAGTGGAATGAAATTGTGGTGCGTGACGGAGAAAACTACTATAAACAGGGATAAACATTTGAAGGGAAGAGGGGGACAAATGTGGAGAGAGGGGGTGGGGAGAATGGGAAAAACCAGTCAGTATGTCCTGGAATAGAGTGATGGAGGACATATCAAAGATCATGGAAATCCACAGCAACGTGGCAAGTGCATGCATAGCCTTTCAGGTGCTACTTGAGAAGAATAATTGCCTAAGTTTGTACGGAAACATAGGATAAACTGGTATATTTTTGTTGATAGCTGTGTGGAAGTGTGGAAAAAAGTGCATTTCCGATTCATGGCGACTATTTTGACAGTTTTACAACGTTTGGGTTCCATCCGTCTTCACAGCACCGCCTGAGGAGGCTCCATTGATGTACGCCTCGATTTTGGTTGCGAACCGTTTGTTGTTGTGCCACTGATTGATGACACGTTGACGGGCTTCGTCTTTGAGATGCTTCGAGATTTGTTCCCTGCAATAAATGATTATTTGTTTCCGGAAGCTTAACAAGTCAGACTTGTCGCGGGCCGGCCCTTTGGCCCAGGTTTTACTACTAACATTTGATTTCAAAACATGCTTTTAGAGCCAATTTTTTTCCAGAATAGTTTTTTTTGTAATTTTGAGTTAACAAACTACTAGCTAACTTCAAGGAAATAAAAACAACTTTCCGAGTGACACATTTGAAAAATCAATATTTTTCTCAAAAGTTTTTAATGAGACCAGGCCGGGCGGATTTTCGACAAGTCTGTAACAAGTTATTCTAATCTGTTCATGGTTTAAAATAAAATTTACAAGTATTTCCTTTTTAAAACTTTCCAACAGCTTACCTTGACGGAGACGCTCTAGGGGTTTTTGGTTCTGCCGCTTTCCGCTTGAGCCACTCGCGGAACGCCGCATCCGCATTGTCCCGCTTCTCTTTGTCCTCATCCTCAAACTCCTTTACACGTGGACGGTTCATGCTCTGAAAGAATGAACAATTGAGAATTGAGACAAATTTTGTATAGATTCAGTTGGAATGCTGACAGCAGGAGGATAGTTTGTGTTGGTTGAAGTGCGAGACACTTTGCAATTGATTGGATAGGAGGCTCGGGAGGCGAACGTCAAACAAGCTTTTTACTGTTTCAACAGCAGCAGCCTTCTCAGACCTCCCACTTTCAACTTTCAGCAAAATATCGCCGACACTTTTGCAACTGTTTGAGAGATGAACAAAGAAGCGGATACGACGGTGGCGGTGTCATTATCGCCCGACTTCAACTTAATCAATGCGTTTCCATTGGTGATAACGCCATAAGTGCACATATTGTGTACGTGTGAATGGGAAATGGATTGGTTGCGAAAAGATGAGATGAGCGAATGCGCGGTTGAGCTGTGAAATCAAGCGAAAAGTCTCGGGGGAGAGCATGTTCACATTATAATTGTGGCGTTAGAGGGATTTGCGGCCGACCGACCAAACCAAGAAGAAGCCAGAAGAAGGCTTTCAGCGGTTTGGTTCGAAAGTGAAAAAAAGTGAAGCAAGTGGGAGAAGGAGGAAAAATAAGAATGCGAAACGCTTTAAAAGTGTTACACAGCGCCCACTCACTCAGAGATGGACAATACCCAATTCTCAGTTACTTTTTGTAAAGTTTCTTTCAGAAGTAGAAAACTGTAGAAAACTTCACAGATCATGATCCATATACATATTTAGGAGGACCGAAAAAAGAGACACACACACACAACCTGATTCATCGATTTTCAGTGCGAGTCAACCGCGAAATGCAGAACCAGAATATGTATGAATGCATATTATGCAGTGTGTGGCAAACGGCAGAGAGGAGGACACAACACGCACGGGGAGTAAAGAAGGAATCGAATTGAAAATTAGTGGAAAGAGCGAATAAGTGACTAGGTTTGCTCTATTGTGTGTTCGCTCCGAAGTTGAATAAATCATAAACGAAACAGACGGATACCTGGTTGGCGCAAGAGAGAAAAGAACAAGAAAGGCGCCTTTTCTTTTAGAAATTATAGGTCTGAGATTGAAATACTGCATGTGCCGTTTGAAAAAGAAGAAAGAAAACGAAATCCTTAACAGCGATGTTTTGAAATTAGCGAATAGAGAGATAATCAGATGACCTCGATTAGGCGAAAATGAGAACTGTCCAAAAATCGAATCAAATTCTTTACACATTAGTCATTTCCGTGACACACCCCAAATATTGGTTCTGAAATGGAAGAACTGAAAGTAGAGTAAGTTTGCGGTTTAGGAGAGAAGAAGAAAAGGAAAGGGAATAAGAGGAAAATGTGAAGAGCGAACCGCACTCTCACACCTCCATGAACCTTTTCCCCGCATTTATGACCAGATGACGTTCGTCCGTTCGCTCATTGCCTTCCTTCGTTTCCCGTGCGTGTCTCTGTTTGTGTGCAGGACAGCGTGTGGGAAACGGGGGATGTCGGATCTGGTTTCCTCTTCATTTCCTCTCTATTGAATTGACTAACAAGGTGTGTGAGACTGTGCCACACTCTTTCGAACAAATTTTTGGAAACCAAGTAGATCCGATAATTAGAACGTTTCACGAGAAGGGAACTTCCTTGAGAAACCGGAAAGTTTAAGTGAGACAGGCTGGACGGCCTTGCTGAATTTCAAAGAGTGAGAAGAAGAAAAAACCGAGTGTTTGTAGTAGTAGTAACTCAACGGAAAAAGAAAGAGCGCAAATGGGAAGTCGGCCGGGAAGATGACCGAAATAAGACAGATAGCCGTGACTTGCCTTGCTTCTTGGCGAGCGAGCAGATTGTGTGAGCTGCTGCGCCAACATGTCCGCTTGCTGTTCACGGCTCCACGAGTTGCTCCTGGGGGCAGCTCCTCCAACCGCCACCGATTGTAGAAGTTCGTCGAGTTTGGAGCGACGAGCCACGTGTCCCGCTTGCGCCGCAACTATCTCATCGGTCATTCTTGAACGATCGCGTGCTCGGCTGCAAAAACGAAAACATTTGGTTTAGAAAGAGCAGCGAGACAATAGAGAGGAGAGTAGAAAAAGGGGAAGAAACAGAGTAGTCGGTTGAACTTGTGTCAAGCGAATCATGCAATTTGCGGAAACCAGTGCCCACTTATGTGCTGCTTTCTCACATTGTCTTTGAGCACTGAAAGCAAACGCATTTGAGAGAAAAAGAGGGGTTTTGTCTGGAGAGATAGGGACACCTCTGTCTTCTGGAAAGTTTAATTAAAGCCGCCTGAGCCAAAAAGGGGGTCCACACATCAAATGACATCCGGAAAATGAAAAGGAAAAGGAGAAGAGAAAGCGGGAGTGCGTTAGCATCGATTTCACATCACAATGCCCCATTGGGGAATTCCCAACAAAAGAGCCAAAAGGGTTCTTTGTATGTGTTGCCGTTCCAAAAAAAGATGGCCTCCGACGTCATCGGAGCTGCCTCGAGCAGTAAGCCAAACTCATCAATCTGTATCCGATTATGCAAATCAACAAGCCAGATTGGGTGGGGAACGTCCACGGGTTCGAATAAAATGAAAGGAAAGAAGAAGACGAAGAAAAAGGAGAAAAAAAACAAAAAAGAAGGTTGTGGCGTAGTTTTTTGTCAGAGGATTAGACTTTTGGCAGATTATGGTTGAACGAGTTTGCGGAAATTGAAAAGGGTCTGAGGTTGTGAATCGAAACTCATGTACCAGAAAAAAGTTGTTTTCTGAGCAACCGCAAACTTGGAACGCTCAAATCTCGAATCTGTCAACTCAAAATTTAAAATGAATGACTCCGTGAGAATCAAAAATCTAGAAGTTCACAACAGCATGAGCAGTCGGTAATCAGTTTGTAGAGTTGGAAGGTCCAAAGCGAACGTCAGATCCTCTGTCTCGTGCGGTTGACATATGGTTATGCAAATGAGAAAATAGACGAAAGGATGATGGTCCGAACTGAGTGGTGACGAAACACGAGCTCATTTTATGAGGAGGAACCAACATTTGCGGCACAAATGGAAAATACATGGTGTCGCGACAGCTGCCCCCGTCCGGGCTTCTTGGAGCCGACCTCCCGGGGCCTCAGTACGAAATTATCGGACGAGAATGGGACTCGGGAGCTATACAACACAAAGATATGGGGGCCGAAGCGAAAAGGACAAGAAGACGGAGAAGATGCACCAGAATTAGAATGGATAGGGTTAACTCTTTGCAAGAGAGAAACGACGACGGCCCTTTGTTGCCCTTTTTGTGTTCGTTGATGTGTTGTTTCGGAAGCTTCTTACGGAAATTGGAAAAGGAGCAGATGCACGACGAGATTGGGCTATAAATCAGGGCCAATAAAGGAAGTTGGCTATTTCACGGGATCACGAGAATGCATGACATGCGGATATTGACACCGGGGACAAGGGCAAACGTTTTGGAGTGAGTGGAAAGAGCAATAATGGCTTTTTGAGTGGGAATAGACAATAACAAGTGCAGAGGGAAAAACAAGAGAAAAATGATGAAACAGAGGAGGAGGAGGAACACAACAAAAAAGGATTAGATAGATGCAAAGAAGTCTTTATAAACTATACATGTTCCCAAAGTCTTCGGGGAGTTGTACATACATAGTTGGCAACAAAAAATAAATGCTCGGTGTGAAATCTATACATATCAGTTTACAAAAAAAACTCTTGACCAATGACAAATAAGAGAAAATGGAAGAGAGGAAAGTGAAAGAAAAACGAAAGAAACAGCCTCACTTTTCATCAAATTTCACATTTCTTCTCTTCTTTTTTTGAAGCGGGAGCCGACTTACGACCTCCACAAATTGGCTAAACGTGCCCTGGGGCAGTTTGAAACCCAGAATTATGGTAATTGTGAGGAAGGGAAAGAGATGGGAAGAGAAAAAACTGGACTAGTGAGCTCTATTGGAAAACAAAAGTATTCGAGAAAAATGAGTTCAGAAAATTGAGAAAAATGACAAAACTGCACAGTTTCCAGCCAAACACGGGATTTTGAACATCTTCGGCCTGCGGATCAGATTATCCTTCTTGTATCTGAAAAAATTAAGTTTTAAAATTGACGCAAAGATATAAGTTTCTAGAAACATTGTCCAAGTCACGGTTCTCCATTCTTTGGACAGGCTCACGATTAAAGTTAATCTATGTATAAAAATTTAACTGAAAATGACTAATTTGATAAGTTTTTGAGGCATTCAAGGCTCGAGGTCATTTTTTCAAAAATTCAAGACATCATACTTCCGATTATTCTCTCTTCCACTTCTCAGAAACCTCTTGAAGTAGACTTCCTCAGAAACTGCTTCACAAAGATGTTTGAATTTCTTGAAAAAATGGAAAAGTCCCGAAAAACGGCTGCGTCACACCATCACGATCGTTTTCTGCTGTGTACGTCGTCTTAGAGATGTTATCGTCTAAAAAGGTATTAGAAGAAAATCACTCTCAAACTGTCATTGTCAACATTTTCGTTCGAACATTGCCCGGTTCGGTTGCTATTCTCGGGTTATGTTTTAATTGATTCTCGTCCGACTGTTTTCAATTGCTTTACAATAGTTGTGCTTACCAAACAAAATTTGAAAATGTAAATACGGTATTCTAAGCACATGTTTTCCAAAATCAACCATAGGTGTTCAACTTTTCTATTCACCATACCTCAACCGTAAAACCGTTACGTCACTCCGTTCTTCTGTTCTATCTCACCCGAGACCGTGGCGGAAAAGCGTTCCAAAGGGCTCTTCCCGTCCGTCATGCTGCTGCCGATGCACCATATGAACTGCTCTTGAGCTCATGTTTATACAGTCGTGCTCTTTCACTTCACTCTCTCTCTCTCTCTCTCTCTCTCTCTGTCTCTGTCTCATCGTTATGAACGCTGCCGTTTGGACCGTCTTCTGCCGTGTTTTCGTCCTTCCGCCAATTTGCTGTGTCCTCGGCCTCGAAAGGGAAGACGAAGTCATCTGGCAAGTGGTAACAAAGTGAGGATCGGCGGGAGAATTTGATTCCGCCCGCCCAGCTGCGACCGTCTAGTTTTTGGCACTTCCTTACCGTTCGTCAGATGCCATGTATCGTGTTTCCGTCTGTCTGCGCATCGCAATTACACTTCATCCGTCAAAAAACGTATTTCTCACTCGTTGTGTTTCTAGCTGAAAGCTCATGTCGGCAGACACTTCACTCACTTCCGAAAACCATTCAACCTTTTCTACCATCTTGACTTTCACTCGTGTCATTGAAACTATCAAGGTGAAATATTTGTTGAAAAAATGAGTATTTTAGTGACACTTTGAAAAAACTAGAATGGCTGAAATGCTGTCAAAACGTTGTCGCCATGATAATCAGTTATTGACTGTTTACTCTTCAAACACCTTCGTTTTTATCACTCTCCTCTCTTTCCAAGCTCTTTTTCACATCGTATTTTAGTCTACTACTTTTCTATTTGAACTATAAATCGGAATGATCTGTTCACCATGGTAAGTTGGATATTTTAGAATGTAAACGGTTTGAAACCACGCAAGTTTTCTGTGCTAAATTTTAAGTGCAGACAAACTTTAGAGGTGTTAGCAAAATCTTCTCAGTTATTTCTCCGTTTATATAGCTGTTCTTGTGAATAAGATACATAAACAATTGTCGAAACGGACGCACTAAACCATCAAATCTGTGCACCAGCTGGTACCTCTTCACAGCGTCGGTATGGTGCTTGCGTCTGCGTCTCTTCCCCCTCTTTCCCTTACACCATTCACCAGTAGAACCGGCAAATTCAAATTGTGTTGGCTAGTTGGCGCCGTTTGATTTATTAGTTTCGACCAAACCTTGCGTTTTCCTTAATTTCATTTGGAACCAGTGTGACTCATTTATGAGAAACAGACATCACAACTTGAGCCGTGTTTTTCAAATTAGGCAAAGCAAAGGGAAGTAAGTACCCACCCCAAGTCCACTCATCTCTTCTCTCCTCTCCTCTCCGTTCTTTCTTTCTTCCTGTTGCGCGTTCTGCAGAAAACGACGAGGAACAGTTGCAAAGTGAAGCCAATCACCTGGTTTTCATATTGTTCATATCAGTGTTAGTGATGGCTTCCTTCCCCTCCAGGACCGGAGACCACAAAACCGGTCCATTTCATTCAAATCATTTCGGTTGGATTGGATGAAGCACCCCGCTCCTTAAAAGTGAAACTGAATCCCACAACCGACTTCTTCGATCACTTTCCCACACCTTTTTACGATGTGTTGTGTTGAGAATGTTGTGTATGTGTGTGTGTGTGTGTATGCGTGCGACCTATGCAAATTCTTTATCCGTTCGCAAAATCTCTCTGCGTTTATTAATATCGCGTGCACTTTGTCGAGATGACAACGATGAAGAATAAGAACGGGCCCCAATTCGAGGACAGTATATTCTTGCGCCGGGACATCAGGAGGGTTTAGGGACACCGAACCGATCTAGGTCTTCCGTTGCTTTTTATCTCAGGAATGAACGAGTGGCGGCGCGATGAACATATCCACTCACGGTCAAACGTCTTCTCCTCCTTTTCATATGAGTAATTAGATTCGGTTGTTGTTGCCATTAGTGGATGTGGGTGCGTGCCATACTTGTAACTATTACCGAATGAAAGTGACAAGAACATTGTCCTTACTTTGGCTAAAATGAATGCTTCTGTTGTTTTCCTTTTCCCATCTTTCGCCAAAGTTATTTTTATAACTCACTCCCCATTTTTCACGAGCCATTTCTTGTTTTTTAATCGGTTTTCTGCCCACGAAGGGATTTCTGTTATAATGGCATATTGAGAAAAAAAGTGAAACAAATCTCATAATCTGATTTACTTTCAAAATCAGCTGATTGCAAGCAGGGATGTACGGAAATGTTAGAAATTAGCAAAACCCCTGATTGCAACCATAGTAACTTCAGATTAACAGTATTTCGTAATGAGAAAATGCAGAATCCACCCCCACACCCTTCGATTTCACAATCCGCGTGCGGTGTGGAAACTGGCGATTCAGTGTTGTGTTGTCTTTGGCTCCAGCTCGAGCTCAAACAACGTGCCTCCTGTTTCGACTCGTGTAATCCTTCTCGCCCGCCATCCGACTCTCGGTCAGTGTCGATCACACGGTGCACGGAGGAACGGACGCTTCGTTTGTAAGCCGCGCCGCCGCCTTCACCCAAGCGCCACTCGCTTTTCCGTTTGTGCCCGGCCTCGGCTCAAATCCTTCTTCTCTGCCTCCTCGCTTGTCCTATTGTTTTTAAAACTGTATGTCCTGCAAACAAATCGTGTTTACAGGCAGGATGCTCGTCCGCATCCACCTCATCGGGGACTGCCGCCGCGCGCCCGCGGGAGTTGCCTGCTCGAATGAACTTTTCTTCTCGCTCTCTCTCTCTCTCTCTCTTCCCGCCCCTCCATGTTCGTTTGTTCAACTCATTGTCAGCTCTATTTCCTTTTCTGTTTTTGGGAGGGCTCTCTGCGCGCGCAAATGTGATTCTTCCGCGCAAAAAAACGGCTGCTCACCGAGAAAAGCGAACAATTAACACAACAAGACATCGAATTGTCCTGTTGTTTTCTCGTCCAAGATCTCGTCTTCGTTTCTTTTTCTGTTTCAAATATTGAGTTCCTCTTCAGTTTTGTGTATGTATTAGTCATCTAGGAAGCATTCGTCTCATATCTGTTCCTGGCACCTCCTACAAGTTCGATTGTGAAGGCCTTGACACAACTTCTTCTACCTATCAATTTCCGTACGATCGCAATGTCCCCTTTGACCGATTTGCCCGAAAAAAGTCTGGCGTCCGTCGTCACAACGCTCCCGAACAAAGGACCACTTATCTTATTTGTTTGCCATTGGTTCTCGGTTTACACTTTTTCATCTTTGTTCATTTTCATTTTGGGTCAGATGGGGTAATACTAAACGCAAATTTTCTTTTTTTTTTTGCAAAACTTGATCCGACCGCTCATGCAGTTCTGGTCTTGGTCAGTCATAAATATTCTCACATAGCAACACTTGGCTTTTTCGGTTTTTAGCGCCGGGAGGCGAACCTGCCGGCTCCAAAATCAGGTCATTTAGTGGCGGTTTAGTGTTTGCATAAGTGCGCCGAAGGACGATTAGGCGTACTGTTCCCCTCTCTTCCGACCCACCTCCGAACATTTTCAATTTTAATATTCTGGCTTTCCGGGCTCTTCTCGTCATGCATCATTCACTTTCGTGATATTCCATCCATATTTGTATATCCGAACATGTTTACGAGGAAAGGTGAAGGACAACGTCTAATTATCCGGGATTATCCGTATGGACAGAGCATGAATTTCCAATTTCTGATTTCCAATCGCACACCTACATTCTTGGTCCTTAGACCAATAAATTGTACAAACCGACCAGGCACATCGAGAGTTTCACAGCGTCGGCTGATAATTGCAAAACATTTCCTTATCGTCTCTCTCCACCCTCCTTTCCGTCGCATTCCTTACTGCTCAATCACCATTCATTCTCAACAATTCCGACGCACTTTCCATCACCTTTTTATTAACTTTCTTGCAGCATGGCCGCTGACGTGTTGGCACCCGGATTTTGGGAAGTTGGAAGCTACAAGCACAACGTGAAACGATTCAAGGTATGAATAGTTGGATGAATGCAAAGGGCTAAGCCATCCTCCTCTTTTCTCGCTTTTCTTCTCAAAGACTGCCGCGCCCGATGGCAGGTTGCACAATTGCGCATCCTTGAAATTGGAATAAATATTTCCTGCGCATTGTTTGAGAAAAAGAACAGAGAGTGAGAGCGAAAATCAACTTTTGTTCAGGATGGAGTCGAGCAACTGGATGATTACTGCAAAATGAGCAGGGAAAGAGCTGAAATCGAGGCAAAGTACAGTAAGATGCTCTCGCAACATGCCGAAAAATGGCGTGCTCATGTCGACCGCACGGTGTCTGCCGGTTCCGTCAAGACCGTATGGAACGAGCTCATCGGAGAGGCGGCTGCTCTTTCCAGAGTTCACAATGGACTCAAGGATCATTTGATCGAAGACGTAAGTGAATTTTGTGGTTCTTCAGTACTTATTATTTGTGTTCCAGGTCGTAAACGAGACAACTACCTTCCGAAAAAACAGTTTGCACACTTCTGTCTTCAAAGGTCCCAAAGAGATTCGAGAGATTGAGGATCATTTTGAAAAGGTAAAAGGCGTTTCGATGACGTTATTCTCCTTCGTCATTTCATTATATGCATCCCCGCCCCGCCGCCAACCCTTTTGTTTGCGATTACCTCTCGCACTGCATATATTAAATGTTGATATTTATATTTATGATTAAACTTCGAGTACTAATGCGTTAAAGTGAAAATCTTTCAGGCGCAAAAGCCGTGGAAGAAGTTGGTTGATAAGATGGAGGATAAGCGCACCAAGTATTATAATGTGTGCCGACAAGAGAAATCGGCGCTTGTAAACTTGCAAAATAGCCAGGTAAGAGGCATTCCGAATGAGCGTTTGGGGTACAATGAGATCAGAGCTGGGAAAAAGGCCGGCCCAGGCTTCTTGAACTTGGATTGAAGTATCCTGAGTTCAACTGGTCCGGGGATATATGTATGGATCACAATTTTCGCGACAACCCGGCCTTTTTAGCCCCTAATTAGTATATCTCCGTACCAGATGATCCGATCTATCTGAAACTTGGATGCAAGATACTTCAAATCAGAGATTAAAGTATTTTGCAAATGAGACTGTGCTAGAACCCTGTTCAAAAGTACCGAGTACGTGCATTTTCAGACGGACACTTCTGTGTCGCTAGACGCCGCCACAAAGTTCCGCGAGCGTCACGAAAAGTTGAAGGAAGAAGTGCAGAGAACAAAAATCGACTATCAGAAGACGTTGACAAACCTGAACGAGTACAAGTGAGTGTAAAGTGAAGAACAGAGACGTTGTGTGTTGTGACCTCTCCGACGTTGTGTTCTCGTTTTAATGATAAAAACAATTGATATATTTTTTATCTGATGTCTGAAGGGCAGCACGGTCGAGTGTTCTGTCCTCTGGTGATGATCATTTGATTTCAGAAATGTCTACATGGAAGCGATGGCTCATGTGTTCAAAATGTGTCAAGAGAAGGAAATGGATCGATCTCAAGTTTTGATCAAAATTGTTCAGAAGACGCAGAAGTATCACGCAGAACTGATCAGAAGCAGCCAGTAAGGAGACGAATATTTCAAGTTTTGTTTTCATTCTGTGCTTTCAGAATGTCCGGACTTCATCAGCAACTCGAGCAGACTATCCGATCGGCTGACAGTGAATCTATAAAACGAGATTTGGCACAATGGTCGAGGGTCAATGGAGTGGATGCGTCATCGGACTGGCCTAGCTTTGTGGAATACTCCCCAGAAATCCGAAACATTGCTGCTCGTGGAGGCTCCACGAAAGATGCGGCTGGAGGAGTGATTCTAACACGACAAATCAACAGAAGTGAGGACATTCCAACAACTGCCTCGAACACGCTGCCCTCAGTCGCTGTCAACACTGCTTCCACCAACGATGATGTAGGCAAGAGCAGCCCGAAGGTAACGGTCTTCTTGATTTGCCAGTTCCTGAACATTTTTCTGTAATTTCAGAGCAGCAGCGACTCGGACACGAGCACCTTTGATAGCCGAAAGCACAATTCAACCACTAGCAAGTACAAGGGCCAAACGCAACATACCACGCAGATCCAGCCACCGCCAGTCGGATGGAATCCATCGGATGGTCCAGATTCGCCGCCGCTATCCACAGAAACACCTGATTCCGCAAAGTATGGCGATTTCGAGGAGTACACGACCAGTAAACCAGCAGTCGTCTTGTACGATTACGCACCGGCAGAGGGGGACGAGATTGCTTTGAGGAAAGGTGAAATGATTGAGGTGCTCACGGAGCCGGACTCTCTTGGATGGTGCACTGGAAGGTCGAATGGAAACGTAAGTTCTTATGGTCAAACTTTTAATAAATCTCAAGCTTAGGTTGGTCTGTTCCCGGCGAGCTACGTGCAATGCCAATCGGAGAAGGCCTAAAGCTATTCAAAGTAATCCTATTGAATTATTCAGTAATTTATGAACTTAACACCTATTCCCTCCAACAATCATTCGGTGTTTTTGACCATTCTCTGTGTTGTCATTCAGCCTCCATATTCTTCTTTTTCCTTTTTCTCCTTTCTTCTACATACAATTCGATACCGTACTTTGTCCTTATCATTCATTATCTATCAAACCCACACAGTTCTGCATTGATAATACGTATTTTATTTTGTAAATAAAGTACATTACACATTAGTTCGAAAAGTATATGAAGAAGGTTAACAATATTGTGAAAAATGAGTAGACCTCGGTTAGATGTGTTCAGTTTGTTTGAAACATGTAGAAGATGAGATGCTGTCATCTTGTCTCATAGAAGGTTTCTACCAAATGACCAACATGATCAAGCAGGAAATCGGCTTTGTGTAAGTGATCTCTGCAACCGACACCTGACAGCACACCGACCGCCGCTCCAAGTTCAGCATTGTGGGCCATTTCCATGTCTACTCGCGTGTCTCCGACCATGATAGCTTTCTGAAATTATTCTGTTTATGCACAGTATTTATTCGATTCGAACCGCTGGCTCTAATCCCAAGTACCGGCAGATTTTCAGCGCGTTGTGGGGACTCGGTTTCGGGATCGTGTTCTTGTCATCTCCGCAAACAACCATATCGACCATATTCATGACGTTCATACGTTTCAAAGCTAGCAACGAACTTTTCCTGAAACAATTGAATTTTGAAATTAGTATGACGCGAAACACATGCTACCTGTTGTCAGCAGTACAGACTGCAATCTTTGTGCCATGTTGCTTGAGACGAGTGAAAAGGGCCACGGTGTCGGAAAGTTCTTTGACGAGCTCGTTGGCAATGATCTTCTCACTTGACTGTTTCAGTGAATTTATAGCCAGTTCTTTGGCCTGAAATACTTTTTTCCGAAATTAGAAGAAAACGCTGAAATTGGTAACCTCTACAGATCGAATTCCACTCTCCATAAGATGTGTTGATATCTCGTGAGCAATCTGGCCAGTTGTGCCTTCCGCGAGAAGCCCTGGTTTTACCTGAACGTACATCTGTGTTGTTTAAATAATCCGTGAATGCTACCTTGTTTTCGACGAGGCACAGTCCAAGCGCTTCTGCGAGTTTTGGATACAATTCCAGTTGTGTTGAATTTTCAATGCTGAAGAAACAACCATGTCTCTTCTTCACATGATACTGTCTCTTTATTTTTCAAGAAAGAACTGGAGTATTCCACAATCATGAGAGACTGTCATGGACATGACCACCTTTAAAAGTATCCCTGATGACGTGAGAGATCATCAATGATCAGAATACTTTGTTCCAAAGAAATCTGAACATTTTTGCAAACACATGTAGTGATAACCAGCAAGAGTAGAAAGCAAAACACATGTGACTATGGTATTCAAAATGAAGATCTGGTAGTAAACATCTTTCTAGAGTCTTTGATCTTCAGATCTGACTGATAAGAAAACTACGGTATGGTACAAAGTTTACCTTTCAATTGCATGTTTGATCCATGGAACCCACATGGTGTGGAAGCACAAAAGAGTTCCATCCTTGTCGAAGATTACCAGAGATGGAGACTCGTAATTCTCGCTACCGACAGAGGCAAATTCCCGAGTCTTACGGTAGTTTGTGGATACCGAGCTGGATCTTGCTTGTGGCTTTGCAGATAGCAGAGAGGGACCACTCTTGATGGAAGACGCAAGAAGAGCTCCAGTTCTAGTGGCAAACATTCCTGAAACCATGTAAATCCGTTCATGAACTGTTCTGAGAACGTAATAAGAAGAGAGAAAGAGACAGTTTGAAACCCCAGGTATCAAAAACAACAATCAATCAAGTACAAAGACAATTGAAGAAACGGGGAGGCTTTTAAAGTGTAGACCCATCTGTACCGTCCTCCCCTCTTCGTTTTCGTTCCCGCCCCAAGACCGGTATAACAGTTTGTCTTCTTTTCCTTCTCTTGTGCTATTTCAACGACAAAATCTGCGTTTACTATCGGCCAGCAGATAAACTTTCGCCGCCATTATCACTTTGGTAGAACAGAATCGATGGTGTCTTTGGGTACAAAAAGTGCTGGGCAATAAAAGGAGATGGTTCGAGAGAACGTTTGATAACAAACCTAGAACAATGAAACTTGGTAACATGTCAAAGTTCTGCTTTCTTAAACACGCCAGACTTTGGTTGGGATGTTTTTTGAAAGATGATGAAATAACTACAGTACTCATCGCTATCACAGAAACAACCAATTTTCACGATGATTTACGTTTATGTGTTTTCTGCAAAATGTGGATTCGTTGATAACTAAAAGCCAGTTTTCGAGATCAAACTAATAAATCATTAAAACTTCATGAAGGTAAAGAACCATCACAAAAAGCAGTCGTTACAGCGTGTCAGACATGAACGTCAGTTCGCCTTTATACCCGTCTGGTGGAGTCACAATTCCGTGTTCTGATTTATCCAAGATGGAATTCCGTCTGTCGAAGACATTGGAAGATGGAACCTAGACCTGACGGCTGATATGAGTGTCACTTGTTTGGTGAAGAATCATAACAATTTCCCAAATAAGCTGAAGACAGAACACACATTGTACACTGAACGAAGTTTTGAAGAAACAATACCTTTTTGTATTTACGGAAACCGCATACATAGCACATGTCTGATATCCGAGTCTAATCAATAATTTCAGAATGCTACTACATCTTCCATAGATTCGTATAATGGAATTTTCCCAGAAAGTCATGGTACCAGGCTTTTTTTGGAATTGCAGCTTAGATTCACTATTAGACTGTCCGAACCGATACGAGTAATTGCATATTCACTATGACACCAATGTTGTCTCAACACCCGCCGTCGCACAAACACTCGCTCACTCTCTTCATTCCGTTACTACCCTCGTGTGTGTGTGTGTATTTCGGTCTTTCTCTTCTCACTCTTTCTCTCTGTTTTGCTTTCCATCACATCTAAAGCTTCATTCGTCACTTTCGTAGCTTCGAAGTGATATGCAAATCCTTTTTGTCAAAATCCTTGGATGTGGATCAGGGGCATAGAAACTTCAAATATATTGCATCATTTGTTCCTGTGCACATGTTCATCGAAACAGGTTGGACTTATATCGGCTAATCATTAAGCATATTTTTGTTTTCACAGACCAAATTATCATGTAACTAAACATTTTAGGATTTTTTTCAATTCTATTTCTCAAAAATAGTCCAAATAGCTTTTATGCTTACAGAAAACCGTTTTTTTTCCACAGTTTTTGGCCGTCAATACCTTTGTTGTCATAAGATTCACTACACTTGTTCCGATGCGTCGCGTGCGCGTTGCGGTCGATTCCTGAGTCGCATAATAGATTTTCGCGCGGCCACTCACCCGAAAATCCGATTTTCGGCTATAATTCTCTCTATTCCTTGCTACAAGCAAAAATTCTGAGAAAATGTGATCATTTGTAGGTAAACCACTATTCTGATGGCTCGCACCAAGCAAACCGCTCGTAAATCGACTGGAGGAAAGGCTCCGCGCAAGCAACTCGCCACCAAGGTAACATTTCAACTTTATTGATTAGAAATAAACGTTTTATTTTTAACATGAGACGAGCTGCTCAAAAATATAATGTATCACGGTGAACTCTTTCAGGCTGCTCGTAAATCGGCTCCAACTACCGGAGGAGTCAAGAAACCGCATCGCTACCGTCCAGGAACCGTTGCTCTCCGTGAGATTCGTCGTTACCAAAAGTCGACCGAGCTCCTCATCCGCAAGCTCCCATTCCAACGTCTTGTTCGTGAAATCGGTAAACCACATACACGCCTCCAATTTCCAAAATGATGGTTTTTAGCTCAAGATTTCAAGACCGATCTCCGATTCCAATCGGCCGCTGTCGGAGCTCTTCAAGAGGCCTCGGAGGCCTACCTCGTCGGTCTTTTCGAAGACACCAACTTGTGCGCCATCCACGCCAAACGCGTCACCATCATGCCGAAGGACATCCAACTGGCGCGCCGCATCCGTGGAGAGCGTGCTTGAACATCCAACCTTTCATAAACTCGAACAGATGGTCGTCATACCTTTGTTACTTTAATAAATCTCACTCTCAATCCGAATTAGTTTTTTTAATTTCTGATGACTAAACACAATAATCGGATGACGACTCTCGTTCTCGTTCTCTGTATTCCGCAAGAGTTTATGTGTCTTTTTTATTCGGATAAATGAACACCAAAGAAAAATAATAAATAATACATCCATTACAGATTGAACATTCACATAGAAGGTGGTTTCATTGTAAAGGTCATCGAAAAAGAGTCGGTTTGAATGAGCATAAGATCAGTAATAAGCGGATGGAATGATTTGAGGGAACTTTTGCTTACCTACTGAAGTGTGCCCGACCGAAGAAAGATGCATAGACAATAAATATTAAGGAGATTCGAGAGACTTAGAGAGAATAATAGAGACAAAGACAGAGAACATTACTAAAGCTACTGAAAGAGATTGTCTTTCCCAAAAGAAAAAGACATTACTAACACCCAAAAGTTCAAGAAGCACACGGAAAAGCCGTGATGGCTTGTATGCCAAGTGAACTTTCGGCAGTCTAAGAGACAGAAACAGAGACAAAGTTTTACAAGAGTCAAGTTAGTTTAGGTTTAGTTATAAGGGAATGGGGATTCCAAATCTAACAATTATGAAACTATTTTAGTTAAATAGGCTGATGCCGTAAAATTAATGAATAGCATCAGAGTTCATATTTGTTGTTACAGAAAAAATTCAACTAACTACGTTCTTTTTTTGGGTTTTCTGGGGTAAATTTGTTTTGGGTTATTCACATTACATGTTTTTTCGGTTTCACAATAAGACATAACCAAAGGAGAACTGATAATATTTTTGGGTAGGAAGAAATTAAAGTTCATGACACATGCAATGATGAAATTATTCCATGACAATTCTGCCTTTACTTTTGAGTCAGTACTTTGAAAGTGATAAGAGTAGGAAAATGAGAACGTGAGAGCACCGGTATAAAACATTTGAACTGTACCATTAGAGTTTGGGGAAACCTTTTTACCCTGTTTTGTCACCGATACAAATACTAAAAAACATGGCGCTTAATGACTTTTTGAGTGATACGCTGTTTCTGCGGGAACTCCGATACGATCCGGCACAGAAACAGATGGAGTTGGGAGATTTCGCTGTCTGCTCAACCAGCTTTGCTGAACTTAAAGCTCGTTAACCATTTATGATGAAAAAACTCCGATACATTTCCAAATCTCAGCAGAATGACACCGTACAAGTGAGGTTCTGGATTACTCCAGCAGCACTGTAGCGTCAGATATTGCATGCTACAGTGAGTCGTCATCTGATGAATCGATGGTAGTGATTTTTCAAATGACGATGAACACACCAGTGGCATGCTCCTCTGGGGACTGTTGATAGATTTTCTGTTTTGGCTGCTGCTCTTTTCGTCCCTTTGCAAATGTTAAACGCATAGTTGTGAAAGTTCCAACCAAAGCATATAATCATATCACAGTCTCCAGAGCCTCCGCGTGGAAGCGGAGACCCACCCTGTCCACCCACATGACACTGGTCTTGTACGGTTTATTTTTGCTGACAGTTCAACGCACCAGCGCTTTTCTTTCCTCACAGTAAATGGTTTGGTTTTGCAGACACACCCAAATTCAGTACAGTCATTCATTTCAAACGGTTGCTCTCATACCTAATGCTCATTTGTACTAACTCTTGGCAATTGGCAAAATGCTCTCTAGAATTATTATCACATCACAGAGCGTCACAATACTGGGTAGCAATACGTAGAAAGGAAACGTTATACAAAATGGAATGGATATTGAGAAGACAGTACACAGACACTGACACATCACAAAATGAACGGAACGTGGCTAGAACCACCAGAACCGTTTCTTCGGCCGCAGAGCTTTCTGAGCCTCGCGCTCCGCTTCCTTCGCTTTTCTCTGCTCCTCCATTTCCTTCTCATGCTGCAGCAACGCCGATCGTGTGTACTGTCTCAACTCCATCTTTTCCTTCCGGAGCAGACGAGCCGCGCGCAGACGTTGCCAGCACGGATTTTGGCTCTCCCGGTTGATGGAACGGCGGAGTGGCGGCTCGAAGACTTCAATGCGGGAGCCGTCCATGATCTCCCAGTTTCTTTGCTGAATGGTCCGATCTGGCTTGAAGCGGACGACGCATTGGAAGAAACGGAATGGCCATTGGCTGAACAAAAAACGGATGCTCATGGGTAAATATGGATGAAAGGTTGCTCACAATGAGAAGAAGGCGTAAACGATGAAGTATTTTGCGGTGTGGCGGATGGAATAAAGAGCATCCGCAGAGCGAACAATCTGAAACGAACAGTTCATCAATTGTGCATGATTTATTGCAATGTACCGCATGAGTTACTTCGAGAGCAACGGTGAAGTCATCCAAGCGTTCCGGCTGAAAAATAAAAAATTAGATTGTACAGATGTCTTACTTCTCTTCCCTCTCTCCCTTTCTCTCTCTCTCTCTCTCTTTCTCTCCTCGCTCATAGCTTACCTTAATGCCCGGAATATCCTCCGCACGGCATCTCAAGTCGATAATCTGGATTCCGAAAGTATCCAGATACTGGTTCATCACGCGGAACAAGTCGATGGGGTACTCCGGCAGATCGACGATATCCTTGAAGTAGCCGCTGAACGGAACTCCAATGACTGGTTCACGGCAGTTGACCACTGGGATCGTGTGGATGCGGGCGAGGTTACGATGCATCACCGCGACGACTTCCGACATTTTGAAGTTCTTTCTGTTGGCGAACGACTGAAAATGTGATAGTAGAACGTTTTGAAGCACAACACCCATCAGTTACCCCTTCGGAAGCCTGGATGTACGCTTGTTTCAACGTGAGACTCTTCTGAAATAAGAAAACTGATGTCATATCTGATAACCTAGGCCTATTACGTGTTCTTTCTCATACAAGGACTTTCTGCGTCGGCTTTCTTCTAGAGACAGCTCATAGAGGAAGTCTTTGACCATTTCATCCACTTGCATGTGGCCGACGCCATCGACGTCCTTGCAATCCGAAATCTCGGGGTTCAGACGGGAGCTTCCAAAGAATTTCATGATCTCGATCTCGTTGGTCTGATGAACCATCAAAAACGGTTTGAGCGGCGACTAAAAAAATGAAAAAAATCTCTCAAAGAATCAGTTATGTGAGCCCTTACCCCTCCTTTCAGTTTGAAAGAGTAGTTCTTGCTTGGCTGGGTCACTTTGTGGATGACCTTGCTGAGCATCTCATTTTGCTCAGTGTTCAGTCCGGTTGTTTTGATCAGAGGAAACTTCTCCACCCCGAACAACTTCGGGAACATCCACTCTAAGATCTTAGTGGTACGGGTCTTCTTCGTTTGTTTTCTTCTCAACATCTTTCTTCTCATAAAGTCCTCACGGACGGCTCTTTTGAAGCGTCTGACCTGCTCCATGCTGACAGTATTAACAGCACGCTCAACGAGTGACTTCTGTTCACCGCTTCCATATACAGGCAACGCATGAGGGTTCAGCGAGAGACCCACGACCGCCTCATTCACCTGAATGAAGGAAAATGAACAGAGTGGAACTGCCTATTCATAATATAGCCGCTTTCAAGAGAACCCTTTTCTTTGGAAAATTCTTAAAGATCAGTGAACACACTGAAATTGTCCACTCCAACAACAAAAACACGACATTTGTCGCCGAAAAACTGTCTAGCCAAATAATAAAGGACTGTCTGCTCGCACCAAATATTGTAGCTGTCTACAAAAACATAGCAAGGACGGTTATTCCCCAATTCGTGCAAAAACGTAGTAGAAAAACAAAAGTAGAAACGGAAAAAGATGATTAATACAATGAGCTTCATTATTAGGCTCGTCAACTTTTCGCAGTTGTAGTTACCAATTGACTATTATGGCTTTTTTTATGCGGAAAACAATTGAGAAAGACTGTTAAAGAAATTGAAATAACACGAAATGAATCAGGCCCCAAAATCTATTAAGACACCCGTCGGCCACCGCTCCCCATAAAGCCCACAATTGTAAAGTCTAGACGTCAAAAATGTGTTCTTTGCAGCCGGGGTGAGACGCTATTAATTCCAGAACAAGACACACTTTCTCGGAAACATTGTGCGTGCCACATTTCATGGGTTTGATTTTGAACTTCTAGTTTCCGCAGAACCCTCTTCCAACTTACAGTTTTACCCTCTCTCCCTTCTTCTCTTACCAGCTGAGCATTGCCGTCCTCGTAATATGGGATGGTCGAGTTGCGTTGAGCAGCCGAGTTATTTCTGATCTTTGGCCCGAAGAGCACCGAGATGTCGTCGCTGTTTTCGCGAGGCTGGCGGGAAAATTGAGAACCCATCTGGAAGAGTACACATCAAAACTTCTGCTTAAGTTTAAGTTAGCTATACCTTGTCGAGACTTCAAGAAACTGTGATGACCAAGTTTTGAGACGGAAAGGCGACTGGTGTCGGTGAATGAGCTAAGAATGAAAATTTGAAGAATGGAAAAGGGGGCGGGAAGGGTCCTGCGCCAGCTCCGCCCAAAGGATTGTGCACTAATCACGCCCCTTGCGAGAGTACGGTGGGTCCGAGAGAATGTAGTTGGTGAGGAAGAGAAAGATGTTGTCAGAATAGGACACAAGACAGATGGCACGAAACTGTGTTGTCCGATTGCTCCGCTCAATTGAAGCGGAATGGCAGAAGAGAGCTAATGCGAGAAACTAGATGGGAAAGTATGAGAAAAGGATGATAATGCTTTTTTTAAAAAGTAATGCTTGTGCCAATTACTATTTTGAGAATAGAGCTTTGGTTAAAGTACATTGATTTCAAGAGTTCATGAGTCAAAACATCTCGAGCGTTTTGGAAAAGTGACAAATCCTGGTTGCTCACTCAGTCAGTTCTATTTTATAAAACAAACATTTCAGGACAGAAAAGTCATAATTTTTGATGATGGTCATAAACTGGAACGGTTGTCGGTATTCGGTCTGACACCAAATATTACATAGACCGGTTTTTGACGATGGGAACTGAAACTGGTTTGAGTCGAGGATCTTTGGCCTGTTTCAGCTTGATTTGATTATCTGAGCTGGACATATACACTACACTTAGCTCTTAATTCTCTCAACGTTTAGGGATTTTCGGCTTTCCTTCAATACATCACCAGTTAATCCAATCTGCTAGAACTTTGACTAAAAATAATACTCAATTCCTAGGGTAACAATCGTTCAAAGTGACAGTCCTAATTGGAGATTCCGGCTACTGTAGGTCTAAAGTAATAAGCCTTAGAAGCGGAGTCTTGCCATCACTGCTAGTCTTAAAGAGCGGTTGTTTAAGGAACACTTTCCGAGACTTTAAAAAGTTTATCCAAAGAATCTCACGCCAAAGTTCATGAGAACGAACGTCTAGCCGATCTCCAGATGAATGGTTATCACGTTTTCCAGTTCACTAACTCTATGTTTCCGTTAATCTTTTTCATCAGAGATTACAACTCTAGACGTGCCCGAAAAATAGTCTAGACAACTTCGACAACTCAACGTTTTTTTCTTTCAGCTGGAAAAATGTATAGTCGTTAGTTCGCGTTTAATCCTCTTTCAGAGGCACATGAATTTGTATGATAAAAAACAAAAATTTGTAGAGATGTATAGCGGTGCGAAGGGTAACACCACAAACTCTGATTCTGACGCATGAAGCAGAAAGAGTATACGGTAGGTACTTTCGCGTTACGACGCTTGTCGGACACATAAGTGGCAGGTTGGAAGGAGTTTTCGTTTTACTCGAACTGAGCAGGATGAAGATGAGTAATGGATACCAACAACCGTAATCCGAAAACTTATTTAAAGGTACTTGAGTGTTTAGAAAACTCGAAAACGGCATGGCATGTCTGACGTTTGATTAAATCTCAACAACTGTTTTAATCAAAGCGAAATTGGATTTGGTGGCACTTTAATCAAAAAACTTATTGGAACTTTTTTTTGCCTTTTTTTGTTTGCGCCCGGGTGTCCCAAGATGTTAGGTTTCATGCTCTTTGCCATCAAGCGAAACAGGTTAAATTAGATTTGAAACGAAATGAAACCAATCGGGTCGTGTCGAGCAGGGGACACACACACACTTTTTCAGAGACATCGAACCAAATGAACACTCTTCGAGGCTCGAAAACTTTTGACGGCTGGAGGACAGATGTTTTGGCTGAGAAACAGAAACAGACGTTGGTCGTCCAAATGAAACGGACAATTTTTGGTCGGCAATGACTCCTCTCTGAAAGTGAAAAGAGGACACAGAGAAAAGTGCAGTAATAGGCTTTACAACTGAAACATCACGAGATAAAGTGAACTGGACGATCTCGATGAGACGTGCCGACGCTAAGCACCTTTACCGATTGAACACTATTTGCAGCGGTGTGACCCCGGCTTCCATGAATGTCTAACGAGATCTCTCTCGTTTCAAAATGTTATCAGAAATTATTTCCTTTCCTTCGCTCGTTTAGGATCTTGTCTTTTTTGGAACTAGTTGAACAACTGACTGAACAACTGAGCAGATTGTTTTCAGAGACATCCTTCCGTTTTGTGGACATTCAGGGACAAAACACAAGTGAGTTGTGTGAAAATGGAAAACAACCTCAACCCCCTTCCAGAAATCATTGTCTTTTTCTTTATTCATTTTCTGTCCGGCTACTTTTATGCGTGCTTCTTTCTTCAGTTTTCTATCATTTTATTAGTTTTAGACAGAAACACCAAAATTTAAGTTTATCGGAGAGCAGAGTGTTTGCGACTTTCTAAAATTAGATTCCAAGCTTTGGCCACTGCTAATTCCGTCCGAAAAGTGTCAATAAGTTGAGTTTTACACGTGGCGATCAAATTTCAATAGGCGTGAAGGACATATGGGAAACCGGGAAACGGTCAAAGACCGAGCAAAAAAGCAGAAACGTCGAAAAGCGAGCAGAGTGAGCAGGGAACCGCTCACAGCTCTCGTGTCTAGACCGATGACCTTGCTTGTCTCGCCAGAGCATAGCTACATCATATATAGAAGAGACGCAAAGCCAGAGAGGGTGGACGATGAAAAAACAGTCAAAAATGCATGTTGAGACGGAGGACGGTGACTCTCGTTAAACAGGATAAGGTGATTAGCTATCCGTTTTACAACGCTTGACTGGGCAACAGAGTTCACGGGATATCAGACACATGAGCGTGATTCTATTTCTGGATTGAATTTTGAATGAAGATATCCGATTATGAGTCGTATTGTTTACGATGTGATTTTTCTTGTGACCTATGACGTGTTCCGTGCTTTCTCGTCACTATTATAGTCTTTTAGTCACTTTGTTCATACATACTGAGAACATCTTTGCGGGCTCTGGTATCTGCTCACCAGACTTATTTCTTTTCAGTACTCGCCTCACAGAGCACTACTCATACATTCGCCGCTCGATTAGTTCTTTGAGCCCGATCCCTTCTGCTCTCGAAGAGCACACGCGCACGCTGCTCGAAGGGCGCTCAGTTCTGCTGTGCTCCGAGCAGTTTGAGGCCGTTGCGAGCGACGGAGCGAGAGCCCCTGCTTTTTGGCTCCGGCGTCGTGCCGGCGAGACGAGAGAGTCGCGGCCAGACGACCAAAGACTGAGGCTCAAGAAGATTTGGGCTTGTCATCGGATGAGAATTGGAGTGTAGCAAAGTGTTGAGCAGAAACAAGACAGAAGATTGGAACAAGTACAAAAGAAAAGCGGATTAGCTTTCGGCACAAAACATCTTTTTACTTTTTTTGAATTTTCGTTAGAATCCGACAATCGAGTGAAGTCAGAACAATGTCGGAAGTGTTCAGGAACATTTATGGGGACTCTCTCTCTCTCTCGGAAGGTGTTCAAAATTTTAGATGAAAATGAAACCTACCTTATCATTTCCGAGACTTGAAAGCATTGCCAATCGAACGGTTTTTTTGAATTTCGAAACCTTTTTGTTTTGCCTTAGGACCATCATAGGCAAGAGAAGGGAATGCTGAGAGAATGATGAAAAAATGGGCTCGTTTCTCGCTCTTGACTAAAGGAAATGGCATTGCAAGAGAGGGCACACACATCGGAACTCTAATTCTGTTTTTGCGGCATGTTCGCTTCTCTAGAGGCTTACAGAACACGACCTTTAGGAGCCCAATTACATGGGTAAAGTGATACTAGTCTAGGCTGAAGATCGCAAAGTAAGAATCGAAAGTCAAATAGTTGGCTAACGAAAAAGAGATATGTGATAAGGCGAAGGTAAAACTGAAAGTCTGCACGCGCACCCACGTATTCTTGTAAACAGAGAGATAAGTAAGCAGCAAACATCGTATTTACGTGGGCGGGTTACACCTACGTACTACAAATTTGCTGTTCTCAAGGTATCATTATAATGCTAGACAAAGAATCCGAAATTATCGGTTTGTGAGATGTATGAAACTTGGTATATTATAGAACTGACGAGTGTTGTGAAACTCGACGAGAGTGAAAAACTCCGATAATAATTATGAGACGATGATATTTTCCGTACCAGCTTTCTCAAATCTCTATGACCTTTCGAAAGTGCACTCCAAGTTTTACATCCATTCCTATCCCGATATAAATCTGTGTTCCTTGATTTTAGTCACAGAATCCGGGATTACACTCTATTCCATGCGTAATGAGGCGCGTGCTCCGTCTCGCCGCCAAAATGAGCAGTTTGTCTCGTCTCAGCGACGCGCCGATGTTCTCGCTGCTCACTCGCGCACCTCGTGCTCTGCTTCTGCTCTTGCTCCGCGCTCCGGCCAGCGAGCCCGTGCCAGCCCGTGCCATTCCGTCTCGACGGCTTCGTCTCACCGACTGCGGTTCCCCAGGTTACATAAAGAGCGAGCGGCGCAAAAAGTGTGAGCCGAGCCGAGATGATGACGCTTTCATATCTGACAAGAAGATAAGATTTGGAGGCAAGATGGATGCATTATGGCGTGAATAACGGGGGACTTTTGTAGGTGATGACGATACCTACCTGCGAAACATGATACTTTTGAGCAGAATGGGAATACCAAACAAGGAAATATTCGAAAAAAGGGAGCTAACTTGTGATTTGAGGGTATCTCAGTGATTGGTGTTCGGTGAAATGCTACACGACGTTTCTTATATCAAACAACCAATTGTTTCACGTTGTAGCCTGGTTTGATAATTCTAATCATCGAACGTGTTCACTAGATGCATCACTGGCAGTGATGAGTCATTGTGAGAATGCAGAAGACATCGAAACCAGAAGGCCAAGAGTTCAAAATCAGCAACTCGAAACCGGATGCATTTCACTCGATGATATTTGGAATGTGAATGTCTGGCGGTTTCGGATTTAGAGAATTGGATTTGGATATGTCTGATGAAAGAGCAAGATAGAAAATGGACCATTTAGTGTAAGGGCGTTCACGAAAAGGAGACGCTTACTTCTTCAGGAATAGAGGGACGTCATCAATGAATGCGTGATTGCGGATTAATGTTTTTTAAGAGATGGGTGTGGGAATGTTGGCAGATTTGCTGAAACATGTCATTGTAAAAAAAGCGCAGATTTTCTCAAAAGTAAATTCCAGTGTGTCCAACACAACTCTGATCTTTTCTCATACCCCCGGGTGCCTTGCCACCTTCTATTTCAGCAAAAAAAAACCAATATCAAATCACTCCATGCCCTTTCAAGAAACAATCAAATCGAGGTGTCACCCAAAAACTATTTGCACAGTCACTTGGCGGTGGTACCAAACGTGCTAACAGTGGTTATTGCCATTCCCCAACTCCGTTTGTGTGCTTGCCACGTATGGCTACGCTGTCATGGCCACTCCGCTCCGTAATGTGCATGTTAGAAACGATAACCCACGTAGATTACGGTGTCTGCCGCTGTCTGCCACCCTCCTCTTCGCCATTTTCTTTTTTGATAGCCCTATAATTATCGACAACGTAATGATGCTACGTTAGTGGCTCTGTTTTCATGACGATTACAATCTCGTTTTCAAATTCTGGATCTTGGGTCTCGTCGTTGTTCAGACCCCACTCCATTTGGCAATCTTTGCTCATGGCAATGCAAATAAATGAGTGTCTTCCTGAAAAATGGACCCTTGGCCCGGGCACTCATGGACCCTTCCCTTCCTTTACTTCCATTCATGGTCGCCCTCCCAAATCCTTCCGTTCTTAGAGCGTCTTGCCGCTCCAGCATTGCATAACCAACTGTCTCACGGAAACAAACATACTCCGTGATATGTGTGCCTTGCCTTCAATTTTGGTGCGTCCGTTGACCGGCGTCTTCAAAGACTTCTTTGACCCCGCCACGCGTTTTTTTTGTTTTCAATAGACCCGAGCGTCCTGCCACCGACTGTCCGTTCGGCCAACAAACACGTGATTATATACACACATTTATTCGTTTTAATGCCATATGGTCTCGGCGAGCTTGATATTATGAGCGATTGAGTGCTAACACTGACGTTTCTGAAAGCGACCAAAAACATCTAAGCTCCTCTTATATCCTTGTTCTCGCGGCGCTAATGTGACCGTGATTACGTATTGAATCCGTTCTATAGAACTAGTTTTGCCCTCTTTTCCGTTTTCCTCGGTTTTGTTATCGAGAAAAGAATAGGAATTGGAACAATAGATTTGTCGCTGTTCCAATGTTTAACCCTGAACGTGCTTTAAACTCATATAATTATCCGCAAACTTTCGCACTTCCGCACCGTACCAGGTCATCTGCCTTCCTCTTCATTCACTGGTCTTTCTTTTCAAAACCCGATGCGGTCCTCTGAGATGAACATAATCCCGTATACGGTCCGCACCTGCTATGCGCAACACGGTCCTATTATGTCATGAACAGTGGGATATGTCAGGGAGTGACCCTTCGGACCTCAAAAAGTCTTCAATACTCAATGCCAGTAAATCACTCATGCTTCGAAGAATAAGCGTCCATTTCCTTTCTATCATGAGTACGTTTTCCTTTTTTCCCCCTTCTCCTCTTCAGACCATTATTTTCTTCCGTGATTTCTCTCCTCAGACGTATGTGTTTGCATAAGGAAACCTTCACTTTCCTAATGGATTTCAAATACCATCAACGCCGGCCGGCAAATTTCGTGTTCCTATTTCATTTTGTCCGGCCGCTTTGAAGATGGGTTGAAGAGAAAGAAAAGTAATTGAATCATTCTCCTCCCTCCCGCTCCTTCTTCTTCTCTTTTGACCGGTATCACTCACCTGGAAACACTGGTAATTACTCATTTCCTCTTCGTTTTCGCATTCTTTTTGCCCGACGCCGCGTTTCAAATTCTTATCGCAAGTTTATTTCAATGTCCATTGCATCTTCTCGCCACCACACCTCTTTTTCTCAACTATAACTTTTTTGATTTTCCTAGAGGATCTCTGCAAAATCCAGAGGGAGCTGAGCACATAACTGACATTATTGCAATGTTTCACTCTGGCCGCTGGCACACGCAACACAATAGCTAATATTGAGTGGTCAGCTCGTTGTGGCGTCATCATCCATTCGCATACGCATTCCAACCCTCTGCTGACCTCTGTTTTGTCTGAAGAGTGTCTACGACGTGCGTGGCACCGGGTCATTACTTGTGCATATCTTCCGAACAAATCAATTCATGCCTTCTCGGGCGTTTTTGCCCACCTCTCCTCACGGCCTCCCCGTCGCCATCAAAATGTTCCCGCCTGATCCAGATCGCCCATAAGCCGATTTTTGTCAACAGGTGGCAGTCAAATCCAACCGCAATTGCCTTCCTTTTCTGTCAACGGTCTCCTCCATTAGACCATATTTGAATGCATTGTCATTGAAGAATTGTTTGCCGACCTTCAGTTTGAGCCCCAATGAACTCTGACAAAAACAGGTGGCTCTTGTCACAAAATGAGCGTTTTGATGACCGGTGTGAGGCAGTAAAGAGAGAAAGAAGAAAGGAAGAGAGAGCAACGAATCTGGCCCACTTTTTCTCATAAATTTTCGCGAGCGTCTCAACGAGCCGACTCGAGGGGGCCGTTTGTTGAAACCGAATAGTTGGGCTGGTGGTGGTGGAGGTCCTTCAAATCGAAAGTGTCTTCTCATTATATTTCACACTCCATCCACATTCGATTTGGCAGTATGTAGTAAATTTACATATGAATAGTTTGAAATTAAATGCTCTGCTCTGCAATGCTCCTCTGATCCCGACATGCACATTTACATTTGCCCTTTTGCCTGAAAAATGTGTAATACGAGTGCATGATCCATTATTCACAAGACCTTCTTTTCGTATGTGTGCACTAATGTCAGGAATGATTCATCGCTAGCCAAACCAAACCCAACCAAAATATGCAAGCGCGCATTTCAACACTTGCAGCCTCTACATACACTCAGATCGTTGTCAGTTTTTCGGAAAGAGACATATACATTGTGAACGATGATGAGTAATCCCCAAAGCATGCAAGTCTTTGTCTCTTCCTTCCCCTTTCTTCAGTAATCCATCTGGTATAAAATTGTACCGGAACGCGGAAATAAATAGTTTATTTCTTCAGTTTGTTATGTTTTTCGATTTCCTGACCTTCATAGGTAATAACCGAATCAATCTGATGGTGTTATGTGCAATTACATAGGTTCATTCGGAAGGAGAGGTTCTCAAATCTAGATTATCCATTTCTTTCACCCTTGTGTTCATCGACCTCCCGAACAAGTGAAATATGACTTCAACTCAACTCTTCAAGGAAGATCATGATTCTTATCTATTTTGACATCTCTAAACCTATTTCTTTCTCACTAAACCCTACCAACTATACTTTCTTCCTTCAAACTTTTTCGGCGCCCGCCTCGTACATGTTTGATATGAGTCATCAAACCAAGATGCTGAAAATCGTTGCGAGACCCACAATGCTAGTCATTCTCTTCCACGCAACGGGCTTCGCTTCGGGACGCAAGTGTTTGTTGACATTCTTCCAACCGATGCGATGCCGGAGAGCATTTTAATTCCGTCTTTCTCTCTCTCTCTCTCTTCCTATCACCGCCCGGGGCACTTTCAAGTGTAAACGCAAGTTCAAAACGTAGAACGAGGGGCATGATGGAAGATGATAGCGACACGACACACGTATCATGCGTGGCGTCGACTTTCTCTCTAGTTCTCTTCCGAAAGACGCGAATTACAGATAGCACTCGCTCTCGCCGCGACAAACAGTACGGGGCCTTGTCCAGTCCGTGTTGTTTTTGTGCGACAGGTGGGCAGTGCGGCAGTCGTCTTGGATGCGTTCGTGTTGCATACAATGCGCCGGAATTGACGACACTCTCTCTCTGTCCTCCCGGTTTCCCACACCAACACAAGTGACCCCTCTGTCGCACTGGTGCGTCTTCCGCTCCGATCTCTTTTTCTCTCTGCCTCCGTCTCTCGTTCTCTTACTCATCTCCTGTTACAATTTGCACTACGCTATCCACTCACCATTTTCCCTCATCTCGTTGTTCCGCTCGTTTTATTACTTTTGCCCGATTTTTTAGTGTTTTCCGCGCGCGCGCCGGGTCCGGCTAGACGGCCCGAAGCGTCCAGTTGAAATGATCAGCTGTCGACGGCGTCACGAAGAAAACGTCTTCTGACCGCTCGTTATCACGTTTTCTGCCCTCTCGTTTCCCAACACCAATTGTCGCCAACAATGACTCATTTACAGGCCACACAAGCGAACGGACGACGAATGGAGGCCGTGGCAGAACACGATTTCCAGGCAGGATCTCCCGATGAGCTTTCTTTCAAACGCGGAAACATTTTGAAAGTGCGTTGTTTCGTGTTTCGCAATACAGTTGGACAAACAAATAATCAATAATCACTGCAGGTTCTCAACAAAGACGAAGATCCGCATTGGTACAAGGCAGAATTGGAAGGCAATGAAGGTTTTATTCCATCAAATTACATTCGGATGACGGAATGCAACTGGTGAGCCATTGACTTTTCGGCACTTGGCACAGATCCAATCGGATCACGTTCAAGAGATTATCCAACTTTTCGCCCTTTACGCTTTGCTATTTGCACATAGCGCGCGGGCGGCAAACGAACACAGACTACACAGGAAGCCGTCAGCAAACATATAGTTTTCGAGTTCTTCAGGTACCTCGGCAAAATAACACGCAATGATGCTGAAGTGCTTCTGAAGAAACCGAACGTACGTGACGGACACTTTCTGGTTCGGCAGTGCGAGAGCAGTCCTGGAGAGTTTTCTATCAGTGTTCGGTAAAAGAAACGGGTTGAATAACCATGGCATAAAAACACTTTTTGCAGATTCCAAGACTCGGTCCAGCATTTCAAGGTTTTGCGAGATCAGAATGGAAAGTATTATCTTTGGGCCGTCAAATTCAGTTCACTCAATGAGCTCGTCGCATATCACCGGTTAGTTTTTCACAGTTCATCATCACTTTTCTGAATCTATTCACTCCTGTGTGGGAGTACTATCATTATCTTTCTTTTATTTTTCAACATTTAAAGTTAGTCATTGTCAAACACAGATTCTCACGCCGTAAATAGGAAAGGGGGAAACAGTTCCGGCTGTACAATGAGTCACCAAAAACTATGGGAAAGGAGATGCCGAACCCATTTTTTCCTTTTGCAGGACGGCTTCTGTCTCGCGCACGCACACTATACTCTTGTCGGATCTGAATGTTGAGACGCGATTTGTGCAGGCTCTTTTCGATTTCAATCCACAGGAAAGTGGGGAGTTGGCGTTCAAGCGAGGCGATGTCATTACTCGTAAGTTTATTCGGACCTTTTCAGGCAAATGTCGGCGTCGGAGCCATGGCCCAAGGTTTTCAATGGAAATTATTCTGGATCCAGTGGCAGGACCAGGGAACTCTTCAAGTTGATAAGCCTTTCTGAATTGTTCTCTCCTGCCACATACACTGTGCAAATACCAAATCTCAGAAATTCTCATAAACGAAACAGGAGGCAGTCAAAGTTTTGGCTGTGGCCTGGGAAATGTTTTCGACGATTTTTCTACACCGCGGCCACACGTAAAAGCATTTCTAAGAATTGGGACTCGGAAAGAGAAGCGTCAGACAAACAATTCTCGGGGGGTTCCCTATTCCTTCAAAGGATCTTCTGCAATATCAGCCGACCCTTTGCCAAATTCAAAAATTCTCTTAATAATGCAAGTCAACTTTCAGTCATCAACCGAGACGATCCGAACTGGTGGGAAGGACAGCTGAACAACCGTCGTGGAATCTTCCCATCCAACTACGTCTGCCCGTACAACAGTAATCGAAGTAATACGAATGTTGCGCCAGGATTTACGCCCGCTCCATAGGGTATTTAGAAAAACTGTGAATATTTCGTGTCACTTCAACCATTTTGTTCGTATAATTGTTTCTTGTAGTTATCTTAATAACCCGGCTTTGTTCCGCCTGTTCGACTCACCCACAATGCCTTGTCACTCTTGTAAACAATCTACTTCCGATTCTGGGTACCTGTCCTGTCAATTCTCAAATTCTGTTTCATCTAGGTCATTCTCATTTTTTTTGTCGATACACCTCAGAATCAGTGCCATTGTCCAACACTCTCAAGCGATTGTATCCGTTGGCAATGATAACGTTCTTGTTGCGCTATCGACAGCAACCCACCAATTTCCTACGGATCTGTTCAGCGATGAGACACTCTGATGACCAGAGAAACTGATCGTTTAGCCCTCATCACTCTATTCTTGTCATTACCTGGAATCCTCCTTTTTACACAATGCAATTCAATCATTAGGACCATTTCGTTCGGTGCTGCAATGTTCGGTTTAGTCATAAATTGTTTGCGATAGATTTATCATTTCATTTGTACCCCCTTATCTCCTCCGACGTCCGGAGACCTGTCCTTTTTTCCCATCCACACGCCGTCTTGCTTCGTTTGTCAAGTATTTGTCATTTTTCGCGTTTTTTTTTGCAAATGAAAATGCTACCCATTAATGCATGTTTTTCCTTCCTGAAATACTCATTTTGTATCCGCAAAAACCCAATTATACCTGTTTTGCTTTTCGTTTTTGCTTCCTTGAAGAAGAAAACGAAAACGAAAAGGCAATCATGTTTCAAGGACACTCGAGCCGGCGCGAGCCCGACCACGTGTGCTCACTTATTGTGTCGCGCGTCTGCACCTTTTGCTCCTCTCCCGTTTCCATCTCATTCGTCAACGTCAAAGCAACTTTTTCTCGGCTTTTGCAGTGAGAAAATGTCGTTCGACCCGGATCGTCCGCGATTCGATCAATCCACATTTTATGGGCGGTTACGGCACTTTGCCGGTATGACGGATCCGCTGATTGCGTTCTCGTCGACGTCGGAGCTTCTGGCGGCATCCGATTTGATGCAAAAATGCAGGTATCTTATTAAAAGCAAAAAGATAATAACAGTCTTTTTCTCTTCAAAAGTACGTTGTTACTATAATAATAGTTGAATTGGATAAACTGGAATGAAAAAATTTGCACACGCTGAAGCTTGTTATTGATTTTCTGCGGAGAAGGAAAAAATGATGTGAAGTATTCGTTTTTAGAGAAAAAAAACCGACACCGGCGACCCTGGAAGAGTTGCACAGAGCCCAGAGACTCTACCAATCCGCATTCCATCCGGATACTGGCGAACTGCAAAATTTTGCGGGACGAATGTGCTTCAATGTGTGGGGAGGAACAATGCTCTGTGGCGCCATGATGATTTGGTGAGAGTTTTGCCTGAAACATGTAAAATTAAATACGCTGTATAGGTATAAATCAACACCTGCTGTAATTTTTTGGCAATGGGCGAACCAGTCGTTCAACGCTCTAGTCAACTACACGAATCGTAACGCGAAGAGCACGTTGACAACGAAGGATTTGGTGATGTCCTACTCAACTGCAGTCTCCGGAGCTCTTGGAATGGCAATCGGATTGAAGACGTACTTTGCGAAGAAGCAGAGCAGTCCGTTGGCTCAGCGCCTCGTGCCACTCGGAGCTGTCGCCGTCGCGAATGCCATTAATATTCCAATGATGAGACAAAAGTGAGCTGTTCTTCAGTTTTTTTCAGCAATTCATATTTTCAGTGAGCTCAAGGACGGAATGACCGTGACGGATGCCGAAGGAAACAACATTGGCGTGTCCCGTCTGGCGGCCGCCAAAGCCATAAGTCTAGTTGTGCTCTCCAGAAACATAATAGTAGCTCCATGCATGAGTGAGTTCGCTTTTCCGGAAATGAATGAGTTTACTCAATTTCCAGTCCTTACTCCTGTCATAATGGAAGGCCTAAACAAAGTGGCCTCGTTCCGAAAGCACATCAACAAACTCAACATTCCAACACAACTGGCACTGACTTTTGTGATGTAAGAAGACAGATTTCCAGAAGAGACCAGCAAACGATGTTTCTTGCAGATACGGTGCAATGATTCCGATCGGCTGTGCACTTTTCCCGCAGCAAAACTCGATCAAGCTGTCGACTTTGAAGCGATGGGAGCCGGAGGCGTACGAAAAACTGAAGGATATCAAGGGAGACCGAGTGTACTTTAACAAAGGACTCTGAAAAAAAAAAGAGATTTTTAAGTGGTGTTAGGTGAAAGAAGAAGTATTTATTAATTTGATTTTTATTACGTTGCTGCACAATAAACTTTTCAGTATTTATTATGTACATTTTATTATTAGCCAAGATGAAAAAGAAGAGTGCGTTCGAGGTATTTACAGATTGCATGCAGTTTGAAAAGCTGAGAAGCGGATGAAAACGCAGAATGCAATTTTTGCCGATGAAGATGAAAAGATAAAGCCCTTTTTGTGTATGTACAACACTGCCGGTTATTGTCAATACCTAATCGAGAGAGTGAGTCGCGATTAGATAATTTTGGGGTTTGAGTAGGAATGTGGTGAGTATTAGGAATAACATAAGAGAAGACAGGCTGAGGAGATGACAGAAGAGGATGGAGTGAAAAGGAAGACAGGTAAGGAGGAAGTGCAAAATCCGTCAGGATTTGAAGGTTTTACAGAGGGTTTTAGTAACAAGGTTGGTTCCAGCACCGCTGGAATGTATGTACAGAATAGGTTAGGTTAGTGTCAAGTTCCGATGTCTGGTCAGTGACGGTGATGCTTGATTATTTTCCGGCACACTGCGAATCTGAAAAACAAGACGAGAGGTAATGGAAAGGACATAGAAGACGTACCCGACAGCGGCTCCGACAACAAAACTGAAGATGTTGGTGACTAGAAAACCGAAGACCACACGCACGTTGAAGAGCGAATCGGATTCTAGTGGCATGTGATGATAGAGCTCTGGCTCTGGAGAGTTTGGCGGTGTGGTCAGGTTGGAGCCGTATTGCACCATTCGAACAGTTCTGAATGAACGCTGATTACCAGTATCGATTTTGAAAAGTCCTACTTTGGCGGAGTGTTCTCCGGTCGGCTACTCCAGTCCCAGATCCAGTCAGTGTTCTTTCCGGGCGGAAGCATCTCTCGCACCAATTTGTACTTCACTTGCTCCAAATTCTCAAACTCGACATGGGGAGACTGAACCATTGACACCGGGCTCAATCTCGAGTCCTTGTCCTTCTCGTCCACAATGACCATGTTGATATCGACACTGCTGCAAAGGCTGGTACGGCTCGGAGCCAGTTCGACCCATGATTCTGACATAGCTGAAGTATTAAAAAACATGGGAAATTAACGGGAGGGTTAATGCAATCTTTTGCAGAACAAAACCAATGTTAGCAAACGATCGAGTCGTAATGTTGTTGTAATATCTACGTACCAGGTGTACTTTCGGTGATCGGAGTAATAAAAGGGTTGGAAGATGCCCTTGCGGTCGGCGTGTGCTGCTGAGCCGCCGGCTGTTGCTGTTCCGGCTGCTGCTGCTGGACCGGCTCGTCGGCCCTTTCGCTGGTCACGTTGGCAAAGTTGATCTTCTTTTTGATATCAATCATTTTGGGTTTAGCAAACTCGAAGAATGAGGACATTGCTGCGGAAGACCCGTCTCTGAAAATACGTGGTTGCGAAAGAGTTCAAGATTGTGACGTTTTAGAGAATAAGTATAATTCAAAACGAGGCTAAAAGCCAAAAGTTTCTATAGCAACAAAGAGCAGCGGTAGACAGGTGGTTTATATTTGATTGGATTGCTCTTGCTCTTGGTATCGGTTTACTTTTCTATTCTTTGTCCAGGCAGCCCGATGAATGGAAAGGATAACAAATACAATGGGGACGATACGAGCAGATGGTGTCGTTTGGTTTATAAAAAGTTTTACGTGTTTAGTTCTTCTGATCTCCCCTAATGGAACGATAATAGTAGGCACACGAGTGGTGAGTGACCGAGGAAAATATTTACAGAAAGGAAAAGGAGAAGAAGAAGCTTATTTTCCATTGTTTATTTGTTGACGGTTTTGTTTTCCGTAGGTATAGCGGATGAGATGTAGGTGCGAGGAAACGGAGGGGAAACAGCGGGAGAGGAAGGGACGGGTCATCGAGATTTGTCGTATCGATCGAACACAACAGCTGGACAAAGGAAGCACGAGCACATGGCACCCCCACTTCCCCCCGAAAAGGTGGTTGAAGCACGTGGTTTAGGAAGACAAGCCGCGCTATTTGCGGGAAGCAAATATTGTATGCAAAACTGACAAAGAGAGTGTTTGATCGTATTTGGAACCATTTCACACTATAAGTCAAGCAGTGATACGGAGCGCCAACAAAACATGGCGTAGTCGGCTGTCAATTTCCTTTAGTGCGAAGTGAAGACGAAATGAATTGAGTTTGCAGCCGCGTGTATGATGCCAATTAGAAAAGGGAAAGAAGACACTCTTCTCAAACTTGCTCACAGCTAACGTGACCGCCTAGACGTCTGTTTTCTCCTTTCTTCTCGTGACGTGATGTCCGTAAAAGTGAGTGGGTAAGAGAGAAGATAGCGGGAGTGACTAGGCGGTCTGAAATCGAACCAAAAGTTGTTTGATGACCAATTAGAAATGATCATAGAAAACTTGTAAGTTATCTAATAAGACATCATCGATAATGTGCACTATCTTTTCAATTCTCTGATAGACATCAAGCGAATGAGGGAATCCGAAAACAGAAAAACAAAAACAGGCCTATTCACACCAAAAAAGTGCTGTTTTCCTCTTGGCAGCCGTCCAAGTTGGACAGACAATAAACTGCAAAAAAAGAGGAGAAGGCGGCCGAGGGAAAAAGTCGAGGAAAATGGCGGAATTGGCGGCCAGCCAGGCATATTATTATGTCGCGTGATACACCAACAAACACAGAGTCTCCTCGATTCCTCATTCTCTCTTTGCGCCCGTAGTACATGTGACCGTATTGTCAACGAACCAGACTTTTTCACGGAGAAGGTGGAGGAGAACAAAATGTTGCTGAATTTGTTTTCCAATTAGAAGAACGTGAACAAGGGGAAGAAGAGAATATTCAATTTTCAAAAAGATACAACCAGTCTAATTGAATTGTTTCGCCATACTAGCAAAGTACTAAAGAATTTTCTCATAACTGGAGCCAGATCAGATCAGAAAATGAAAATTAGTGACGAAGTGGGGTGATACATCGGTTTGACAGCTGTCCGAACATAAAATCAGAAAGTTCACGTGACATTGGACCCGACTCCATCCTCCAATCCTGCTGCAAGACGAGTGATCTTCAATTGAACTGGGTCAGTTAATCGCTTCACTCCACACCCAGATCGCCATGTCGTTCGATTTGAGAATGTGATGCAATCATATGATGTTCACATGTGGATGGTACTTGATGCACGTAGAACAACACTCGGCAGGGTCTCTCTCTCTCTCTCTCTCTCTTTTGGTTTACAACGAACACAACAGGATCGGAACCATATGCAGACGATCGGTTATCTTTTAGTTTCCCTCGAAGGAGATGATAAGACAGTGATTGATGTCTTCTGATAACATTTGGAAAAAACTATCAAAAATTTGCAGACGTTCGGTGAAAGTAGACACGATTAACTATGGGACTCAGGTAGGAAAAACAGCACGATGGAGCCAAGAGCTCTGGTCATATGACGCGTATTTACCAAAAGAAGAATGGACAAGGAACGCCGACAAACGGCGGAGACCGAGAAATGGAATCGATGGTGGCCAAGGGTGGTGGCTGGTGGAGGGGCTTCGGAGGCGAGCGTGGTCCGTCTACGTCGAGAAAGAACAGAAACGGAGAAATACGTGGTAAATCATGTGAGAAGGCATGAAAGTGCACATGACCACTCAGACGCAGACACGAACGAAGAGGAAAGAGCGCGTGGAAGGGAGAAACGCAGACGAGCAGTCGATCAGCTGATGTTTAAAATTGGATGCGTATGTAGCCGTAGAATGGACACACTCAGGCCCATTGAGATGGCAATTGCTGCTCGGCTGCCCCTCGCGAGCTCCATTCGTTGAATAATGAGCAGAGCGTGTCATGTTAGACGACGCCGTTGAGGAGAAAGAAGGACTTACTTGACAGTTCAAAGAATCCGACAATAGTTTGTGGACGGGATGAGAGCGGACGCTGCGGAATGAATGGGAAAACTGGAATCGAAGTGTGAAACGCAACAAAGCGAACGCCTTTTATACTTTCTTTCCGCGTTTTATGTGAGCGATTTCCATATCGTTCTGATTCGGAAAACGACATGAATTTTTGATGTATCATTTTGGAACAGATGTACGTGGTATATACGTGGTTATATGATACTTGCAACAAAAAACAGATGGTGTTCGTCCTTTAAAAAAAAATAAGTAACCCTATCCCAGAATTGAGTGAATCCATGTGGTGACATTAAGGGTTTGCTTTTTGTTCTCTTCCCCAAGTTCTGACCCAATGTTTGTAGTTTTCACAAATACTGTCAGCAGAAAAGCCAATGTTCCACGAAATACTTGTGCAAAGTGTCAAAGAGCAAGGGCGGCGGCGGCGGACTTCACGGCGATTTGATGACGTATATCGGCATGTCAAAACTGTTTTGCAGATTTGCTGAAAAGTTATTCGGCCTCTCTGCAACATTTTCTTCAGGTTCTTCAGGTTAACAACTTTCTCAACGGCACAACTGAAAACATGATACTCGTTGTAATCTTGTTTCGTTACGTGCTCGCAAAACACTCTTGAACCTCTGGAGATCTTCCGAGAACTAAACCGGAATTGTATAGAAAGTCATGTGGTGTGCTCTCTTTGACCCCCGCTCCTTCGCCGCTGCTCCCCACTTCTATCGCGATCTCATCACCACTTTCATCGGCTCATTAATCCATTCAAATGCCCATTTTTGAGTCTCCCCATTCATTCAAAAACCTTTGGAAGAACGAAACGTTTGAGGGAATGGTAAACAAACCAGTTCCGAAAAATGAGAAAGAGGAGATCCATTTTTCCGAGCCGGGTCCTCTCGAACCGAACTGATTACTTTGCTCGGCGAGTAGTCTACTCACTCGCGCTCCCTCCTCACCGGCCGCACTGTTTCTTCGCGGCTACCAACTCCCACTCATCTCTCTTCTATGTGATATACTTGAGCTTAACGCTAGATCTACAAGTTTTTGTATTTCACTGACTTCCCCCTTCTGCAATGTTCACCTACCGAGCCCTGGTAGTTTCGCTATTGACTGATTCTTTTTTCTGTCAAATCACATATTTCTATTGTTCCTCTGAATTTTTTTTCAAAAACTCTTCAGAACGTATCGAATGTGCGATTTTTGTGCTTTTGCTGTACTTTTCCAATCCGTACTTTCCAAGAATCCAGAAACCACCGGGACTAGTGTAATTTGTATAGTTTCAAGGTGTCCCTTTCACTCGCCCCTTCTTCATTTTCATTTTATTTTTTCCGCTTCTCTTCGAGCAACTGGTCACCCGAATTGCGTCTGTGTCGGCGGCCCGGTCCCGAATGTACGTCTGTGTTACAAACCGACGCGTTTTATGAAAAATCTTCTGCCATTTCGATCTCAAGTTACTAGATAACTTTGCAGTTTCTTCTTCATGACGTTCGAGGCTTGTCCATTAGTTCAAAGGCTACGGAGTGTAGGTTAAACGGCGCTTTAAACTTGCCATCGGTTGCTGGATCTTTTTTTTGTGAGTGCCGACGAATGAGACGAGCCATGCGTCAGGAAATTCTTTAGTTTATAGCCCTTCCTGTTCTTCATCTTTACAAAACAATTTTGATTCTCCCATTCTCACATTTTGGTAGAACTGTGGATTGCTCTTGACTATACGTGCCGTTCACAAATCAACCTAAGCAATGATGAGCCTCTAGACAAGTAGTTTCACCACTTCAAAAAAGCATACGTCGGTTCTATGTACCAATCTACAGTAGACCGACAAAAGTGCGAATCGAATGCTTGGCGTGCGAATTCGAGCACTCTTTTTCAACGCAAATGTTTGCAAGAAACAAGGGTTTTCCGGGGAGGTCTTGTGCTGACTTCTTTTGTGTATATTGGAACTCTCGAAATGTAAGGGAAGGATGTGTGTCCCCCAGTGTGGCAAGAACATCCCTGTCGTCATAATCCTTTTCTATTTTTTCAATTGCACTCGTGCTTTTTGTTTTACGTGATAAGAAGTGCATCTTTTCAATGATGCCATTATGTTTGCTAAAGGCAGAGCTCGGGGACCACTTTTTATAGGAACTCTCAGAAGCTCATATGAAAAAGTGAAGAAAATTGTGCTCTTGTGAGCCCATGACGTATGATTTTTTGTTGAACGATTCGGAAACTGAGAACGTCACATAATATTATCTTCGAAATTCCCCAGTTTATCGTCTGGCCACCACTTGAAAGAGCTGGCTGTTCACCTTTTGTTTTGCAAGACATCACCCCCATTCCTCATAACAGTTGGTGTGAGCTTTAATCCAATCGGCGGACATCTGCAAGCCATTGATTGAAAGATCCGACGACTGGCGCCACAAAAAATGAGGAGAAAACGTTATGGATGTGTGGGTGCTGGCTGGAAAATTGTTTTGATTGTTGCCGGGAAAGAGGTCCCCACGGAAAGCTGAGTTAGTGTTGAAATATTGTACCTATCAACTGACACCAACTTGTTTTTCTCGCCGAGGTTACCCGCCCACGCAGAGACGTTCGAGAAGGCTCTTAGTATTTCAGTTTGTGTCTAGCAGATCCCTCGGCAATAGTCTAACTTTTCAAGTACGCTAATTCTACGTATGGCTTGAGTGAGCAAATAGATAAAAGCGGCAAATTGGCTGGCGCGCGCGCGAGAAAAAATCACTTTTCACACCTTGTATTCATCACCGTCGATCTTGCGTTTCTATTTGATATCCCCCTCTCTTCAATCTTTCCATCAAATATTGGGCTGGCTCGACTGCGCGATATCTGGCTCGGTGTGTAATGATAAATCGCGCAAGTGACTATCACACTATTCTCCCCCTCCACCCACTTTCGATCCTCCGTTAGATTGCCATTCGCCTTTGTTTCAACTCACGAGCGACTTTCAATTCGTCAAGGTAAATTTAGCAAAATTTCTCATCTCGTGGTGGGGTCTAGTGTTAGCAGTGTCCTTGTAGATGATTACACACTGAGCCAGACAGTCCAAGCTTCCTATTTTAGTACTAACTATATGAATTCTTCTTGTACAATAATATTTCCGCATCTTTTCTTTGCTCTTTCTTTTGTTCAAAACGACTTCTCAATACAAAATACGAATTTTCAGTTTGGACTGTCTGGTGTACTGTTGCTACGCTGAGGTGTCTGAGCGAAACAGGGTCCCCCATTTAGTCCCCCCAAATAGATTAAGAAATAAACAATAACAGAACTGAGTGTAATTCAATGCAAACTTTTCAGCTGCGCCACTCTACTATGTCCGACGAGGAAGAACAATAGTGGGTTATGCGTTCCAGTTTCACTTCATCATATTCTTCCTCCTCCTCGCTTAACCCTTCATCCACCTCCAGCCCGCTGTCTTATAGTAGCTCTTCATCGCAACTAAACTTTCGTAGATCATCGGCCACCCCCTCACATGGTCTCTCGTCTCGTGTTGGATCGGACTATGGCAGTCAGTTCCAGCGTGATTTGTCGGGCCGTGAGACGTTGCCAGCGCGACTGTTTCCGAATAGATCAAGTAGCTTAGCCGGTAGGTCTTCCCAAGATGCGCCGATCAGCAGTAGAGTGACGCGCGACGAGCAAACGATCGGGTTGCTCGAAAGGTACGGTAATGGGGCGCGTAAGACATCAGTAGGTGAGAGTTCCACTTCGCAGTACCTCAAGCAGCGCAGACAACAGCAGTTCGAGCCAGACTCTGGGCCATCCTCATCGGCCATTGGTCAGCGCCGCCAGTCACTCGAAGCTTTTGGCTCATCAACATCATCAGCAGCATCGCCGTTCTCGCCATTGTTTTCTCGCGACCAACCTTCAACTTCATCGTCACTTTATGGGCCAAGAGATGGAGCTCGTCAGAACCCGCCGGATGCGCAAGACGTTAATCAAAACGAGTATATGCAACGCCTGTTGGCTGCTCACAATCGAGTCGATGACTTACTCCGATCACGTGGATTGAGCGGAGAGGATGAGCGAAAGTACTTGAGAGCGTGGGAAGAGATTCCGATCATTCGGGAGGAACGATACCGACGAGTTCGGACGCCGAGCAGCTCCAGCGATTCCGGACTCTCAACTGACAATGACAGCGATCGGAGCAATGCGGAGGCGGCGCCAGCTGCAGAACCGTCCGGCGTAGAGGCTACGGAGCACTTTGGATTTGAGAGAGAAGAGGAGGACATCCAGATAGTTCATACTTACGTGGTCAAAGCGAAGGAGAAGGCGTTCTACAGTGAGAAGTTGGAGAATGTTGACTTCAATTTGGACAAGAAGCAAGCCAAACCGGGCAAGGCATCGAAGGCACTTCTGGCGCCTTGCCCGTCCGGTCAATGCCACCTTTCGGTCATCAAAGCAAAGGACATTAACGCGACAAACAAAAAGAAGGCCAACATTTGTGATACACGTACTGTTTTCCCGTCGGCGGTCAAAGAAACCGTATCGATCACCCTCCCGGCAGCTCCTACACCGAAAATCTTGATGAATGCCCGACAGGAATTGAAGAAAGTTGCTCAACCTGTTCAGAAAGAACCAGCAAAGCAGAAAGAGTCCATCAGCAAGTGTACCAAGACTCTCCGAGCGGACGCCAAAAGAGAGGAAGTTTTGAAAATGCTGGAAGAACCCCGTACCCTGCTGAAACTCAGTGCCAGCTTCAGCGCTGGTGATTTGAACAAGTTGAACAAGCCGACCTTGCCAAAGCGACGGAAGACGTACGACGACAGTGTGAAAGTGCAGCAGAAGAGCGTGCTGGCAAGTCTGAAACGGAAGAAGATGGATGTCATCCCTAGCACCGCGGAGATCTCAATTCAGCATTGCAGTTTTTATAATCAACTGGCCAGGGATAACTTTGCCGAAAAGAATGTCCGTCTCAACTTGAGAATGACCGAACGAGCACCCAAAAACTGCTGCGCTCAAGTTGTTCTGCCGGCCCCACCACGTGTCATTTACGTCAGAAAAGATATCAGCATCTTCTGGACTCAACCTCCGCCAAGAAGAACCAAGACACAGGAGCTTCCGAAGCCAAAGGTCGGAAGACTCAACAGAGCATTCACTGTTGAATTGGAGAAAGAAGAGAAGGAACTTCGGAAGGTGAATCGGCTGAAGATTCCCGAGTATTTCTTGCAAAGCAATGCTGAAATGTTCGAAGATATTATGGGTGTGAAGAATGGATTGAAACGGGTTCCAATCATTGGAGGGTTCTTGGTTCAACCCAAAGCGAAGCCAGCTACTCCACCGCCGTCAACTCTCCGAAGAGCGGGTGCAATCCGTCGGAAGCCAACTCCTATCAAGGAGGAGGCCAGTGCTCCGTACTCCGATTTCTGCCCACCGCAAACGCCAAACAGTCCGTTGCCTCAAATACGGATTGTGCGTCCTCTCGAGCCAGATCCACCGCCTATTCCCCGGAGGAGACCCCCGCCTACGTCATCATCGAAGCATTTAAACTTGCATGGCTCCCTAGCGCTGTCCGCGATGCCTAGAGGAGCCGCAAAAAACTACGAGTCACAACATCAACATTTCGCGGAATTGTCAGAAACAGATAAACTACTCATCGAGCGATTCAGCTCCCGAATGCACATTCCACGCCCTAGTGCTATCATCCGCGCCCTATCGCCGTTCAACGCCATTCGAGCGCTCAAGTCGCACCTCAAAGACCGATGTGCCAGTCCGCCACCAAGGTTCATTCATAGAAGAGCACCAAGAATGCGATCGCCAACGCCATCCAGAGAAGTGAAACCGATCAAATTGAACGCAGCGGTCGTTTCGAAGAAAGCGCTCCCCAGAAGACATTGGCTTGACTTCCAAGTCGATCTGAAACGCGTTGACTTCGAGAAGCACCGTTCGCGGATGAAGCCGAGAAGACGTCTCATGCGTTGGATTCCTAGATGGCGTCGCAGAGGGTTGGTTTGAGTAGTCGGTTGAGTTCGGATGAAGGGTAGCCATAGTTTCTGCTCGTGTTCAAGTTTAAGTTCCCAGTTCCCAGTTTTCTAACTTTGTTTTCTAACACAACCCTGTTTATTTTTTAGTACCGACGAGGAGGTCGAGGAAGTCGAAGAAGAGGAAGTGGAGGCCGATTACGCGCCGTCCGAAACTGACACTACCCGTTCTGATCGGTAATCTTTACGGCCACCGCTGCCGCTGCAGCCGTCGCATTGAATTAGCAAAACCTGTTCGAATATTTCAGACCGAAAACCAAGTCGTTTACTGAAGATGAAGAAGGTTTGACCGAGGGAGAACGCGCCATGGCGGTAACAAGATTATTGTGTTTGTTGGCCTTGAACCGAATAGTTTGAAGGCCGCTAAACGTCGTCACGAGGAGGAGCAACACGCGAAACTTCAAGACTACGAAGATCGTCGTCGCATTGAACGCGAGAAGGAAGAGGAAGAGTTGAAGAAATTGAAGGAGAAGCAGGAGAGACGCAAATTGGAGCGTGAGCAGGAAGAAAAGGAGCAAGAGGAGAGACGCCGCGCTGCCGATGATCGTCGTCGCCAAGAAGAGGTTCTGAAATGAGAGAAGAGAATGAAAAAGGAAATGTTGTGATTACAGGAAGAGAGAAAGGCGAAGATTGAAGAAGATAGAAAGAAGAAGGAGGAGGAGAAGAACAAGAGAAACCAAATGATTGGAGGTGGATTCCAAACCGGACAAGGTGGAAGGTATCGGAATTTATATTTTGAAAAAGCTATGATTTTGGGTAATTACAGAAACTTCACGATCCCTAAGAAGGGAGCTCAAAACGACAAGTTTGGAAACATTGTTCAGGCGAAGCAAGAGATGGGAATGACCAAGGAGCAACAAGACGAGGCGAAGCGCGTAAGTTTCATATGAATATTTTTGAGTCGATCCTTCTCTTCTTTTCTTTCTAGAAACGTTCCACTTCTCGGAAACCACCAGGTATCACCAGAGCGGTGTATAATAACTTTAACGAATTACAAACGTTTTCTAACAGTTTACAAATCTCTTATACTTTCAGTTATTTTCAGTTTATAACATTTTGGTGACATTCGATACAAAATATTAACACCGATAAAATCAATAATTAAGGCGTTCCTGGCGACCATTCGCAAAGGAATCCCGACCGCCGCCGAAATCTCTCCAAACGAGCTAAAGGCCAAGATCAAGGAGTTGCACCAGAGAATTTGCAAGCTCGAAGCCGAGAAGTACGATCTCGAGAAACGTCACGAGCGTCAGGAGTACGACGTGAGCATCATCGCATCCTTCCTTGGCTCATATTGTCCATTTTCAGATGAAAGAGCTCAACGAGCGTCAACGTCAAGTCACTCGCAACTCGGCTCTCAAGAAAGGCATTGACCCCGCTGAGGTCGGCAGCTCCAGATACCCGGTAAGAGAATCACACAAACTTTATTGAATCGTACTAACCAGTAGCATTTTCTTTTCAGCCGAAACAACTAATCGCCTCTAAATACGAGCGTCAAAACGTTCAGGCTTTTTACAAAAGCCGTTCTCTTTTCATCAATGTAAGATACGTGTTGTTTGCAGCCAAAGGTCCAAATTGTGTCCAAGTACGACCGTCAGATTGATCGTCGTAACTTCCGTGAGCGTCGTTGTGTTTTTGACAGAGTATGTTGTACCTGTGTCCGTTGTCCTATGTCTATGTCTCATGTCTTGTTTGTGTTCAGAAAAATGCTCATCCATGTTTCCCCGGCGTCCCACCACCACCAGCAATCTATGATAAGATTATCTTGGCAGTTGAGGTAGACAGTTATTTTTAAGTGTACAATTTCAGAATTAAATTTAGGAAGAGGTAGTTGCGGATGAGGAAGACGAAGAGTAGAGGAATGAGCAACGAGAATGAATCGACGATTAGTGTGTGTTTTCTGTAACTGACAATTGACTCTTTTAAACAAAGAAACTATACTTGCAAAACGAGACCCTTTGTGATGTGTTTCCGTATTATGACGACACTTTTTACTAACCAATGTGTTTGTTCATGTACCATCAATAAATGTTCTTACGTTAATGTGCATAGTTCAATTTTAGGTCAAGCAACCTGAAGATGCTCTTTTTTCTGATTGGCTAGACACTTTTGCCAATATCGTTCCTCAAAAGCTGAAAGTGATTAGCGCTCGTGACGACATTCACGCTTACTTGAATAGCCCCGATAGATGTCCAAAGTACACCGAAAAGGTAGAGCTCTAGCCTTGTGGTCTCCAAATCCTTGAGGAATAGAAATCGCTGGGAAAAGGATGGACATTGATGTTCCGATCCCTTTTCCCGTGTTGAGCAAGAGCGAATTATAGAACAGAGTACCTACGTAGTGCATAGGAACAACTCCTAACCGAGCAAAAGCTGTCTGGCCAGACGTTGATTTAATTTGAGACTAATGTCTACTGTAAGAGTCCCGTAGACTTGTTCAGACGGGAATAGAGATCTAATTTAATGCAGTGGGGAAGTGCAAATCTGAGCCCGCTTGGATGATGTCACAGAAAAATGTACTTATTCCGCACACCAATGAGCACTTTATCTATTTCAGGAGCCAATCGTAGGCACGTCTCAATCGACTTTTGTTCCTAGACGTCTTTCTATCCCTTCTGCGGTAAGAATAGAATACTTTCTATGTATTTTCAGACTTATCAATCAATTTTTTCAGTTCCTCAGACAAGGATGAATCAAATATGAATGTGCATTCAACGCCCAACACTACCGAAAATTATGTTTATCACCACTGTTTCTGACAATTCCCACTCCAAGTACCATCAACCCGCCGTCAAATGTAGTAAGCTCCTATTTGACTCGTAGGGGAACTTTCTACCGTAACATCATTTGACGGCAATCATTTTTCGAACTCATTTGTGTGTATTTATTCAATTTATTCGTCAAATTTCACATTATTTTGTGTGCAGCGACTCTGTAGCGACTCTTTACAAACATCTGCGTATACTTTCTTGTATACACGACATTTTGCGATTCGAAATAAACTCGATTTTCCTTTTAAATCTTCGCAACTTTTTCCTACAGAGGAGGCGAGTCAAGTAAAGTCATTCATCGTTCGCAATGTTCTTTTTCCGTTGAAATACGAGGGAAAGTTTCAAGTCCCTTGCCCTTGTATCTTTTAAATGAAATCGAAAACTAGTGGTGGTTCAAAAACCAAACTAGCCGGAGGCAAATGTTGATTGACTTGTTTACCCACCAGAAACCTTCTCCCCTTTTGCACTTTTATAAAGTTCGATTGCGTAAGACGGAAACATCACTTCCTGTTGCATCGGTGTAAAAATGAATCAGCAGTGACTTCTCCAGTTCGTACAATGCTCTTTTCTCTCGCGAACAACTCGATCTTTAGTTTTTAACAGCACTTTCATTTCGACACAAATTGGATTACTTTGAGTACCCGACACTTTTTGGTTTTTGTTCCACATATGTCACAACTCGATTTACGGACAAACTATGGAATTCCGTGAACCTGCTTTATCCAATTTGTTAGTGCAAGTGCATTAAACACTCTTTCTCAAGACGCGGCGCTGTAGATTCACGTCAACATGGCCCGGGGCACATTTTCAAGGCCGAATACGCTCTCACGAGGGTAATTGGAAGAGCCCCGAATACACAGAACTGGTTGTCTTTGGACGAGTCTCAAAAACCAGCTGGGAAACTAATTGGAACTACAAATAGAAATTATCACTTTATTTTAAATATGGATCAACCAAAATATCACTATTTCTTCACAGTTGAGAAAATTTGGCAGTAGTTCCAGAAAAACGTCAAAGAATTATCGGCCTTTCAGATTAGATTCGCAAAAATAGTACATCTGGATTTTTCATACTGTAGCCTGCGTATTCTCAAATATGACACCCACGGAACCAAAATTCATAGCATCTACGCTTGTTTTTTCGAAATTTTTATATTTAGCTCAGTCCCTGATAGGGATTGAGTTAATCCAGATTCCAGATACTTCTCGCTCCGGTGCTTCTGCTCTTCAACTCGCGATTCTCTCCCACGCTCTTGTGCTCCGGAAGTGAGCGGTTAGGCTTCTAAATGTGTCGAATGTCACGATTCAGTTTAATATGGCCAATGTTTGAAAAGGGCATTTCCGCCCGTGGGCCGTACTTTTATAGGCTAGGTTCTGGCGACACGGACATCCTGTTGATTGACTGGCCGCAATGAATCCAGAAAAAGTGCACTCACTGAATGACAACAGCATCGAATGCAACAAATTCAATATTAGCTCTTACAGTGGTTCTGAAGTCTGGAGATTGTCTGAATTTACGGAACGGGTTCCTTTATGCTCTTTTCAGACTGAACTAACTGAACGTGTTAATATAGTCGTAAAAGATCCCCAGTTCGTCAACACAGAACGAGTGAGACCTCAGAACCAGATGATCTTATTTCCATGTTCATCCTTTTTCCAAGAATCCCCTGGTCTTGTAATTATCGCCCAAACATTTGCATAATGACCACCGAATTTAAAAAACATCTCCCAAGGGAGTTCTTTACGTCATGAAAATAAGTATCAGAACGAAATGCATCGGGTATACGGTAATCATTGTTTTATAAAAACCATGGTTGAGCTAGTGATCTACGTTGGGCATAACAAAGACATTTTTCCACCTGCGTTGCGTTTCAGAGTATTTTTTTTGAAAATTCTGGAATCTTCTTGTACCAAACATAAACTCAGCTGATAATATCTCCAGAACATTGTGCATTGGCGAAGCAACGGATGATCTTCTCCGCCGGCTTCCGGTACCAAGAAATTGTTGAGAGTTATTCTGAAAACATGTCCTTCTAGTCCCTGAAGTCAACACTTGAGTATGGGAACTTCGTTCTAACGTTCCCCTGCCGGAAATGACGTTATTTCCCACATATATCAATCATCACAATCTGACTGAAACGTTCAAAGGTTATCTGTACATGAAATAGATAACATTCGAGTTTGTCAGGAGAGAGATCGGAGTGGACCGCACATTATCGTTCAAATTTGCCGTTTTTCATCCAAAATTCAGTATTTTCTCGTGACAAATCTCTTCAAGGCCTTCTTTGCGGTATCTCCCATGAAGGCGAATACACACCAGCTGACCGGGCTGCCATTCAAAAGTTCACATGTTTCTCTCTTATCACTTTTGGTCCATGCTATTTTTTGTCCCCAATTTGATAGGAATGGAGCGGGAATAGAATTTTCCATGTGATGAAGAGACAATGAAGCGATCACTTCACTCCAAATAGATGAGATTTGGAAGAAAGAATAATTTTGGATAAACAACTCAAGGTTGCAGGTACCTGAACACAAGGTGATGACTTCATTTGTGAAAAGGGCATAATCAATGATCAACCAGCGGAACACGTTCCCTTCACTTACAGAATCCGATGATGCCTGACCATTGAACCTAGCTCGCATTCTTAAGAATGTGCCTCTCGACGGACCGAAAACCAAGTTCCAGACAGCCTAGACAGAGTTTCGACAGACGGTCGAATTCAATGATCAAAGTGCAGCGTCCTAACTCAGATAATTCTATTTTAGATTTGAGACGTGCCGAAATCTTGTTCAAGAAACAGATATAACAAGATCAGTCACATGTCACGCACTCTTCAAAAGTGCAACATTTTCTGGCTTGACATAGCTGCCACAATCGACACAACCCCCTTTGAGTTTAAAGTATTTTACCCTCCAAGATTTGGACGTCTTTCGTAACAAACTCCTCATTTATTGGATAGAAATCAGTTATCCATACATTCGGTTTCCACTGGGAGAAAAACGAGCAACTAGTATTATACATACCGATTTTATTGAATGAATGAGGACGAAATCATGAGTAACCGGGACAGAACTATAAAGAATAATAACAAAGATGCGTTGTTCGGTCCGTCGCACAGTCTTGCCTATTTGTACTGGTGAACAAATGAGGAGAGATAGTAAGTATAGTAACAAACGTACTAGTGTTTAAGATCATTGTATGGGGCAGGAGTTCTGAGAGAGATAACTGGGACAGAAAATAGGTTAGACAAGAGGACTGTGGCCAATAATTTAGAGGGTCTTCTTGGCGGTCGGATAGAGGAAGGTCTCGACGCGATCCTCTCCGTGCTTGTTGCTGGCAATGCAGACGTAGGTTCCCATATCCTCCCAGTGAACGTCGTGGATGACGAGATCTCCGTTGTGGAGCACCTCATGCCGATCCTTGTGCCCGCGGAGCAGTTCACCGTCCAAGTCCCAGGTAATGGTGGCCGGCTTGTTGGTTCTGCACAAAAGGGTGGCGGTGTTTCCTTGCATCTCGAAACGACTGTCGGACCACTGGACAATGGTTGGTGCCGACTTGCGGGTGGACTTGCACGGGACATCGTCTCCTTCTGGAAATGGAATCATTGGTAAATGTTATCATATAATGATTTGCTTACCGACGGAGACGGTGGCAGTCGACTCGGTGGTGATGTGGCCGTTGTAGGCGACACATTTGTAGACACCAGCGTCCGAGGCAGAGGCGCATGGGATGGTGAACGTCGAGGCGACGATTCCGCTTTCGACGATCGGCTTTCCAATGTTTGAGACCTTCTCGTACATGTTCAGATCATGATCTCCTTGGACGGTCTCTCCGTTGAAGGTCCAGAGGAAGACCGCGGCCGGGGTGCTGGTGGCTTCGCAAGTGAGGACAACGCGCTCTCCAGTAGTGGCAGCCACATCCGACAGAGGCTTGTTCATCTTCAGCACAGGTTTGTTGGTCAGATGAGCGGTGTCAATTTCGGTGGCCAAGACGCCAATGGCATCGTGCATCTGTAAGTGTTTGGTTAGCTTTGTATTTTCCTTAGATTCCATTTTTCGTACCTTAGCACTGGTTGGTGGATGAGCGGTGACAAGAAAAGTTCCACAGCACAAGAAGAGTGCGGCTTGGAATTGCATTTTGAGCGAGGACGGTCGGGAAGAGAAGGGCCTGGAAAACAGAAGGTTGGTATGGATAAGTTTCGGGGGTAACAGATGGAACAGAGAGAGCCAACGAGAAAAGCACTTTTGGTCAGCCTCTTATACACCCGGTAGGCGGGGCTTGCGAGGATGGTTGCCGTAGGCGCCCCGCCCCGCCGCGGATTCTTCTGCTTCCGCAAATGGGCGTGGCCTAATAGCGGATGCGGGGATTGTGACGTAAAATGAACGTGCTCAAGGCTCCGATGCATGTGATGCGGAATCGACGGACCGGAGATACAAAAGTTGTACTGATCACAAGTGACAAAGCCAAAAACCGAATTAGACCTTTTAATATCAAATTCTTCAGCTTCAGATATAATTTTTTTTGGCCAAATTCATTTAGTGCTTCTACAAAAAATCAGTGAAATGGAATGGAGAATGTTTGGTTGTATTCAGCAACAGTTCAGGGTAATATATTCTAATGAAGTCTCAGAAAGTCCGATGTCGTTGACAGAAAAACAGTTCGTAGATCTCTTACTATCTTAAGTAATCTGATACTGAACCAAAATGCATTTATGAAACTTTCAAAGTTTCTTTCAAGTAAATCTCTTCTGAATTCAGTTAGTTCAATGCAAGTGAAAATCGAAGATGATGTGATTTCATCAAAATATATTACCCTGAACTGAGTCAGTACATTCATTATGTTCATAACAGGATTACCAGGCTGAAAATAGCAGTTTTTCACAATTCTGTCTAGCAAATTAGATTCACTACGGATTCTTGTTCTCGACAGCACGCTCAAGAAAAAATCATGAATTCTGAATTTATAAAGACGTTCCTGGAGAATTAAAGTTGGACCACATTTCATTTCTTGGTTTTTTCGTCTGACGTCATTTCTACCTAGTTTGTTCCATAATATAACAATGACCTTTAGGTTATCCCGGTAACAAGTTCCATTTCCGTCTAGAACATTATGCCAAAAAAGTTCATTTCCGAAGCTGAAGAAATGTAACTTCCCGTCCTGTCTAGACTGCGAAAGGTTGTATCGTAAAAGCTGATCGTGGCATTTTGCGAAACGTGATTTTCGAAACATTAAACGTAGGATGGTTGAGCACCGGGATATGACTTTAGAATCACGCGCTATTTGATCTTCCAACGTTTGAGTGGCATGGAACCAGTTTAGTTTTGCAGTGATCAATCTAGATAGCAAACGGCGAGTTGGACAGATAGTTAGATAGTTCTGATGAAGCCGTAGTGCTCAAAATCTTCCGAGAATTGAACAAAACCAAATTAGATCTTCTGAATTCCTTTGCACCCATGGCTTTTCTTCGGTACATTCGGCATTATGAATTATTCTGAGTGGACAATCCCTGAGAATCCGATAAGAAAAATAAAGGGGCTTTCTCTGAAAGTTGTATTGAAAAATCCTGCGCCGCTTTTTCAGTAAACCAATCCTCACTCTGCAATCGAAATCTTTTATTTGTCTATAAAAGCCAAATAGAATTATTCTAATAAGTGGCGACAGCTTATCCATCCCTGTTTGTCCCACTCATCAATCTCTCAAAAAGGACCGTGCTGCCAGCGTTGGTTCCCGACAACCGCAAACATTCCACCGTAAGGGTCCCAGTTTGTTAGCTCCGCAAACTTTTTCCCCTTCAAGACAGCCGTTTTCTGATTTCCCGCAACTTGTGTTTGCCGTTTGCAGTCTACCGGTTTCTTTGCAAGCGGTTCTGTTGGTTCGTCATGGTTAACTGACTATTGAACATCTGGAATTGGAACTGTAATCATGACTTCAAACTACGTTAATACGCAAATTTTGTAGCCGCGAATCACAGCGGAGGAGGTACTTCTACCAGTTCTTGGTTTCGTTCTATTTTAATAAGTTTGAAGTCTCGTTATTTATGAAAAAAACTGCGGTTAAAGTCCGTTTCAAAACTGAATTTCGGTCTTCATTATTCTAATCAGGAAAAAACAAACCATCGGACTTCAAGATATCAGATGATGGGGATCAGAAGAAGCGCGTGAATGAGATTCGAAAAAAAAGTGCATGCAGATTAGACGGGATAATGTTTCTGTACGATTGGCACTCAAAGTACAGTAGACAGCGTCTGGGGAGATCGGCGATTGTTCTGGATTTTCTCAGGTCAGTCACGTCATCCGACGTGACAAAACATGAGGAGAGTATTAGATATTACTTAGCTTAAGACTCCATAGTTCGGATTTAGATTATTAGTTTCGGCACGTGTCCTACCGTAGGAACCCATGTCGAAATCCTGTCCTCGCGTATTACTGAGATCGTGCTTCAGTGCATTCAATCTCAAAAAAGTGCATGTACCCTCGTGAATGAACAGAATGCGTCTTATGCTTGGCTGAATTAGAGCATAATGAAAAAATAATTTTTTTTTTCGTATAACCAGAAAATTGTGACGTACAATGATCATAATTTCCTGCCAAATATGGAAAGGAACTCATTAAACCAACGAAGGCAGGTGGTTAGGGAGAAATGCAGAAAATGTTTGTGTTCTCGAAAAAGGAAACTTTGTGCTGAACGTGATGTGATCATCGAAACAACTTCGGTACCGGTTATTTAAAAATTTGGTACTCGGGAGCTAAAGATTATTTGTATGATCACAAGGAATCAGGTTTTGTGCCCATCAAAGTCTGTTTCGCAAATTGACTCTCAAAGAAACGTGGGCGACATCTGGCCAAGCTCATTCTCACTTTGGCATGCACTTTTAGCGGCTTACAATATAAAGATCTGCTCATTGAGCATTGAGAGCTACGTACATTACTGGTGATCGTTTCACATAAAGTCATTCACCACCTCTGAAAAACATTCAGAGAAAGGGGATCGTTTCGGAGTTCTTTGGCAATTCTTTGGATACGCCATGTAATGTTAAAAATGACTGAAGTTCTCAGAATCGAAGATTATCCCTTTGTCCTTTATGTGAGGAGAATATTGAAAATTCCATTAGCCTAATGATATGCGTTGACTGGGTAGGACAAACAATAGTTATGTTCCGGTCAATATCCCAGTAGTTCCATGAACGATTACCACAGAACATTTTTGCTCGCAAAACACTCCAAGAAGCAACTTCTGCAGAACTCGTGATTCGAGCCCAATCCCTCCTCTTTTTTCGTTTTCATGTTGTTTCCGGCTGCCACTCAGGAAGTAGTTCAAGCTCTCTTTTCCCTGCAACTTTTGATCATTGATTATCTGACAACTCCCAGGGTCCGAATGATTGGCTAGAGCACACGGAGAGCAAAGTTTTGGAGCACGCGTTCGAAAAGAGAGCAGTTGTTGTTCGCCGCGCATTTTTACACCTCCCGCGTATCTCCGAGCAGCACGGATCGCAGAAAAACATGAAGGAGAAGCTCGCGTACCAGTAAACAGCGTACTCGGAGTAGTAATCAACCACGGCGTCCATTGCAAACATAACGAATGAGTCTTTGAAAATCACGACTGGGGGGTTTTTGATGTGAAGAGCAACTTGCTCCTGCCTATACTTTAGAAAGAAGGGTTTGGAAAAACAATGGAAAAGGAAGGATGGATTGCGAAATGTGAAAGATAAGACAGACAGACACCGACCGGTGCGATTAATTCATGAGTCACATGTTTCACGTCTCTCATCAATTTTCGGTTAAAAGTACATTCGTGATGTCATACCCGCGATCGAAGACAGAGATAGAGGAGATGTCAAGGTGCGCGAACAGGAATTTCGGAAATGTGCGAAGTTTTCGGTATGCTGTGATTGATGATATTGAGAGGAAGTTGCGAAGGGTTTGACCTTTCTCAGAATTTCCGAAATCCGTTTACGGAACACACTTTTAAGTTGGAAGGGATCTTTACGAAATTGAAAAGTTGATCATCAAAAATGATCAAATGAAAGTACTGATTCCTACTGTATTCTTCAATCCTTATATACACAGCCGAAAAAGGTCATTTTCAATCGCAAATCCAATATTTTGATTACTGTCAGTAGCATGTGACCTTACTTGACCCCAATTGAATTTATTGGCTCGATAATAGTTTTTCAATCATTAGGACTCCACATAAATTCAATTTCTCCGGCAGCACCGTTTGAAAGTAGACATTGAGCGCAATCCGGGTAAAAGGGACTGATGCAATCTCATCGCAAGCCGCCGATTTCAAGTGCGGTGTCCAACGGCGCATGACGCAACTTTTGGATGCAAGGGGTCAATCGGTAGCATGTGACGTCACGGACAGAGCTCCTTTGGGTATATCTGGAGGGATCGGATACGATTGTCCAGCTAACACGGGGAGAAATAAAGTTCAGAGATCAGATGATGACATCATAACTAGAAAAGTTCAGACAAAAAAGTGTGTATCCACAATTTCCACAAGTGGATTAGACATGACGAGCTTGAATAAGTGAAACTAATTGCATTGTGTCATAAACTTCTGCTCAAAGCACACATTCTCAGGTCAGACATCTTCCAGTTCTCACACTTTGTCGAGAAATGGCAACAGGAATCGAGTTTGGCCGCTGAAATCTTGAGTTCTGCTCCGGAATGCTACTGTTCGTCCACATCTTACTCGTCATCATTTTCATCAGAATTCGCAGGTGGGTCCTCCAAAGTTTGAAGCCACAAACAGTCCGGACCACAGTTTTTTCTTCCTTACGGCAGGTGTCCATCATCTGCCAATAGTCCGTTCTCGGCTCGTCATTTTAACCCTCCAATGGCATTTTACTTTATCCCTCATACTTTCCGAATGTTCAAAACCCTAGACTCTCGTATTGCACCGTCGATATCGATAAAGTTCCCATCGTTTTTATGGTTGTGAAACGTGTTGCGACACGTATAATTTCGTGCCCCCCGTTTCAATTTCAAAGCTAAAACGCCAGTTTTTGTTCTTCCATTCAATAATTCTTGGTAGTCTGTGGGTTTTCGGCGCTCTCGTCTTCTACCCTCCTTTCCAGTTTAATTTACGGACGTTTTCGTTTTTTGTCGCTCTTTTTAAATAACGCTTCTAATTTTAGATCGCTTCGCTTGAAATCAAGTCCAAGAATGAGCGGATTCAAGAAGGTTTGAACAATATTTTCAGAATCATGTGGTACTGACTCTTTTTCAGAACGCCGATAAAAATGCCTTCGAGCTCATCAAGGACGGTGCAAAAACCGAGAGAGTACGCTCAACGCCACGTGTCATTCAAAAATTCACTTTTTTCAGTTCGTGTTCATCATGTGTGTCCACCACCGCCGCATTTCGCTGGAGCCAGAGCTCGAGACCATCAAGGAGGAGGACGAGATCAAGGAGGACGGAAAGAAGACCGAGAATAAGGGATCCACCGAGCACTAGACGATCCGCCATCCAGCCAGCCATCCAGTCGTTCATCATAATCGCCTGCAGCATAATCTATAGATATTCTGATATTCTTTCTACATGAACGTTGTTAATTTACACGATTCCTGTTGTTACTTTGTTTTCCTGCCCATCTCGTGATTTGCGGACGTTCGAAAGGGACGTGGCACATCTGTCGACCGAAACACACATTTGAGCGTTTGTGTTTCGTCGGTGTTCTGTGGAGCGCACTTGCATTACCCATGCCCGCCCGTTTGAATTTTGTGAGGTGAATTTGCCAAAAATCAGCAAATCCTTCTATTTTCTACCTCGAATTTTGAGACAACATGACAAAACACGTGACTACCGACGACTGGAACAAAAGTAAGATTTTTATTCAAAGAGAAACTGCCAATGTATCGTTCGTATCGATTTTTTTTGCCCATTAGGAGTTCAATATTGTTTTTCCAGGACAAAACGACAATTTTCCTGTGAAGTGAATTGATAACAAGATGAAAATGCGTGGGTGGAAAGCAAACGGAAGTCAAGATTGGAAAAACAGTTTGGAAAAGTATGTTTTTCTGCTCCCGCTACGAAAATTTAAAAAAATTCAGGGCGACACCGAACATCATCTCCAAAGTTGCCCGAACTTCTGCAAAAAACGTCGTTGTCGTTTTAATCGTGAACATCCTGCACATAAGCACATAATGACCGTCCAGAAGATTCGTCATCGGGGGTATACTGGGTCAAATGAAAAGAAACGAAAAACAGAAACAAGAATCGGTGCCACAGCTTATGAAAGTTCTTGAAACATCTCACCTCCTTTCCCAGAAAATCATTGTTTTCGCATTGAGCTTTTGATCATCCGAGCAAATTCTTCCCCTTATCATTTTGATTTATGTGCTGTTGACGGATATTGTCCGCCCACAGCTTGGAAACGGAAAACGTTTATAAAAGCCGGAGAACACGAAAGAATTCTTCATTCGTCAGTGCGTTTCCGTTTGCCAACGTGTTTATTTTCCAGATGCGTCTGCACTCGTTTCTTGTCACCACTTTCCTTCTGTTGGGCGCTGCTTCCGGAGCAGTTTTGAGGCCGAAAGGACCATCATGTCCGCAGGGAGACGGTCTGTACGCAGTCGGATGCAGTTCGAAGTATCTTCAGTGCATCAACGTCAGTCAAACTAATTGTTCAGCTTTTTTTTCAATCACAGGCCAAGTTTTAGAACATGGAGCATGAGCAGTCGTGTCCGGACGGCCTCTTCTTCGACAATCTTCTCTCAAGATGTGAGCGAAGAGCTTCTAATCACTTGTGCAACTCGGAGAACCGCAAGACTCTGAATGTCCGTCAGAAAGCTGTGTAAGTGTCGAACTTCTAGAAACACGAAGCATTTTCCATATTTCAGAGAGATCAGTTGTAAGGGTCGTGCCGGCGGAGACTATCCAATCGATCGATTCATCTGCAACGAGAACTACTACCAATGTGCCAATGACCGTTTCTTCATGAGAAAGTAGGACGGACTGAAATTCATGAATAATCTCTGATGTTCGTGTTGCAGATGTCCGTACAACCAGTTCTTCAGTCCAGTTCTCAAGCGTTGCGACTATCGAACCAACTGTCTGGGTTCGGATGGAATTAAGTTGCATCCTGCCGCTGCCTACGCCTCCCCGACGTACGACCACGACAACTACGAGGTCACCACCGAAGAGATCGAGAATGTTCCAGCACGTGCGTGGCACATTTGTTGTGAAATCTGAGACAGTTTTTGCAGAAATCGACTGTAACAACTATCACAGAGACGCGATCATTGCCGACTGGGAGCAACCGTGCTCTCGCCACTTCTTCCAGTGCTCCAATGGAAAGCTTCTCAAGAAATCATGCCCACAAGGACTGTTCTTCGTTCTCGAGCAGAACATTTGTGATTACCCGCGGAGTGTGAAGGCCTGTCCGGAATACGACGGGTGAGTATGGAAACAAACCAACATGGCTACGGCTAATCTTGTTAATTTTTTTTGCAGATCCGAAACCCTCTATGAACCCGCTCAGCCAGTTGACACGGAATACAGTGTGTATGCACCAACTGCTCCGTCAACAACTCCATCGTACGCTCCACCACAGACAACCACGACTACTCGCCCGCCATACGTTCCACCAGCAACCACCAAGACTCCAGTTTACGCTCCACAACCAACGACGACGACGACGACGACGCCATCTTACGTTCCGTCAAGTGCTCCGGTTGCCCCAGTCTATGTTCCACCACCAGCAGCCCCTCCAGTCCCATATGAGGACACTGTGAAGTACGATTGTGTCAACAAGACCGACGGAATCCACGAGATTGCTCCCTGCCATCACAGTTTCTTAGTGTGCACCTACGGAAAAGCTCGCGTGGTTGAATGCAACCACAAATTGGTATTCGATGTGCGCGTGGGAGCCTGCGAGTTCGTCGACGCGTGCAAGTAAGATCTTTTTCGTGAACTACTCTGCTATTTTTCCATTTTCAGAGGACCGCGCAAACAAGAAGATGTTCCGCCGCTCTACAATCACGGAGGAGTTTACGACGAGAAGCCAGTGGAGAAAAAGGTTGACTTCGATTGTTCCGATAAGGCCGATGGCGACTACTTCCGTGAGGCGTGCACCAACGAGTACTTCCAGTGCAGAGACAGACGGGCTTTCGCCAGACACTGTCCGGCCAATCTTGTTTACAACAAAGCGCTGCAAACGTGCGATTACATTCAGCACTGTGAGAAGTAACCGGTCCAGGTTGTGTTTGATTGATTGATAAATTCTTTCAGAAACTACATGGAGCCTACTGTCCTCTATACCACGGAGCAGCCATATCACAATGGAAACAATGGATATACTACTCAGCCGCCGGTGTCTACTGTGTACACGCAGCCTCCAGCTACCACGGCATACACGAAACCAAGCCATCCAGTGTACACGACGGCGGCTCCGACGGTTCGTTACGAGCAGCCAACAACCACTCAAGGATACACGGCATCGGCTCCTTACAATACTCCGGCTGTTGATGAGTGAGTGATTTCCCCCTTCTTTCTGAATTTTTATCTGAATTGCAGCTTCTCCTGCATCAATCGTGAGGAAGGGGACCATGCTTCTGGAATTTGTCAGAACATCTTCTACTCTTGCTCCAACAACGAGCCAGTTGCGAAGAGGTGTCCAGGAAACCTGGTGTACAACCCGTACAACGGACAATGCGACTACAAAGAAAACGTTGCGGACTGCCGTGGAAAGGACTACTCGGGTGCTCCACCCACCGTTCCGTATTCCAATGGATACACCACGAAGACGACTCAAGGATACGTGACTGTTCCACCAGTGACCAAGACTTACACTGCAGTTGAGACGACGTATCAGCCCACTCAGCCGGCGAAGTACTACGCATATTGCGAGCTGCTCGCAGATGGAAAGTATGGAGAGGAGTGCGAACGATTCTTCTATGAATGCGTCGATTTCGCGACAACCAAAGTCATCTGCCCGGCTGGATTGTTCTACGATCGGAAGCACAAGAAGTGCGATTGGAGAGAGAACATCGAGGAATGTCCTGGATATCAGCCAACGGCCACAACTCCAGCACAAGAGCAGCCGGCTACCTCAGGATACGGACAAACTTCGCGTACCTATCCGAATATCGACTACACGACTCCAGTCCCTGGGCCAGTTGATACTACTCCAATTGCTGAGGCGTTCTCTTGCTATGGACGTGTCGACGGGATCTACGCGCTGCCGTATTGCTCCAAAGACTACGTTCAGTGCATCAACGGTGAGTCACAAAAGGATGCTCCACATTTTCTACATGTTTTTTATTCAGGCCGTACCCTTCTGTCTTCTTGTGCAACTGGTCTCTACTACAGTGAGAAGTCTGGACTTTGTGACTACAAGGAGAACGTTCCAATTTGCAAGAAGTGGGTAGAATATTGGTTATTTCTATGAAAAATGTCCCTTTTCCAGCCGCCAAGGAGCCGACGTGATTTCTGAGAATGCTTGTGCCGGAAGAGCCGACGGATACTACTCAGCTGGATGCTCATCTCACTATTTCTCGTGCATCGGAGAGAAAACCCGCAAGATGGTGTGCCCCAACAAACTCAAGTTCTCTGAGTCCCGAGCACATTGCGACTATCCAACCGATGTGAAGGAGTGCAGCATTTCTGTGCAGCCGGGGAACGCTCCACCAGCGTATGCTTAATTAGGATAGAAAGTTATTTTTGTACGCATGTTACAATTTACAGCGTTCCGAGTGAGTTCTGCACTGTCCGACCGAACGGACTCCACGCGTTCAAGCCTTGTTCTCCACACTATGTCGTTTGCGAGAACAATATTGCGATTGTGCGTTGTTCTATTATATATTCACGAAATGTCTTTAACTTTTCAGGCAGGAACGTGTGCTGCTCCTCTGGTGTTCAACGAAGTCAATCAGCTCTGCGACTACAAGAACAACAACAAGGAGTGTGGAAATGACTACGTTCCGACGACTGTTCAGAGTGAATACTACGGACAGACGACATCTGGTCAGACTTATCAGAAGCCAACTACCAGAGCTTATGAGCAGCCGACCACCACCACCACTTCTGCAAAGCCGTATCAGCAGCCGACAACTACAACCAAGGTGTATGAGCAACCGACTACTACTACTACCACGGCCTACGAACAACCAACCACGACTACAAAGGCCTACGAACAGCCGACGACCACCACGAAAGCGTATGAGCAGCCGACTACAACTACTACCAGAGCCTATGAGCAGCCGACAACTACCACCAAGGTGTATGAGCACCCGACCACAACGACGACGACTTCCAAGCCATACGAGCAGCCTACGACTATCACCACTACAACCGAGGCTCCGACAACTCCGGCTCAAGATGTGTATGTGCCTACAAGCACTACTTCGAGACCGCACGACGTGCCAACGACAACGACAATTGGATACTCGAAGTATGAGACGACTACGACTGCTCCAGCATACGCGGCGCCCATCACCGTTCCTGCCGCTCCGTCGTCGTATTAAGTTTTCTTCATTATTATTTTGTTATCACTCACTTATTATTTTAATAAATCAGAATTGGAAAAGAAATAGTCAGATCTTAAAAAGGTTTATTCCGTTGCGGGGAATCGAACCCCGGCCTTACGGGTGAGAGCCGTAAATCCTAACCACTAGACCACAACGGAGATGATAAAGTTCCAAGTGATGGGTTATCAAATAGTGAGCGTTGTCTTCCGCTCTCTTGATAAACTTGAGATTGACATATTTACCAGAAACTCCGCTGTCTCAATGCCTCCATCCGTCAAGTGCTTGCATATTATCGGAGCGCACCGGCAGTTTCTTCATCTCCGTTGTGGTCTAGTGGTTAGGATTTATGGCTCTCACCCATAAGGCCGGGGTTCGATTCCCCGCAACGGAATACATTTTTTGCAACGTTTTTTGCAAAATGTCAATTATTAATCCAAACCGTTTTTTGACATCCTGGGCATTTCCCTTTTTTCTTTCTCTCTCAACTGTTCTTGAATTGGCCTTGATCATCGCCCCCATACAGGAACTCGAATGTTTTTCGGTTCCGAGCCTACGAGAAATGTCGTGGGAGTGTAATTAGTTCTAATTGCAGTAACTCTCCCTCGCCCGCCGGCCGCCCGCCACGGCTCCTGCTCCCTATCATTAATTCTTCCCCGCCAGAATACTTTTTTTCCCCGGCGGTGTCACTGACGCACGCACACTAGAATTGTTTGCCAACGGAGACGCACAAATTGCGGAAAGGCCCTCTGGAAAAATCTTTTTAGTCTTACGGCGGGGGAGACCCACGCGAAAATGTATTGTCTTTCATTTTTGCCGTCGTCTACGTCTCAAGACCAGTAAGATTGGAGGAAAAAAAGGGGGGGGGGGGGCAAGAGAGGAAAGAGAAAAGCTTCAGCTTTTGCTCCGGTGGAACAATATCTATTAGGATTTCTCATCTTTCAGATTCTCTCTTCATATTGTGAATCGAAATCGGAAAACCGCTACGAAGTTTCTGTTTTTCACATTTTTGTTTTGCATTTCCGGTCCGATTTGTACCGGAAATGTCTAAATTCTAGAAGTAATCTTTCAATTTCCCCGGTGAACTTTCACTTTTTCCATCATTGTCTCACACGCCATTTCGCATAGTTTTCAAAACCTTGAAAATTCCACGAGGGCCTACAAAGAAAATGCAAATCGGCACGGCACCAAAACTCGTGCTCACTTCCCCTTCTTTTCATTCCCGTACGTGTCCTTTGAAAATGCTCGAGAGCAAAACTTATCTTTTTGCCCTCACAGATATATTTTTGCCCAGTCTTCTGCTGCTTTCCTCTTTTCGACCATGAAAAATTAGCCTAATTTGTCGGGACAGCTCAGTTAGCGATCCGCTTCGTCTCACTCGCCTTACGCATTGACGTCTACTAGTCCGTCGGTTGGCTAAAAGAGGTGAAACACTAAAAAAAATGGAGTGCGAGGAATGAAATCAAATTTTGCGAATAATAAATAATTCATTCAGACTCCCATTTCTCGGGAGCATAACCTTCACGAATAACGAACGATTCATAATTTAGTAGTCTGGGACTTTTTCTCATTTTTTCGTTTCCCGCTCTCTGTCTTCAGAAACGCAGCAACCTTTGTCACAGGCAATCTATTAATTTGATGAAGCGTGCAAAATTGTGGTGACAGAGAAACGTCCATAACCGGTTGGTTACCAGAAAACTTTGAAGTGAGCACTTATCCTTCCTTTTCTCATCTTTTCCCCGTCGCTATTATCCCCCGCAAATGTTCGTCACACTTGTCGGATTTCCCTTAGATTATCATTTGATCCGAGTCCGGAAACCAAAACGTTTTCTTTTTTCTTTGCTGCAATTTTCTGTTTCTCGTTTCGTTTCCGCTCCGCCGTTCTGCTTGCTGAAATCTCATTAGACCTCTTTTCCTTTTTCTTCTATTCTTCCGCAAGCTATTTCTATTTTAAAGGCTTACTTGAAAGTTCATGAAAACATTGCAGAGGTGGAAAACAATTATTTCCGGTCAATGAAACTTCTTAGCCAAAAAAGACATATGTTGAGCCCCCGCATCGTCATATTTTTCCGTTTCGGTTTGAGAAATAGTATGACGATTGACTACCAAACCAGAGTTTTCACCTGTCAGAATTGCTAATCACTGAGCGTCTGGTGGTTCTCTGTTTTTCCATCTTCAAACTCAAATTCTGTGAAAGCAAAAACCAAGAAGCAACACACAATTCTTCCACTTTCCAGTTAGTGCTAATAGTAAGTGTGGACCGATAATTAAGTTTTCCCTCTCTCTTTTCCATAAACAGAGAGTTTCGGCTGATGCAACTTCAGAACCGAACTTTTTTGCGCAAATCAAAAAGAATTCCGTCTTGACATCATGATTGCCCATTTCCTTTTTTTTTCCGTTTCCTCACTGACAAACATTCAAAGGAGCTTCGCGGACACATTTTTAATCTGTCTGTTCCGTGAAGCCTTATGCATTAAAACGTTTCGCAGTTTGACGTGTCCTCTTTTCCCTCAAAATTGGGTCCAAGACGTTCTTGTTTTTGCGATGGCTTCAATTGCAATTCCCAATTTCTCACTTCCACCTGCCCACCTAATCTGTGTCTGTTCTCCGCCCCAAACGTGATAACGATTGTGTGCATATGTGGTGTGCCTACACTGATGTCGAAGTTACATTTGATATGAAACCTCGTACGGGGAAAAGTATTTTATTGTCATTCCGTCTTTTCCTCTCTGAGTCTCTTTTCGGCGCTTTCTGTGCTTTGGAAAAAAGAGAAGAAGAGCGTGTCTTATAAGTAGAGCCATAATAGCCTAAAACACAAGCATCTATCTTCCGCCGGCTATATGTAGGCCCATTTCTTCTCGCTTATCCTGCGGCCCTTCTCGCGAACTCGGATGAACACTTGTTTTCTTGTGCGTGGTGTCGGGAGGAAAGAACTAGTGAGAAAAAGGGAGTAGAAGAAGAAAAAGAAAGAGAAGAGGCTAATAGAGGCGTGCAAACATCTGTTGTGCATTCATTCCCTTTCTCTGTGTTCAACTGATTCTTTTCTTTCGAAATTACCATTATTCATCTTCATTGCATCGACTCACTCGAAATTTAGGAATATCCACAATAATAGCTTCTCGAATGTTCGTTTTCCAAGAACATCTCGCTCAAATTTGGTAATTATTAATACCTCGACATTACATTCTTTTCTTCTTGCTCTTCTGTCGTCCTACAATATTGAGAGCGCATTTCAGATTGTGTTTGCCGAGCCGAGCCGGAGCACACACTCGTTTTTCTCTTATCAAATGTTCTCGGTGCCGTGCGAGGGCCCGTTCGGATGTTTCGACTACCACGGGACGCGACTCGTGTGCATAGATGAGGCCAGAAACTTGGTAAGAGCACAATTTCATGAATAATGGCAATGGTCTCTTGGGGGCCTAACCAAGATTGCTCAACAAAGAGCCTTTTTTTCAGGTCCTCATAACACATACGGATGGGCCGGAAATTGAAAAGTACACTTTGCCATCGAGTTTGAGCAAGGATCACTATGTATGGGTGAAAACATGTTTCATCAACGGGTTGGTCTGACAGGAAGAGAAAATAAAACAAAAGTTCTCATAATGGTCAATTTCAGACGTTTTCTTCTTGGTCTACTGAAATCTCACCACGATAAGTCGTTTCACTTGATGACTGTCAGCTTCAATCACGACCAAACATGCTCGATCCTGAAGCATGTTCCGACGAAAATAATGTGTCATGGCTTGCGGGTAGGACTAAAAGTCATCAGCAAATCGCAAATCCACCTGCTCTTCTGTTTTTAGGTGGAAGCTCACCGCAGCATGAGCCAGATTGTGTTCAGTATTTGCAATACGAAAGTGTTAGTGAAGAGATCTATTCAGCGGACAAGTGACAGACAGTCGTTTATGAAACAATTGAGACAGGAAGAGGATAAAGCGAATGGAGAGAAGACGGTGACTGTGGAGACAATAGTCGAGGAGACCACAGGGGAGGAAATGATATTCGAGGAGAAAAAAGAGGATGCGGTGTCCGTGGACGATGAAAAGAAGATGATCGAAAGTGTCCTTCTTCTTGTCAAAGTCGAGCCGGATGGAGACATCATTCCAACTATCCTGTCAACCGGACGCAGACGCTACGGAATCAAAATTCACAGAACGCGAAGTATCAGAGAGTTCCGAAGAACGTTCAGTACCAAGTTCATGACGAGGTTTCCGGGTTCCATCCAATAAACACACAATATTCATTCGTTTTCAGATGGAGATGCTTGGTTCCCATCCAGAATTCATGCGAGCCCTTTTTGTGGGGCAACAACGCGTGCATCATCTCACGCGACAACCCAACGTGTTTTTATCTTGCCCACACAATTCTGAACCCAAAAAGCGGGATTCTTGCATCGCTTTTGCATAAATTGAGCCATAGATTCAGGTAATAATGACAATTTTTCTCTTTTTATGGAAATCATGTTTTTCAGAACGCATACGCCCGTGACTGAGCCAGTGCAAAGCCCAATTCGTGGACAGGGACCACCCTCGGCTCTCATTTGGAGTAACATTGACATTCTTGGGGGAATGCCCACTTTTCTGACTCTGGTTGGACGATAGAGCGTGGTTGAAAAGTACTTCATCGTTTCCAGAACTCGGAAACTCTGAAAATCACAAAATGGCAAGTGGTGCGCGATGTTTACGGTCATTTCGATTGGCGGAAGACCGAGTTGGACATTGAAGGGCCAGAAGGAACATGCCGGATCCTCTACAAGTGCAATTCGGAGAACAACAACTCTTCCGATTTCACAATCCGTTTCCAACTGCAAAAGTCCGACGGAAAATCTCATTTCTATCACTTCTCAATCCCGCGCATTGTCGTTCAAGTTTCCCCGTGATGACCTATTTCTGGAACTAATAATATTTGTCCCGTTGTAGTTCTCATTAGAACCGATATAATCGGTAGTCTCTATGCATCTCATTTCCTATTCCCAATTCACCTTACCCCTCGTTCTCTGTCCCATAGCAGAAAAATAGACGTGTGTGATCAAAAAGAATGACCAAAGCCCGTTTTGGTCGAGATTCAATTGTCCAACCCTTCTTGTACTTTAAATTTCCGGTTCAGACTCATTCCAACAAATTATTATTTTTGAAAATAAATCTCTAATAATGTATTTTGGTAATAAACTAGCTGGATTAATAATTTAAATTTTGCAAAAAACGTTGCAAAAAATGTATTCCGTTGCGGGGAATCGAACCCCGGCCTTATGGGTGAGAGCCATAAATCCTAACCACTAGACCACAACGGAGATGAAGAAAGTGCCGGCGCGCTCCGATAATATGCAAGCACTTGACAGCTGCATTGAGTCATTGAGTCAGCGGAGTTTCTGGTCGATATGTCGATCTCAAGTTTATCAAGAGAGCGGAAGACAACGCTCACGATTTGATAACCCATCACTTGGAACTTTATCATCTCCGTTGTGGTCTAGTGGTTAGGATTTACGGCTCTCACCCGTAAGGCCGGGGTTCGATTCCCCGCAACGGAATTAATCTTTTTGTTTTTTTTCCCTTTTGGAAAACTATATACCCGATTCTGTTCGGATATCATTGTGAAATCCCGTACGACGTGTTATGTCCAAGTTTTTCTATGTATGTGTATCTTTCACTTTCCAAAACCGTATCGATCTGTCTGTTTTTATGAATTGAAAAATCCAATAGACTGTGTGAAAAAAGTGACTCTTTCCAGTGCTGGTACTGGTGACACGGCGAATATGCAAACGCAGTTGATCAAATACGGAGCATCGCTTTTGTTTGTGTCGGCCCAATGCGACGAGTCAGCGGCGAATATTTCGATGACTTTCATCCCGACTTCCATATGGCCGCCACTGCTAACCGAGTACCGTTCGATCAGAATGATCGAAAATATAAGTGTCTCTGCGGACAGCTACATATAAAAGTGAGTTTGAGACGGGAATAAAGACTTATTATGTTTTTTTTTCAGAAAGGTGCGAGGGTTGTAGCAATTCTAGTCAATGTGTTGACCGCTATCAACATCATCTTTAGTTTCACGAGAAGCTCCACAGTGATTGTGTATACTTGCATGAGGTATGAATTTATGAATAGACTCTTGTTGGTTTGATTTATTTATAAATCTAACTACAGCACTGCATTCTCTATCGTCATTTTCGGAAGTCTTCTTTATGGCGTCTGGAAGGAAAAACGTCTCTATTTGTACCCCTACCTCTTTTTTCAGGTTAATACAACTCTAGACTCACTAATTCAACTCCATATTTTAGGTCATCTCAATCTTCATTTCGATCATCATCCTTTTCGCATTCCTCATTTCCATTGCAGTCGGCGCATCAATGGTGATTGATCTGGCCAGAAATGTGGGAAACGTGGATACAACAAGTGAGCAGGCAAAACTGGATGCTGGTAGGAAATAAAGGGTGGAAAGTGGAACAACAGGGAATGGAGATTTTTCTAGATTTGGCCGTCTTCACCGTTCTTTTCATCCTGTTCTTGTGCATCGGCGGACTCATTCAAGCCTATTTCGTTGAAGTTTGACCACGTGAACCTCAAAATGAGATGAAAGTACTGTTTCAGGTGATCTACTCCTTCCATAATTTCCTCAAGGACCGCGAGAACTCATTCTCGTTCAACTTCGAGTCATATGCCAGTAGTGCCTTCGGATCGGAAGCTACCCCGCCACCAACCTACCCGGAGGCTCAGGCTCAGGAAACAGTTTCATAATTTGACAATCCAAATGGCATGCTCATTGTCAAATTTTATCTATATTGTGTTGATGATAAAGTTAATGCTCTGGGACACATCGAACTGCTTGCGGCTTTCTCCAAATTTTAAGAAAATCTAAAAAGATAAGCCGAATTAGTAGATAAAGTCTTCGGAGACCCTGGTTTGATCAAAACTCCATCAAATCAACATCCTTTTCCCTCTTCTCGCGTTTTCCATTCACTTTTTCCGAAATTTTCGCGAATTCTGACCCGCTGCCGCTGCGGCAAAGTGGTAATCGTAGCTGTCGTCATAGGGATTGTGACCCAAATTTCCGCTCGGTGATAGTTGTTGACAAATGGCAGACGGATCAGAATCGAAGCCGGCAGATAGATGAAGATAATATCCGGAGGGGCAGAACTCCAATCACAGTATAATCCCGTGGTCGAATACATTATTCCATTCTCACCGGCCCCAATCTCTTTCTGAATAGCACATGACTCGCCATGCGGCTTATTGTTGCTCGGCTCTTTCTGACTTGCTGATAATGACCCGATTATGGGACGGCGAACTGGAAATGAATGTTCCTAATTCTCTCGTCCGTTTGCCCATTTTACACGTTGCAATCGCTGCCAATCTTGTCTCGTCGATTTGGATCATTGTTTTGTTGCGACCTTTTTTTCCAACAAGCTACTTATACACGTCATATTTTTTTCAAGTTTCTCTAAAATCCGTTCGGTTTTCCGTGAAAACTTGTTTACCACTTCTTAAATTAACAGTTGCCACGAGCGGAATAACAATGCCAGAGAAGAGATAAGCATACCCTATTCAACTAATAACTATGCATAAATTTGCCGGGGCCTTTCTCGTTGCCATCGCTACTCTCAATGATCCCCTCCACCGCATCCTCCCGTTCTCAGCCTCTTTGCCAAATTACCATGTGCTCGGCGGCCCGCTGCGTCATCTCTTTTTTCGACTTTCGCTCATTTGATACTATATTTTTCGTATGATTGGGAAAAAGGCTACATTCTGTTCTGGTCTATTCACATAGAAAACGATGAATTTTGTCGTATGCTTATACAAGTCTGAGAATTTGTTTTCTGTTTTTTTTTAACGAGACATACATTCTGATTACTTATCTTTGGTCTACTTCCAGATGTCGGTCAACATCCCGCCGGTACCTGTCGCCGAACCCGAGAAAGTGATCGCTTTCTTTGTTCCGATCGCAGTTTCCGCCTACGCTACCGAGCTTCTAGTGAGTTTTGCTCAACTTTTCAAAAAACCCTATGCCATTATAGGAATTGGCTCTCCGCGACACTCCAGGGGTCACCGTTTGCGCCGGAACTGTTGTCGACTACCCAAAAGATGCGGGAATTCACCTCTCGGCCCTACGTCCGGATGCTCAGATTCTTCCGGATATGGATTTCCCCGTGGTAAACGAGGAAATCAGGCAGGATGCGTCAAAGAAAAGGAATGTGAAAAAGATCAGATACAGGCACTTTCGTTCAAAACAACTGATTTACAATAGAAGGAAGCTGAAAAAGAAGAAGAAATGCAAGGATTCGCCACCAGAAGCCGCCAATCATCGATGTGCACACGAGCTCTGCGATCAGCTCGCCAAGAAGTACGGGGCGCCGATTCCGAATCCGGACGGAAGTGCGTCGGCACCAAGACTCATGATACAGTACCCCGATCTTCCGTTCATGGTTCCATACCATCAAGAGTTCAACGACATCGGCGTCCCTCGTGAGGTCGTCGACTTCTGCTACACTGCCGTGTTCACCGTGAGTCACATAGTTCTCCCACAGAATTAGGGCACTTCTCGTCATACGACACCCCCTATTTGTGGCGCGCGGGCGGGGGGAAATGATTCCCTTCGTGTTTTTTTACGTTATTAAGTTCAGCTGCCATTCTGTCGGTGGAGATGGCGACAGGTATGAACCGAAAATTGTGTAACAACACCGAACAGCTGAAAATTTTGGGAAATGTTATGGGCATTGAAGCCTTTTTAGAGAAATTTACATATAGGAAGACGTGCAGAGAAAGCAATTACATGATTAGTACGGATGGAAAGTAATCGGATTACCGCACCTGGGCGATGTGACATAATAATGAGCATAGGTGTGAATAAGATGTTAATTGAAGAGCCCGAGCAGATGACACACAAACCCATCATTTTCCAGGCCGACCCCAATGAACGACTGCCGAATCTCAAGCTCGAGGGATCAGAGTGATCCTATTATCCTTTTCTCGTCCTTTTATGCAATCTTCTAATAATTATTCGCTTGTTTGAGCCACGTTCTATTTTCTCTTTTTCCAGTTCTTTGTCTACTTCCATTCATCCTGGCCCTTTCAATAAACCATATTAACATTTCCAAACATTTATTTGAAAAAGGAGACTGTCTAAGCCAGTACAAATCAATCACAATTGTCGGGGGATTACATACAGCAAGAGAGAATCAGTGATTGTACTTTTGTCCGAACCGACGTGGCGATCGATTGGCAAGCTCCATCTCGATCTCGGCAATTGCTTCTTCAATTCCTGACATATCTTCGTTGTGGGCAGCTGGAAAACGAAAAAGTGTGTTTGTCAGCAAGAATGAGGCAAGAGGGAGTTAAAGGTGACTTACTGAGAGCGGCTTCCTCAAATTCCGGAGAGTTGAATGGCTGGGATCGCTTTCCGAAGCGCATTCCCTGGTGACATCCGATGCATTCGCAGCACTCGATTGTCATTTTCCGCTGGCAGACCTGGTCGCACTGTGCGTTTCGTTTGGCTCCTTCAGCGATGCACACAAGGAGAAGGGAGAAGAAGAGAGTCTCTTTCAGTCCGAACATTGTTTGTTGCTTGCTTTACCTGAATAGGAAAGCAATAAATTCCGGGGTAAACAGGGTGGATGTAGGGAGGTGAGAAGCACAAATGAATGAAAAACTATTGCTACGCGCAGCTATTCATAGACAACCGACAAATGGGCGGAGCTCATTATTCATGTTTCTGGGATACGGATTACGCTCTCTCTCTCTTTCTCCTTCAGTTCTTTCCTGTGGTGTGACGTCATTGTCCTGGCAATTTTTTTTTCTCTTTGTGTGACCTTCTTTTCTCTTCCCCACTGTGACCGAGCACAATCACACATTTGCCACAGTTAAACTAGGCACACGCGACGCAACACGCAAACGCGTTGGGCTAGAGTGGAAGGGTGATGAGAGTAACACGTGAGCAGAGACGCAGAGGAAGGAGAGGACCTGCCAACATCGCATTCTTCCATAACATCGCATTCTTCCATCTTTTGTGAATGGAAAAGAGACTTCCTTTCTTCTGTAGTTCGCGTTGATTTTCGTAATTTCTCATCCGTGATTATCATTGTTATTTTTTTTTCTCCTTAACTTTAAGTTCGTTAACTACTTTTCTTACTTCCCTAATATTCAACTAGCTCGTTTAAAACACTTTCTCTCAAAAAATTGAAGAACAACTAACTCTTTGTTTTCAGATAATATCAAATGGCTCGCCCAATTCGAATACGATTTCTCGACAAAGAAATTCATATGGCACCGGCTCAAAATCTGATTGCCAAGTCGTCTATTTTATCAGCCTTTTTGCTCCCTGCAGACGCGACCGTTTCTTTGGCTTATAGAATAAATATCATGGAGATCTTTTGCGAGTAAGTCACATGTGGATTATTTCTGATTGATTTCAATTAATTTAGAATGAATGTAACTGGTGATGTTTTTCTTCTCCCTACCGATTGGCAAGACGATTATTACGTCGAGTCGAGCAGAATCCCTTCGCGGCCTGCGTCATCGCTGAGAGGTTTGTATAATTTACGATTGAATTATTTTCTTTTATTAAACATCTTTAATTTCTATGTTTTTATACAACAATTGGGATTTTTACTTACAATATTCATTTTAGGCAGCTTGGACGAGCACCATCAGGAACGATCAGAATCTCCGCGTATCTTCGATGGTATCTGATTTCAAACAGTCTAACAATTTATTGCTGATTTTTAGAGCGATTGGCAAAGGAGCTCCGAAATCGACTCTACTTCATACCACGAGCACAGAAGGCTTTTCACGATCCAGAAGAGTCTTCTGAGGAAACGAGTCAAAATGAGATAAACGGCGGATGCGTATCACCCATCTCACCCCGTGCGGCAGTAACATATGCCCACAGATCCAATAAAAAGCTTCGCGTTTACGATGAAGAAAAGAATTCGGAAGAGAATGTGCGTGGCATTGTTGAAATTCGGCAGTGCGACAATCCATCCATTCGACATACAATGAAGGTTTCTCAAAAGAATGTTTTTTTATAATTGATTCAATATTTTGTAGGTGATCGTTGTCGATTGTCATCACGACTTCGTGATTCTGTACTCCACTGTCGGCCGCGATATCTTCGACGACTATCCTTTCTCAAGTCGTTCCCCGAGGAACTTCGAGTGGTTTCTCGGCTTCGGTCTGAGCTACAAAAACCAAGGAGGACAACAAGTAACACATCGCTCCGGCCGGATCTGCTCCATCATGGTTGACTATAGAGGGCAAATGCTGGCAAGTGCTTCCATCGACGGAGGAAATTCTGGCGGCCCGTGTTACTCAGAAGACCGATCTCTGATCGGGATCATGGTGTCGTCGACTACAACAGATCCTTTGCTCGCACATGAATATGATCGTGAAACAATGGAAGAGGAGCTGCGAGACGCATCCAGCAGTCCGGCCGATACCTGGATAACACCCGGAAACTTGATAATAGAAGCATTCAGAGTAAGTTATTTTAAAACCTATAAATTTGCATATAATATTTTTAGATCTGGCAAGTACAACAAGGAATTATTAAAGTCCGACGAGAAAGAGAGCGTGGAGGTTCGAAAGCGAAGCGTAGGGCAATTGACTCATCGTGACCAAGTTTGGATTTCTTTCCGATCATTTTGACTGTAAAAAATTACTGAATTAATATGTTAGCGTAAAATAAAAGCGTATTTAATGAAGTTAGTCAAAAGCTTTAGGGCTTTATCGAATCATAATGCATTCATTTAGCATTTTTTTATTCACCGTTCTACCGCATTTTTCTCGACCATCTCGACCACTGGATTTCGACCATATTTTTTATAACGCACTTTTCGACCATTTCCCCATTTTTGAAATTTGCTGAAAATGACACATTTTTGATGACCGAAGGTTAGAAATCAATGAAAATAAGCCTTAAAATGGCTTAAAATGTGTAAAAATTGAAGGTGGTCGAAAAGCTGCGGTAGAACGGCAAAATACATATTATTCACCGTTCTTTTCATCCTGTTCTTGTGCATCGGCGGACTCATTCAAGCCTATTTCGTTGAAGTTTGACCACGTGAACCACAAAATGAGATGAAAGTACTGTTTCAGGTGATCTACTCCTTCCATAATTTCCTCAAGGACCGCGAGAACTCATTTTCGTTCAACTTCGAGTCATATGCCAGTAGTGCCTTCGGATCGGAAGCTACCCCGCCACCAACCTACCCGGAGGCTCAGGCTCAGGAAACAGTTTCATAATTTGACAATCCAAATGGCATGCTCATTGTCAAATTTTATCTATATTGTGTTGATGATAAAGTTAATGCTCTGGGACACATCGAACTGCTTGCGGCTTCCTCCAAATTTTAAGAAAATCTAAAAAGATAAGCCGAATTAGTAGATAAAGTCTTCGGAGACCCTGGTTTGATCAAAACTCCATCAAATCAACATCCTTTTCCCTCTTCTCGCGTTTTCCATTCACTTTTTCCGAAATTTTCGCGAATTCTGACCCGCTGCCGCTGCGGCAAAGTGGTAATCGTAGCTGTCGTCATAGGGATTGTGACCCAAATTTCCGCTCGGTGATAGTTGTTGACAAATGGCAGACGGATCAGAATCGAAGCCGGCAGATAGATGAAGATAATATCCGGAGGGACAGAACTCCAATCACAGTATAATCCCGTGGTCGAATACATTATTCCATTCTCACCGGCCCCAATCTCTTTCTGAATAGCACATGACTCGCCATGCGGCGTATTGTTGCTCGGCTCTTTCTGACTTGCTGATAATGACCCGATTATGGGACGGCGAACTGGAAATGAATGTTCCTAATTCTCTCGTCCGTTTGCCCATTTTACATGTTGCAATCGCTGCCAATCTTGTTTCGTCGATTTGGATCATTGTTTTGTTGCGACCTTTTTTTCCAACAAGCTACTTATACACGTCATATTTTTTTCAAGTTTCTCTAAAATCCGTTCGGTTTTCCGTGAAAACTTGTTTACCACTTCTTAAATTAACAGTTGCCACGAGCGGAATAACAATGCCAGAGAAGAGATAAGCATACCCTATTCAACTAATAACTATGCATAAATTTGCCGGGGCCTTTCTCGTTGCCATCGCTACTCTCAATGATCCCCTCCACCGCATCCTCCCGTTCTCAGCCTCTTTACCAAATTACCATGTGCTCGGCGGCCCGCTACCTCATCTCTTTTTTCGACTTTCGCTCATTTGATACTATATTTTTCGTATGATTGGGAAAAAGGCTACTTTCTGTTCTGGTCTATTCACATAAAACGATGAATTTTGTCGTATGCTTATACAAGTCTGAGAATTTGTTTTCTGTTTTTTTTTAACGAGACATACATTCTGATTACTTATCTTTGGTCTACTTCCAGATGTCGGTCAACATCCCGCCGGTACCTGTCGCCGAGCCCGAGAAAGTGATCGCTTTCTTTGTTCCGATCGCAGTTTCCGCCTACGCTACCGAGCTTCTAGTGAGTTTTGCTCAACTTTTCAAAAAACCCTATGCCATTATAGGAATTGGCTCTCCGCGACACTCCAGGGGTCACCGTTTGCGCCGGAACTGTTGTCGACTACCCAAAAGATGCGGGAATTCACCTCTCGGCCCTACGTCCGGATGCTCAGATTCTTCCGGATATGGATTTCCCCGTGGTAAACGAGGAAATCAGGCAGGATGCGTCAAAGAAAAGGAATGTGAAAAAGATCAGATACAGGCACTTTCGTTCAAAACAACTGATTTACAATAGAAGGAAGCTGAAAAAGAAGAAGAAATGCAAGGATTCGCCACCAGAAGCCGCCAATCATCGATGTGCACACGAGCTCTGCGATCAGCTCGCCAAGAAGTACGGGGCACCGATTCCGAATCCGGACGGAAGTGCGTCGGCGCCAATACTCATGATACAGTACCCCGATCTTCCGTTCATGGTTCCATACCATCAAGAGTTCAACGACATCGGCGTCCCTCGTGAGGTCGTCGACTTCTGCTACACTGCCGTGTTCACCGTGAGTCACATAGTTCTCCCACAGAATTAGGGCACTTCTCGTCATACGACACCCCCTATTTGTGGCGCGCGGGCGGGGGGAAATGATTCCCTTCGTGTTTTTACGTTATTAAGTTCAGCTGCCATTCTGTCGGTGGAGATGGCGACAGGTATGAACCGAAAATTGTGTAACAACACCGAACAGCTGAAAATTTTGGGAAATGTTATGGGCATTGAAGCCTTTTAGAGAAATTTACATATAGGAAGACGTGCAGAGAAAGCAATTACATGATTAGTACGGATGGAAAGTAATCGGATTACCGCACCTGGGCGATGTGACATAATAATGAGCATAGGTGTGAATAAGATGTTAATTGAAGAGCCCGAGCAGATGACACACAAACCCATCATTTTCCAGGCCGACCCCAATGAACGACTGCCGAATCTCAAGCTCGAGGGATCAGAGTGATCCTATTATCCTTTTCTCGTCCTTTTATGCAATCTTCTAATAATTATTCGCTTGTTTGAGCCACGTTCTATTTTCTCTTTTTCCAGTTCTTTGTCTACTTCCATTCATCCTGGCCCTTTCAATAAACCATATTAACATTTCCAAACATTTATTTGAAAAAGGAGACTGTCTAAGCCAGTACAAATCAATCACAATTGTCGGGGGATTACATACAGCAAGAGAGAATCAGTGATTGTACTTTTGTCCGAACCGACGTGGCGATCGATTGGCAAGCTCCATCTCGATCTCGGCAATTGCTTCTTCAATTCCTGACATATCTTCGTTGTGGGCAGCTGGAAAACGAAAAAGTGTGTTTGTCAGCAAGAATGAGGCAAGAGGAAGTTAAAGGTGACTTACTGAGAGCGGCTTCCTCAAATTCCGGAGAGTTGAATGGCTGGGATCGCTTTCCGAAGCGCATTCCCTGGTGACATCCGATGCATTCGCAGCACTCGATTGTCATTTTCCGCTGGCAGACCTGGTCGCACTGTGCGTTTCGTTTGGCTCCTTCAGCGATGCACACAAGGAGAAGGGAGAAGAAGAGAGTCTCTTTCAGTCCGAACATTGTTTGTTGCTTGCTTTACCTGAATAGGAAAGCAATAAATTCCGGGGTAAACAGGGTGGATGTAGGGAGGTGAGAAGCACAAATGAATGAAAAACTATTGCTACGCGCAGCTATTCATAGACAACCGACAAATGGGCGGAGCTCATTATTCATGTTTCTGGGATACGGATTACGCAGGAGAAGTCACTTTGGCTCCTCCCATTTCAGAAAAATGCGAAAGAGGGGTTAGAGAAGCGAATTCTGTCTGTAGCAGGTGGAAAAGGCGCGGGGAGCTGGCGCAAATACCTTCGACGCCCGCCGACGGTTTCGTCAGAAATTGACTACAGAAATGCACCTGTTTGCTGGTGTTTTGTTCAGATGTCAGGAGATGTGGGCATGTGGGCGCGTTCGGCCTTTCCGTTTCTATTTTTGAACCATATCCTGAATGAGGAATGTGCAACAACTTTTTCCAAAACTTTCAGCACACACCACACTACGCAAACCTCATTACTAGAAAAGGATATACAGGGATCACAAAAGGTCAAATTCAATTAACCGGCGCACAAAGTAGTAATTGAAAAAATGTATCTTCATTTCGTCATCTGTTCAAAAAATTGATCCGAAAAGTCACGAAACTGGAAATAAAAGAGCGTTGCGAGCTCTTTCTCGTTTGGAAGAGTATATTAAAGAATAGAATAGAAACAGGGAGGTCAAGAATGAGAATTGAGAGGGAGATCGAGATCATCACGCATTTCACTTCCATTTTTCGCTTCCCCCGAAACAACACGGATCTCCTTTGATATTTAGTTTCAAATGGCGGAGTGCCCTCTCGCCAATTGAAATTCAACGCTTGTTTCAATTGCCACCATCTCCCCCCGCCCTCCAGGAAAAAATACACATCATTATAGTGGTGTTTCGTTGACGTAAAAAGTTTTATCTTTCTATCTACACTAATTTATGGAATACGAAAATGACGACGAAAACGGTGCTTTGCTCCACTCTAAAGGTAGATAGTTCAATGAACTTATTATACATTCGGCCAAGAATTAATGCTGGTTGTTATTCGTCGGAACTGAGCTGAACATGGCGATTTCGTCACTTTCTGGGGATGCGATTCTGAATAATTTTGAGTTGTTTTCTCAGGTACTACTAAAAAATGGGTGAGTTGGTGCTTTAAACTGACCTGCGGGATGTGATCCTATCCAGAATTTCTTCAGTTGTAGCGTCATAGTCGGGCACCACTTCAACGGTTATTCCGAGATGAGAGCAGTCGGAGAAGCGGCGGGCGTGTGTTTCCGGGTAGACGGCAATTGTCTGAATTGAGTTTGTTAGCAGGGGACTCAAATGTTTCAAAACTCACCGATGTTCGGATTAGGGTTACAAACTTTGGATTTGTGATCGCAGGGGCACCAACAACCACTTCATCGACTACCTAAACCTTTTCTTTCCAGATTTATCAAAAGAACACATATTTAAAGAAAAAGTGTCAAAAATCATGCAATGAAATTTTAGTACTAAAACCCGGACCCGCGACAAGTATACTTCTTTCAAATTTTCCTGAATCAGACCTTCAACGACGTTATATTGAGTGTCCGCTCCAACAAGTTCATAACTGGAAAAATAGTTCCTTTTTCTTCATTCACATCCTGAAATGTGCTGTTAATGCAAATATCATGCTAATATGCGCATTCTTACATCATCTCCAACGATTCCAACTATCAAATAGTCGCCCAACTCCTTAGCTGCCTCCAAAAATGCCAAGTGACCCGCATGGAAAAGATCAAAACCGCCGCTGACGTACACAACCTGTAAAAGTTGTTTCTTTGTCTCACAATTGTTCCTTGTTATTCTATATTTTTTCCATTCTTTTGTTCCTGGTCTCCTTCTCCTAGTTCTCTTCCTTTCGCAAAAAAAAAACACGCGTCATACAGTATGCCCACATCGTTTTCGCAGACCTTTGCCGATCACTTCACTTTTCCACCTGTTCTCTCGAAACGAAAAGAATGATGTGATGTCAGAAATGAGTGAGTAATAGCGTGCTCGATTGCGTGTGACAGGCGTCTACTTCTACTTCACAAACGTTTTTTATTGTGGAACTTTCTGGGAGAGGAAAACGTTGAAGTGCTTGTACGAAATGCTTGAGGATGCACAAGAAAGTAACTAATCTTGCCGCCGCGAATAATAAATTCTTGTTTGTCCCTCACCTTGTCCGTCAATTTTGGTTTTCTGCCGATGACGAGGGGAGAAAATGTGTAGTTTTGTTTGAAAAGGGACACCGATGTGACTGGCTCGTTGCTCGAAGGGTCCTAAAACATAAAGTGATGTCAAGCAAGCAGACAAGGGTAACCAGATTTGTCAAATCCAGAACCGACTGTGACAGCAGCCGGCCCAGACCATGACAATCAATTCAATTTTTGATGTTTTTTTAATTTCTTGGTTTTTCAATGTTTCTATAGATATGAATAAGACTTACCAGAGAAAATGGAAGGATTGCACTTTTGAAATCGAGTATCGAATCCGTTTCCATGTGATGAGTTTTAGTGTTTAGCATTAGTCGTCCAGCAACTTCCTAGAAATGAAGAAAATATTATTTATTTGGATATTTCGTATGTTTACTTGATCAGTGACATGCTCCGAAATCACATATTGTTTTGCCCGTTCACTGCCACGAATGTCCTCGTACCTTGAGCTCTCAACAGTTGTCGGGTGGCTAATATCTGAAAGCCAGAGGACACCAGATGCTCAACATCTGGTCGTTTGTTCGGTTTACGGACAACTTTCGGCATAAACAAGTCAATCGATTCAACTCACCTGGAATAGCAATAATATCACAGTCCAATTGGTTGAGCGTTGAGGATTCTGGGTGGAATGGGGCATCGTCGAACGCCTCGTCGACCCATCTGATGGCAGAAATCAGCCGAAACCGTTCTTCATCTGTGAAAACTGGCAGAATCCCGTTGTTATCGAGCTGAAACGTGAAATATTCGGAATAACCTTTAGTCTTTTGTTAACTCGCCTCATCGTCAGAGTGAATTCCGACAATCAATTTCTTACCGTATTGTTTAGCCGGCCAGAGCAATCTGGCATTTGCAAAATGTACAAAATCAAAACTGAACGTTTTCGATTACACTTTTAAACCATTTCAAAACGAACCATCCATCAGTGTACACACGCGCCTTCTTCTTCTCTCCATCTGGAGTCAAACCTTGTGCCTTTGCTTTGAGCATAGTCAGACAATTGATAAATTGTGAGATGAAAGGTGATAGGGAGAGGAGAGAAACGGGAAGCAGAAGAATAAGAAGAAGAAGACCCGGTTGTTCAACTGATGGCGGGACCTTTTCTCTTCTCCATCTTTCTCTCTCTCCAAGTGTAATGCGCTCTCTGCACAAAGAGTTGATGCTCTTGTCCTCGTTACACAAGGTGGTTGCGGGTGGATTCCGTCATTAGAGAAGAGCAGTGTAACTCTTCGCACATGTCCCTGTCAAACATGCAGTGTTTTGATAGAGATGGATTGAGAAAAAATGACTGGGGTTACGACAATACAGAAATAGGAATACAAATAGGTAATAAGTGTTCTCTGCGCGATGAAAGCAAAGATCATCGTTATCCGTGTGAAAATCGCTGACCTCTCTGCGACATTTCACGCATTTCCAGTTCAGTTCTTTCTTATTGATCCAGACTGTTTCACTTAGACGGAGAATCTTCTGGAATGTTTTAGAATAGTTATGTCGGACATGTTGCTTATTTTTGACCTCAATGACGTTTTTTCTTTATATCTTTCCATCAACCGGCCGTGACTGCCGCCAAAACACAAGCACAAGGACACCGGAGAGTGCGTTCTTTTATCGTAGATCGTTATTTACCAGTCTTGTTCCATAATTTCTTTTTTAAGACATTGCTGTCACAATACCCTACGGTACCTAACGGAAACTTTTTTCACACTTATCGAATTCACGCGTCTTAACCTACAAATTGCTCACAACTCTAAGCAAAGGTTTGGGGGCCAGTATGCTCGAACTGTGCTTGCATTCTAGCCGCGAAACCCCTGCTTTGTGTTGGAAGAGGCAGGAGTGGGAGAATAGAATAGAAAGTGAGAATAGGCAGGCATCAGCAGCTTTTGCTGCTGAATGAATAGAAACGGTCGCCTCTTGTACGCTTCTGCTCAACAGAATGAGGGCGGAGCCGAGTGAGTCACAATCGTCGGGCAGCTCGCCTCTGCAAATCTAACACATACTGTATTGATTGGGTCGGTGTGTAATGAAAGATGCTCCGAAGACAATGGATTGAATTGAAAGTCAGCACGGAGATCCATTTGATTTGTGTTGAAGGGAAGAATTCTATGACAAAAGGAGTATGTGTGAGTAATAAACGTCTTCAACAGCTTGAAATGTTCAATATATATATAGAATTGTTATGTTTGTTCTGCTGTGCTGTAAGTTATTTTTCTTTTTTCTCTCAGCGACCTAGAAATCTGAACATCTCTTATCTTCTCTATTCCGCATCGAAATCGCAATCAAAATCAAACCAAACACATTCATATGATATCCGCTTTCACGATCTTTTGATCCCACATATCGTACAGTGTTCTACAACCCGTACCGTATCGACAGATTTCCATTAGCATATAATTCCCATCCGTTCATGGTCCCACTGATTAGTTACCAAAGGACAATGTCTATATTTCTAATCTGTGATGAAATAAAGTCACTTGTGCATAGCACAACACCATCGATCGTCTACCGTACACCTTCCCAAAACATTTGCATTCTCTCGGTCCCCATGTACCAGTCACAACATTGCATTTTGCTTAGTCATAACCAAGTTGACGAAAAAACACGTCATCCGAGCTCGCTTTGTGTATTTGAGAACCCCATGAGAACCTTGATTCGCCCGAAAGAGTATTTTGGACCATAATTTACGAGGGGTACGGGGATGGCTAGGTATCAAGATTTTATCGGTTTACTAGAATGTTTCCATTCCGTCGCGCGTAATTTCGAGTATAAAGGCGATTTCTTCTTTTCGCTCTTCTCCATTTTCACCAATCCGCTCCGCCTGTTCATTCGTGATAAACAATATCTGTGCAGGTTATTACAACCTTGAAAAACGCGAATTCCACCACGCCCCGTCGGTTGTTGACAGTTTCGTCGCATTCGTTTCAATCTTCATTCTGTCTTGCAATTACCATGATGGAAATCAGAACTGCAAACTGCGGTAAGTATGCAATCACGCGGTCCAACTAAAAAATTATTTTTAAGATATCAAAGAATACGCCGCAAGAATATTCAAGAAATACTCGGACACGGTTTTTGCAGACGATTATGAAGGGGTACCTCGAGTTACGTGCACCTTACCTAAAACAAATTTGTTTTTTTAGCTATTGAGTTTCTACGACGACAGTGCGGTGCTGATCGAACGGGGAAAAGAAAGTTTCTACGGAGTCGGCAACATCATCGACGCCATCAAAGCGTACCACGCAGGACTCGGCCCAGGAACCACACAGGTACGTTCGCAGACTGACGGAAGACATTCGCATTGTAATAGAACAAGGTGCGTTCTCAGAACTCGGAGTTCAAGGTCGAGTACACCGACAATGTGATCACTATTCGTTGCAAATACCGCGTGAGTCGCCCTTGGGTTTTTTATCTTTAGCCTTATCATATTACAATTAAGGTGCAGTCCGTGCTTTCCAATGAGACCTGGGAGGGCGAGTACGTACAGTACTGGAAGAGCGAGATCGGACAGCTGCCGAAGATCATTCGCGACGAGTTCAGCATCGACAAAAGATATTAGTTGTACCTACCTATCCCCTTCCCGCCCACGCACTTTGTAGCTTCTTTGCTTTTGCGTTTGCAAAACTCTTATAAACTTTGAACTTATCTTTGAATGAAGAGGACACTGTTGTCAACAGTAATTGTTACTTTTTCACGTGAAGAGCCACTTGATCTTCTCATGAGACGTTCTGGGGCTCACTGATAGATCTTGTCGTCAGTTCAAAGAATGTTCAGTTCGAAATGAACCGGAATTGGGAATGATTGCATGTTGCACCGGAAGTACAGTAGTCATGTGATCTTGAACGTTCTAGTGGCCGTGCCTCTATTGAAACCTCAAAACCAATAAATTCCAGTCCGATATTGGCGTTTCAATTGGCAACAAGAGGCCTCGAATGAGACACTCTTTGGCTTCGAACGAAATGAATAATCCATCCCATCGGCCGCTCTCCTCCAAGCAGCGAAACAAAACGAAACGAGCCGAATTCCTGCCGCCGCTTCCGTTTTCGCTTTTCTGTCAGCTCTGTTGGCCCAAATACTCCATTCATCATTTTAACACCGGAGTTTGTGATGGAAACAGTGCGCGCGTCAAGTGGGGCATTTGGGGGGAGCCCCGCAGTACTCCGAATTATTTCTATTTGCTATTGTCTGGCAAATTGCTTCGAATTTTTTTGTGACTAACCAAAAAAAAAGTTGAGCCAACCCACTTTTGGAAAAAAGTTGGAGTTGACAACCATTCCGCCAACAAGGATCATTAGAAATGATTACACCACACCACACCACACACACACACACACACAAATACTTGTGTTTCCATTCTGTTTCCCTAACCTTGTATTTATGCGTTGTCTGCTCCAATGAGCGCAGTGAGTCGTGAAATTACTCGCTCGGAATTTTCCTATAAAGGTGCAATAAGAGAGTGTACACCGCCTTTTCTCCTCCAGTCTATGACGTGATTTGAATATTAAAAAACGAAGAAGGGAAGCAAAGATGGATTAGTTGTCGGACGAAATGTTCCCAATTTCAGATGAATTCTATCTATCACTCGTGTTTTTCTCCGTTCCAGAACATGCAGTCCTTCCGTTTTCCGCCGTCGGTCACTCATCTGAAATGCATTTCAATCGCTCTTCATACTCCTTTCTTCTCCTTCTCATCTATGTTTCTTCTTAGCTCTCTTTGGAAGCCAGTACGCCACAGGCACATTTTTTCTGATAACTTTTCTGTTTTTTTTTTCTAGATCTCTAAAAGTACGTACTTCCTAGGAAATCTTGTCCCAAAAAGGTCTTCTTGTGACCCAGCTCACGTTAAAAATACTTTGTGTTGTTGGATACTGAACTTACTGCTTTCTCCCCGTGAGTGTGTCTCTTTTTTTACTCAAATATTCGCCAACAAACGTAATTGTATTTTCTCCAAAAACCTACAACGATTTTCTTTGTCTCCCGGCCAGCGATGGCGGCATTTCTGATACACTTTCCTGGAAATAAGGACAAGTGTTTGCCCGAATTCTCTTTGTTTTCTGCAATTCTTTGTTCAATTGATATCAATTAATCACGTGATTTGTTTCGTGTCAAGCACAATGAGCCGCGAGGAAATGTTTCTCCCCCTGCCTCAGCTCATCCTTTTGTCGAAAGAAGCAAATGAGGGGAAACAAATCGCATCACATTTGGGATCTTCCGATGTCTACCAGCTCGGTTTCTCCCCTATTTGCTCGTGTTGATATAATTGAATAAGTTAGCGATCTCACTTACCGCTTCCTCCTTTCTTTTTCTTCTATTTCTTCTGCACTGAACCTCCTTTTCTCGCTCCTGTCACCGGTTTATTGTCGTTTTATGGTTTTGGCATTGCTCTCGGAACATCCCTCCTCTTTCTTTCTGTTTCAGAGACGAAATCCTCAGACCCCTCTGCAAAACGGAAAGCAAACAATAATCAGGTGAGGCTGTGTGTACTGTTCTGCCGAAAATGTCAGATTTCCGTTGCTTTTTGATGTTTTTGTTGTTTTCACTCGGAAAACACGTCTTTTCGACACCTATGATCTGCAGGAGTTCAAACATTTCAAAACTTTTCCACAATGTTCCATGGGTAGAAAATGCTTGAGTACCACGAAAAAAATGAATGGAAATAAAGAAATAAGGAAGTTTTCATGAGGGCTCAAACGTGAACGACTATGGCTATGAACCGAACCGAAAAGCTAGCCGGATGGGCAGTCGAGGCGCGTTGTAAATATACTAGAATATTCGATTAATATTGTGATCATCGTTGATATCATACATAAAATCCGTCTCCGCTCTTCAGTCTTTACTCTTGTCAACCTTTGGACACATTTCACTGTCAGTTTGGGTCGGAATTCATTGTCTCCGACTGAAAGAAAAGAAAACAACTGCGGTAACGAAATTCGACAAAGACGGCGGCGGGGGCATGCTGTTCGTGTGTTCTGCTCATCGAGCATCATCGACCCCCTATCAAGTTTTGTTGTGTGTGCTCCATCCATTCTCCACTTGGCTTGGGGCCGTCCTGTTGTGAGCTGTGAGCCAGTTCTAACTTTTCTTCTTCCACACAGTTTTCTCACAACACACACTATTTCCGTTTCCGTTCGCATTCGCGTTCTCCTTCCCTTTTTTCTCAAATCGTTTCCGTTAGTTAGCTTCCCATTTTGCATAATCCTCCCATCTGCCCATCTCAAAGCAAAGGAAACGAAGGTTCTCTTTTCCATCATCCCACCCAACGCTTCATTCGAACTCACTCATTTCCTGAACTCATCTTTTTTGGTGTGCTCAATTTCGATTTCGATCCTATTCATCACATCATTCGCTCCTTCTTGCCCTCATTTTTATATATGAACTAAAGATAAGGAATAATTAATAGCGAATTTGAAAGGGAAATGGAGAGGAAATGGGCAAAAAGACGAAAAAGAAGACAATTTGACTTTTATTCGTTTCAATTACCCTTCCTCCCCCACAACCCGTCGATCCTATATCTTTCCAACAATTTTGATGGGTGGGGTGGCTAGTTTTTATGGCGTCGAGCAATAGATCCAAATTCAATTTTCAATATTTTTGCTTCAAGCTCGACTAGCTCTGTTCACAAGTGCACCACTCACTCAAACACACACATGTTTTTTTGATGATGACCCATTGAACCGAATGCCCACCCGTTAAGCATCAAAGCTCACAACCCACCCAATCAGGACGATGTTTTCTCTTCTTCTCCTTTTTCTTCTTCTTCTTCTTCCTTTTCCTCTCTCGCTATCTAATCATTTTGATCTTGCTCTTGCTCCGCCGCCGAGTGTTGCATGTTCGGACGTTATCTCTCAAGGGACTCTTTGCTTTATTGATAGGTTTTCATTGGTTAGTTCAAAAGTGCATATGGCGGGAGTGGAAGTGGGAGTGGGAGTTTCAAAGTGATTGAGTGTCTTCCCACCACGACGCCCGAGGGCTTAAAGCCAACAAGTCACACTTACTCATCGTTGTTTACCACATCATTTCTTGAAATCATTATTCCTCCCATTTTTGTGCTTCTCAGAAGGGTAGGATAAAAAACCAATAAAACCAGCAGCGCCGAAAGCCAAAAGCCAATATTGTTCTTTCGAGGAGGCGCAACGATGGAGAGGGTCTCGTTAATGATGGTCCCCGTATGGTAGCATTCGATGTTTTACGAGAGCCTCGGTCTTCTCGCTTTAATGAAAGGCAACATGCACTGATGAGAAGCTGCTGCCTTCCGACCACTTTGGTAGTCATTCTGAATGAGCCTAGGAGCGGCGCCTTCTTCTTTCAAGTCATTTTGTGCGTATGTATTTTTATTGTCCTCACATGTTCTGTGGCGTACACGACCTTCTCTAGCACATTATGTGTGAAAAAAGTGTTCCACATTCATTGTGCTAGATACTTTTCTGAATTCTTTTTCTGGGGAGGAGGTCCTAAACGCAATTTCACTAACATTTTTTCTTTGATCCGATAAAAGTACGAAGATTGACTCCTTTTTGCACACAGAGCAAAAAAGAAGCACTGATTTCAATTTACGTTGCCTCCTACGTCTTGCCCATTTCCGATTAGCTGTGCCACCCCTAACCTAATTAGTTTTTCTACACTGTCTTCTACAAATCAAATCGCAAATGTTCCCGACTACTACTATACCTATTCGCCCATTCTCTTCGTGTCTTTTTCCCTGATTGGAACACTTCAGCGGCTCACCCAAAGCCTGGCACATGCCTTGGGGCCAATTCCCAGGACAGTCATAAGAAGGAATTATATAGTTCCGTCGGAGCCGTGAGCGCCCCTTCACCCCCACACATTTCCCATTCTTCCTGCCCTCCTCCCTCCCACATTTCATTCGAAGGTTGAAAGTGAAAGTTGAAGTGGTTTCGTATTTTCTATTCCTTGTACTTGATTTTTGACTGTGAAAGATCAGTCAAATCCAGCTAAATCCTCCTTATCCTGAACAAAATAGCAAATGACGCACATAACCCTCCCGTCAAAATCCGGCAGTAAAGGACAACACCTAGTGCATGGCAACTTGTTGATTTGATTATTTCGTAGTCCGTCTGACTACGATTCGATAAAAAAAGTGTTTGTGGCTGGCAGAAAAAGCGAGTGAGAAGAAGGAAACTCGATTAGGTGTATGAGATAGAGAGAAATGGAGCGAGCGACACTGGAATCATAAGCCCGGGACACGAAAACGACGCGTAACCCTATTTTCAGATTTTCCCCCCAATTCCTTTTTTTCATTTTTTTCCTGCCGTCCGTCTTCCAATCCATTGTCGCTCTCTAACTATTATTTACTAATGGTGTTTTGAACGCTTTCACCAATTCCAAAGAATTCTTTTGCTTTCGGCTCGCTGTTTGTGGGAATTTTTCTCCTTTTTACACCTTTCTCAAACGGAAGCAAGGAAATGTTCTCAAATTGAAACGCGGAAAACAGCCGCTACCCGCCACCACCACTACAACCGGCGCCATTCAAGTTTTTATGCTAATTCGGTGAAAAAGTGCTAATGGATTCAAGTCGTTCAGTCAGTTGGCAGCTGTCCGATGATAAATGAGCACGACTAGCGGAACGGCTCATCTCGGTATTTTCGGCATCCTCCTACTTTTTCTTCTTCTTTTTCTTCTTCTCACTTCATCCTTCTGCACCCCTCGTTGCCTGGATATGTGACCACTTAGCTTCTTCTTCTTCTTCTTCTTTTTCTGCACCATGAGCTCTTTTGACATACATACCTGCTCATAAACTCATGACTCTCTCTCTCTCTCTCCCCTTTCTATCCACAAAATGCCACAAGCACCAATTGATCCGAGGGTCTCGACAACGAGTAAAGGAGGTCTCCCTCTCACGTTTATGCCTAGTTGTTATTCTTTTATTGCGCTCCGTGTCATTTCCTTCTTTCTTCCCATCCGCCCGCTCCTAAAAAATGACGACGACGCGCCAACGGACGGCTCATTTTTTCGTGAGCGTGGTCCCCGGTGGAATGGCAGCTTTCAACGCGTTCTCACTTGTAAATCAGCGTGAATTTTTATGAGAAAGAGAAAAGTTGGGAGGGGTTCGGAGCTCCGTTCGGCGGTGGACTACTTCTACTCAAAAACAAAAAGATCGCCGCTCCAGCTGGATGAGGACCGCATAAATTATTATGCAGGCAGCAGTGGGGCGCTGGCGGCGGCTACTGATGGATTTGCGATTGACAAGAAAGACAAGAGTTGCAAACTTTTGAATTCTCTCACAATTAGTCCTTCTTGCTCATGGGGGGGGGGGATTCCACGGGTCTCAGCTCAGCTTTTTATCGTGACCCTTCCGCTATTGCACATAAGACAATGCAAATCATGTTCTATTAAGCATCTGGATTGAGGAATTGAGGAACAAGTGCACTCCCGCACCAATGGAGACGAGTTCATCAGAAAAAGTGTAATCTAATGAACTCAAAATAAAGAATGTTTCAGGAAATCTGAATTTTTCGTAAACGAACATGTCAGGCAAGAATAATTTCTAAATGACGAAAAAGCTGAACCCGCACTTTTTCATTTTTTGTTGAAAATCTTCTGCAAATGACAGGTCAGCATTTCAGTCATGCAACAAGCTTGGCGTGTTTGAGCATTTTTGCTCCGTCATCATTTCTACACGTTCTTGAGAATCCTGGACCAGCGCCGTCCCCCACTCCACTTTGTTCTCATCCAGCTTTTCAGCATCACATTACATTTTTCTCAATTCCTTCCCTTTCCTCTTCTCATTTTCTCCAATTCCTCTTTGCCATGTCATTATACCATTTGCCACTGAAATAGTGATATTTGTTGCGCCCTTTGTCGTTCCAACGCTACGCTTCTTTTTCTTCTTCTTCTTCTTCTTCTGCTCCTCCTCTCGCAAACTCTCCATTCCTCCACTCCAATGTTGTAATTATCGCCTAATTTTTTGTCCATTTGCTGATCAAAGACAGGAAAAAACAACACACTTTTTGCGGTTTTTTTTCAGTTTTTGTTTGCCCAAAGATTAGAAGCGAACACAAAACGAATCCGACTACTCACGTTCGGTATCAAAAACAAACGCCAGACGCAAACAGGAGCGTTTTCTATCCAAAATGTTCGAGAACCTTTTCCGGAACACTTATCACTTATTCCCATGGGAATTCTTTCGCCCTTTTGCTCGTTTTAGCATATGTTTTGTATGAGGCTGTCTTTCAACTTGCCTTTCTAAGAAATGACGTGACTTTATCTGCGTTTACAAGTTTTTCACATAAAATGGATGACATCTGTATCATGACTCTGATGAACTTGCACTTTTTGTGAACTGCTCAAAACGTGAACTTTATCAGAAGTTGGACCAGTTGGATCAAATAGAGATTATCCAACGCCTCAATTTTCCCCAGAACAGCTGTTAGTTTACAAGACCTATCATAAAAAACCAAAAGACCTTTTGCTCGGTGTAAAAATGAGGTCATCCCACACTTTGATACTTCCAACTTCTTTGTCAGAGAATCATGAGGAAATGGAGCAAAAGTCATTCTATAGTACACTATCAACAAACACATGTCGACTTGTCGTGTCTCTCGTCAAAAAGCTGCTTTGCCACACAGAAAAATGTCTGTGTGATGATAGACGTTGGTCAATCCGGCGGCTGTCGTCGTCGTCGAACAACTGTCCGCGTCTACAACACCGCACGGACATGTCTTAACTCTCGGATAGCACCCGCGGATGAGTTATAATTCGATCCGAGCAAACCCTCATTGACCCAATCCAATCAATGTTGAGCTTTGAGGCCTACATGCCGTCCGTTTTTCTTGGTGGCCTCTCTCTTGCAAGCGGTTCTTCTTTTCTCCAGTGGAAGAAACTCTAATCCTTCTCGTCATCCGGTATAAAGTTTCACTAAATTCAATGGGACCGATGCTCTCGACTTTTTCCTTCTTCTCTCTTCTCCCCAAGAAGTTTGCACCGGAAATCCGAGAATTTCTCCCTTTCTTCTTCCCTCTGTTTGGGCGTTTCCTTCCTTTCCCTTTTTTTTACATCATGTTCGGTTTTTTTTTGAGTTAAAAGTCTCTAAAATGAACAAGTTGGCTTTTCTGATGTGAGTTCAAACATGTACTTTTGTGGGGTGTATTGAGAGAAACTTGGGAGGGGAGCTAGGGAGTTTTAAAATATTCATAGAAGTGAAAACACCATGAAATACATATTATATGCCGTTCTTAGTTGCTTTCCTGCTCGGGAAAGTCACCTTTTCCGGTTGCCATGCACAACTAGCTATGGTAAATATGTGAATTTTCGATCGTTTCAGCTGGTTCCTTATTCTGACGATTATGAAAGAAAATTTGAAAACGGAAAAACTTGCAAAGGATTAAGCATTCAAAGATTCTCGGTGATATAATTTCTAATCTGGTCAAACTTGGCTACGCACACGAGAAAAGGGACTTCTTCCGTTTTCTCAGTCCATTCTCTGCCAAATGATCTTGTCCGGACGGAGGAATTGACATGACCTTTCTCCGGATGTACTAGCAACACTAGTCGAGTCGATGCTTCTCCTTCTCCCTTATCCCATCCTCTTCTCTGCCTATGATGCCCGTTTTTTCTCTCCTCGGCTACCAACCGACAGATCGGCTCCTTCCTTCTATTTTCGGGGGCCTCGGTCCCGCGCTCGCATTATTTCTATCCCTATTCCCCCATTCTCCTTTTCATGCGACATTCTGAAAATTGTTCCCCGAGCTCGCCGGATTTCGAGCTCCCATATAGTTTTTCCGCTTCTCTTCTCTACGGAACCTTGCTCATATGCCTATTATATTCCATATAAATTCGTGTTCGTTTAATTTCTCGGGTTTCCTTGGCAAAGACTTGCTCGCCCATTCTCTTCTTTTTCTCTCACTTTTTCAAAAAATGGCGTGACATGACGCTCGAATTATTCATTTTCTGATATAAATTTCTAACAAGTCACCCCAAAAATCGACCTCTTCCGCGTCTGGTCTTGTTATCAGCTGAAGCCATTCCCTTTCCGACTCCGTGACGTCTCGTTGTTCCCACTCGCAGGAACGTTAGACGAAATTCGAGAAGATGCCTTCATTCACCAAACTTTAATTCTTGAATGGAAACGCAAGATGGTTGGAAGGGGGATATCGATGTGTTTTAAAGTTTTGCGTCTCTGCCTCGTTTGTGATTCCATTTTCTGACCGGTGACACAGAAAAGTGAAATGCACTCGGAGACGACAACGACGCACCTGTCAATTGATACTTTCCCACAGATATCCCCGAACATTCTTGACCTTCTTCTGTTTGTTTCGCTGGTGGCTGTGAATGAAAAAGAAGGAGAAGAGGAGCAGTTTTTCCCGCTGTCTTGACTCATAAAAGTGGAAATCCTGGGCGCTGACAAAATGCTTTTCGATTATAAAAGTGTCTTTTTCTTTTTCTACTCCCTATTTTTTCGTAAGCAAATCAGAACTGTAAAGTTTAGGAAATTAAGAAAAAGCAACGAATCGATGCTGTCTTATAACCGAGATTGCAGGATTATGTCTAGAATTGTTCATAATCTAATCCAATCCACTCCTGTCTCCTCAGTTTTTTGTCGTCTCCATTCTCCAAAATATCATAAGACAATTCATATATGGGAGCAAGCATACTCATGCTCGCCGCCGCCGCATTCAACCAACCAACCGAAATCGTCTAATTTCTTCCGCTCTGGTCTCCATCATCTATTTTCCACACACAACTTACTTGTTTCTATCTATCCTTTGTCTTTTTTCTCATTTCCTACTCTTTTCTCGGTCATCAATGATCTGGATTTCATCAAAATCCGAAAATTATGAATTCAATGTTATTGCAGTTTTCCGGTTCAAAATCAGCTGCATTTTCCGTGTTTGTTTTCTCTTCTTTTTTCCCTTCTTGTTCTTATCTGGAGGATACATCTTGTTGATTTCTAAATTCCCGGGCTTTGAAAAATTCTCAAATTTCAGTCTCTTTTGCCTCCTTTCCCTCTCCTACACTGCCCGTATGTATGTATGTATGTAGGCCTTTTGTTTTTACATTCTGTTCTTCTCTTCTCAGCTGACAGAAAACCGAAGAGGAGTCGAAAACTTTCACTGTTTCTTTTGCAGGTCGCCATCTTGTCACAATACGTTCTGGCAGCTCTGAATGAAAAACCACTTTGATCCGGTCACCTGAAAATGCTACGCCAGCCAGTTCCTGAACTGCGCAGTTTTCAGTCCCTCTCGAAGTATGCAGGCGGACCTAGGTTAGTTTGTGTCAATTATTGTAGGTCTACTGTATTTATTGCCAATTTTCAGATCAGTTCTCGGGCGGAGAACATCAGCAATCACAGTCAATCGGAGACAATCCCAATCAATTCGCAAGCATGATGATATTGAGGTAGATGTGATTGCAAAATAAGAATACCTGGGGAATAGTAGAATTTGAAAACAATCGGATTCCATTCCATTTATCAGTATGTTATTATGTTTTCCTTTTTTCCGTTTGTCTCCCAAGACCAGAGTGATTTTTTTTAACTTTGGGCCGGACTTGCAATAATGTTCCGTAGTCAGAACCGGGCTGAAGGGGCTGAATTTTTGCAATTCTGTTCAAAACACAACGGAATTTTCAAAAAACATTTGTGAAATTCGAGATGAAAGTGCGAGAATTTAGTGCAACTCAACTTGCTCATTTCTTCACTTTTCCCACACAAATCTCAGAATCACAAGCGGAACGAGAGAATCGTTTTCGACATCTCTTTCCTTTTTTCGCTTTTTTAAAAGACGTTGGTACTTACTTAGCGAGGTCCGCTTGGAAACAAGGATCAAAGAGGAAGAAGAAGAAGAAGAAAAAGGAAACGAGCGAAGAGCACCTTAGGTCGTTGGTTGCACCCACATAAATCGTGGCATGTAACATCTCCCGACTCGTCCCCTCACTTCTTCTTCCTCTTCCCGATCCCCCTTTCTCCCCCATCCGATTTTATTAATTCGTGAAGACAACCTGACTGATTCACTCGTTTTCTTTGTTGGGCCGAGTTGACAAACCAATTTCACGGGAAGCCGCACATGAGCACCCCCATAACTTGATCGTTGCTCGGATCCTTTGCGGAGCAAGTGTCTATGCCTGAGTATCATCCGAGTTTTGCCAAGGAATGTACCTTCTTTTCCTCTCCCGCCGAGTACATCATTTTGCGCCTCGGAAATAGATGGGATAGACAGACATTCTTCTTTCCCTGAAAAAAGCCGGAGAAGAGAATGTCGTGTTATCCATGGAGGGACACAGAGACACTCACTTTAAATAGATTGATTTTTTATGACACATATGCTCTCGTATACTTTTTTGTTGCTTATATCCCATTTTTTCAGGCACTCGGCTCTATCGAAGGCTCCAAAGAAACTCTGCAGCTGTCGGAACACGGACGAGTAAGTTCTAGTTCCAACCATTCCTATTCTCTGAACTATTTTCAGTTGGCCTCCTCGTCGGAGGCCTCCCCATCTAGGTGGGAAGGCCGACAAATCGAGTGGGGCAATGAAGATCAGATTGAAGAAGAAAACGAGTTGCCGTATCCGGGGTAAGCCCATTTTCGCATTGGTTTCTAGAGAAAACGTTGTCCGGTTTCAAGGTTTGCCGAACCGGCACTTCGATGTCTTTACCAAGCCCGACCCCCGAGGAAATGGGCACTTCAGATGGTGATGAGTCCGTGGTTCGACCGGATAACAATGGCGGTGATCATGATAAACTGCGTGACGCTGGGCATGTACAGGCCTTGTGAAGACGGTCCCGATTGCAACACGTATCGGTGTCAAATCCTCGACATTATCGATAATTGCATATTCGTTTATTTCGCAATCGAGATGGTAACCTGCCGGAAACTCGTTTGACATGTTCAGAGACCAACTTTTTTTCAGGTCATAAAGATAATGGCGCTCGGCTTCACCGGTCCCGCCGCTTATATGTCGGATACGTGGAATCGTTTAGACTTTTTCATTGTCATGGCAGGGTAAGTTGAGGATGAGTGAAGGATGATGGGATGGGAAAATGCCGGGGCGGAATACCTAATCGCTTGTCCACCAACACTGCTCCTTGTTTTCGCTCGCTTCCTCTTCACAGAGGAAAAAAGACGGCGGACGAGAAAGAGAAGAGAAGGGATCATCGTATCTTGTTCAGAATTGCCGAGTTCATACTACACGAGTACCTGGGAGGAAACATCAACTTGACAGCAATCAGGACGGTGCGAGTGCTAAGACCACTGAGAGCAGTCAACCGGATACCATCAATGAGAATTCTAGGTCTGTAATGAAAAAGAGGGAAATGGTTGAATGCCTCATCTTTTTTCCAGTCAACTTGCTACTTGACACATTGCCCATGCTCGGTAATGTGCTGTTACTCTGTTTTTTCGTTTTCTTCATCTTTGGAATTGTTGGTGTTCAGTTATGGGCGGGTCTTCTACGGTATGAATGAATCAGTTCTCGATTTGAACAAAATGATCATTTTCAGAAACCGATGTGTCATAAATTTACCAAAGTCAATATCTGAAAATCAGTCGACACTGTTCAACAATGTAAAACTTACAAGGCAAATCAAGCACCGTACCCACAAAGTTTAAAGTGAGCCGTTTAGGTTCTACATTCCGGAAGACACATCGCTAGAATACATTTGTAGTCAACCGGACGCCAACGGGTTACACACGTGCTCAAATCTGCCACCTTACACTGTCAATGGAGTGAAGTATGTCTCCATAACTGATATTATAGTTCCACTAGTTATGATTGATCAACTTTCAGATGTAACCTAACGATAGACGAATATGACAAAGTAACAAACGAGTCATGTATTAATTGGAATATTTATTACAACGAATGTCAGGTACGTTCCCGATCAGATCTACAAATATTATGACCTACCTTTCAGGTAATGCAACGAAATCCATTTCAAGGATCGGTTTCTTTCGACAACATTGGTTTTGCATGGGTCGCCATTTTTCTGGTAAGTTTTTGAAATATATATTTTGATTGTTTTATAGTTAACTACATCAGGTCATATCACTCGAGGGTTGGACTGACATTATGTATTACGTCCAGGATGCCCACTCTTTTTGGAATTGGATCTATTTCGTTTTGCTCATTGTCGTAAGTGATCATTTAGAAACAACGTGTCATAATTCATTATCAGATTGGCGCGTTTTTCATGATCAATCTGTGCCTTGTCGTCATTGCCACACAATTCGCCGAAACAAAAAGGAGAGAGACCGAACGGATGTTGCAGGAACGGAAAAGGTTACAGAATCGTGATTCCATTTGTGAGTTTTGAGATTTTTAAACTTTATCGAAAAATTAATATTTTTACAGCTTGCACTGGTAGTGAAATCGGTGGAACATCATCGAAAGAAGAAGGAGACACCGTTTACGCCGCTATTGTACGATTCATTGGACACACTTTTCGAAGAACAAAGCGAGCTGCAAAAAAAGTGAGTCGGAAAGGACCGGTTGTTCATTAACTTCAATTTTTTATTTCAGAAGTACACGGCTTACATGGAAGAACGTGCAGAAAGGAAGCATTCGGAGAGGAATCAGAGAAGAAAGTCGAAACTTGATGACATGGCAACACTGTCGAGGATAGAAGAAAAAGCGGAGGATGAAGAAGGTGAGTTCTTACTACAAACTAGGCCGAACACCGATTTCTTCATTCAGATGAATCGACAATGAACCGTGAAATTGAAGAAGACGAGCGGATTGAGAATAACGGAGATGGGACAAGAATAAAACGAGTGAAAATTGAGGAAGAGCCACGAGTGAAAATCGGAAACGGCAATTCCAACGGACCACACTACAAACACAAAAGTGACAATGAGGAGTCAGATGAGGAGGATGAGAAAGACGACGATTGGGACCGAGAAGAGCTCGAGAGGAAGAGGAAGAGGAAACCGTCGAAACTTTGGTGGTTTCGTGAGAAAATTCGGAAATTCGTCGTCTGCGATCATTTCACGAGAGGCATTCTGGTGGCGATTCTGGTGAACACTCTGAGTATGGGAGTCGAGTATCATCAACAACCTGAGATTTTGACTGTCATATTGGAATACTCAAATCTCTTTTTCACGGCTCTGTTTGCATTGGAAATGCTTTTGAAGATTATCGCTAGCGGATTTTTTGGTTATCTCTCCGATGGGTTCAATCTTTTCGATGGTGGTATTGTCGCTTTGAGGTATACAACTGAAATACATTTTTTTTTTTCAAAATTTTTGTTATTTCCAGTGTCCTCGAGTTGTTTCAAGAAGGAAAAGGTGGTTTGTCGGTTCTCCGCACCTTTCGCCTCCTTCGTATTCTGAAACTTGTCCGATTCATGCCTGCTCTTCGATATCAACTTGTCGTCATGCTCCGAACAATGGACAACGTCACTGTGTTCTTTGGACTCTTAGTCCTTTTCATCTTCATCTTCAGGTATGACCCGTTTTTCTACAAATTTTTGACATTTTCTTATCACTACCCACTTCTACTTTAATATGAAAACCCATCCATTAACATTTTCCAGCATCCTTGGAATGAACCTGTTTGGTTGCAAGTTTTGCAAAGTCGAAGAGAAATTTCTCGGCGGTCTTGCAAAAAAGTGTGAACGAAAAAACTTCGATACACTCCTCTGGGCCTTAATCACGGTGTTTCAGGTAAGAAACTGGTAAAAAACTGGATGCATGATTGTGTTGAATGTTTTTGTTGTTTTGTAAATGTGGTGTACCAGTATTTCAGTACTCTTGGAATGGTACTGTTTGGATGCAAGTTCTGCAATCATCCGGACACCGGTCTCCAGTGTACCATTCCTCAAGTGAACTCGCAAATTTGTGAATGTGATCGGATGAACTTTGATACGTTCTTGTTTGCAACAGTGACAGTGTTTCAGGTAATTTATGTTGTTATTCGTTGTGTTAAACTGAGATCGTGTTTGCGTATTCATAGTCCTCCAACATTTTATTGTCATCCGTTCAGATTCTGACTCAAGAAGACTGGAACATGGTGCTTTTCAATGGAATGGCACAGACCAATCCGTGGGCAGCGCTCTACTTTGTTGCCCTCATGACCTTTGGTAACTACGTTCTGTTCAATTTGCTTGTTGCCATCTTGGTCGAAGGTTTTCAAGAGAGCAAAGAAGAGGAAAAACGGCAATTGGTGAGTGAACGATGTAATTGCGGTCGCATAAACGCTCGTTTCAGGAAGAGGAAGCCCGAAAGCAAGCGTATGAAGAAGAGGATGTCAGAAAAAGGGAACTGGAACTGTTGATCGCAAAAACAGCCTCGCCAGCATTCACGAATGGTGTTCCACCGGCGGAATGCACTTGTCAACGTCCGTCTTCGCCCGACGAAACGCCCGCTCCTCGGTTACTTTCGGTCAACTACATGTCCTCTCCGGAAAGAAAACACTCTGTCAATCTGGATGCGATCATAGACAGAAGACTTGTTCCACGAAACTCTGCTCCGTTTGACCGATCACCAATGTCAGAGGGAAGAGATGACTCGAGACTGAACAGGCACGCATCGCTCGTCCTGCCGGTAGCCAATGGAGTCCCGTACCGCAGACAGAGAGTTCACAGTTGGAGCGGATTATGTCATCATTTCAACCCGAACTGTCCGGTGCACGGAAGGAAAGCTCTGATCGAAACCTACGCAAGGGAGAAGTTTCTCGAGGCTAGTCAAGAACTGAAACAAGCATTGGCCGAAGAAGAACGAAGGAATGAAGCGAAGCAGAATACCTTCGTTAGGAAACTCCTCAAGAAGACATGCCTCCACAACCGAACCGAATACTCACTTTTTCTAATGGGACCCAAGAACCCGTTGCGTATCAAGTGCCTGCAGACAACTCAAAAGAAATGGTTCGACTACACAATCCTCTTCTTCATTGGCATTAATTGTATCACTCTGGCTATGGAACGACCGTCTATCCCTCCTGAAAGTGTGGAAAGGCGATTTCTTCAAATATCTGGCTACGTTTTCACCGTTATCTTTACCGGAGAAATGATGATGAAGGTGCGCAAGCAAAATGACATCAGACTATACAAAAAATATGCTTTTTTAGGTGATTGCCAATGGATGTTTCATTGGACATTCGGCGTATTTCAAAGATGGTTGGAACATTCTTGATGGAATATTGGTCGTGATATCTCTGATCAATGTGATGTTTGAGCTGGTTGCAACTGGAGACTCGCCGAAAATCTTTGGAGTTATCAGGGTTCTCAGGTTACTTCGAGCACTTCGCCCTCTGAGAGTTATTAACAGGGCTCCAGGAGTGAAGTTGGTGGTTATGACATTGATATCCAGGTGCCAAAGTTGACCAATAAGCTGAACTCACATCAGAATTTCAGTTTGAAACCCATCGGAAACATTGTGCTCATCTGCTGCACATTCTTCATCATTTTCGGCATATTGGGAGTTCAGCTATTCAAAGGAATGATGTACCACTGCATCGGACCCGAAGTCAGCAATGTGACCACAAAAATCGACTGTTTAGATGACAGCAGGAACAAATGGGTCAACCATCGTTATAATTTCGACAATCTCGGACAAGCTCTCATGTCGCTATTCGTGCTTTCCAGTAAAGACGGATGGGTGTCTATCATGTACCAAGGAATCGATGCGGTCGGAGTTGATGTTCAGCCTATTGAGAACTACAACGAATGGAGGATGATCTACTTCATTTCATTTCTTCTGCTTGTCGGTTTCTTCGTGCTCAACATGTTCGTCGGAGTCGTTGTGGAAAACTTCCATAAGTGTAAAGAAGCATTGGAACGAGAGATGAGAGAGAAAGAGAAAGAAAAGAGGCTAAAACGAAAACTGAAGCGTCAGAAGTTTGAAGAGAGTATGGCTGGAAAACAGAAGAAAAGTAAGTGCTCCTCCGAACGGGTTCCCTTCCTCCCCTGACCCCCTAACGTTGCTTTCTGGATTGTTGACACTTCTCATCATTCCTCAGTTGTGCACGCATTAATACCCTCCCACCTCTTTTGGTGTGTCTCACTAACAACACAAATCTCTGTTTTAGATCGAATCGTGTGGGCGGGTTCCGCAATTAAATCGCTTTTTTCAGTGGAACGGAATTATCCGTATTACCATGATTACGGTCATACCAGACTTTTCTTACACGGTATTGTCACTTCCAAGTATTTCGATCTCGCCATTGCTGCAGTTATTGGTAGGATAAAGCCGGCAACTATCGATTTGAAAAAAAACGTTTTGTTTTCAGGAATAAATGTAATTTCCATGGCCATGGAGTTTTATATGATGCCAATGGGGTTGAAATACGTGCTGAAGGCTCTCAACTACTTCTTCACTGCCGTATTCACTCTGGAAGCGGCAATGAAGTTGATCGCTCTGGGATTCAAACGTTTTTTCATTGAAAAGTGGAACCGACTGGATATGTTCATCGTGATTCTCTCGATCGCCGGAATCATTTTTGAAGAGTTCGAAGCACTTGAACTTCCCATCAACCCCACAATCATCCGTGTCATGAGGGTTTTGAGAATTGCGAGAGTGCTGAAATTACTCAAAATGGCCAAAGGAATCCGATCTCTGCTGGATACAGTTGGAGAAGCCCTACCACAGGTTTCCAGTTGACTTTTGACAATTGAAAATTAACGGATTTCAGGTTGGTAACTTGGGCTCACTTTTCTTCCTTCTGTTCTTCATCTTTGCTGCTCTTGGTGTTGAACTCTTTGGAAAACTGGAATGCTCGGAAGATCATCCGTGCGACGGATTAGGAGAACACGCGCATTTCAAAAACTTTGGAATGGCGTTTTTGACACTTTTCCGAATAGCAACGGGTGACAATTGGAATGGAATCATGAAAGTGCGTGAAAGAAACAAACTTCAGCACTGGTAAATTGTTGTTTTAGGATGCTCTTCGAGACGACTGCGATTCCTCGGATCACTGTGAAACAAACTGCTGTGTTGATCCAATTCTGGCCCCATGCTTCTTTGTTATTTTCGTTTTGATCTCTCAATTCGTGCTCGTCAACGTGGTAGTCGCAGTCTTGATGAAGCATTTGGAGGAAAGCAATAAGAGAGATGCGGAAGGACCTGCTGAAGCTACGGGTAAGACACATGTGACGAAATGAGTTTTGATTTCTGATCAGAGAATAATATCATTATCAAATAGTCTATCTTATCATTCCGTCTAGTCCTATCCTATTCTATCAAATCTTATTGGCGTTTGAATTGGCATTTTGAAGGTGAAAACATCGAGAACGAGATCACAAAGTCCGATGACGAAGGAATTGCGGAAGAACCAGAGCCGCTTGCCATTGAAAACGGCGAGAATGACGAAGAGGCGACTGAAATTCCAGACGGACACGGTGGTATCAAACGGTTATCTATGCAGGTACATCGTCAAACTAATTGGTTTGTATACAAAGCGTTTGACTTTTGAAGGTATTGGAACAAGAATTGATCGAAGTTGAACGCAATATCGAGGAAAGAATACGACGGGCGAGCGAGTGTCTCGGAGAACTACAACCACTAAATCAGGGAGATATTGAAGATCTGGACGATCCTGATTTCAGACCACGGAGTTCTTCACACAGATCGCGTGCAAGGTGAAATTTTTTGCCGTTTTCAGTCTCACATCGTACTCTTTTTGTAGAACGAATAGTGCTTTGAGCAATAAGAGCCGTGGATCGCACAAATCCGTCGCGTAGGCCAACCCCACCCAACTTTATCTTCTTGTTTGTTTTATGCAACCATCTCATATTTAGAATGACTGTTTGCTTCGCCAAAACTTTTGGTTAATCAATATCAAATTGTACTTTTTCACTGGTAACACTTGTCATACTCCCCTTTGTTTTTTTCTCCACCCCCCTTTGTCTTATCGCATGTATGAAACTTGTATGAAAAAATTTGAAACTAACCTTATCGCGCCCGCATTTCCCTATTCCGGTCCTTTTAAGTTGTTCCCCCCCTCCCCCATTGCTTGTGCTTTTTTTATCACCGTATGCCTTTTTTAGAAATTGAAATCCATACCAAACAGAACTGCATCTTCCAAAGTGTTCACTTCAAATTGATCTGTATTTCGATTGCATTTATCATTTATCTTTTTTTGTTTCGTCATGTCTGCTTTTCGATTTATCGAACAATAAATGAATTTATTAATTCAAATCTGCGTGCTTCTCAGACTAATCCGTCAAAAATGATGTCTTTCACTTTTCCATTATCACTATTGAGAGAAATAGGCGTTTTGCCGAAAATTCAGTGAAGCGATGCGACAATCGAGGTCTTCCCTCATGGATAACTCGGCATTTTGACCGTCTATGCATATCCACACGTATTTATTTTATTTTCTATGTATCATAGTTAACAGATGTAACCCATGCATGCCGACTATTCCAGAAGAAGGAGTTGGTGAGTGTACTATTCGAAAATTGACTTATGACACTTACTTTTTAGGGTTTGTTGAACGTTTCATTAAACAAGTTGAACACTTACCGGAGCCCCCTTCTCCTATTGTAAAAGTATTTCCAGTGCTTCAAGTAGTCAAGAAGGAATTTGAAAAAACCAACAAAAAACTGATCTCAAAAACTGCTGAAGTTGCAATTGTTAACAAACCGCTCAAGGAGTTTACCGCAATATTTGCCGGGTGCCGACTTGAAAATATCAAATTCACTTCTCCTGAAACGGGCAAACAACAAGGAAGAACTATTATTCCGCCAAGTCTTCGGTATTTAAGTGATTCAAATCAATATTAAGAATGAATTGTTTTCAGTTGTGCCAAAAAGTCATTGTTCGGATGTGAATCCGCTGTTTTGACGTGTAACGTTCCAAAGTATTCGAAATATCCGCTCATTTCCGGATTTGTAAGTTTATTTATAGTCCAGAAGTTTCATTGCTTTGTTTTCATTTTTTAGGCAAAAATAGATGGAAATGATTGGGCAACCACCGATCTGAAAGCCTCAAAAGCCGAGTTCAAAATGGAATGTGATCTGTTCAACCGATGGACTTATGTTTCGGACATTCCTGGTCTGGAAGGGAAAGTATACGCAACAAACGAAGTTTCATGTCTTCTAGTACCCATCATCACCGAATCGAACTCATTGGATTCTGGTGAAGACGAGTACATTGATGAGTATTTGGTGTAATCAATTTTTTTCGTAACTGGTACAACAATGATCTTCTTGTGACTCTCTTCTTCCAATGAAAAATTTGGATGGATAACGTGTCCTTATCTCTGATTTCTCTAGTCACGTGGTCAAATCATCTTCCGACCAGCAGAGATCAAACCAACATTCTTGCGTTGCATAAATTAGGACTCGATTTATTCGAATTCATATTCCGTTTACAATTATTTACATACAAAATATTATAATCGGAAGAAACGAAGCGGAAGTCGTCCTTTCTTCTACTTTCTCCGTCTAATACACATGGTTCCACGTTGTTCGAAACTGTTCGCGCACCGGCAAGTTCCAGAGCTACAGTACGATCCAGCAAGGCACTGAGAGTTCGAGTTGCACTGTTGACCAGGGATCTGAACACAATTCAAAGCCATTTGGATAAATTTGAGATATTGGAAACTCACCACAAAGTTGATTCGCACGATTTGTCCCTGGTTGCATCCCATCGGGTTGCACGCGCAATTGTACGGCTGGCACCCTTGATCATCTCTGCTCGGAGTGGCAGTTGTCGGAACAGTGATAGTGGTCGTTGGGGCCGGAGTTGTGGTTGTGCTCGTGGTGGTGCTCTCGGTGATGGTAGTTGGGGCTGGAGTGGTCGTTGTGGTCGTGGTGGTAGTAGTCGGCAACTCTGTGGTGATGGTGGTGGTAGTAGTCGGCAGCTCTGTGGTGGTGATGGTGGTTGGGGCCTAAAAAAATGAATAAAGAGTAAAAACCGATTAGATTTCGTACCTCTGTAGTCGTCGTGGTTGTGGTGGTCGTGGAAGTGGTGGTTGGTGGCGGAGTAGTAGTAGTAGTCGTTGTGGTCGCTAGGGTTGTCGTAGTTGGTTCAGTCGTGGTAGTAGTTGTTGTTGTCGGTTCAGTTGTAGTGGTGATAGTGGTTAGGAGTTCGGTGGTTGTTGGAGCAGGAGTTGTGGTACTGGTGGTAGTTGTAGTGGTTGTGGAAACTGGAACACACTGCTGGTTCTCAATTATCTCTCCTTGACGGCAAACGCAGATGTTCTGGAAAAATAATAATTTCACCTGAATGTATTATGTTTCTCTCACATTGGAGCAATAGCTTCCGCCAACACAAACAATGCTTGGGAGCTCACAATAATTTCCTGGATAGGCGATGGACGGGCTGTCGAAGAGTCTGCGATGGGAACTACTGTTATTGGGAGTTCCGGTTAGAGGATGACCTAGTTACGGTACAATCAATTCAACATGCTCAACCAGTTTACAATGCGGGTTCAACGTTCAACAGTTTTTGAAAATGCAATACATAACAAGTTCTCACAACCTGAATCATGCCAAATACCTTCTTGGAGTGGTTGTTTCCGGTCCTGGAGTTGGAAGATCTGTGACAACTGGTGGCGCTGGTGCAGCAGTTGTGGGGGCAACTGGAGCTGGAGTTTGAGCTGAAATCAATCAATACGAATTCCCATAAATCTATTTATCTGAAACTCTCACCTTCTTGACATGGCGGCAAAGCGCAGAGCACCGGAGTTCTTACCACTTGCGGGTAATAGACCAGCGGTTGGTAAACAGGACGGACAGCGGTGAGCGCATCAGTGTAAACAGTTCGGAATGTTGCCGGGGCCACTGTGTTTGTGTTCTTGTTGTTATTGTTCGAATAGATTAGGCTCACCTCCAGCTGGAACTTGGTAAACACCGTTCACCGCGGCGGCGGGTGCCACCGTTGGAACGCATTGAGTTCCGGCAGGCTGATAAGCCTGGGTACATTGGCAAGTTCCAGATGCACAAACCGCCGGAGCAGCACAAGTCAAATATTCGTTACAGGAAGAGTAGAGAGGGACTAAAACAGAAGACGAAGATGTGAAAAGGCCAAGAAGAAGACGTACCAACTCCAAACTGTCGTTTCGCTCGATGGACACTTGCTGCATCCGAGAATGCCACTAAACCGATGAGAACTATACAACAATACTGTTTCATTCTGTCGTATCCTCAATTGGAATACTGTCGAAAACTAAAGAACCAACACTTTTCCAACTTTCATGTGTCACCCCATATTTATATGACAATCTCCTTCTTCTCTCCTCCCTCGCGCCGCAGCTCCACCTTTTCCGAACACAGACCGGACCGCCCGGCTGCCGTGCCGACGGACACGTGTACATGTGTGTAAGTTGCCCAAAAAAAAAACGCGAAACGCATGTAATATTTGCATTTGAGCGTGCCGCGACGGTACTGCTCGCGGTAGCACTCACAGAAACTTTTTCACGGCTTTCGCCCCATTGTCACCGCAATAATTAAGCGGCGTCTGGCAGATGTGCCTTGTCGACAGACGGAAAAAAGATCTGAGACACATACACAGGTTGCATGCAATACGATCTATTGTCGGCCGAAAGGCGATCCTCTTCATAATGTTTATTCATCGAATCATCTTCGTCCGGACAAGTGTAAAAGTGTAGCAAGGCGCAGATTTAGGATGAAAAACTAAAAAATGTGGAAGAAAAAGTTTGCGGAGCAGAAAAAAGAGGCTAGATTGGTAGTTCATTTCCTTTTTTGTATCTATGTGTGTACGTACATGGGTTGTTCCTATTTGCTATCACCGTTTTCGGCACCGTACTTCATTTTCTTGCTTCCGCCGCTCCCATGATTGCATTGAACCGGTCTCAGTTTCTTGACCTCGTACTCTGTTCCAATGCTTCCTAACTAATTCCAGTTCCATCAAGGATTTGAGTGGGGGCGACATCAGACACGGAGGTCCTATTGTTGTCACTTTTCGCACTTTCTTGCATTATTCTTTGTGAATCTCTGTGAGTTATAATCGGGACGATGGTCTTTGTTGAGCAATTGACAACAACCGGGCCCCCCGCCGCCTGACTCAAACTTTTTTCACGGCCCAAAATGTAGAGGATGATGAGCCTTTTGTCTTCCGCGTCGCCTTTCCGCGCGGCCTCTTTTCCGATCATCGTCCACGTGTCAACAATGTGTTTCTTTCACGCCCGCAAAAACGGGAGGGCGCCGCCGTGTCAAATGATGTACTGAATTCTTTCTGCTACTGTGCAAACATTCACTCTTCATCAGTTTGACTGGTTTCATGAATGAGTTACGAAAAAGTGCAGTCGTCTTTCTCTTTCTGGTTCATCAAAGAAACGTAATTCGGAGGAGAGCAGTTTCTTTGAGTTTTGGACTTGGATCGCGAGGAAGATGCATTAATTTTTGACCGAAAAGTACATATTAATCAGGATTGGACATGTCATTTATAAAATTTCAAGAAAATCTGATCACAAAGTTGAACGACCATTTGGAAACACTCTAAGTGGGGTGATCACCGTCAGTTACACTTGTTCCGATTACACCACGTCGCCTGCCATTTACATTCACATTCTTTCCTTTTTCTGATCGTTGAACATCTTATGCTTAACAGTGAAAAGTTTATTGGTTTCTGTCTGAGGACAACGAATGGGACAAGGAGACCATACGGAACATTCGCAAGAGAGAAAGTCAGAACAACACTTTTCAGCGAATAATTGATAAATGACGAGATCGCGGTGAGGTAAGTGGCGAAAGATTGTGGTGAGATCAGACGATGACAAAGTAGTTCTGCTCGTCGCCGAGCCCGTAGCCCACGTCGCCGAATCCGTAGGTCTCGTATGGAAAAGCGTCGTTGACAGCCTTTCTGAAAAACAAAGAAAAATAGGTAAATGGCATCGCATCACTTCCGGCTCACGACGGATGGAAAGTGGAACATACTTGTTGTGGATCTGCTTGAAGATGTTATTGAGCATTTTGCTCTTCGAGTAGCTGGTCGGGATGGAAAGCACCGAAATGGTAAGGATCAGGAGAAAGAAGAAGTGTCCCAGACGAAGCATTTTCAGAGAGAAGTCAATGAGCTTGGCGGGTGAAAACCTGAAATAAACGTCTTGCTTGCAAGAATAGCAATTATACGTGGAAAATCTGCCAGGCGTGGCAACGCGTCAGCATTTTCATAAGAACGCCTACATATTTTGGTCAGGCGCTTCCAAAATGGAAGCGAACTGCTGCTAATCAGTGCCGAAGGAGCTTAGTGGGCAGCTCCTCCCTCGCCCTTATACATATGTGAGAACTCGAAGAGAATTCGAAATTTTTGCAGGAATGCAAAAAAGAGTGAGTAACAAAGAAACGTTGTGTGAAAAAAGAAGGAATGTTGCAAAGGATGACCTGAAAAGAAGGAGAGAGTAGGCTAGTGCAACGTGTCGCTTGCAACAGAATAATGTGGTTTTCCCCCTCTTATCCTGAAAAGGAATGGGATAGAGAGAGGGAGTGGGATAGTTGTTTTGTAGTTTGGTTAGATATCCTTCAAGCTCCGCCCCTTTTTCACATCTAAAGGATACACTTTCTGAGAACACGGGCAGTGAACAATAGTTTTGTTTCCAACACAAGAGGCCAAGAGGGACCATTGAATCAAGATCTAATAAGAATATGAATATGGTGTGTGTGTGTGTGTGTGTGTGTGTGTGTGTGTGTGTGTGTGTGTGTGTGTGGTTTGACTCAGCAAGAAAAAAGCCACTATAATATTCTTGAAAAGCAGTGGGAGTAGACTTGTTGAGAATAAGTGAATGACATATCGAAGTATGGATGAAGTCTGTAGCTAGAAATAATAGGAATACTAGTAAAAATGATGGATTGTCGGCCGGTCGGTATATTTGATGAAGTCAGAAAGAAAGAAATGTGAAATTGGCTCGACTCCAACTAACTTTTCATCTAAAAACATGTTTTCAAATGAAGTTACTCAACTCCAACGACCCTCTTCCATACTAACAACATTAATTCTACGGTCACGCCGGATGACCAAAGAAAATTGAAAAAAATAACAAGCGACTTTCATAAATGTGAATCACTAAAACCCTCAATGGCGTGGCGTTATGGTTTTTTTTTATCGGAAACACGGAATAAGATATGGCTGCCACGTGAACATCACGCAACTATGATTATTTTAAATGAGGATCCTGGTTAGATTAAAACTGAAACGATGATGAAGAATTGGGACCAACACGGAAATAGCACTTTATGAAAAACGATTATCTCATTAAAGGCAGTTAGTAGTTAGCCAGAAGAAGTGTGGGCCGAAGTTCATAGACCCGCGAAAACGACCTCATTTGACGTTTCTACTTGAAGGATGGGTAAAAATAGAAAGCCTCCCACCCTCGCATTTCCTTAACTCTGAATGAATTAGTTTTTGATTAGTTCTCGGTTCAAGCACTCTAAATATAGTGGAATTACATGGGATGAGCAAAATAGAAAAAAGAGAAATTGAGTCATTCAGAATAGAATAGATCACTTTTTGTCACTCAAACGTCATGTTTTCAGGAAGGAGTTCTCAAGTTTGATTATTTTCCTGAACGAGCACAATCAAAGCATTTACAGGACACATTCCCAGAAATTCAATTATCCGAAATAAAAACAGTCATCAAAACACATTTTTGTACTCTTCAGAGCACATTCCACGAATTCTCACACCGATTTTTGGTTTTTTATCCCGCTGCTGCGGATGCTTATGTTGATGCCCCAAAGTGTTCTTCAAAAACGCTACAGAAGCCCGGTTTTCACGTGCCTTGCCGACGTCAAGTGCCGCTGTTGACCTTTACCGTATTGAATGGAAAGGTCACCGCCGCCACGCACCTTCGCGACAATGAAAGACAGCAGCTAATGCTGGCTGGCTGGTTATTGGTTGACAACACTTGTCAGAAGTCAAAATCGAGAGAAACATTCGGGTGACAAGTGGCCAGTAGTTTCGGCTTGCCACGGCCCACCACACAAACTGATTTACCTGTTGATATCAATTTCAGTCGGGCATCTGTGAGTGATATCAGTATCACTTTTTCTTATTTTCAATGCAACGACGACAACTACTATTCTAGCAAGTCTCGTGTCTTAACCTTTTGCAATTACAAGTCTATCTTCTTTTTGTTTCAATCTCTCAAGGTCGGAAACGGAAAAGTTTGTGCCGTTCAAGTTAGACCCCCTATAACCAATTTGCCATTCGAAACTAATCATCTACTCTTTGACGTCGCTGCCTTCTCGAATACTGGTAATACTTGAACTGCCCTGCCCCCCGGTCACAGTCCCGCGGCTTACACTATTGTCCATTTTCTATGCGGCGGACGACGCTTCCCTTTTTTCTGTCATTACTGTTACACCCCGGCGGCGTCGATGGCCAGAATCAGAAGCCTAATGTGCTTTTTATCATGGCTGATGACCTCGGATTCAACGATCTCGATTGGAAAGATAGCACGTGAGTTACGAGGGAGAGAGAGAGAGAACAAAGTGGGAGAGAGAGCTCAATGTGCTCAAGAAAAATTTGTCGCTTTCCAGACTACACACTCCGAACCTTCGAAACTTGGCGTTCCACAAAAACACAGCATTATTGACTAATTCATACGTTAACCAATTATGCACGCCGTGAGTTTTTGCGGGCTTTTTTGCTCAGAACAATGTTCTTTCTGACTGACGTGTTTTTCCTCTTGTTTGACAGGACTCGAAGTGCCTTCATGACGGGTTACTACCCATTCCGAGTAGGCACCCAGGTACCTAGAAAAACACAAAAAAAGAAAAGAGATTGGTGTTCAGAATGGAGTGTTCTTACACATGGAACCATCCGGAGTGCCCACCATGTTCCCGTTCCTGTCAGAAAACATGAAACAACTGGATTACTCCACGTACCTCGTTGGCAAATGGCACTTGGGGTACTGTAAGAAGGAATATCTGCCAACGAACAGAGGATTTGACTACTTTTACGGGTTCTACGGTCCTCAAACCGGATACTTCAACCACAGTGCCGGTAAGAAAAGCGTTTTAAGCGAGCAATGATCTAAAAAAACAAAAAAAAAGGCCGGAAGCAATTATTGTTGGAGCGAGCTAGTCAGACTGATGTCATCTCTGAAATAGGTTTACCCGCTGCACAATAATTACTTTTTTCCAGTTTTCTACACGGTTGAAAGATTTTAAGTGTTCAGTTTGCAACGAATAACGGTGACTCGTCCCTCGTTTCACTCATGCATAAAATGAATTGGGATGCTGATGTAGAAGCAAAAATAATGCTGACGTAGCAAAAAAACAGAAGAATTGAGCAAAATGAAAAATAAACGGGGTAGAGCATCGAAAAAACGTTGTTTCTTTGTTAGCCTTGGGGAATGAGTATAATGAGTTTTCACTTCTCCCAGCGTGCGTACTCAGTACTCAGAACTAGTTATCCATCGAGAACAAAGACTACTGGTTATTAAGAAAAAACTTTATAATTCTAGACCAATATCACCGGGAGCTGAAAAGAGTCGTCAAGGGATTGGACTTGTTCGAAGAAGTTGGAAACGGTAAAAGTGCGCCGGATTTTTCACAAAATGGTGTTTATTCCACGGTAATCATGTATTTGGTGCAGAAATCTTATAGCACTTTAGGATTTATTTACGGATGTCGCAATGAGCGTACTGGACAATCACAACGCCTCAAAACCATTTTTTATGTTCCTATCCTATCAAGCAGTTCACCCACCCCTGCAAGTACGGAAATCATGCAAACACACAGAAAAAGAAAGTTTATTTTGAGGTGCCACGGTCATTTGACAAGTATTGCACGCGAGTCAAATCTCGCTATCGTCGGATTTATTGCGGTAAAGTTTGTTTGCTTGAGAAATGTCCTAGAAAAACAAAGTGCTTGAAACAGCTGTATACTTTGAGGAAAGGACAAAAGTGACGTTGCCCTTCTTCATTCAACATTTGAATTTGCATTTGAGGCGAGGGACAAGACAAAATACCAAAGGTTATCTTTAGGAATGTTGACAGCGATGGACTTTGCAATTGGGCGACTTGTAGACTATCTGAAAGCGGCTAATTTATACGAGAACACTGTAATTGTGTTTACAAGTGATGTAGGAACCCATATGAAATGAGAAGACAGGGAGAACAAAACTGCTTTTCAGAATGGCGGAACATCCAACTTCGGAGCATCGAATGCGCCTTTAAGAGGCGAAAAGGACACTATTTGGGAAGGTGGCACCAAAACCACAACTTTTGTGCATTCACCAATGTACATAGAGGGAGGAACTCGAGAAATGTGATCAAAGTTCTGGTACCCCTTCAATTCAATGTTTCAGGATGTTTCACGTCGTCGACTGGCACGCCACAATCCTTTCCATCACCGGTCTGGAAATTGATTCCTACGGTAAACATCTAACAAACACACCCTTCACTTTGCAATCAAAACTACTATTTGCAGGCGACGGTATCAATCAGTGGGAGTATATAAAAACGAACCGGCCAAAGTTCCGTCGCTTCCAATTTGTTTACAACATTGACAGTCACGGCTCTGCAATTCGGTGCGTCGACTGAAATGTTTAGAGTGAAATTTCATACGTGCTTCACATTTTGCAGCGATGGTGATTATAAACTAATCGTCGGGAATGTTGATCGCAAAATGTCAAAGGACAAAAATAAAACACGATTGTTCAGGATATCTTGTAAGATCACCAAGAGGTTTAGAAATGTGAGATGAGCCCAATCATGTTTCAGCGGATCCCACAGAATCCAAAGACATTGCAAGAAGTAATCCAAAAGTAGTTAGGAGGTACATTTACTATCATACAATCGGGCCATTTTAATGTTGAGAATATGCGCTCGAAAACGCCTCGGGACATAAATTTGAGTTGCTAAATTCAACAAAAAAAGCCTGACATGTGTTTCCGAGCCGTTTTCCCGCGCAAATTCTCAACAGAACGCGTTCACAGCAAAATGCCCCGATAGTAGTTTGGGTCACATTGTTTTCCATTTCCATTTCCAGATTACTTGCCAAACTTGACCAACTGAAGCAGTTTCTTCATAAAAACGTTCGAAAACCACTAAGTCTCGCTGGCAGTCCTGAAAAACTGAACGGAACCTATTCGAGCTACTGGTGTGATGCCTGAATTCAATTTCTTGCCGAATATTCGTTTGATCGCTTTATGGGTATTTATGTACTATTGCCATTTCATTTCGTTTTAATAAAACTTGGTTCTTTTTCGATCCCCTGTTTAGAAATTGGAACACATTCAACCTGAATATATTCTGTTACACCACCCCATCCATTCTGTTCTGTCACAGTGCTCTCATCAGACGAGTGGTCCGATCGGGTTTACTGCGCAGTTGACCCCCGTTCCTTTCTGTCGCGGTGTAGGATTACGGATCGCTTGCCGAGCAGATTACAGTCGTCACAACGCTCCATTTGAACGACGGGAGGTCACTCGAATTGGGAACCCGACCACCGAGACAGTCATTCGTATTCGGCAGTGGCATTGAAAAAGACGAAGAATGTGAATGAATGAATGACCTCGAGCGGGTTGGGTGGGGTGAGCGAAGAAATTTCTGAGAATTGGGAACGAACGCGTGAATCGCAAGGAATGCCGAAATATTTGTCCCTGTCCAAAAAAAAAATGGTTTGTTCGTCCCGAGTTGCAATTCAAACTTGCTGTTCTTTCATTCTTTGAGCAAAAGAGTAGCAGTAGTTCAAACAAATTGACCGTACCCGGGCCATACGCAAGACTGGACCAATATTTGTCGACGCTCTTTTCCGAAAGTCCGACTCTATTTCCCCTTTCTTTTTCCTTACACATCCCGCACGCTGACCGAGCAATCAAATAAGAGGAGCGGCCAAGGTCAGGCCCTCTGTCGGACTTTTTCGAACGACCACGGAAGAAGAAGAGGAAGAGAGAGAGAGAGAGAGAGAGAGAGAGAGAGAGATGCTATCTTATCTTTGCTGCGATGTTTGCCAGTAGTAAGCCGGCCTATGATCGCCCACTCCTGATACCAACTATTTCGTCAGATGACTCAATCAACACATTACTTTTTATTTGGAATACATCATAATTATATGCACACAAACAAAACCACCAAAAGAGATGACAGAATGCGACAATACTCATGACATAGACTTTAACAAACTTTCGAGGGGGGATTTGGGGGGTCGTTAGGATGTAGATCAAGTGGTACAAGTAACGGTATTTATTATTTTTAGAAGAGGAAGACCACTTTGTTTGGGATTCAGAACAAAAAAAACAAGTGCGGGTCTTAATAAATACGGTGCATTTTTTGGGATTGATGGTGATTTCGTCAACAAGATAAGATCCGAACACGCAGAGGTGGATTAAAGATGGTCGGGAGCGACAGTAACAAAAGAGCACCCATGCTCAAAAGAGAAGGTTTCAATGGTAAAGTACAGAAAAGGAGAGCGATGGGTGGGAGGGGGTTAACAGATAAGCGAAGAGTTGGATAACATGAAGGACAGGTAGGAGGACAGCAGGCGGGAGAAGAAGTTTACTTCTTCTTTCCAGCTGGGGCTCCAGCCTTCTGGGCGGACTTGGTGACCTTTCCGGATGATCCATCAGACTTCTCGACCGACTTGATGACTCCGACAGCAACGGTCTGACGCATATCACGAACGGCGAAACGTCCAAGTGGAGCGTAGTCGGTGAAGGATTCGACGCAGAGTGGCTTGGTTGGGATAAGCTCGACGATTCCGGCGTCTCCGGACTTGAGGAACTTCGGGAAGTCCTCGACCTTCTTACCGGTACGGCGATCGACCTGGAAATAATCGTTGAGGTTCTGAAGACTCTGTATGTAGTGTTTACCTTCTCCTTAAGCTCGTTGAACTTGCAGGCGATGTGAGCGGTGTGGCAATCGAGAACTGGAGTGTATCCAGCAGCGATCTGTCCTGGGTGGTTCATGATGATGACCTGGGCGTGGAAGGTGCGGGCCTCCTTGGCTGGGTCCTGCTTGGAGTCAGAGCAGACGGATCCACGACGGATGTCCTTAACGGAGACATTCTTGACGTTGAATCCAACGTTGTCTCCTGGCATAGCCTCTGGGAGAGACTCGTGGTGCATCTCGACGGACTTGACTTCAGTGGTCACATTCTGTGGGGCGAAGGTGACGACCATTCCCGGCTTGATGATTCCGGTCTCGACACGTCCGACTGGGACGGTTCCGATTCCTCCGATCTTGTACACGTCCTGGAGTGGGAGACGAAGCGGACGGTCGGTTGGGCGCTGTGGTGGAATGATGGAGTCAAGAGCCTCGAGAAGGGTCTTTCCGCTGGCGTTTCCTTCCTTGCGCTCAACAGCCCATCCCTTGAACCACGGCATGTTGCTGGATGGCTCAAGCATGTTGTCTCCGTTAAATCCAGAGATTGGGACGAACGGAACGGCCTTCGGGTTGTATCCGATCTTCTTGATGAATCCAGAGACCTCGTTGGTGATCTCGGTGAAGCGGGACTCAGAGAATGGTGGCTCGGTGGAGTCCATCTTGTTGCAGGCAACGATGAGCTGTTTGACTCCGAGGGTTTGGGCGAGGAGAGCGTGCTCGCGGGTTTGTCCGTTCTTGGAGATTCCGGCCTCGAACTCTCCAGTTCCGCAGGCGACGACCAAGACGGCGCAATCAGCCTGGGAAGTTCCTGAAAGTCAAACAGTTTCTTACTGTAGCCGAAAGGGTAGTTCTGAACAGCTAGAAAGCCCTAACCCAACCCTACACCTGAAATCTTCCTAAACTAACCGGTGATCATGTTCTTGATGAAATCACGATGTCCTGGGGCATCAATGATGGTAATGTAGTACTTGGCAGTCTCGAACTTCCAGAGGGCGATGTCGATGGTGATACCACGCTCACGCTCGGCCTTCAGCTTGTCGAGCACCCAGGCGTACTTGAAAGATCCCTTTCCCATTTCCTGAGCCTCCTTCTCGAACTTCTCGATGGTACGCTTGTCGATTCCTCCGCACTTGTAGATCAAGTGTCCGGTGGTGGTGGACTTTCCGGAGTCGACGTGTCCGATGACAACGATGTTAATATGAACCTTTTCCTTTCCCATGGTTGATGAGCGTTGAAGGGTTGTTACTGAAAAAACGAATTTTAGACTTTTAGGATTTGAGAATATTTAGGTAAACGCGAGAGAGACGTTTGTAGCTATTTATGAGGACGAATTTGGATTGAAATCGTAGTAGGATTACCACAAAATCAGTAGAAAACGCAGGATTTTGGGCCAGAAAGAGAAGAAAAAGTGAACGTACGCACGACGCGCGCGCACGGAACACAAATGGCGAGACGGCTCCGATATGTGGGCCTCACACAACGCATTTTCTGCGTAGCCACCCCTTTTCGTGGCGAGACCCGCGGCTGCGTGTGTGCCCCTCGTTGTTTCGTCGCCTGCGACCACTCTCTAGCCACCCTCTGACCGTCTGCTCCTCGCCGGTTTCGAAATGTTTCGCAATCTCTCTCGGTCGACAGAATGCGAGCAGAGGATGTAATTGGCCTGCGACGTTTGTTTACATCGATATATGAATAGATTTTCGAATCTCAGGCTGACGAGGAGGGCGGCCAGAGAACAGACATAGTTGTCGATCCATTTCAGGCGCCAGAGGGCATTCGTATTCACGCATGGAGGACGTTTTAGGAGGAAATTTTGAGAAACGAGAGCTTTTTGGCTGGAATGATTGGGAGGAATGAGATGAAATGAAAGGAATTTACAATAAAGGAAGCCTGAATAATTGCGAACAACTGGGAATCAGCTGTAAACGGCAATGGACTTATCGGCAATGCGATTAAACAGGGAAACATGGAGAAATATGTAGGAATTGCCTCGTTTCACGGAAGCAATATGTAGGCTGATCAAAAAGGTTGCAGAAAAGTTCCAAACAGTTCTCTAAACAGACAAACTCTTAAGGAAAAACCAACTAAACTTCTTTCAGAGTTGCCAAGCAATCGGTCGTTCCGACTAAATTCTGATCCGAAATTGTAGAACATTTCATTTCTGTCGGAATTCATTGCAAAAAGCGACTAATATGTATATAGTCCTATCAGATATTTGAAAACGAGCAAACCGCTAGAACAGTTGCCACCAGGTTTTACATTTTCATCCAGATTGTTGGAATGTTCTTAAGGGGCAGCAATCTGGATATTTCCAACTTTACCGCGACTGTAACAGGTTGTTAGGTCCTTCTCACTGTCTGAATAGCTTCCTTTGGTCCTTCTCCTTCACTTTCAATTCAATTACACCCAATAGAATGCCTGTACCCAGCCCGAGAGTAGGAAATGTCCAGATTGCAGGAGTGTCCTTACGGCGCTGCAATCTAGTAATTTCTGACTTTACCCGGACTGTAATAGGTTGCCAGGTTTCTCCAACAGTCTAAATTACTTCTAATGGTTATACATGTTTAACAGAAAATATTATACATTAATTCGGCCGGATTCCGCCGGGTCGGAAAAATGTTTTGCCGCTTTTCAACCTATGGTTGGCACACATTTATCGATGTCGTTTTCTGAAAGCAGAAATTGATGATTCCATAAAATAATTAACAAAAAAACTTTTACTCGAGAAAAGTTGACCAAAACAGAGCTCATATCTTTGATATGGTACCATAAGAAATGAGTGTGGTGTGGGACGGGGACGGACAACAGAAAAGCACACATTTTTGACGTTTTTTTGTGGGACACGACAAACAGATTTCAGTGAAAAAGGACAGTTGAAGTTGTAAGCTAATTTTCTGGGCAAGAACTGTTATAAAATGAATAAGCGCATAAATGAGAGGAACAGAAAACGGCTACAAATCTTCAAAAGTCTCTGCAAAACAGTAAGTGATCTTGTTCATAGCACATTGAGCTTTCAATATCCAATAATTATAAGCAACATTTGTATAAATGCGACAAAATGGGTGTGAGAGAGAGAGTGATTTGTTGGGAGGAGAAGAGAGAGAGAGAGAAAGAGAGAGAGAGAGAGAGAGAGAGGATTTTGACTAAATGTTTGAGGGTAAATTGAATGGCACTTCCTATGCGGATTATATAAAGACTCTGATTTGAAATGAGGAGCTGAGACAAGATGGGAATGACTAAACAGTAAAGTTGGTGTGAGCTGAACATGTGAGAGACTGTGCGACAAAAGAAACAAAAAATGAGCTAGGAGAAAGCGACTTGCAGATCACAGCAACTAAGACACTACTTGAACGAGAGAGAGAGAGAGAGAGAGGGAAGGAGAAACACCGATATTGGGTACAAATTACAAAAGAAAACAAAGCGATAGTGAAGAAATTCCTATAAAAATCTGATGAATGGCGACCGAAAAAAGCGTACATTTACAGGAGCAAAGAGAAAAGTGACCAGAAGCGTTTTTGGGGGTGGGTGGTTATGATACAATCAAGCAAAAAAAGTGATGATTATTTGACGACAAAAGTGATTATAGTTATTATTCGATTTCACAATTAAATTCGACAGCTAAGCCTTATAAAATTGCTATTCCCAAAGTGAGACGTGTCAGTTTGAAGGTGTTTGGTGACTGTCTGTCTCGCAGATTATCGCGGACGCCAAGGGGTGTCGAGGATCTGAAACACACCAAAGATGATTCATTTCTAATCAATTTTCTTGTGCTGCATTTTTTTTGCTCATTCCAAATTTGTCATAGTTGCAACGGGGCGGCCCGGTCGAAATTTATTCAAGAGCGCACATATGTTGCTAACTAGAAGAACGATTCTTTGCTTCCTCAACGAGAAATGTCACAGAAACGCTAACTTTGAACTCTGACTCACCTCATTGATAAAGCGAGCCATGCTAAATTGCTTCTCATTTCTCGCCTGCTCCATGAACGGCATCGCCAACAACTCTGGGTACTTGGGACGTTCGTTGTAGTTCTTCTCGAGACTGAAAGTGCCCAACTGAGTTCCGAGTACATCCCTTAAGGTTCACACTCACCATCGCTTGATAAAGTACTGACAGTCCATGCTGAACCCGCTTTCCATCGGCAGCTTCGGCGGCGGCTCTTTGACGACTTGCTTCAACTGCTCGAACGGCGTCTTCCAGTTGGCGTACGGATGGGTTCCGACGGCGATCTCGATTATCGTGATGCCAAGACTCCATACGTCGGCCCTCACATCGTACGCCGACTTTGTCTCCCCATCGATTCGCTCCGGCGGCATGTACGGCTTGCATCCGGCTTGCACTGTCTGTAATCAATACGGGGTTGCGAAATATTGCACAAAAGTAACGCTCACCTTCGCCAGACTGTTCGTCAGATGACCCGAGATTCCAAAGTCGCAAATTTTGACTTGCCCATGTCTGTTCAAGAGTATATTCGAGGGTTTGACATCGCGATGGATCAGATTGAGCTGTTCCTTCATGAAATTGAGACCCTCGATCACCGAAAGCGCCATTTTTCCAATAAACGGCTCCGGAATATGCTTTCCTATCTTGTAGGTGTGGCGGTAGAATTTGTCGAGCGAAGTGTCCATCACTTCCATGCAAATCCACACGTCGCCTTCGCGGAACATTGCTCCGTAGAAGCGGACCATCTGCGGACAGCAGTCGCTTCTCTTGCACGCGTCGAGTTCGGTGAGCATCTGCTTCTGCGCCTGGTCGTTGATCGACGACTTTATTCTCTGAAAAGCAGAACAGATGTGTCTGTGTATGAGACGGATTATATAGGATTGGCACGACAGAGTCGTCTACTTGCCCGGCCCTCCAAATGGTTCCGTGACCCTTTCTTTACAAGACGTTTGTTGGCAATCTTGTCCAATAAACGGTTCCTGTTCTATTTGAATGTCAACCATGTCGTGTTCTTTCTAAAGGCCATCCGCCATGGCGCCAGGTCACCCTCTCCTCCCATTCCCCTGTCATTTCAAAGGCACCCGATAGATAAATGGTCTTTATTTGCGATTCCGCTCCAGTTCCTCCGTAGGCTCCTACAATTTCGTCACATTCCTCGTCTCTGCTTTACATCAAATTCTTGCGCTGCGTTAAATTTTATCTAGAAAAGCCAATCATGCAACACGTGCTAATTCGAATTTGTTTCCTGGTATCCGACGCGCATGTCGACTTAATATTCACCGTCTTCTTCTTCATTTTCTCATTTTCACCCTCAAATATTTCATTTTCAATTCATTGGCGGCGAGACAGAGACCACACCCCAGGTTCTAACCCCCAAGTGTCTTTCGATTCGAAAAAAAAAGATGCATTCAGTCATTATTCACTTCTTGAAACTTTCCGTCTCCCGTGTAGACACCAAATTTCGGGGGCTGGCGGTCGGGCGGGTGCGTGCCGACCGCCAAAAAGCAATTCGGCATCTTCGTCGCCGTCGCTTACAATTATTTTGTCTCCTTCTCATCCAATCAACCGTTTCCTAGGCTTCAATTCTCTCGCTGAGGCGCCTTTCCTGTCTCTTCTGCCCCCTCTTCCGCGGATGTGCTCTTTTTGCGAGCCCACACACCTGCATCTGAATTAACCGCTCATCATTGCTCTCGCCTATCGTTTCCTCCCTCCTCGCCCACAATACTCGTCTCTCCGTATGCAGCTTTTGGTGGATGATATCATTAATCGCCACATTGATGCAAATATAAACCCCATATTTGACACGCGCGTGCTGTCCAATCCAACCCGTCAAACTTCTATTCATTTGAACGTCCCCGGGGGGAGCCCCTCTACCTATTGATCGCTCTTTCATCCTTTCCACTCACCTTCACCGCCATAATAATTCCACTGGTTCTGTGCTGCATCTTCTCGACGATACCGTATCCCCCTTTGCCTAGTTCCTCGAGTACGACCAAGTCCGTGGCGGTGATCTCGATTTCCTCCGACTCGTTTGTCAATCTAAATCAATCAGATGTCGTAATCCCAATCGGTTTGCGTGTGTCGCGCAGCAGACAGACACGCGTATTACTGTTACTGATAAATAAAAACGCATGTGCTACTTACTTGATCAGACAGCGGTCTTCCAGGTTCATCGTTGGCGTCTCGACCGGCGCCGGCATCATAATCTTCATGCCAGGAAGTTTACGCTCACGACCTGCAAATAATAATTAATGACGAGAACATCTGAAACAATGCTCACCTTTTCGCTCCATGATGTAAGATTCTGCGTTCGTTGCGTTGCAAACACCTTCTACATAAAATTGCAGGATTCACCAACCGCTGACTGTCTGAAAAACGAAAGTGTAAATGTGGATGCGAATCCAAAAAAGGAGAAAGAGGAGGAGCTTGAGGCGAAAAAAGAGAGCAAAAACGGTGGGTCCTTCTTAAATTGGTGGGTGGGGTGTCAATCTTTTCGAATGGCCGTACCGTCGAGAGAATGGAGAGAAAGAGGAGACGTTTTTGAAAAGTGTGAAATTGAGGAGCTAGAATTGATGTGATTGGTACTAGAGAGTCTTCACTCAAAAATCCAATATGGTACGTTTTTGGCGCTCATCCTTCATTCTCAATCAAACTGAACGCCTCGGTTTAATTAAACTCGGCCCCCGGCGAGCTGTCCATCAAAACCAAAAAAAAGCTGCGAAGGAGATTGGTGCAATAGTGTACGAAATAAAAAAAAAAGAGAGAGAGAGAGCAAGCTTCGAATTGAGAGAAGAGAAGGCAATTTTGAGGGCGAAAGAAGGAGAAAGAGAGGGGGGACCCATTCTCAACCAAGTGAAATTTAATGTGATGGAAGAAACGAATGGATTTGAAAAGGACGGCCGACAGACCATGCAAAGGGCGGTGAGCTCATTCCGTCTTGTTGCCGGGAGGCGCGAGAGTCGGAAGTGTGAGGGTGTCAAAAATTGCTATGCGAGATGAGCGCCGCAAAAGTCCGTAGTCGTAGGAGTCAATTGCCGGAGAATGGTGGAAAATGAGTGGAACATCCCTTTTCACTATTTTAAATACTACGAGCTTGGTTTGGATGAGTCACGGGGTAACTAATAGATCTGACTCATTTGGTGAAAGGTGTTGGAGTCATAAGCAAAGTAGATGCTTTCAAAGACTCTCCAGAGAGTTACACCAATTTTCGACAAGTCGAATTTTTAAAATGATCTATAACTTACGAAAACGTGAAATTCCAGAGTTTCCGTGAGAAATTTTTAATTAATTGACGCAATTCACACGGCAACTTCAACATCCAATTTTAATATGACTCAAATGGTCAATAAACTTGTGTACGTATAAAAAATGGAGTTTGAGGAGCCACTCTTCGATCCCTACAATACGAACTTTCTCATTGACATTCCAATTCGCTGCCAAGTGGCTAATGGACTTCGAGAAGGGTTGATTTATTGTTATTGAGATGTGAGGACGAGTGGGTGTGGGCAAAATTTATAGTTTTAGTTTTGGGGGACCTAGGTGATGAAAACAAATCGAATAAAGAATGGTGGGCTGACTTAATGAATGAATGGGTAGAAAGAAGAAAGAAGTTGTGCAAATTAATTGCGAAAGCGACGCACTTACAGGAAAAACCTTTTGCATAGTAATCATCGGTCAGCTTTTTGTAACTGATAACTCAGAGGGCAGACTGATTGCGAAACTGACTTAAAGAAAGACAATACGCAGGCGTAGGTCATGAGTAAAACTGAACTAAACTGATCTGCGCAGAGGTGGATGACGTTGCATTGAAAAGATTCTTTCGTTCTCGCTACGTCTCATGACACTGATCTCGAACAGAAACTAGTTGATCTACAGTTTTTCCCGATTGTTCGTTTAGAAACTTTAATTTCGCTTCAATAGGAACTTTGTACGTAAACAAGTGATAAGAAAGAAGGAGAAGGGCAAGCGGGAGAGAGAGAAAGAGAGAGAGAGAAAGTTACGCAGTACTCCGCCCGGTCGTTTCCATTTGTGGTTAGGTATTGTATGCGTGTTGCGTGAGTGTGTATTGTGTCTGCACTCGGTCTCTCACTGTGCGCGGACACAAAAATGGAGAAGAAGGAGGAGGAGGAGAAGAAGAAGAAGAGTTGAGATCGATGAGTCAACCCCACAGGCCATTCTTCTGAATGAAGACTAAATGAAAAACGATGACAATTCACAATGGACGAAAAAGTTACCAAACGTCAACACGCCCATATGAACAATGACCGTACAATTTTAATGAGAAACCGATGACTTGTAGTTTTTTTTCTTGAAAGCTGTGAGATTTTAGAAAAACGGCGAATGGAGGAGAGAAGAGGCGAGTAATAGAGGGGTGTGAGAGCGCGCCTAAGACGTGGCTTTCGTTTGAAAAACTGCCAAAAGTACTAGCAAGTGAGCAAGCCGGATTTTTATGTCTTTCGATGCACTTTTCAATTTCCCTATTTTTGCGTGAATATGTGTGCAAAAGACATTGATCTGTTCATAGATTCAATTTCCGGTCGTGCGTTTTCTGTCTAAGCAAATCCAGAAAAAAAAGCAATTTCAATTCTGTCATCAAAGTCATAAAGTATGCCCAGTCGTTTTTTCTGTGAACTTCCGTTTCGGAAAGCAGAATGGGGCAGAGAAAATCGCTTGGTTTCAAACAAAAAGAAAAAATCAAGGGGAAGAGAGAGAGAGTGAAGGAAACAAACTTATAATTAGGTGGGAAGAAAATTGGAGCGTAAAGCCTCAAAAACCTTGAGAGATATTGAAATGGCGAGAGCGATAATTCAAAAAAAAAAAGAGGGAGTGAAAGTGAGAGTGAAAGTCTCTATGTTTGGTTAGCTGAGAAATGCACGAAAAGGACATGGATGTGTGGCAGGCGTCCCTCCTTTCCCATCTACAGAAATCTTCATGCCTCTCTTGACTCTGTTATTTTTAGAATGAGAAAAAAGGAGACCCAAGGAAGGGACGTTTTTGAAGACACGGGGCAAAGAGTAGCCAGAGGGGCAAAGGCAAACCAAAGGCACATTGAACGAGGCGCTAGGAAGACGGACGAAGAAAAAAAGATGGGGTCGATTGAACATGTACACGTTTTCCCCTCTTCTTTCTCACCCCCATATTTTTTCGTTTTCTGACGCACACAGGATAAGGATGAAGATGAAAATGTGGATGATGTGAATGATCAATCTTGTTAGTGAGAAACGGATTAGTTCGAATCAGTGCTCCCTGCGTGGAGCGCATCATTTTTTCATCGGAACTCGGAAGAAGCTTGGATTAAAAAGTCGTTCGGTGGGAGGTGTCTGTCTGGGGAAATCCCGAAGCCTAATCCAAATTGGATTCTGCTGGACGTCCAATGGAATCAATTCAAAACACGTCATTCAGATTTGATTCCAGAATCTCCAAAAAAAATCAATCTCTAGATTTGATCACCTCCGTCTGCCCGGCCTGGGCCGATTATTTGCTTCCTAAATAAGAAAAGTTCCAGAAAAGCCTAATTTTAGATAAAAATCTTCAAAACAAACAAGTACAAAGACAAAGTGCAAAGGTTTTTCTGGATCGGACACACTAATTTTTTTGCTATTCATAGTACATGTTGGCCAAAGATTACCATGGGAAAAGAGCGCCTGAATGGAGTTCTATAGCGTTGAATTATTGATAAAGGACATGAACCCTTCGAGACGACTTCAACTTTTTTGCTCGTGAATGGGACGGAACGGAATAATAGAACAGATAGGAAACCTTGTCTTCGTCTGCTTTTCCCGGCCCAATTCTGTTCATTTTCAGTGGGTGGAAAGACGGAAGAAAACGAAAGAGAGAAAAGAAACAGTTGGTTTCCTTGAGAAAAACACTGGTTGGCTGCGCTTTGATGTGATAGTGAGTGGGACGGAGAGAGGAAGAACAATTTGATTGGGGGTCTTAGTCTTAGTATCAGCTGATTCAAAGTACACTCATAAACCAGTTTTTTAGGAAACTAAAAGTGAGCACATGTTGTCCGAAACCGCTCAAAACCCACCAAAAATAGACTGTGCGCTCCGGTCGCTCGCTCGCCACAGATGGCTTGCAGCCGGCAACCGAAAGAAGAGAACAAACCTCATTTCTTTCTGACTGATAAGAAAACATTTTGTGTTTGGGTTGGAGAGTGGGGACAAATTGGTGGAAACATGCAAGACAGACACAACCGCTCATACCGAAAGTTATGGTTGCACTTATTGAAGAAGCCACCGGATATATTAGTTTTGTTTGTGTACGCATGACATTTTGGCACCGCCATTGGAGAGCTTGGTTGGAAAAGGTGAATCTTCCCACTCACTATGACGAGGAAAAATATGTTCTTGGATTCTTTGCTCCGAGACTCCAAGAAGGGTTCAACTCAGGACCGACGTGACATATCGCAGAAAAATTTTCTCAGTGGGCTGCCCCTCCCCCCCTCCCGGCGAAGAGAAACAAAAATCGGACTGATCTCTCTTCCTCTCTCCCACTTTCACAAAAAGAACTGGAGGATGTACGCAATAAGGAAGACTATCAAAATCCGATCAAACTCTTACTCCCACTCTCTCTCTCTCTCTCAATTTGGTACGTCAAAGAACGGGAGAAAAACGAAAGAGAAAAATGATTTCTAGTGTTCTGCTTTACTGGGGGGAGGAGAAAATGCATTGACGTAGATTCTGGCGAGTAGAGTGCAAATCAGCTTCTGGTTGGCAGAACATGGCTGATTTTCAGAGCCCCGGTCTCTTTTGCCGTCATTGCAGGTGGAAAAAAAGATGATGTGAGATTTGATTACTCGTTTTTCTTCTTAGGTTCTCTCTGTATAAAGTCTAAGCGAGGGGGCGATGATGTTTGTTATTATCGGATATTCGAATTGTTATGTTAATAAATGCCAAGAATCAAAAGATGGGAAAAGAGTTGAAAAGAGCCAAGTTAAAACAGCAAAAGCGTGCGGGTGCACATGCAAAAAAAGATTATCTTTGAGGGATTTTCCTTTTTCTTTTTCCGGCCATTTGGCCAATCTAATTACGTACATAGATTCCGCACGGAAATAATAGATTGCCTAATGTCGTCTTTGAATGTTTCTCTATTACTCTGCACTCTCTCTCTCTCCGCCTCTCCCTCTCTGGACTCGTTTTTTGCACAATTTGTTTTTTATGCATAAAAACGCAAGTATTATGGTTTCTGGCATTAAATTAACAGTTTTTAAGCGGATTTTTGAGTTTTAAAAGCGTAAGGAAGGGATAAATGCGTGAAATTGCACGTTTTACTGTTAAAAACCATTAGAATGTCAGAAAAAAATTGAAGGAAAGAAACATTCGGCGAAATCACTATAATATGCACAAAAGACGAGCGAGAGAGAGAGAGAGAAGGAGAATAAATAAATAATAAAAAATGGCGATGCAGGAAAACAATGTCCGTAACGTGGGGAGGCGGTGGCCGCAACTGTCAATGCGCCGTATTCTACGCACTACAACCATCTGTGCGCACGGGCCGATCGCAATTAGTAAACACGGGCCGAGAGACGAGGGGAAAGGCCCCTCTCACCCTCTCAACACACAAGCACCACACACAAATCGAACACTACGCCCCGAAATTTCCGAAATGCATGCGAATTTATGACCATTCTCCTCTCTTTCCCATACTCTCTCTCTCTCTCTCTCTCTCTTTCTCTCTTTGACCAGACTGGGAGTAACATGTTTTCGTGAAAAAAAAGAGTGTTTGTTCCGTATTTTTTCTCCTCCTTCATTCCATTCTATCCGTCGTTTTTTCTCACTCTGCTATCTGTGACTTCTCCAACCGCACCACTCATTTCTGTTTTTTTTTTGTCGCTTCTTTCCTCCCTCACACACCGCAGAGAAAAAGCGAAAAAAAGAAAGGCAAATATCGGTTTTCACATGGGAAAAACGAAAGAAAAAACTCTTTCTAATATTTTTTATTCCCCGTGTCTCTGTGTGCTTTGAAACATTTTTAATCTTCTTCTTCTTCTTCCCCTTCCACCTTTGCCATAAACACACATACATACACAACCAGTATATATTATTTGTTCAAGATGGTTTCGCTTACAGGGGCATTTGGGATGCCTCCATTCCGAGAGCGATTGGGGACGGGATGCACAAAGGACAGCAAGGTTTGTTTTAAACTTTACTACACCACTAACTGATGGATTAATGCCCGCCGCTGCTAGTCGCATTCAATGTGTGCAGAAACTCAAACACACAAAAGAGCACTCTTGTTTTAATGTTTGCGGATTTTTCGAAATCTAACTTTTTTCCACTTTCAGGACTCGGGCATCGAGGTGCGACCAAAAGCGAAGCGCCATCGGAATCGTCGACGAGCCCGCATGCAAACAAGGTTATTTTCTCTACTTTTTCCTCAAACAATAGTGCTATGTGTTGAGAAGCTTGCCCTCCCCTCTAAAAATCGATAACACCAAACCCGCGGCGGGAAGGGCGAAATTTCGCACCTGGCGTGTACGTTTTTGAAGCAAAAACATGTTTTTCATTGTCAAACGATTCGATTTCGCAATGTTGATCTGAGACTTGCATGAAAAAATCGTCTTGGGGGGAGGGGAGTGAAAAAGTAAATACTGGAAGAAATGAGAGTGAAAAAGAATGAAAAGGAGGTCAGAAACAACAAGAAATGACTTATTTTTCTTACCTTCTTTCTGTCTGCCCCCACTCTCTCTCTCTCTCTCTTCTCTATCAAATATTACACAAACATACATATTGCGATCGAACCGAAAAACCGAAACCGAAACTTTTGTCTTCTTTTTTGCAGTTCTCGCAAGAAGCCAATCAGTTCGAGAGAAGGAGAAGAAGAAGAACCATTTCGACAAGAGGACACGAAACAGAGTGTTGAGAATGCGGTACAGAAAGGAAGAATTGGAAAGGAGGGAGATTTTCAATTTCAGATTGTCATTGGACTCTGGCTAGCGGTGCTATACGTGACCAATCGCGTGTTCGGACTGCCGTTCAAAATAATGTGGCCGGCGAGGATAAATCAGTAAGTTTTCACTAAATATTGAATGATCGGAAATGATGACAATTTGGTGCGGAGTATGTGCGTTTCGTGAAACTTTTGATCACAGTTATTGATATAGTTGCGAAATCAAAATAGTCTGCGTGTTTAGTTCGGAGTACAGAAGTTTCTATCACGGGCCAGCCCAGCCATGAGGGCTTTCCTTTTCAAAGCTCACAATATCAATATTTCAGTGGCGCGGTCGCTCTCAGCTACCTGCTGATCGGAATCTGGGCACTGTGTGCCTTCTACTTCTACATCAGAAAGAGGAACAGCGAAATGCGGTGGTACAAGACGTACCCTAAGACCTACTACATCGCTTGGGCCCTCCAATTAATCGGATTTGCCATGTAAGCTTGTTTTTCTAATCGCGGATCGAAGACTCATCCCCCTTTTCCAGATTCTGCTTGGCGACGTACCCGCAAATCCACAGATGGAGCTTCCTTGTCTCCACTTTCTACTTCTTCTTTTTCGCCACCATCAGCAACACGTTTCTGTAAAGTAGCGGACATGACGGACCAAAACTTTTCACTTTGTTACAACAGCCTTTTCCCCAAATCTTCTCCTGTGACACTCGTTGTTTCTTTCCATTCTTTTAAATTTTGCCTTACCCGGTTAGCTTCGCGCTTAACCACATTCTGCCTCATTGTATTTTCAGGTACCACTCAGATGCTGTTAGATTTTCATGGATAACATGTGCCTGAACTAACACTATTGACCACGTGTTGTATGAACTAGATACTCTCTTTCTCAAAGCTTTCTCTTAACTCCCACTCCCTCTCTCTCTCCTAGAATTCGATCTCTAGCTTCAAATCACCCGTCTCCTCCCCCGATCAATTCCGTTTTCTGAACTCGCTTGTCATTGTTTGTTATCGCCAGTGCTTCTAGAGAACAAACTGATACGTTGCATAGCACACAAGTAAGCTTTGATCAGATTCATTGCAATACAACACAAATAAAATATTCCTTCCCATTTCGGCCGTTATCAGGTTTTCGATATGCTGCCAACCGTCGTTATTTTCGCTTTTTGAGGGAACTTTACGAATGTGCTCGGCATGAATGCTCTAAAACAAACAAAGTATTGGATTACAGGGTTTCAAAGATTTCGAGATGTAAACATACATTATGATTATAATCAATACGGTGTAATGCCATCTAATCATCACTCCGCCGTACTGGAAAACAAAAGGAATCGAAGTAAAGGGGAAGAAGGTTTTTACCCAGTAGAAGAAAGTTTCCCACCGTCGGACCACTTCGATCAACTGATAATTCGTTTTGAAGTACTGATTGAGGCCCTCCGAATAGCCGCAGAAGAAGAAGGTCCACAGAGCCTAAACTGACGCATTTGATAAACGTCAAGGACTTTGCTTACATGTAAAAATAACGATACTGAGAGCTGATTTTGTTTGCTACATATTTCCGTATACATCGAATACATTTTCAGAAGGAAAACATTGACGAAAACAGCGCTTGCAAGTGTTATGAGCAGAGTGACCCAGTTCAGCATGTATAGGACATAAGTATAATTGTTTTCCTAAACAATTATAACCCGATTAACATTCCCTGCTTATCAATTCCTATCACCAAGTCTTTCATTGCTGATAGATTCCAAACATTTGATATGATGAACGTCGCACAACTGACTATAAGTCCGTATTTTTCGTATTTTGAGCTGAAGTTTTGGTTTTTTGATAGTTTTTTGCGAGCTGTGAGCACTTACTTCACCAGGTATAGAGAACGATACACCGCGCAGGAGATGACCAGAGACAGTCGATTTACATACATCACATTAGAGATTTGATTGAAAAACGTCGCATCGTGAGTCAGAAACAGAGACCTGATCCCCATTGGAATGGCAAAACCGTTGTCATTGAAAATCTGAAATTTTGATGTCAGATTATGCGCCCGTTTGCCCCTTACATGAACATAATCCATATTGACGTACAGAGCTTCTGTAACTGTGAGAATAATGAGCATCACGAGGGCAAAATGGAAAAAGTTCACGGAGATGCTGCTTTGGAAGAGTAACACTGCTAAATATGCACACAGAACCAGGTTGACAAAGAATGAAGCTGCTTTTTCAGCAGTTTGCAATAATATCCACGCGGTTGTTGTTCCGTTGTTGAGAATTGGAATCAAGCCGCAGTTACTGTACGGATCCAGCACAGAAAAGAATGGTATTCTCCGGTACAAGTCGCAATCTTTCTCTGTATACTCCCAGATCTTATTAGCAGAATTTGTGAGAAACGGTAGTGTTCCGTAGTGATGAAAGTTGACGAGTTTTGGGAAGTGGATTTCAGTGAGCAGATAATTGCCACGTATTATCAACACTTGCCATTGCCAACCTAAAACGAGTTCCGGGTCTTTACAACACCTGTATCTGTGGGTTTTACTGTCTCGCCCGTTATAGTATTGGTTCCGAATCGTATGCAACAGAGGAAACGAGAAGTTGGTAAAATCGGTTCGGAAAATGACAATAGGACCGTAGATCTCTTCAACCGTGGAGAATGCGTCATTCAAGTGGGATTGCATCGAAACATTCTATTATAGTTGGAGGATTAACAGGGTAAACGGAGAAAAGAAACATACAGTCACATCTCGCAACCAAATTCCGGTCATGAGGACTTGACAACCGAGGGGAATGTTCGATTCACCGAAGAAACTATCGTGGCAGTACTTTTCTGAAAGTATACATTCAATTTTTTGGGTTGGTAATGTAAAAGTTGATACTAGAAGTATTCCCGCAGATCTTTGAGTCTATGAACGTTCTCTCAAGAGTTCGAAGCTTCAAATACTCTTTCTCTGAGAAACAAAAATTGGTATTCCTTTCGAATATGAGCCTGAAACAAAAGTTTTCCGCAACACTGTAATAATCTGTGAGTCACGAGTATATTAGGAATTCGGTCGGAAGAACGTCCGCAACAACAGAAGTGAGATTAGGCATGCCAAGTGACGTCAGATTAAGATTAGAGTCAACCCAGAAACTTGCATAGTTTGCATCTGTGTCTGAACGTTTTCGGATTCCATAATAGCGGAAAGATGCACTTTACCGAAAACTATGTCTATCCAATCGTTTCTCACAGTCGTCAGAGCTTGGAAAAACGAGAAGTTTTGAAAATCAGTGTTCACTATCTTGATGGACCCGTACCAACTTTCAACTTTTGATAGTTTTTGTTGTAAAATCTGCAAGTGTGATGTGGGAAATCACAAATAATTCTAAAGCTACCGAAAACTGGAAATTATTCGCAATGAACATTGTCTGGTTTTTTCCGTCGATTGTGAGATCTCCAGTTATCGAAGTGCAGTTATCGGGCAGTTGGGTAATCGGAGTGATAATATCACAAGGAACCGCGTCTGTAATATTTATTTGAATTCCATCTGAAAATCTGTAGAAACGCACCGTTGCGAACTGTTAATATGTAGAGAAGGAAGAAAAGGGACACGTGTCGGATCATACTTACCTCAACAAGAACGAAGAATCTCCACATCCCACCATCCCACACAAACCTAACATTTCACAAACATATAATTTACTTGTTTAGGCTTCTAGCTAGACAACATTTAGATAGGCTAAGAAAATGACAGACTAGAGCGGGTAAAGAATGTGATGAACATGATGTGGTTCTTTGAATGTCACTTCAGTCTCGTGGTCGCAGTAGCAATTGATCTGAAACAGGGCAATTAAAGTCCAATTTTCAGTTCCAAACTTCTAGAAGTACATAGAAGTACACTTCAAAGTACACAAATCGCAATCCCCAATTACAGGATCACAATTCTCGGAGACGTTTCTCACCTGACACTTGTGACTACCGTTTCCGTACTTCGAATGTGTATGTTCACTTTTGAGATCATGTCGTGCAGGAAGACCCACAGAACAAGCGCGTAGGCGGTGTAATGCCAGCGGATGATCAGTGTGTTCCAGTACTGAAATTAGTAAAGTTCGGGAGTCTGGACGAGTCCTTATTACTTACCGTATAGGCAAACACCCTCCTCTGACGCACAAGTTCCATATTCTTCTGATCTGACAACCATTGTTCAAAAATACCATCTGGGAAGCCACAAAAAATGAACGAGAGCAATGCCTGCAAAACTGATTTCTGATTTCGGAATCACTACACATCTCTGTTTTACTCGCTTGTAATAGGAAAGCAACCGACAATCTGTTCTGATGGCGTAAAATTTCAGGATAGTTTTTGAAGTTCTTCAAAAGATAAAAGTATAGAAAGATGCCGGTTACAATGGAAACTAACAAAGCGGCCCAATTGACTAGATATATTCCATAGGAATACTTACTTCCCTGAAAGTTCCATCTCATTTCACACCTACAGTATCTGACTTACACTCTGTAAGAGGCCGTTGAAACTCCAAACGTTCGAAACGATGAAAATTAGGAATGAAATAGCCATTGCCAGTTTTCCATAATCGAAGCTGAACGGAAATCTGAACATATCGGATTTCAGAGTGCCTGAAACTACCTGACAAAAGAGATAGTTCGATATAAGCAACAAGAGAGAAGGAGTGAAATTCGATTTGTATAAATCATGTTGACCGCTTGGAAGAAGTAACTTTCTTTAGTTGAAAAGGTCAAAAACTGTAATCCAATGAACCAATTGTAGTTGAGCCCATCGGCGAACTGAATACAGATCAGTTCTTTCAAATTGATCGTTCGCTCACTTTTACGTTATTGAAAGCGTTGAAAAGCGCTTCAACAGCAGACAATATCAGATAAACAATCATTGAAAACTGGAAATAGCTGACCGAAAAACCGGTCGCATGCACGTGCATCATAATATTTCCGTACAAGACAACGGTCACACAGGCACAAATAACCGCTTCGCCGATCACAAAAATTAACGAAAATGTCGTGTAACCCGTATTGAAGTTGGGAATTATCCCTAAAAATCTACTGAACACTGAGGTCCGAGTTCCGTACCTACCGCAATCACAAGAATTCAAATCGAAGCGATAGAGGCTCAGCAAAACTTTGCAAACTTCTCGACTACACTTTAGAGCTGGATTTCCGGACATTTTCACAAAAGCCTCGCTTCCAAAATGTTGAATGCTTTCAAGCAAGGGAAAGCGAATTTCGGTCAGATAATCATTGTTGATGAACCGCATTGCTTGAGACCCCCATCCTCCGACGATTTCTGAAAGATTCTGTACATTTTGTGAATAGCCATTGAAAACAATACCCGAAGTACCGTAATACATGTTATAGACCCTCTTCAAATTTCTCAAGTTTATCGTTTCAACAGTGGTGTTCATAAAAACGATGGGACCTAGCATGAGTTCGACGGTCTGTATTGCAAGTTGAAGGCTGTCAAGCTCGTGTTCGTTCTGAAACTTACAAAGTTCAGTTTCAGATCTTGAATTTCGGTCTTACGGCAACATTTTTCACCCAAATCCCAGTATCCAGTATCTGACAACCCATTGGCATTGACGAATTGAACCATTCCATCGAACAGAACACTTCTGCACTTACAAGATTTCAAATTACTTCAAATAGTTCGGTATGACTTACTGGTATTATTCTCCACATAGAATTTCTTGTAAAACTTGCTCTCATCGAAAACGACAATCCCGCAATAAGACATCTGCGGAATGGTAATTCGCTCATTTTTCATCCAACTTTCTATTTGAGGCCATCGAATGCAGAGCTTAGGGTTCGCCGTGAATATTGTGCTATAATAACATTAACTATTGAAGATAAACTTTCTCAATTACGATGTCAGTACGGTGTCCGTTGGGATTCCATCATACACAATAGTCATCAGATTTGGCATTCCCAAGTCTTCTAACAATATATTATTGTAAACGCGAAGACTGTACAAATAACCTGAAGCTTTTTCGTCAAACTTAACTTCTTAACCAATTGAGACTTACGCTCAGATTTATAATCGGTCGCAGGTTTATAATAAATATTTTCCAGGGACGATAGAAACGAAAAGTTATTGAAATATGTCTCGCCAATGGATATCCGTCCATTAATCGTTTTCACATTCGAAAGTTTCTCAGTTAACTGAGCAAAAGTAAAAACTGATTTAGAAACCATTACGTCTCCATTGATAACCGTACAGTTTTCCGAGATTTCAGAGATATCGCTGATCGTGCAATTTAAAGAACTGGAGAAAAATTTACCAGATGACATTATCATAGCAATTATGAACAACGATAACATCACTGAGGCACGTGATTCGAAGCTGGATGACAATGCGGCGAAATGCGAATAAAGATAATGAATGCTCAGATTTCTGTTTACATTTTCCGGAACTTGATGGCATATGTGGTAATAAGTGCCAGTTAGAAGCATTTTTCAAATGACAGCTTTGGAACTGGTCGTACGAATATATACGAATACATACAAACTTCATTTGAATAATGTCAAAGAGAGGGAGAGAGAGATGGCTAAGAGTTTGACTTCTTGCATAGCAATAATGTCAAAGAGAGGAAGAAAGAGTACGACTTCTTGCATAGCAATAATGTCAAAGAGAAGAAGAGAGAGACTCGAAAAAAGCTACGAGATAGACATAATTAACATTGTACTCGGTTTATATACATCACGCTCACTCGGCCACTCCTCAACCGTGCTTCACCGTCACCACGCCCCTTTAGGTGACGATCACAAAGATGGAGGCATGAAACGGCCGACGCGGAAATATGACGTTTAGCTGATTCGTTTTTCTGCGGGATGTTCGACAAAATGATTATTCATTTCAGTCAATTTTGTTGGTTCTACGTAGTTGAATAGACCGTGTTATCTGTTTTAATAAAAGAGTAGAAGGAAAGGCGTAGAGATACCCCTCTGGTTCTTAAAAGGAGTGCAGGGAAGGGTAATCATATCCCACCAACCACGCACTTCACACAGCACACAACAGAGGAATGCTCCCACGCCATCTTCTTTTCATGTATTCTAACGGTTTCAGGGTTAATGTATTGAAATCGCTCGAATCGGCACGAGATACGCTCATTTTGCACTCAAAACATCATATTTGCAGTGAAGACTTCACGTTTTGGAGCCCTACTGCGAGGCGGATGTTGGCAATTTCGCGAAAGACAAGTTTGATTTCGAACCGAATTTGTACGGAAAGATCACCGTCAACAGGGGGACCGTTCATCGGAGAAGAAAAACCATCGGGGACGTTCCTGAAGAGGCAGGGCGGAACTCTTTTCAACGCCATCAAGTGAAATTTCACAAAGTTTCTTATCAATCGGAAGGGAGAGGTCGTTTCCAGGTGCATTTCATGTCTTATTTTATCAATTTTAAAGTTGCTCCTTCAGACATGGCCCATCGACGAATTCAACCAGCCTTGAAGAGGAAATCGTGAAGTTGCTCGACGAAAAACCATAAATTCTCTAATTTTCCTGTGATTGCTTGAATAAATAACTGCGTTAACATTATAATCGCTTAGTTTAACCTATTTCTCCACCGACTAATGTCAACAACATACATTCCTCCTTCGCGGGTGTCAAGAATGTGTTGATAAGTGAATTCGCACCCATCTTGTCGGCAATAGTGCGCGATCTTGTAGTATCGATCTGAACAATAGTTCAAACAATCTATTGCCGCTTTTTTTTATGACTTCATTCGAAAATTTAAATGAATATGTGGAAGAAACACGAGTTTCGGAAGAAATTATGCTTGTCCGAGAGGAGTCCGCGGCCGAGGCGGCCTAGGTTTCCTCCCGCAAAACCTCGACCCTTTTCTTCTTTTCTGCAGTCAAAAAAAACTATTTTCTACTTCTGGTGCCTTTCTTTTTACTTTTTTCCACTAAACACTCAATTTTTTCAGACTTTATCATATGAGGATACATCAGGCACCATTATGCACGTTCCTAGCGATTGTTTTCCAGAATAGTGGTCAGTTTTACGAGACGAATCTCAATTGTTCAGTAAATTAATTGCAGATGCGTTTAATACACGTGTGAAACGTCATGATCGGGTAGACTTCCGCAGCAGTTCACGGCAATCGGTCATTCAGTTCGATTTTCTTGGTGCGTTATTGACTTTCGCTCAATTCCCGTCCAATGAAGAACCATCGTTTAGGACACGAGTATGTGGTCGACTTGGAGCCAAATCGCGCCGCTTATCATCCTGATTTCAATGTGTACACAACGGACGGACCGCAAGTTGTGCGGCGAGAAGAATATTTTGCGGTTGTGAGAGGTTAGACGAAATTTCCCGTGAATTTGACTAAAAACACGTTCCAGAGCCGTTTCCTGGCAAAGGGGTCTTAAGCCAGTTGGAAGAAAATTTGTACATCGGGACCATCTACTTTCACAACGACACACTTCATCTGGAGCCCACCCATCCGCATGGTCTTGACGAGGACGCCGGCACGGTCGTCGGGTACTTTGGATCCGACGTCGATTCGAAACTAGATCTGTCCACTTTACCGACACGCAGTCAGGTTAGTCTAGTTCATTTAAATAGAGTTAACCAATATTTTGCAGGTCTCGTTCTCTCGCCCAAATCCATTTCTCAAAAGCAAACGTTCTGTCAGTGAAGGAGGCGGTCGCCGCAACGATATTCTGAATGAGAAACGAAATCGATGCACTCTGAAGCTGGTGGCCGACTACTCATTCTTTGAGACATTCGGAAAGAACAGTGTCAGTATTACGACCAATTTTCTCGTCAATATGGTGGCCAGAGTGAATGAGATCTACACACCAATCAACTGGGACCTCGGCAAAGAGGATGAGATTCAGGATAGAGGACGGTGAGCACCATAATTCCGGACCAAGGAAAAACTGTCCGAATTGCCCGGCTATAACGAATTATAAGAAAATGCTTTGAAAAATTCCCAGAAAATTATAAATTTCCTCAAATATGCCGACTTCCATGCAGAATTGGGAATTTTTGGAAATGTTCTTGTCCAGAAATCGAAAAATGTGCACTTTCGAACAAAGTTCCGGTTAAAGCCCATGCGACGAAAGTGTTCAAACTCGTTCCGGCCCGGGTAAACACAAAGAACCAGACGAACTGCTTAACCATCAGTAATTTAACTTCCTCAGGTTTGAAAACATGGGCTTCACCATAAAAGAAATAAAAGTGCTCGATCGATTGAACGAATCCTCGACGCACTACAACAACAACGGAATTTGGGAAGTAGAGACACTGCTCAGAGTATGTTCTCCCGGAATTCGATCTTCTAAATCCGAAATTTCAGGAATTTGCGTTCGCCGAAGGATCGAAGGACTTCTGTCTGGTTCACCTGGTCACCGCTCGCACTTTCAAAGAGAAGGCCACCCTCGGATTGGCGTACTTGAGTTACAAGACGGAAGAGACGGCCGGCGGTATTTGTTCTAAAAAGGAGACGGTGAGCGACGTGTTCAACGTGCTAGCTCATAGGATTCCAGGAAAACGAAGGCTGGGCAGACGGCCGGCCAAGGCTGCCCGAAGGCCTGTCGTGGCCTGGGCTTTTACCAATAGTTTGCAGGCATCTTGGACTGGGATTGAATCGGATATTGGTTCTGGTGATATGTAGATCAGACTCCGAAAAGCCGAAAACGCCGCAATTTCCGCAAAAATCGGGCTTTTCGGCCCTAAACAGTATATCTCCAGACCTGATATAATTCAATTCCAAGAAGCCTGCAAAGTTTGGGAATTACTTTTTCCTTTTAGTTCAACGGGAAAATCGCCTACATCAATGTCCTGCTCTCCACTAGCACTGCAAATTTGGATCAAACAACATATCCGCTCATCACCAAAGAGCTAGATATTGTCGTCTCGCACGGTGAGTCGTTTGTCCATGAACACGACAATATCGATCGATTTCAGAGTACGGGCATGCGTGGGGTGCCCAACACGACCCAACAATTGAAAGCAACGACACTGACGTTGAGCAGTGCTCTCCGAGTTACCAAGACGGCGGAAGTTTCCTTATGAGCCAATACGCTCAGAATGGATACGACCCGAACAATGTGGTGAGTTGATAGGGTTTTCGTGTCTGAATGCGAAACCTAGCGGTGTTTCAGTTGTTCTCTCCGTGCTCGAGAAAAGCCGTCCGAGAGGTGCTCACTCACAAATGGAAAAGATGCTTTCAAGAAGAGATCACGTCGTATTGTGGAAACGGAATTGTTGAGGATGGCGAAGAATGCGACAATGGCAAGGAGGACGACCCACAAGGTCTGCATCTTCTAACCAAACCAGGCCCGGGATTTTTGAAGGACTGCCTATGCCTGGACTTTTTGGACTACTTGCAATATTCTGATATAACCTAAAAACTTTGTAGATCAATTGATCTAGTGGACCCTAGATCAGTATAACATCCGAGTAAATAGTCTGAAACTGAAACTCCGTCTGAAACTTGGAGCCAATATCGTTCAATCCAAGTTCAAAAAGTTTGTGAAATTTTGGTGCAACTTTGGTGCAGAATATTGCATTAGTCTAAAAACCAACAGGCCCTTAAAAACTCGGGCTGCTAAATAAACAGCCCTGAACTAAAGCCAATTGTCATTTTTTGCTTTTCAGATGTGACCTGTTGCGACAAATTCTGCCGACTCAACGTCGGAGCCCAATGTTCGCCGCTCAACCACATTTGTTGCACAAAGACGTGTCAATTCCAAAATTCTTCTCATGTGTGTCTTCCCGGAGACTCTCTGCTTTGCAAAGCGAACGCCGTCTGCAAGTCAGTTCTACCTGTGCTTTATCGGAAACTGATTCTGAAAATTTGCAGCGGATACTCTGGTGATTGCCCGCCAGCGCCGCCAGTCGAAGACGGAAAAGAGTGCATCGAGAAGGGAGAGTGCCTGAACGGAATCTGTCTGCCGTTCTGTCAGAAGAAGAGTATCGGCAAGAAGAGCTGCATTTGCGAAGACTGTACGTTGATCCAAAGATCCTTTTTCATAAAAAAAACATGCATTTTTCAGTGGAACTGTCCTGCCGCAGGTGCTGTCGTGACATGAATGGTACATGCTCGCCTTTCGATCAACTCACGTACCTTCGAGACGGAGTCAAATGCTCAAAAGGAACGTGCCGAAATGTGAGTATCAAAATTTCAACGATCCTGAAAAAAACCACTTTTGCTTCAGAAAAAGTGCGTGAACGAAGCAGTCGACAACGTCCGCAACTACTTTTTGGCACCATTTCAGGACCGAAAACTCTTATGTGAGTTACTTTTACGTTTTACTGAAAGGACAAGCTGTGGCAGAATCTAAAGTAACCAGAAGACATGTATCATGATTTTCCAGATGACAGTCTGAAGGCAAACTTGGTCGCCACCGTCATTGTTGTTGCCAGCTTCCTCTTCTTCCCCATTTACTTGCTTGTGTCTTATCTCGTAAGTTTTTCATTTGATGCAGACTTGTTGAAAATCGGTTCGACCGGTCGGCCAGATACGATAGTTGTGTGCAATGCATTTATCTTCAGGAACGGAACAGCACGAAACCTCATCCGGGCGAGGAACTCATCAACTTCCGTCAAGTGCATGTCAGCGCCGAGGGCAATCAACCTCTGCGCTACTCTTACACATAACTATTGTTTTTTCATTGTCTCGATTCGTTGATTTTATCATTTCTATTCGTTTTCTTCTAATTTGCTTTAAATTATGCTCCGATTTTTCAAATTTCCCCGGGTGATATTTGTGTTTTAGATTGTTCCAACGCTCACTTCTCAACACTTAGGTTTCAACAGTACAGTGTCAAATTGTTATCCACGCTCAAGTTGTGTTTTATTCATCACGGGTCAAAATAAATCAATTGCGTAGAAGATTCATCACTAACAAAACGTCATCAGCGCTCGGCCCGGAGTTCAAAGAATTTTCAAAATTTTTTCAAAAATTCAAATTGTTTCGATGTTTCTTGTGAAACAGCTCTAATTACTGTCCCCTTGGAAGGTGAGCAAGATAAATACTACATAAATGTTCAAATTGCATTATTCAGCTCAGCCCGGCCCGGACCGTTGCAAGTTTGATTCATACTATCAAATTGATCTTCTTGCCTTCTGCGACATGCCACGCTTCCTTTTTTATCACGCTCTCAAATTTCGCAATTGCGCGGGAAGTGAAAAGCTATTGTGGATTTCTGTGATGCGTAGTGGTTGCGTCGCCGCCGGACGCAGGAGGTAAGAAACTTTTGGTTGTAATTGTAATTGATTTCAATTTTAATCAAAATTTGATAGTGTTTCCCTGGTCAGCACTGGAAGCGCATCGTCCGGAGGAGTACGAGAGGCGCAAGAAGGACAAACTGCGTGGTGATGAAATTGAACGAACATTTTTCTGAAAAACTATGAATCGAGATAACAAGATTTGTTTATGCTGTCAACATTGAATCGAAACACGTATAACAAGATATTATCGATCACCAACGAATTGTGTTCGACGGAATGTACGCTATCTTGAGTGCGCCGCCCTTCCAGATTCCCAGCATATCCGGAGAGCACTCGTCAGGCTTCCAGACGTCATTTGAATTGGAGTAGATAGTCGGCAAATGAAGAATGTAGTACCTGAAAATAGAAAATCAGTCAATTATTGTTAACAAAAACAAATGGAATCGTACTTGGAGTGTTGCAATTCCAGTGGAGGTTCTCCGGTGACGAAAATTCCAGTAACGCCCGGAATGAGTATGTGTGGGTTAATTGTCGCTCTGATCGGTGCTTTCGGAGTGACAATGTGGACTTTCATAAGTTGAGCCGCCTTCGAAGGTTGTTTGCGGCATGTGCATGGACGTCGAATCGGCAGATCTGCTTCAAGAACGTCTCCAAGGGCGCTTCGCTGAGCGGATTCCTTCGCGATCTTCGCTCCTTTATTGTAGATTATCGGTTCTCCGGTGTGATCGACAAAGAATCGGTGGCCTCGAGTGCATTCGTATTCGAATCCGACAAACAGTTTAACACGAGCCTCTCTGAATCCACCATAACTGCGCTGGTAATCCTCACTACGGATTTTGTTGAGATCTCGGTTCCAGGAATTGATATCGACCTATAAAATAGAATATCAGATTGAATTTCATGATTCACCCCGCAATCACATACGTCAAGAGTGATGACGGCGGGAGTGAGGTATTCTCCTCCGATTTTGAAGTTTGGTTGGTCTCTGAGTCCGACGTGGTGATGGTAAATGCTTGCGTCGCCCAAGAGTGTCAGGTACCACGATGGGAACAATGGAAGTTTGCCGCGCGTGAGCATAGTCGGCACGTGGAAGATGAAATCGTGCAATTTACGGTCTTCCATCAGTCTGGCCTGCTGTTTTGCGTGGAAAAACGCCAAATCGAGACCGCTGTGTGGTCTTCGTCGGTTGCTCGAACGGCCGTTCGAAGTAGAAGCGACGGGGCGTTCCCTCACGTAATCCGAATCTTCTTCGCTCATACTTCCGGACGGTCTTCCTTTAGTTTCTCTGTCGGGATAGTCGTCGTAGTCGTCTTCTTTCTTGATGATTATGCCATCGTTGAGTGAGCTGTCCTCTCCGCCCGCCCAGACGCTACCCTCCTCTTCCATTTTCACTTCTTTTCCGTCGATTACCTCCTTATACAGACGGAATTTGTAGCTCCATTTATTTCGGCAACACGTGAATTCGGGGCTGGCGAAGAAGAGGTAGTTGGCCTCGATCACTGAGAACGGTTCCGGTCTGATCAGCTGGGTATGTCCGCAGACGCACGTTGAAAGCAGTGTGTTTGCTGCGTCATGAGGCGACCATGCACAATCCGGTATGTTCATGTCGCCTATTTCAGGATGAGGCTTCAGAACGCATTTGCGGCCCATCATGGAGTACGCATCACAAGATTTCAGCTCCGACAGCCACACGTCGGTGCATCTCTTTCGAATCTCTTGCTCCGCCTCATCTTGTTGGTAAAAGACAATTGCTCTAATATAAAGGATAGCCTGCTCCAGCTGAAACAAATAAAACCTTTTCCTTTCAACGTTTTGTCCTGTAAAAATACCTTTTCAAAATGCTGATTTGTGTCTCGAGACCTTTGGCTTGGCTGGTTTTGATGTCTACTGTGCTCTTGTTGGTTGTGAAATCCACCTCTAATTAGTGCATTCTGTCCCGGACGGTAGTTGTCTACCGAATATATCTTGAAGGCCTCTTCAATATGATACCGTGTTTGTTGCTTTTGGAATTCCAATATTGGATTGACACTAATTTGTTTGTTTTGCTTGGTTTCGAGTGATCCGTCGAGAAGACACTGCATACAATCAAGCAGGTCCACAACGTTCTCCAGAGTGATAAGCTTCTCCTCCGCTCGAAAGTTGTTGTCGAAGAATTTCATGAGCGAGCCGTTGTTCGGTAGCGGATCCAGTATATCATCGTCTTCCCTTTCTCCCATTTCTCCTTCTTTTCCCGGCTTTTTCTCTTTTAGCGCCATATCCATGAACACTTCGAACATCTCATTGACAATATCTCTTTTCACAACGTCTGGATTAATGAGATGCACACACGGAAGAGTTTCATTGAGCTGACAGAGGGAACTGGCTCCGTTGTCACTGAGATTGAATTGTCTGAGACATTTGTTCAGCTGTTCATCCAAGGAACGTTCCAGTTTCTCATAAATTTCTCTCTGGAAACTCGGTTGCATTGAGAAGTTGTACAGTTCATTGGTTTACCTTTTTCGCTCCTTTCAGGTCGAAACGAATGTTGTTTTTGTGGAACGCCATGAGAAGACGAGGGATCGTCACTCTCCCTTCGGCCTCTGCCTTCGAAAGTTTGCGATTCATTGAGAGAGTCTTTTTGAGCCCTGCCGATATTAGCTTCTCATTCACTTTCCGACGAAGAAGCATTCTGGAAAACAGCTCTGATTGACATTGAGACTACAAGATTACAAAATTCCTACCGCGTGACGTTGACTTTTTTCAGCTTTTGCATGAAAGGCATGCACAATCTGGAAGTCTCCTCGAAGACGATGATGACGTGGCAAGTGACGAAAAGGAAGTGAAGCATTCGCATTTCCTGTACCTCACTTTCTTCCATTACATCGAAGTAGTTCTTCGGCGGCTCTTTTTCCTTTAGTTTCTTGGGTTTCTCAGCTATTTCAGTATTCTCACTGGTTCCAGCTCCTTCATCTCCTTCACCGGGCTCATTATCGTCTTCATATTCGTCCGTCTGACGAAGTTGTTTCCGCACGTTCACAATATCGTCGGCTCCGTTCATGACCAGGAAGAGGATTCGCTCGTTCTCATGGTAGTATGCAGAAATCTGAAAAAAAAACGATATTTCCTTTCAAACTTGAAAATTTCTCACTGTGCAAGTCTCGTCCTCATCAACCGTCATTGGAAATGCGTTTTCCTTCATAAAAGTGTTTATGTTGTCTGCTTTTCCGTGATCTGGAAGGTCTTTACCAATCTGCAATATCGAATTTATTGTCTGGGCCTAAAATTTTCCACTCACAACGCCAACTATCTTGATTTTTCTGTCCATCTGGTCGCGAAGACAGTCTCGTGCATAGTCAATCCATTTTGACAGTTCCATTGAGCACATTTTTGCTGAAAGTTAGAGAAAACAATGTGGAATTTTTAGGATTTTTGGTACAAAACCGGAAGAAATAAATTCGAAAACGAACAGTTCCGTAAAGGGGAACGGTACACGCTCACGCCAAAATGCACAAATTTGCGTATAATCCAATGTCAAAAAAGGGCTGCATTAATTTCGAATAGGAATAAGCAGAAATGAGAAAAATATAATCTTCCTATCAGAATTTGTGTGTTATCAGTATAATTGAGTGTAGCAAAATGTACAATATTTGTGGAATTTTGCATCAAACTAACATATTTTTTAATATTTTTTTCAGGATTTTTAGCCTCATCTAAAACGTGCTTGTCTCAGTCCCTTTGAAAAATTCAATTTCAAAAAGAAGATGCGAGGAATCAATACCCGCCGACATCCTCGTGTCTTTTCCTGTCTGCGTCTCTCCTCCCGGCATCCTCTCGCGCTTCTTTTTTCCCTCCCGTTACTTCCCACAATTTTGATTTCATTGATGGAGGATGAAAACATTCGATTTTCCAATTCGCTTCCTTTTCAGTTGAACTAGTCACAAACCAGTTTTAGATTTAGTCTACCTCTGCAATTCTTCCGAAGAGAACCACCGAAAAAGTTCTTATCGCTCGAAACCATCAATTTTTATGTGATTCGTCTATTTCTCAGAGTTTTCAAACTCTCCAGTTTAACAAAAATCATATTTCAGCGGGTGAGCAAGTGACTCAGCGATTTCGCAATAACGTCACTGGCTCCGAGCGAAACAACAAATAGTCGGTTGTACGCGTATCGAAACGAACCCATGGGATCATTTTCCGTCTTCTTCGTCCTTCTGGGTAAGTTCAACGCATTTTTGTAATTTCTCATCAAATTTATGTTTCAGGCATCGGCATCATTCCTCTGATCTCGGCAGCATGGCCGAACACCACCACAACCCTGTCGCCTTTCGAGGAAAAAGGAGGATCTTCAATTTCCGGTGAGAATTTTTATTTCCAGTACATTTCAGTAAAAAAACGTGTTTCAGGAATGTGGGTGACGTGTCATACTTCTCTGGAGAATTGCCTGGAAGCTTGTTACATGAGCTGCTACATCACGGACCTGTGCAATGATCAACCAGATTTGGCCGCCTGTGCTCCCGGATTGACACAGTAAGTATTATTAATTCCCAAAAATCAAATGAGTCATCAATCTCCAAAAAGAAAATCTGAAACTTAACCTCCGGCCCCTGTAAGCAAATATTCGGTTGCGAAAAAAGTCAACAGCGATGACTAGGCACTCATTCCGCCGCTGTTGTACTCCTTCCCACATCCGTTGCTACTAACTTGTCATGGATGACCCGACCGTTGATAAAGTAGCCGACAAGATTCTTCTATCCGGCGTGGATTGTCTCTTACAACGAATGGGAACCGCCAGAAAGGTCTACGAATGGTCAACAGACTACCAGGACTTGTGCACTGACGTCGACTGGACGTAAGACCCTATTTTGTGTTGTTTTGCCGTTGCTCTCATTCTCCGAATCGAGAAGAGGAGAAGAGGGCGCGGGGGGAAATGTATTTCGCAATACTCTGGCCGTCGGCCAGCTCTTGGAGCACGCATGAGTCATCGTGGGGCTACTCATTCTAGGAAATGCTATGTCAGTCAGGCTCCGCCCATTGTCATCGGAAAAAGGAGAGGGAATTGGGTAGTATTAAGAGAGGGAATTGGGTAGTATTAAGATCGACTCTTTCTTGTTTTTTGTCCTTGAAAAATTCAACCACTCGGAACATTTAGAGTGCGGAGTGGCAGAAGAAAATTGAGTTGTTCCCAATGTTTCGTAATCCACTTGAGACTCTTTTTTTTTGGGGAGTAACTTGGTATTGAGAATCTTCTAAGCTATTAGTTTTCAATCCGAATAGAAAAGAAAAACGATATTAAACTTTCCGACTACACTCCCCGCCGGATAGCTTGTCCAGAGCCGCTCGATCTTTTTTTTTCGTTTGAACAAGTTACTCCCATTTCCCGAGTTCTTTGGCCTCTGCCGCTGCCTCTGCCTTCTCTATGCCCATCATTTTGGCTCCGAATCGATATGGCAAGCCAGAGAAGCGAGAGCCTGCCACCGCAAATGGCTGCTCGAAAAAATAGAGAGACGCCGAGCCTTCTCTCCCATTTTTTGCTTCCACGTCCGTGTTTTCACTCTCTCTTTCTCCGAAAAACATCGTTCTCTCGCCAGATTCAGTCATGTCCGCCGAAGATCCAGCGATTTGGGAGTCGATTTTGGCCCTTGACATCTGGGCCATCATAGTCTGGGTCTACGGTCACCTTCCATTCGAAATCAAATCTTACATATGGTAGGCTGAGCGCAGTAAATTTAAGGGGGCGGGACAATGAAAAAATAAATAAATTTGTGAAGTGTGAATATATTGTATGGTGATAATTTCAGGATGGTCATCCTGACCCTCATCTTCGTCGTCCTCATGACCACGTGCTGCGGAGTGCTCTGTTTCTTCGCTCCGTGCTGCTGCTGCGCGATCATGTATAAAGGATACCGTGCTCGACAGGCCGGTCGAAGATCTCGAAACGATCGCGACAACATCGCCTACCCATCCGCTCCCCCTCTTCTGGCAAAGGTCTGACTGCATCTCAACTTGAAGAAGTATTATACCCATCTCAATTCCTCCAACTTTGTTCTTGCTCCGTGATTGTCAGTACAATTTGCTTATTTTTGAAATTCATCATTTGTAACCTATAGATTTTGAACCCAAAGACCTTTTTCCCAGTTTTACTCTCCGTTACAGCACGGGTGATCCCCGCCATTGTACAGATTCGAACTTTGTTCCACAATAAACCGTTTTGAATTATATTCAAGTGGGGAAACGATGATAATGCTGTTGCGCATGTGTTTTGACCGAAATATTTTTGAAAACGCACATTTTTTGGTAATTATAGCCGAAAAGGAGCAGTCATTTGCTTTCTAATTGAAAATTATCCAGAAAACCCAATTCTGCATGAAAATCATCAAGTTTCACAGAAAATTGGATTTCGCTGTGATTCTTCGAGGAATTGTTCTGAAATTTGTCGCAACCGGGCCGGGCCGGTTGGGACGATTCCATCATAGTTCCACTTTAAACAGGGACAAATGACGAAAGAGTTTAAATTATCGAATTTCGACTAAAAATGATATATGTATTTATCCGTAAAATCTATTTTTCTGGTTGAAAATCTGAATTGTAGCTAACTGGACAAGGAAACCCGTATAATAAGGTGCAGATGGATTACGCTCGGATCTTCATCGCGGACGATAAATGAACGCGTACCGGAACCCTCCTGCCCGTCTGAACGATTATCTCTCAGCAGATTTTATCTCGAATCTTCTGCGTTTCTTCTGAGATATTGGGATATATATCCCATGGAACCTGAAAGCGTATATATCGTGGCCGAATGGTCTAGTGGTATGATTCTCGCTTTGGGTGCGAGAGGTCCCGGGTTCAATCCCCGGTTCGGCCCATCCTTTTTTTCAACTTGCAACATTTGTCAACCTTTTTCCAATACACCGATAGGCAATTCTGATATTTAATTTGAGTCTGTCAAAGTAACATTATCAGTTGTTCACGGCGTGGCTGACCCTGCGTGTGCATATTCAAAGATAATACACTCTGCACCTCACCGTATTCGTACAGTTTTCTGTCTTTTCTTTTCATTTACATTCAGTTCGCGGATACGCATTGATTTTTTGCGTGCGTATGTAGATCACCCCCATCTCTCCTCCCCGTCCTCCTCTCTTTCCTCGTTGCGACCCCGCATTTGTACGCGGTGGTGTTGGCACATTCGGTGCGGTCCGTCGGTCGTTTTCCACCAGAAATCGCCTCCGCACTCTTATTTCTTGTGCGCATCTCAAAAACCGCATTTCTTTTTTGTGTTTCACTCTTTTCAAATAGTTTGGATATTATTTGCGCTCTTTCTCAATATTTATCTAGAATATCCTTATCTGGCTTTTTAATTTTTGGAAAACTTTGTTAGCCAGTTTCTATTCCTGTCCACTTTTCTAATAATTTTTTGTGAACAGGTACAGAAATAATTGATGTTTGGGGGCTTTTATATTTTGTTTCAAATCCTCTCGCTGCCTTCTAACATACAAAATAGATGAATTTGATCTACTCGAACCCAAGACCAGCCAGTCATTTCGCTCGGCCATCCCGCACACTCTCCTCTTGTCGTGCGCTCTCTCGCTCGGTGACAAAAACCCTCTCTTTTCTTCACGTCCTTTCTCTATCGTGTGTAACCTCGCCCTGCGCCGACGGGAGGGTCGAGAAAGACAACCACATAGCACACTCAGCAAATGCGCTCGACGGAGACGCGGTAGCGCGTAGACCTTCTTCCCGCCTCGCAACGATCGTGCTCTTTCCGTCTCATTTTCTCTCACCTTCACAATTGTGATTTTACAGTCAAATTCAACGGGGTCCGAAAGATGAGTTCTGCTCGTCAAGGTACAAACGAGTCCGGCCAGAGGAGATCTACTAGAACACGGCAGAAAAAAGTGTTCGGCGACGACTTTATCGATCCAACATCCGTCCCGCTCAATCGACTAAGCTCTGGTTTCACATCAGCTATGCCGGTAAGAATCCGTATAATACGAATAGTTTGGAGATCATATATTTACTTACAGAGTCGGAGCGTCACCCCCGATTTTCTGCCGGCGCCCTCGTCTTCTGCAGTGTTAGACCGGATTGCACAGCAAGTGCAGGAAAATCACCTGAATGAGATCAAGGAAGAAGAGCCTGAAGAACAGACCAACGACGAAATGAGCGCCAGTCCAACTGGAACGTCAACTGAACCGGTGAAGGAGGAAATACTGGATCCAGAAGATATTGTAGAAGGTGTCAACCACTCCGAATTCGATGGATCATCAATGCCGCCGACAACTATGAACTCCAATGATAGAGTGAGTGACTTGACAGGTGAATTTTCAACATGGTTTTTCTTCAGAAACGGAGACATCCCAAGATGTATGTGGACCAGGGAGTACCGCATGACACAGTTAAGAAGAGATCGAAGCAGACTGTCAAAAGATCGAAATGGAACGGTGAGAACCACGATGATATTTTGACTAGCTTAACTCCCTTTCTTCCAGGTTTCTATTATGATATGCCGGAAGACAAACGGGCGTTGTCGGCTGAGGAGGACGCTCGTCGGAATCGTGAGGCTGCCGATAAAGTGGCTATGATACGTGAAGCCAACGTCAAGAAGATACTGGAGAATCGATCTTTGGGAAAAGTTACGACCGGAGGACAAGCCAAAGCTCAAGACGCTGAAATTTCGCAGTTTGTGGCCAGCGCGAAGAACAGCAGAATTGTGCCAATGCTCGTCGGGACTCGGCCAATGCCGAAAGATTCAATTGGACAATATCTGAAGATTCAAAGCGGCACCACCGCTCGTTTGGTGACATACAAGGATCGAATGATTGGAGTTCTACCGATTTCCGCCCAGGGACAAGTCGTCGGCACTGCAAATGCAAACGCGTCACCTTCTCAACCGCCCACGTTTCGGAACGGATTTCGGCGAGTGCCCGGACTGACACCAGTTGGACAGCAGTTTAAGGAGCCGAAGCACGAGGAGCCGGAAACCAGTGACAAGTCCTTCGAAGACGCCACTAGTCCACGGGGCCGTTCTGTGAACTTGGCAAAAGTCTCTCCGGACCTCAGAAAATTTACTGTGCTGAACAATGTCACGATGGCCAAAGCGAAACCGGGACATGTGCCAGCCACTACCAGAACAATCACCTTGCTTCCAACGACTTCCATGCACTTAAACAAGGACGGAACTCCACCTGGTCCATCGTCCGCCATCAACAGGTCACCGAATCCGCCCATCAGCGGCACCAGACAATACACGCTGGTGAGGAGAGTGATAAACGGACAACCGCGCCAGATCATCACCGTGGTCAAAGGACCAGACGGCAATATTATTCAGCCGAGACGGGTTGTGCTTGCGAAACCGAATCAAGTCGCTCAACTGCCGCCTGTTCACAGACCGACGTCAGGACCATACGTGAGCCGTCCTCGACCAATTTCTCTGCCACGACCACAGCATCGACCACCTCCGCAGCCACTGCTACAACCACCATTGGCAGCGATTGTGAAACAGAATGCGTTGGATCCGGTGATGTTGATCAAGCTGGATCATCCATACTGCAAACCAGAAGAAAGTGAGGCCAACGACAAGAAGAACAGCCTTCAGAGGAGGTCGATACCAGTCAACCAAGATCCGTTGGATTCTCGGCTGGTCTCGGCGACAGTGGTTCGGAAGCGCGGAGGCGACAAGACTACCGAGATGGATTACATGCTCGCTTCAACACAGCCATCTCGCAAACTCCATCCAAACCAGCCTCAAATTGTGAATCCGGAAGAAGCGGACAGGGATGTCTGTCTGTGCTTGCCAGCGTATACTGAAGAAGTCGAGACAGAACCAGCTGAGGAGCCAGTTGTTTCACGGCAAAACGAAAGGGAAGAGTACGACCCCAACAAAACATACGACTCGGACGTTGAGATTGAGGTGGACATGGAAGAAATGAAGGAGTACGTCTTCAGACCAAAAGAGCATCTGCAGGTAATTGCGCATCAAATTGGTTTTGATAAAAAGTGTGTTTTTTCAGAAGCAACTTGACAAGAGCGGAAAACGTGCTTGTCCAGTGGAGAAAATTGTTGAAGCGGATCACTCCAACTTGGTCGCCCGTTCAGAAGGTGTCGAATCGAGTCCGGATCCCAAGCCTGCCGGAAACTTTGAAACTCTCGATTCTCAGAAGCAACACGTTGTTGCTGAAGAGTCTACAGAGCCCGTCGTGGATGAGCAAGCTTTCGAGCCAGTCAATGCTGATCAGCCTCAGGAGCCGGAACAACCGGCGATTCCAGAGCACCGAGTTTACCTTGGAGCCGAAGAGCCAATGAAGGATCTGGACGAGGACACGTACCGATTCAGGCGATACAAAATCAAAGTGGTTGATCAGTTCACTGCAAAAGACTACCGCCCGTTCGGAAAACGCCCATCACATCTTCTGAACACGCATTCTGCTCGTGGTCTCTCGGCTGTGCTGCTTCCCGAAACAAACGAGGCACAGTATAAACAGGAGGTTGAGGAGGATTTGTGTGTGAAAGAAAAAATAAGGAAAGAGGAGACGGATAAGATGAATGCTGAGTTTATCCGACAGAAAGAAGCTCTTGCTCAGAAGATCAATAAGAATTCATTACGGGTTTGGACTCACATGCAATCGGATGAATTCAAGAAGACTCTGAAGCCGGAGAGCGAATTGACCGCATTTGAAAAGATTGTTTATGGACACAATGCGTTGGCTAAGATTCCAGAGTACTCGGACTCTCTTTCTCACTCGAATCCGACTCTCTACCAAAACCTTCTGCGAATCAGTACCCGGGGTCAATGGAAAACCGGCAAAAAGGTGAAACTCAGTTTGAATTTTGTTTTATAATCAATTGTTTTTCAGAAGGATATGCAGTCGATCGACGAAACTGGAACGATAAGGATGTGCGGTCCAGTTCGTATCGACTTTGACAGCCTCATTCCAACGGGCACATCATCAAGCTTGTATGAATCCTGTCCGACAAAAACAGGCGATTCGACACGTCTGACGGTCATTTGGAACGGGGTCAAAACGAAAGTTTCTGAGCACATACCCTGCCATTTGTGCAACGACACGATGCGTCTGTGCATGCGCCGGTCCAACTACCGCGGAGAACTCCGAGAGTACCCGGCTTATCGGTAAATTAACCGCTAGATTTGAAACAACACAAATATAATCCTTTTTTGCAGATGCCTTCGCAAAGGATGCCAGACCTTCCGGTCAATCAAGAAGATGATCGATGGTGGGTCAAGGAGAAAAAAGGACAAGACGCGGGAACAGTGCAAGAAAAGCACAGGAACATTGCACGCGCAGCCCAACAACCGTTCCGTTGCTCCATCGACAAGCTCCGTGAAGAGAGGCTCATCTGCAGAAGGCAGCGAGCAATCGCCATCTGACGGCGACTGCAGTCCCTCTGCCGGCTCAAGCGTACCGTATTTCACGCGTTCTAGACGCACACGGAAGAGCAACTTCTCGAATCTCTCCGTCGACTTTGTGTGCCCCAAATCGGTAGCTGAAGTCGCTCGCCAAGATCTCGATGAGCACCACAACAGTACCGAGGATGAGGATGAGCTCGTCGAGTGGTCCGAATTCCCGGACGGTAAAGAAGAGCCTCAGCCGGAAGTGAAGAAGGAAGCTCTTTCTCCAACCAAGGACAGCACTTCTAATTCGTACATCAACAGTACTGGTCACAACACCGACGAAGAGGACATCGAACTCGCGGTGAAGCAGGAAGTGGTGTCGGACAATGAGGAGGACGTGAAGCCCAATTGCAATTTCTCAGTGGATTGCGACGACGAGCCACCACCACTTATGGATGCTGTGGATCTGAAGCCCCGTCTTTCTCAATCCACATCTCCCCTTGTTCCACATAAAAGCGCTGTAGCTTGCCCCGAGGATCTAATCAAAATCTACAAACTAGACACCATGACTACCGAGGAGATGTTGGATCTGGTGATCTTGCGTCCGTTCCTGAGGAACGCTGTCGCACTGCAGATGTCGAGAGCGGAAAAGGAACGCAGTAAGCCGGCCGAGAAGACGTCCAAAGATGTGAAACCGGAGCAGTATGTGGAGGAGAAACCGTCCCACCTGGTGAGTTTTTAATGAATTCACGCAGATCTTTGTTCATTGAACTAACAAATCTTATTTCAGCTGCCGCCGTAATCGCTCGTCTCCTTCTCCTTCTCCATGCGTCCGTCATCTCATCCACGGTTTCCATTAATATCAATTTTGATTGAGTTTCTTATACATTTTTGCCTGTTCATAACCATTTATGTCATTTTTTCACTTCCAAAGTTCCTGCCAATTGTGTTAATTACAATATCTTAGTGAGTCTTTAAATGTATATCAATATTTATTTCTACTTTGCTCCCCCACGCTTTCCAAAAATAATCTCAGTAAAGTCAATTGCGTGAATTATTTTCAATGTTACTGCCGACGATAATGCTGATTTGGTTCGTACCAACAATCGATATACGCGAGTCGGCACGAGATGTCCAATCTTCCCGCGATGACCACACCAATCCTGCGTCTTTCCGTTCATCGCACTCTCTGCCTCTGTCCGCTGTTTACGAGGGCCAAACGTTTTGCGGACAATGTGCCCCAATTGACGACGATTGTCGGCGTCTCTTGCTGCTTTTGTTGGCAAGAGTTCTCGCGGACTCTCACCGTTTTTCCCAATATATAGTCTTTTGTTTGCGCTTCTCTTCCTCTTCCTCTCGTCCGGCATGGAATAGATAAAAATCTGTGCGAGTTTAGATGTCAATAGCCCGGGCAATATACGTGTCGATCATGCGTCTCTTCCAAGCGATCATCGCGTTCATCCGCAATTTGTGCAGTGGTGGACGAAATAAAAAGCGGATGGATATGGACGATGTGCCATTCGACGGTATGTCTCATCATCATCTCACCAGTAATCGGTTGATAAGAACGTTTCTGTTTTCAGTGGTTGTGGACGACAATGTGCGGGGAGACAAGCGAGAGGAAAGAGCCTCGTTGCTCCAGAACGCGTCGATGGACTCGTGGGACGACAATGATTGGGACAAGAAGGAGGAAGTCAACGACAAGATCGAGCAGTGGAGGAACAGCAACGCACACGTAAGTTTCACGAACAACAGCTACCCCTAAGGCTATTTGAAATACAAAACTGAGTTTCCAACACATAACTTTGTTTAGGAATCGATTCTAAAAAAGTTGAAAATTTTATTTAAAAGTTGGCGGAGCGATTTATCGCAACCCTAGCACTCACTTTAAGTAATTTAACCCCTGGCCCTCCCCGGAATCTTGTAATCATTCGTTTCCCCAAAAATGTTCATCAAATGATTGTCACTTGTGGGCGCAGTGAATGCAGTTGATTGCACATTAACATCAGAAATCAAGCTACATTCCATTTGCTTTCAGAAAACGGAGCCTCAACCCACGCCAGAAGACGATTTGTTTAGTACGCTCGAGCCGACCATCACCAGCGCCAGAAAGGTACTTTTTCTATTATTTTCTCTTTAACGGACTTAATCTGAACCAATTTCAGGTCGTCTTGGTTCCACGTGGAGGCCCTCGTGATGCAGCGCCAAAGAAGAGCAGATTCGATTTCAACGAGGCCAGTGTGGTAAGTACTCCTTATCTTTATTAGGGGAAAAACGAGAAAATTTATACATAATTATGAGGTACGAGTTGAGATAACTAGTTGAGGAGCTTCTTGTTGAGGAAATCGTCCTCGTTCTTCACTGCCGGCACTTCCGTCGTCGAGGCGCTGTTTGAATTAGCCTTATCAAGCTTTCCCTTGATAACGTCGAACCTCTTCTTCTCGAATTCGCTCATCTCCTGAATAACAATATAGTCTGAATATCCTATCGTGTCATGGGTATTACATCCACTTTGCAATGATCTCTTTCCGAAAGATACTGGCACACCTCAATGGTGACATCAACTCGAGAACTTCCATCTCTCTCCATTTTCACGTCACTGAAACCCGAAACTTTGCTGTTTGCAATAATTTCGTTCCCTACCGAATGTAGTGGTTTGGTGCAAGCACCGGATTGGTTCTGATGGATGGGCCAAGGACCGAAATCGATTCGGTATCCCTCCAGATACACTTTTCACGGCCGGCGTTGTCTGCAAATGCAACATTTCTGATCGCGATAATCCCCCGCACGCCAGCTAGTTTTTTTCAGTTCCGTTCTGACCACTCGTCCTTTCTTTCTTCTCACCTGTCTCCACTCGAGTCGCCAGCGAAGCGCAACACAAAACCATTAGCGATTTTGAGTTGAGAAGGAGACCAGAGACGAAAGTGCGACGTCCTCGGAACGCGGCGAATGACGTGTGTTCGCTGCATTGTTTTCTCCATTCGCATTGTACTGCACACGTGTACGGTATGAATTTGGCGCAGATTGCCTGGAAATGTAGGATGCTACGGTCATTATAGGTGATGGATACACTTACATTTGTGGACTCGTACGAGAAAAGCTTCTGACCGACGTAGCACTGCACAGCTGAATAGACAACAGTTGGCAGGAGGCAAGCTATCACAAGCTTCAGCATCGTTCCGCTCTGCAAATGTTTGAATAGATTTTGGCATTCACGAGAAAACCGAACAAAATTGGACGAGTTTTGCGATTTAATTTACGCAAAGGATTGTATTGTTGAAACGGGATGAGAATGCCGTGGAAGGAGATAATCGTAAAAGGTGAATTCACGGACGGCGAATGAGAGTGAAAAGTGATATTTATCCCGGTTTGGGTGTCTGGCCACTCGGCCAATCCCTGAACAATGCGATAAGAGACTAGTTTTTGCTTGCAGCTTTGAGTCTGATATGATATGGAACGGAACGGAACGTAAGCGTACTATCCCAATTAGGCTGCTAGTTAACTACCAGATCTTTTAATTTGTGTGTTTGACAAAAATCGGATTACGGTAGGGTAGATGCCATCACGTTTTTATAGTGAAAAGATGATGCGTATCAGAAGAAACTGAGAGATGGCACCGACCGACGGATCGGAGAATGAGAATGAAAGTGTGTATGAGGAGGGATATGAAGGAGGTGGCTTCTCGGTAAACCTTAAGACCTGTTTGCGATGGCCAGTATGGGCGCGAGTTCTGGCCCGCCCTCCGGCCGTCCTTTCATCTGAATTTAACCTTTGAATCGTGTCGTAAACAAGCTTGGCGCTAGCGAAATGCTAAGATAAGAAAAATCGAAATTGGAACATAATTGAAAGCTGAAAACCGTCGTCGTTTTTAGCTGCGTATAGTTTTTTAGTTTAAAGAGGAACTGAAAAAAGCGGTATTTTTTACGTCACTCGTAGAATAGCGTAATTGTTCCGAGTTGGAGGGGAAAACCTGAAGTCAGATAAAGATTCCGTCTACTTTAAGAAAAAAAACCCGTCTCAAATTTCAAAATAATGACCAGAGAACTAGCAGATGATACAACTGAAGCGAACGCGTCAGTTAGAGATGAAGAAGAACATATGCTAGATTTGAACGATGTGCGAACGAACAAGTAAACAGAATAACGAATGCTTGTGCCGCGATACTCGTTCTGCTAATCAGTGAACACGGTATCCCCCCGGCCGATTGTTCTCCTCCTCCTCCTCCTCCTTCTTCTTTTTCTTCTTCTTCTTCTTCTCCGTCGTGTCGCCACCCCGACCAACCCCGGCGGGACCTGTTGAGAAGGCCCTGACGCACAGCTTCATTCTTCTGCCTTTCCTATCTGGTTGCCGCACAACTTTTTATGAATGGAAGCCAATCGGTCGGGACGGGACGGGACGGCGGCGCAAATTGCGCTCGAGTCGTTTTTGCATAGCTTCAAGAAGAGAAAGACGGAGAGAGAGAAAGAGAAACAACAATTCGTGATGACGAAAGGTGTCGCGAAGGTGTTATGAGGAAGAAATGACAGCCAGCGATCACATTCACCCGTCTGAGCGGGTTCGATGACAAAGAAACTTGCTTGATTGGTGCTTTTTTTGCAGGGAGCCTCGGCGACACTCGGAGAGATTGAAGACGATTTGATGGGATGGGGCGATGATGATCTCGACACCACTTTGAAGCAGGTACTGACAATGTGTTCTTCTGCAACAAAAACCATTCAATCCCTCTTTTTGCAGCATCGCGAGGAGCAGCACCGACAGCTCCAGCTGGAACACGAGCGTCGTCTTCACCAGAAAAAGATGCAAAATGCGGCCACACACCATCTCTGATTTCCTTCCCATGACCTGATTCCCTGTTTCTGAACTTCGGACCTCAAAAATTGAAAAAAAATGTGATATGGTAAATTTATGATATCTCTTCAAAATCCATTCAACTCACTTTTTCTGTGTAATTTGGCACACATGGTCATATAAGTTCTCTTCCATTGGCACAGTTATTTTCGATTCTCTCTCCCTCTCTTTTCCTCTCTGTAGTATGTTTCGGGTGTTTCGTGATGAAACTTTTTGTGAAATTTGACTGAGTAGCACGACACGCACAACCATCTCCAATGCATTAAGTGCACTCATTTCGCTGACAAGAAGCCGCCACCAGGCAGTCTTCTTATGAATTCATGGCGCAATTCAAAAATGACTTCTGCGGCCATCTCGCCCAACTCATTATTCGAATGCCATGCATTTGTTGTGAGATGGCCATGCTCCATGCACAGCATGCAGCAGATATGGTGGCTGGTGGTGGACACAAAGATGATAAAATATTGATGAGTGGGTGTGGTTGGCTTCTCCGCCTTCTTCCTACCCCACGGACTATCTTGGACAAGAGCTCCGCTGTCGTCAGTCAAGTCTCAACGCAGCCGTTCCATCGGTAACCGTGTCAGTTTGAAGGCGTAGGCAACGAGGAAGACGTCGTCGGGTCGCCATCATGCGAGAGATTGTTCACATCCAAGCCGGTCAATGCGGTAATCAAATTGGATCCAAGGTGAGTCATTTTTCTAGTCTGAATACAATCAAAACACCCGACTTTTTTTTAGTTCTGGGAGGTGATATCCGACGAACATGGCATTGACCCAACCGGCCAGTACGTGGGAGACTCTGATCTGCAACTCGAAAGGATCAATGTGTACTACAATGAGGCAGGCGGCAACAAATATGTACCGAGGTAACATTGAAACAGAAACATTTGAAAAATTTAGTTTTTTTTTCAGAGCTGTGCTTGTCGATTTGGAACCGGGAACGATGGATTCAGTACGCTCTGGACCATTCGGCCAACTGTTCCGCCCGGACAATTATGTGTTCGGACAGAGCGGTGCTGGAAACAACTGGGCAAAAGGACACTACACCGAGGGAGCTGAACTTGTCGACAGTGTGCTGGACGTAGTGAGAAAGGAGGCGGAGAGCACGGATTGTCTACAAGGATTCCAACTGACTCACTCTTTGGGAGGAGGAACTGGATCTGGAATGGGAACTCTGCTCATCTCGAAAATTCGCGAGGAATACCCGGACAGAATCATGAACACTTTCTCTGTTGTTCCGAGTCCGAAGGTCTCGGACACTGTGGTCGAGCCGTACAACGCCACGCTCTCCGTTCACCAGCTCGTTGAAAACACCGATGAGACGTTCTGCATCGACAACGAAGCCCTGTACGAAATCTGCTTCCGTACCCTGAAGCTGACGACGCCAACATACGGAGACCTCAACCATCTCGTGAGTGCCACGATGAGCGGCGTCACCACTTGTCTGCGCTTCCCTGGACAACTGAATGCAGATCTCCGCAAGTTGGCAGTCAACATGGTTCCGTTCCCACGTCTTCACTTCTTCATGCCTGGATTCGCACCATTGACGAGCAGAAGCAACCAGCAGGTAAGTGAATAAGGATTTTACTTAAGTCAAACCTGAAAAACTTTTCAGTACCGTGCTGTCAGCGTTCCGGAGCTGACTCAACAGTGTTTCGACGCCAAGAACATGATGGCCGCATGCGACCCAAGACACGGACGATACCTCACTGCCGCCGCAATCTTCAGAGGAAGAATGAGCATGAAGGAAGTCGACGAACAGATGCTCAACATCCAGAATAAGAACTCGTCGTACTTTGTCGACTGGATCCCGAACAACGTGAAGACCGCCGTTTGCGATATTCCACCGAGAGGACTCAAGATGTCCGCCACATTCATCGGTAACTCGACCGCCATCCAAGAGCTGTTCAAGCGAATCAGCGAGCAATTTACTGGTAAGAAGCATTCTGTTTCAGTTCATTTTCTATAATCGCCGCAATTTCAGCCATGTTCCGTCGCAAGGCTTTCCTCCACTGGTACACAGGCGAAGGAATGGACGAGATGGAGTTCACTGAGGCGGAGAGCAACATGAACGACCTGGTCTCGGAGTACCAGCAGTATCAGGAGGCTGCTGCCGACGAAGACGCTGCCGAAGCTTTCGACGGAGAGTAACCACATTTCCAACCAAGTTTATCGATCGATTGTTATATCATTCTATCCACTATTTGCCATTTCGCTTTGCTTTTTTTTGGGGAATTCACACAATAAATTTTTGGTTAGCTAGCCGGAATAGATTTATTTAGATTTGAGATGGTAAAGCTCACTATTTACAAAAGAGATCGTTCGAATAGAATGAAGAAGGAAACATTAAGAAACGAGATTAAACCCTAGATGGTGGGGAAGACCCAAAAGACAAATGAGAGTACTACGAATGCGCATTTAAATGGACACAAGTGCGTCCGACTTGTTGCTTGCAGCAACTGTGATATTCTTCTTGTCCTCCGGCACATCCTTCCGTCTCGTGCTCTCACGCAACAATTTCTTCTCGTGCCGAGATTTGAAGAACAACGACACCATGTCGGCAATCAGAACACACACTTCCATGACTGTGATCACGGAAAATCCTGAATTTTCACCGTTTCGCAGGTTATTTTCGCTGAAATTGTTTACCAAGCCACAGTCCTAAATGACCTCCAAAATCGGCAATAAGGTTCACAAGTCCGTACGCCTCGGACTCTTGCAGCAGTTCATAGTTCAGTTGTTCGTAGAAAACCTGCAAAAACGGATAGAAACTCGATTTTTCTTCCGCATTTTTGAGATACTATCGCTTGTTGACCATTTTTCGGTTTCGGTGGTTATCAATATCGTTTGCTTTGTGCGCATCACTGATCATTCATCTCGTTCATGGCCAACACGAAGAAACCGCTACGCGACCGCAACGCAGCGAAACGTTTCGCTATCTCTCTCCTTCTCTCTTTCTTTTCTCTATGGGCCGATGAGCGAGTCGGCCGGAAAAAGGCCTCGGTCAAGTACTTGCTGGGAAAACACCGAGTGGCTCTCATCCGCTTCCGTGGCGCAATAGGCAGCGCGTTCGGCTGTTAACCGAAAGGTTGGTGGTTCGAGCCCACCCGGGAGCGAAACTTTTTGCACTTGTTTCTCACCTCAATCATAGCAGCATTCAGGCGATAATATTGCTCGCATTCGCTTTCAGTCATTCCTTCGCAGTCTCCGAGCTGAAAACCGTGCATTTTTTGAATAAAAAAGGTTGCTGCATTGTTGCATTCGAAACTAAAGGGTGTGTGAAGTGTGAATGTTTGGGGAAAATGTTGAAAATCGAGAAGAGAATGGAAGTGATGTGCAGTTAAAAAGGATTGAGTGTGTTTCAAATGAAAACTAAATATCAAACTGATGAACTTTGCAATCGAGCAAGTTCCCGGAACATTGAAAAAAACAACACTACTAAAGGGGAAAAAATATAACGAAAACCGAAAGGTTAGAACATGTTAGGAACCATTCAGAACATTTTACGCTAAACCACCAGTTGTTCACTCTCCGTTGTGCCAACTTACACGTTCTGCCTAAAAGTGTTTGGATTAGTTAAGCAAAAAATGATTAATTCTATGAGGAAGCGGTTGGTTTGTAAGTGTACATACGTCTGTAGCACCGGATGGCCACTTGGAGCACGAGAAGGTCACTTCGTGGATTATTTCTTCGCATGATTGCTTGCACACACATTTGTCCATTTTTTCAGTGATATGATGGAAGTCTCCGACTGATCCAATGTTCCTTTCCAGGCACGCACCTGAAAAACTTGAGAAATGTGAATAGTTTGTTATCTGGTACTTACGGGCGGTTGCATTGAACGCGGAACAGTGCCTGTATCCTTCTGGAACAGGAAATCTGGGATCTCCACAGGAACAATCATCGATGAGTCCGTTTTGGAAGCAACTTCTGTGACATCCCTCTGGCTGATAATCATATCCACTGTAAATGTAGTTTCCATCGGTAACCTTTTTAGTTTCCACACAATCCCCATAAGGTGCCGGCAGTCTTTGCATTACTTTCTGGACAAAAAATGTTTAGTTACGTCATCAAACGTCTGATTATTCCACCTTCTTGATTCCAAAACTGCTTGCGAAACCAACTGGTGCAGAATAACCGAACGTATCCGGGAACGGCCACTCGGTCGGTGGATGGATTGCGAGGCGAACTCCGGAGGACTCGGAAGTTGACATGTAGTCGGAAGTGTTTACGAAAAGGAGAACGCGGATTCCGTACATTGGTCCGGCACGGCTGCTCGTGTAGTTGTTATTGACGTCGTAGTTGAACGTGAAGCAGTTTCCGAATTCAGGGTCAACATGAAGGCGGAAGTCTCTGGAAGTGCAGTTACTATTTTAAATAAAGTACGAATAAAAAGTACTCACTCGTCGATGTCACACTCTTTTCCATTGAACGAGCACATTTCGATAAACTCATGTTTCGACTGACTCAATGCAATTCTCTGTTTGTCGGACAATGCAGCCATTGTGAACATGAGATTTTCCTTGGCCCTCGTTAGCATTGCCACGCCATCAGTCATACCCTAAGCAAGTTTTAACTAAAATCATTATTTATTCTCAAAATCTCACTTGGAAGCCCATAGCTTTGATAGTCTCCGGGTTACTGACGATGGGCCTCTGATTTGGACGAGACGGAGGGGCTGAAGAGAATAACACTTTTGATTGAACCGAAATTTTGCACTGCACTACACTCTAGAAATTCATAAATCATTCTGAAAGACATAGAAACAGATAATGTGCACATATAAACATAAAATTTGGAAAACGATCCATGCAGGGGAAATCAAAAAAATGTGCTGAAAAGTTTAAAAAGAGAGGATACCAGAAGAAGAAGACTGTACTTGGAAAGGGGGTGGTAGTGGTGGTGGGAGCTGGAGTTGTGGTGGTGGTGGTTGTGGTTGTACTAGTTGTCGTTGGTCGAGGAGTCGTCGTGGTCGTAGTTGGAGGAGGAGTACTAGTAGTAGTAGAAGTAGAAGCTGCGAAAGTTGAGTGCACATTTGGACAAGGTATGGTGACGTTATCGATAAGCTTTTTGCCATTCAAGCAAACTTACTCGTGGTCGGAGGAGGTGTAGTCGTCGTCGTTGTGGTCGTAGTTGTCGTTCTTCTGGTAGTGGTCGCTGAAAAGTCAGCAAAAATATTGAAAAACGTGCAAAATCGGATCGGTGCAAAAATCAACAGAAAGTGTGAGCAATAATCAGTACAAGGAGCTATGTAGTCATGCGAACATACTTGGAAGAGGAGTTGTGGTCGTAGTAGTGGTCATGTTATTCTCGAGCCAAAGTTTGCGAATTTCAATCGGACCTGCACCAGCTTTGCCAATACAATAAGGCGTCTGAAATGAAACGTTTTATTTGAGCACGGAACACTGAAACTGATTATCTAGAAGAGCGTGTTGGAACTGAAACTTCGGGAGAAACTTGGTAAGTTTCAGTGAACTGAAAACGATGGTGGAGAGTAAAGATCAGCAAATAAAACGGAACTGAACAAAATCAGTATCAAAAACCCGAACAGAATGAGGAAAGTGCCTAATCTTTCATTTTACCCAATTTAGTACCTTTCGGAATCCATAAACAAGTTCAAGCGGCTGAAAGTCTAATTAGCTGAGAACAGTTTTTCAAATTTCGAACTCACATCGTCCTTTTCCGAAGTATCGCCACGATTTCTGCACATGCATGGCCACTTGTCGGAGGAAGTGATGCCATGTGGAAGAGAGGCTTCGCAATAGCCATCATCATGACAAAGGGGACATTCATGATCGTACCAGACACTGAGAACAACAATATTTACGTACAGAAGAGTATCCAAATGTACCTGATGTTAAAGCATGGCCAGGCAACTTCCATATCTCTATCGAAAGTGCACACACATTTGGATGACTAAAAAAGAAAACGGAACAGATAATTCGAAATTTCAAAGCTTTAAAATACCGGATCTCTCGGGGGTGATTCAAAGCGAATACATTCCATTTCCAAGTTACCCACGCATTTACAATGAGCCTCAATCGCTTCATATCTTCTGGTTTCCACCTGCAAATAAAATTTTACACCTATATTTCTAATTTCCACTTACAGATCGTTGAGATCTCCGGCGACCCGTCATGTTTCTAGAGGCATTCGTCATTTGCAACGTGGCATTCGACCTTTTCAGTTCCACCATTCCCTCTTCGATTTCTTTGGCGAACAACTCTCTGACCATCTGTTGGCTTGCGTCCGAGTGCTGTTTTCTCGAAATCTTTGGCTTTTTCTTCTTCTCTTCTGCCGATTTACTATGCGACTTGGCGTTGTCATACACGTCCATCTGGAAGTTTTAAAATGTTCGTCCCTTAGAGGGACAGGCCGAAGCCAAAAAAATTGGTTAATCTTTCAATCATTCCAGGCACCCGTAATACACCCGTATGAGAGTACGAGAGCTAGTAGCCTATGCCGACTATATACGTTGCATGGACGGACACCTCGCGACTTTCGCTGGTCACTATTCTTTCGACAGGCGTGGGAGGGTGGAAAGAAAAGAAAGAGACGGACAGAAACACGCACACCAACAAGTAGACTCCACAAGGCGCTGGAAACCTACCGTATCGCGAATTGAAGGGACCATCATAACAAGGCTCTTTTTGTAAGGATTCAGATTGCAAAATGTGATTGCGGGGAACTCGACATCGTCGAATTTCAGCTGAAATTACACTTTTATACCCCACATTTGAAATCTGAAAGACCGAAATGTCCGTGATTTTTTCGTGGGCATTGAACTTTATGATCAGTTTGCTAGCCTGGTACGCGAACATCAACAGGAACGAGAATATGATCAGTCCCCACATCATTCTCGAAAAATGGTTCCGCGCAATAAGGACCCGCTTGGCTCCGTGAGCCGTCGTTTTGTCACAAAAGTCCATCACTTTGCCTTTCATTGTTTCGTCGTCGTCAGTCTCCGGAGGCTCGGGGTATTTCGAGGCGCCGTTGACCTTTTCTTCCGATTTTCCATTCGGAATCTCATGGCTATAAATGTAATCTTCTCGTCCAGGCAGTGATGCCTTTCTCGTTTTTTGGTTAGACATTGCCCGCCAGCTGAATGCAACACTATAGGAATCGGTTATGAACATCGGAAAATAGAGGAACGGAGGCGTTGGGGGTGTCAAACGTCGGACCAAAAAGTGCAAAGAGCGCGCGTACCTGTTCGCATCTTTCATGAACCGTTTAGAGATATTCAGGCAGAATAACATTTTATGAGATGGAAGAAATGTTCGGGGTGAAGCTCGACTGACTCGGCTAGAATGGAAAAAAAACAATTTTTTGGGTGATTGGCTCCACAAATAAAGACTAATTTTGTGAGGAAAGCAAACTTCAGCTTGTTTAGCGGACCCCTAGACATTAGAAATGAATGAATACAAATGAGACAAGGAAGAAAAAGGGAATCAATGCATTTGGGAGGTAAACGTGAGGAAAAGATAGGACCACCTATGATCTAGTTGAGATGAAAAGATGAAAATGAGTCTAGAGTGCCTGATGTCAAGCTTTGATCAATGATAGCGGCTGTGGAGAGCAAAAGAACAAGAAGGCGGTGATGATGGACACAAGAATTGCGGGTGAGTCAGAGTTCATCTCAAAGTCAAAGGACAAAGTGTTTGTTTGGAGTCAAAAGGTTCAAAAATCGACGTGAAGTGCTGCAAGAACGGATATGATTTTTGCGACGTGTAGGCGCTTCTTCTGCAGACATTTGATATGATAACGTCACGAAAAGCGCACCAACAATCTATTTCGAATGTATGGTTCGATGTGTTGCATTTCTAATTTTCGTCCCGAGCCATCAGACGTGAATAGAATAGCCAACCAATTGTATAGGTCAAATGTATGTATAGGACCGATTAGCTTGCTAGGCTGCAGATTTATTTTTAAAAATGTGAACAACTCAAATTTTTAGAAGAATACACTTTTAACTGTCGGCAAAAGATCAGTTGAGCTTGACAGATGCTCATCAAAAATCACGTAGACAGCTGTAGGCCCATCCATCTGAACAACTGAAACGTTGACACCTCAAAGCGATAAATGAAACAGACTGGAACTCGAAGTGTCACATTTCCCCGAGAATCTCAACCCAAAGCCAGCTCGTAAAAACGGCCAACATTCATTTCGGTGGTCATAAAATGGTTGTGGCCATTTCACGGCTTTCCCTCACTCTTCTCACCCACTTTTTCCCACAACTCTCCTGCTCAATCACCAATGAATTATCAGTGCGGAGGGGGAGAAGACAGAGAGAGAGAGAGAGAGAGAGAGAAAGAGGGTGGGCATCAGTTGTTTGTCAAAATAGAGAACAAAATTTCGCAAAGAAATGTGTATCATCACCTGCTGAGAGAGAATCTCAAAGGCCAGTGCAAGCCTACTGTAGGACGTGCGACATGGCACGTATGAAAGAAAAATCTGAGGAGGAAACGGAAGAGATTGCATTTGAAACGGCGTGTCGAGAAGGGGGGAACATTAGAACATGCCTCGTGAAGCAGGTTTATTGGGATATAACAAAAAATTGCATTGCGTCTTATTCACAAGGAAGAGGGTCCTCGAGAATTCACATCTAGTCTCTCAGTCCCAGATTACTCATGCTCCTTTTTTAGAAACGTTCTCCTAAGGTGCATTTTGAACCGCTAAAAATTCTGAGAAACGCGAGTACTTTGAAATGTGACTATGGGCGTTAAAAGGGAAGGAGAAGGACAAATATCGGACCCACCCAAAACAAATTCATAATAAATGGGCAACCAGGAGACAAAAAAGCTGTGATTCTGCGAATCGCCCAGCTCGGTGACCGAGCGATTTGATCTGTGACACAACCTACTGATTTATGAGAAGTACACAAGTCGGTTAGAGTTGTTTCGGTTGCTTAACGGACGCGGGAGAGAAAAAACTTTGCTCGTTTCTTTGAGCTTACCGCTCTAGACTAAGACCAAAAAAACTGGCTGGCAACAAGGATTAGTTGGGCCCCGGGTAAAACATCAGAAATTCGTCAAGAATGTTCGTCCAAAAAAGTGGGCTGGACTCGGTGAGCCCTCGATGTTGAGAGCGCAACCGGGAGACCAACACCTACAATTGACGGGTGAAAATGGGAATAGTGGTCAGGATTTACGAGCCGAAACTTCAAGAACCATATCATTAAGTGTACGGAAATGAATAAAGTCGAGAGAAGCCAATAGTTATAAATCAGTCTAGACAGATCTTTGTGTTATAGTGAAGGAAATTGCTGGAAATGGACCAAAGCTGTCACTGAAAACAATAGACGTACTGGTGTCTTGTTGCACGAGCGAGTTCAAAATGAATCTATTGCACTTTAACGTTGCGAAAATAGACAACTAATCAAATTGAAACGGAAGAAAACGAAAATGAGGTCTTCCAGGAAATTGTCTTGGGTCTTTTACACTTCTCTTCTTCATTCGCCTAATGGGATACTTTGTGCAGAACAAGTACCCGAGACAAGCTCGGAAGATACGACCAATTACCTTTCGCGTCAATCTGAAGCTTGTGGAAAAACAAAACAAAACTCAATTTAAGAAATGGAACCTGGTCCCTTTATTTTTTCCTCGTTCACGGACATTTCGGTCGTTTCGAGAACCCTTCTTTCTCTCCACAAACCTTCACATTTGTCGATGGGTGCTTCTGGTGGAACTTGGTGTAAAGTTGGACCGCCTGAAAAAGAGGAATGACGTTTTCTTTCCCCATTTCACGTAATTAGCTATTTTTTCTGTTCTCTGTAACTCGAAAAGCAATACATTTTTGACTCATTCGTCCTGAATAGCCCGAAACTTGTTCATACTTGGTAGCAGAAAACGGAGAAGAATCCGAGCCATACAAACACCCAGAACACTCTTCCCATCTGATTTCTCGCTTTCGAGATTCGCGGCAGTCCGTGGGCTGTTGTGTTGTTCAGAAACCGTTGAATGGCGCCCATGATCTGGAATGAAGTTGTGAGTGCAGGTGGGAGGAAATGTGCAGTGAGCTGGAAGCAAAGAGCAGCAACGAAACATATGTTCCCGAAAAAGAATGATTCATACATAGAACTATCAAAAAAGTTGCGGGGAAAGTACTAGAGCGTTCAGTTTATAAATTAAAAGTGTGAGCAATTTTAAAAGAACCAGAACTATGCAAATGACTGATCCAGGCTTTTTGAAAACCGAAGTTAAGACCTAGCTGCAATGTTCCGTGAAATGACAAAAAATCAGTAGGAAACCGATTTTTTTACTGTTTTTACCGGTAAAAAACCGGATATAGCAAGTTTTTTCTCCAGTTTTCACCCGTCTGAACGAGCCTATCATGCCTGAGCTCTTCGTGCTTCTTATACTTTGATTGAAGTATGTTGAGTCCGAGTTTCAGACTAATCTCATCATTTCTTCTGTAATAATGTGGCAAATGATTTCAAAACGCCAGGATCGGCCTATTCTCCTAAAGAATGAAGAAAATGAAACATAACTTACAGTTATCGGGGCTTGATTAATCTTCTTCATTTCTCCGGTTGTTCTTTGATCCAAGTAGTCAATGAGATCTTTGTCAAACGCCACTGAAAAGGTACTTTTAATGCGTGTGCAAATGAAGACAGTAAACAAAAACGTTTGTCTTCCTCAAATGAGTCACTTTTTTCAATTAGAGAGCCCAGACGTTCATGAATTTCATTACTCTTTTGTTTGGTTCGAACCTCTTGCAGTCAGAAACGGAAAAAATAGAGTTTGAAATGACTGAACGCAAAACGGAAAACGCAGAACTCAGAACGCCAAATGCAATAAGCAAAAAGGAAAAAAGAAAAAGCGAATTGCAACGTGGTCTCGAAACCAAAACCTGTTGGGCGAAAAAAGGTTAATGAAGTTGCTCCCCAGTGGGCACTTGGTGCCTGCTATTCTATTCTACTCTCCGCCGTCTTTTGCCGCCTCGCCTATTTCCGTTTTCAGGCCACAACAATGAAAATTGCGAACATTAGTAGTGGGGCTAGGCAAATTTCGGTGGTGACTTCTTGGATATAAAGTGCTAAAAAAGAGGATTTGAGTTGGACCGGCTTCGGATAGTGAATAATTGAGATGGTCGAAATGGTGTTCGGAAGCAGAAAGAAACGTGTGGAATGGAATGTACGAATTTTAAATTCCTGTCACGTTTTTTTTTCAAGTGAAAATGAAATGCACTTACATATTGGCTGCTCACGGTTTCTCGGCGTGCGTGACTTCATTTCTGTGCCAGGTGTCAAGACGGAGCGCCAATTATCTCGAGGTGCTAACCAAACAACAATAAGCCAAATTACAGGTTCCAAGGTGTGAGTGCAAAACGGTTTATACACATATCCAGTTGTCCAGTTATTAGGTTTCTTTATTCAAAACAAAGTCTCTGCTGAATGGCGGCTTGTACCGCGAACATGACGTCGAGATTATAAGCTTCTCGTGATGTGGATTTATGGGAAACCTCCCTTTTTCCTTGTTTTCTCGTTTTGTCATCCTTGTTCGGGTTCCATGTTTTGGTGAATACCTTGTGATTAATGTGATACTCGTTCCCATGGAAGGTGAAAATCGGACGGCGACTGAACACGCGCTAAAATAATAAATCGACAGGGCGCGGGCGATCGGCTGAACAATGTGGGAAACTGATTTTGAAAGAAAACCATTTTTATCTCAACATGTGGAAGGATATTTTCTTGTGGTTTGTGAGTAGAATTGACAAAAAGTGTACTGGAAAAGTTCTGAAATTGAAGATTTCTGGGTTTGCCCAGCGGTTCCAAAAAAAACTTACTGGAGCAATATATAGAGTGATTGTCTGTGAAATCAGTTTTTCACGTGTTATACCTTTTTTTGTTCTGAAAATACCCAATACTCTTCTAATCAACCTTTCAATACCGGCAAATGAACAAAATCTGATTTCCCTCTTGAAAATTCGAAACGAAACCTCATTCTCAACCCATTACCGAACTGGAACACGACAGTAAGCAATCATGTAGGTGGCGGTTTCTTTGAAGCGGTCGCGTGCCTCCGTTATGATAATTAATGGAACATGTCGTCGGCGGTCTGTTTCCTATTTTTCTTCCTCCCTCCCTCCCTCTTTCCCTTTTTGATTCCGCCGGAAATCCGATTGACAAGTTGATGGTGTACTCTTCGAAAACCTCTACCCACATGGTCTTGAAAATCCTTCCTGTGCTCGGTTGTTTGCCAACAAAGTAGTGGGATATGCATGCAACAGCGTTTCACGTAACAATGGTGATTCTCAATTGGTCGGCAAATATGAGATACATCATAGAATAAACTTGTTGCTGTGCTCTTTTGTGATGCAATTGATGACCCTACAAGTCACTTGCAAAGCATAATTATATTAGCCTTCCTGGAAAAGTCGAATGAAAATGTATATAATTTATTCACAAAAAGACCAGAAATATAACAAAAAATAAGTGATATATCCAAATTCTGACCACGCAGTGGAAAAGAAAGGCAGAAAAAAAGAAACATGATTCAGATCACAATTGCAATGGAAGCTTTCACATTTCAAATCCCGCAATATCGTAGATTTTGAGCGAGAACAATTAGAAAATCGACGGCGTTTCTTATTGAAGGTGTCAAGAAAGGGGCACTTCAACAAAAGCCAATGGAAGGGGAAAGAGGAGATAATAAGCGGATGTTGGGACGGGGCGAGGTTGCCTATGAACAAAATGAGCCGTGTACCCGGAAGCCTGTAGTGTAAGTGTGGGGGAAACGAAAGTCGGAAGAAAACAATACAACACATTTGAATGGGAATCACGGGAAAACAGGGAAGCCTAGGACATTGCACGATACAATCAATCAATCATGGGTTCGAAAAGAGGTAAAGCTGTGGAAATAACACGTGCCTAGCGGTCACCTGGAGTTTAGAACTCCATTTTGGGCATGAACATCATATAGCTCGGCGCGGTGGCAAATTGGTTCGGGTAGACGGGCATAAAAGGATTTGGTCTGTCCATAAAATTGTGCATCGGCTGCATTTGTTGCTGATCCCTCTTGAGGTTTTCTGGGGAGAAAGTTGTGCTTTCATCGGTCGGGGTTCCGAGAGAAGCGTGTCCAGAATCGCTGCTCTCATCGTGCTCCGGAGTCCGTGTTCCTTTGCTCTTCTCATTTTCGTGCGCCTGAAATGGGGAAGATTGTCGAATGTTTGAAAAGTAGCGCACCGTAACACACACCTCTCTTTCATCCTTTCAAATGTCTCATTCAAAACCCATAAATGCAAATCAAATTCATTCGCGCACGCTTCGCTAAGAAGTGCTACTGGGAACTGGTGGAAAGGAACTTGTTTTTGTCGTTGTGGTGGTGGTTACTACTGTTTTTGCGAGAAACTCGTGTGAGTCAGCATGAACTTGTATCCTTACAGTATCTCGCTAAAGATAACAATCATTTCCCTCACCACAATGCGTGACCCCACTGTAATCCTCTCAACAAGACAATACCTCTCTTACCTTCATGTGCTTGCGCAACGAACTCGGATGCGTGTACTGCTTTCCACATCCCGGATTCTGAGATAAAAGTTTCAAAAAGTTGTCTGTCTTGATTCTATCCTTACCAAACAACAATACGGTTTGTGACTCGAGTGGACATGCATGTGTTTCTTTCGGTCGGATGAGTTGGCGAACAGTTTCGTGCAGCCAGGGTGCAAACATTTGAACGGTTTCTCACCTGAAATAATGGCATATGTTGGCACAGGTCTAAAAAAAGTGTTGCCTTCGGGAAAGGAGTCAAATGGTGCCAATGAGGTAGAACAGTTCACGCACGGCCAGTGGTACCATTAATCAAACTTTCCCGAGGGACAGCTGGCAAAAGGTACTGGCATTTAGCATTTAGCACCCACACCCCGCACCTCGCACCCTTTTCCATATTCAAATCTTTCGCAATGAAAAATGAAAAATCTGTTGCAGCTGCATCGAAATGGTAATTAAGGTTTCGAAGGAAATCAAAACGGAATCAAATTAGAAATGCAAATATTGTCACCCAGCGTATCGTTACATCATCATTAACATACAGACCGGGGCTCAACAAGCTGAACAAGTGGCGGTCCGGCTCAAAGGAGTCGGAAGTCAAATCTCTTGGCAAAACATTGTGTAACCGGGACCATCCTCGGCTAATCATCGGCTTGTTTTCAAAGGTAGTTGGCTAATTAAGTAGCGTGGCGTCAGAAAAGGCACAAACAATATGTACATCCCCGAACGGTTGCGAAATGAGATTCAGATCCCGAGAAAGTGATCGAAATGAGAGGGTCTTGCCGTAAACGGATTACGGTAGACGGACAGTGTCTGTGCATAATAAACAGGCGAGACTGTCACAAAAGCGAAACGAGACCTGGGCCAAGATTTGCTTGACAATAGGAGTTACTGACATCGTAAATCTCGATTTGATCCCATCCTCAAAAGTTGCGGAACAGAAAGGGAAAGAATGAAATAAAATAATTCTCTCACCTTCCCTTTCTCTTGTCTTTTCTTTCTTTTCAATTCTCTACCCCTTTGGAATTTATGGTAGACGAGCTTGTTTGGTTTTCACTATGAAAGGACCTGACTCCCTCCCGCTCTCACTCTCACTCTCTCTCTCTTCCGTTATTATTGCCTTTTTGTCGAGCTTTTGGAAGGGAGGTGCGTCAAGAGCTCCTCCAGCTACCAAAATGTTCACCTGGCATGCCACTTGAATCCTATGTATCACCATCAAGGGTTCTAATCCCTTCCCTAATTATTACACCTCAAGCATCTTGTGCAAAAACACAAACTCACCTGAATGGATGCGCTTGTGGATTTTCAAATTCTCTGATCTCGCAAACACCTTATGACACGTTTCACACTCGAATGGCCTCTCGCCCGTGTGCACCCTCATGTGGTTGACCAGCTTGTACTTGGCCTGCAAAACTATATATTGTTAAGGGTTACGCAAAGGTGCAAATGAGAATAATTGCAGTGGCGAGTTCTAATACATTGCTCGCCCAGGGAAATTGGAGACAATTAAAGAGGTGACGCAACAGGTCAAATTGGAGACAGTGCGTACCTTAAACATTTTGAACTCTCGATCGCATCCTTTCCACAGACACACGAATTTCGAGTCATGAGTGATGTGAACTGCGTTCAGGTGTTGGGTGAGATCTTGCGGGTTCTGGAACACCTCCATGCACTGAATTCCGTTCGTTATCCAGTTGCATTGGACTCTTTTGTCCCCGCCGTAGTTGTTGATACTACTGAAAATTGACGATTACGGTGATTGCAGGAGGACGACCTTGAAGAGGGAGAAGATGATGGTCGAATTGAGGAATGTTGATTTTGAATTTCGAATTTCAAAAGAAAAGAAGGGATTCATACAATCAGACAAAGAAGATACGTCTCATTCTCACCTTTGGTACATGAACTGATCCGTGGGGGTGTGGAACAGATGTGGGACATGAGGAATGCCCATGTAGAAGTTCGGTGAGTACGGATGAGTGTCTGAAATGGATTCCTTGACACGTGGATTCAGACAATCCGAAAGTTGTTACCTGGATAGATGGGACTCTGCCAGTCAGCCTGCTCCCTGGTGTGATCCTGTGGCTGTGGGTAGTAGTCACTATGCATCCTGGCTAAGCTGAAAGAGATACTTAGGAAAGTTAAATGAGGAAACAAAACAGAACAATATGTGCACAGAAATTAGCTCAGGACAGTGGGATACCAAGTAAGCTAATGTTTCCAGTAAGTCGCCCACGTCTAATGGTGACGACCACGCCTACCCGGCCGCTCGGATTGGAGAATCGAGGTAGAGGGGCGGGGCGAATCACGACGTGAATAGAAGAGCGACTGCATGGGAAACGGGGGGGAAGGCGGCTGTCACAAACCCAAATATTGGACGGGGGCTTTTTTGAAGGACAGAATGATTTGTGGTAGAAATTCTATGAACTTGATTTTGCAGCTATTTTGAATCAGTGAAATGGAGTCGAATTAGTAGTTCTAGCTTCTTGTAGAAATTTTCGGCTCAAAACGTCTGTAGAAGATCTTCCGGAATGAATGAAGACCACAACGAGTCATAAAGTCGGATGAAGGATTAGAAACTAATATCAAACCGAAACTTTAATTCAGATTATGCTCTGAAGATGAAACATGTTGAAGTATTCTTCAATTTACCTCTTTAACACCACCTAGTGCATTGGAGCCGTTAAATTTAGAAAAAGTTACCTTTGAATAACCGGGACAGGGAATCTCAGTCATACTATTACCAGCAGTCGAGTATCACCAGAATATTATCATAATGACACAATCAGAACGAAGGTGGCAGTGGTGTTCGGACGCCGATTTCGGGAGACTCATAAATCATAGGCTGCCGCCCTCAGGTCTCGCGACATAATTGGCTTTTGTCACTTTTGTATCATTACAATATTATCAGCAAAACAAAATCCAACTCCTTTTTGTGATGGAAAAATCGGAATGCTCCATGAAAAAACCTTCAGTTGTAGGTATCCCACGAGGAATATTGTCGGGAAGGGTTAAGAATCAGCAAACGTGTCAATTTTAGTGGCTTTCAACACGCTAGTATGCTGTCCTAGAATCGTTAAAAATGCAATAGCTAGTTCATTCTTATGGCACGTTTAATTCTGGGATCGTGGGAAATGAGTAGCATCTAGCAGATTGCCCAAAACTGTTTTTCTGTGATTCCAAGTAACTTCAATGAACAATGATGAAGTAAAGCGACGAAACCAGTAGAATAGAAGTTTTGAGGCCAATCGTCGAATTAATCATGACTGTTTTTCATCTCGCGGTAATATTCAAAAACGAAACAACAACCTCTCCTCTTCTTTGCCTCAATTCACTCCTTTTCCTCGTCTCTTTTCGAAATCTGGTTCCAACACCACTACCGTACTCCCTCTCGCAAAACCAAGTCTGCCAAATGAAGTGCGCGAAAAGCGTGTTGCATGTTTTGATAAATGATAAAGTCATCTTTCAACATTTATACAGAAAGTGAGAAGAGAGTATTGCGGGCGCAGAGAGAAGTTCATCTCGCCGTCAAGGTGCGAATTTGATGGATTATTATTGTGGTGACAGCGGCACGCGACACCGACCCTCTTCAGACCTTGAGGCGAGCGATTCGAGATGAGGAGGAAACCTACCGTTTTGCATTGCGTAACGTCTAAATGATACTCTGAATGAATCGTTTTGCATGATTGCGTTGGGCACTACGCAACAGTTTGCTTGCAAGACATCACACTAAACGGTCAGAGCATTCCCGGCAGCAATGTCTACCGGGAAGAAATCCGAGGTGCCAATTTTAACAGTCTTATGTGCTATTTCTCGTGAGAGCAGATGGCAAAGTATATTTACAGACCGTTTTCTCACCATACTCGGGAAAAGTTCATGAGAGTTCAGAAAACACAATTTTGAGGAGTGAACACCTATTCAAGCAGACAGATGGGGCCAACAAGTGGTAATAGCACCAATAAGTTGATAAAACTAGAACACATGGTCACAACTGCTCTTTTTTTCCAAACATGAGGTTCTACGGTCAGAAGATTCCTACGATGATAGCAAAGTTGTGATATGATTGGAAAATGTCACAAAACAATGAAGGTACGAACGATTTCCGGTAGATATGGAGGTGCTAAGCCGGGAGAATGATGTGGGTAACAAGTATTAGACACGATTGTATCTGATTGACTGTCATGTTTGGGGAGACGCATAAGGAATACTGAAAACTCAGTCACTAACAACTGTGAAGGTATCGAAAAAAATGAAAAAGCTGTGCAAGATCAGATTAGTACGAAAATTTAGGAAATTTTTAGATAATAACCGGCCCGGGCTGGCCGGCCCGGGCTGGCCGGCCCGGGCTTGGACTTTTTGTCCACTCGCAAAACTACGCTCGGACCGAAACTTTGTAGGTTCCTTGGACTTGAATTGATATATTTTGGGACCAAGTTTCAAAAAGACTAATATTTTCTATACTGATCTACGGTCTCAAAGCCCTGGAAAAAGTAGGAAAAAAATTCTCAACATTTATCAAAATCTCTGACTCACATCCAGTTCAAACAGGCACAATCCCTTTGTCTGATATATTTCTAATCGTATCAAGTTTATGTTCAGAATAATAGAATTTTGGGGCTATAAATGTGACTTTTATTTCATTTTTCGATATACATATATTCTCATTTATCTATTTTCCAATCGATTCACATATAAACCACACTCCCTTGTACGGCCACGTTCATAATTATATGCAATGTGACCTGGAATATTTGCCCAAATAAGCAATCAATTTTCTGCGCTGTCCGTGGTACTAACTATTTCCCTGATAACAGACACATATCGCAAAGAGTCTCGTCGGCTCACTTTTTTCCGTTATTCTTACTTTTCAGTGAAAAGTTTTCACGCGAAATCTCACAATCACATTCAAGATCCGTTTTGTAGGAATGTTTCTACTGGTGCGCCGTGTGTCCAAGACAATCAGAACGATGTTCCGAAGACAACCGGAACAAAGGGCCGACGTCCACGTGCTTACAGTTGAGTGAGTTAACAACTTTTGCAAACATTTGTCCATGTTTTCACAGAGCCGGAACAGAATCCGAATACAGACCGATTGGAATGTTTGCTCGGAACGATTCGCTCAACAACCTTCTGATTTTCTGACGGCCACGATGTTCTCACTTTCCCGGAAATTCTGAATTGAACTAAAATACCGTGTCTCTTTTCAAACCAAGTGTTCGATATGAAGTCCAGCGTTAAAATTATTACATTGTCTGTCTTGTCGCGCCATTTTCGGGCTGACCAAAATCAACTTCATGTTTCTCTCTCTCTATTTAGTTTCTCTCTCTCTATTTAGTCTGGTAGAGCTGGCCGTAGCTGTGAAAGTCAGCGGACGTGATACTGTTCAAGTACTGAGCATCTGGTGGGTAACAAGCGCCTGAGAGAAATGGAAAAGTGCGCGCACAATCGGTCGTCATAGAAGAAAGAGCACATAAGACGATCTCGAAGCTTCCACAATCCGAAGAAACTGTTGAAGAAAATGAGGAAATCTCAATTTTTTCCAATCTTATTTCAGAGGGTCACAATTTCGTATGTTTCAGGTAACAACAATGCAAGCCAAGTCTATTTTGAAACTCTCGGATCCAATTGCCAGTACTTCGTTGGACAAAAATCGGGAAAATATCTCATGACCCATGATTTCTCCAAAGCACGATCACAACTTTGACTGCTCGCTGTTTTGTAAAAAAAATTCTGAGAGGTAGAATCCGGATGGAGACTTCAAGCACGTTCATAGCTAGCAGACAAGCGTGATTTTGATTGAATACTGAAATTTCTTGTCCACCGACCCCTATTTCGTTATCGTATTAGAATTTCCTTCTCTAGCAATTTGAAAGAACTCTTTGCCCCCTCTCAACTGACGCAACATTTTCATGTGCTTGGGAACATGTCGGCGGCTTTGTACACCCCGGCACTGCTCTCACGGGGAATAGGTTTGTTTTTCGGACGCGCCATCCAATTAAACTTGGGGAATGAGGGATTCGAAAATGGAATTGTGGAGTACTGTAGGTGATGGGAAAAGGCAGCACCGGCGGAGTTTACAGGAAAACAAGTACAGTCTGAGAATTTGAGTGTGTGCCTTGGATTACTTTCAGATTGTGTTATCGTAACTTTCCTGGTTCCATTCCAGTTCCAGATACTTTTAGAATGGATGATTGCAAGCAAGACAGAAGCTCAGGGTTCAATTAAACCCTGTATAGGCCGAGTACTGTTACGAGATGCAGCTTCCCGAAATTTAGCATCTCAACGTTTCGAAACAGCGATGTCTTGATGTTTACGTCAATTTTCGCCGTGAAATTTATCGCCAAGTAATTCAGATTTAGGAGTATCGAACTTTCGGGACCTCTCCCTCCCACAATCCCCCATCTCTTTCTCGGGTTGTCCCTTTCCAACTTTCTCTCTCCGTCCTTTTTCTGTCCTCTCTTCACTCCGCCGCCCGGTCCCCTCGTGCTTGGTGTCACCTGGCACAGGGAAATAACAGTTATCTTTACCATCTCTCTCTACCCACACTCTTTCGCTGGGCCCACTTGCACTTCGAGCGGGCAAGGGAGAGACGGAGATAGAAAGCTGGCCGCCCGAAAGGTAATGTTATCGAAATGAGTGTGTACATAACGGGTTACGGTAGGTAGTTTTAGTGTTCTGGAAAGATGAGGGTAAGCCGAAAATGGCGGCATATCTGAATACTGCACCCAGCGGACAGTCATCGGAGAAATTCCTTTTATACGGGAATAGGAGAAGAAGTCCAAAACCTGACCCAATGCAGGTCCCTTGTTACTGTGGAGCACGAGCTGACACATTTCCCAGACATGGGTAACTAATTTTACAGCTCGGTCAGACAATTGGAACGGTGATGGACACTACACACGCGGTGCATTTCGAAGGAAACAACAGAAAGATGAAATATGCTGCTTAGAATGCATTTAGCGATAAAAACTTTAACACAACAGTTTATTGCTCGCAAGATTTAGAAAACCTAGTTGAGCAATGGGTCGATCAATGCGTCCAGAGTGAACTTGATGACCAGGGCGCGATCGAGGAGTACAAGGCACTCCGCGGAAGTTCCATGACGCCAAGAATGCTCTGCCTGATTGATGGTAATGCGGAAGTTATTCATCCGTCTCGTGAAATCTCCGTGGTGTCCGAAGAGACGAATCTGAAAATCACATTTCAGTTTGTCTGTTTTTTAATCAACTTTTTTCTAATCGTCTTCAAAAATTGAAAAACATTTCTGAGAGAGTTCCCATCTAAATCCTTTTCCACTTTGCCAGTACTCACCAATCTTTCGCTCAGTTTGTTGTAAGCGAGATTGAGTGTGCCCAAATACAGCTGAAAACAGTTTTGTACGGGAATCGCCTTAAAAAAGAAGTACATACCCACTGGAAAGGGCATCTGTTGGGACGATTCATGATTGAACTCGATAATTACCTTAAAAGTTGATGCTTAGAGGATATTTCGCACGATCGAGCAGGAGAGAAACAATATAAAAGTGAGGAAGGAAGGCAGAAACGTTTGAATTGAGCCAGCGTCGAACGGACTCGATTATTCGAAAGACCAGAAAAGGGCAAACGGAATACGGCTGCGCCACCGGTGAGAATGAATGCGCGGCGACAGTTGTGTCTAGTCGGGGGCCACGCCCCCTTCCCCCCGACCTTTCCCCTCACCAAAAAAGTCTTCTCCCATTAGATACTTTCCGTGATCTGTGACGAGCTCATAAGACTGATGGCCCAAGAAGCGGGAGTGAATGTTCAACGCACTCTGAGCGACAAAAAGAAGCCAAAATTTCGTTTTGTTCGGCGAAGCACGCTTGCAGCTGTTGTATGCTCTGAAAACTGTGAAACAAATCAAAAGTCGGCCCCCGTAGTGCCGATGAAAAATTTCGCCAAATCTCTGAATTTCAAGGTAGTATGAAGCGAGGACGTCAGGCCTTCTTCCAAGAATTGCTCCACAAACTCGTTGACAGTTACGCGGACCTGATCTGCTACGGAAGAAAACCACTCACTCGTCGACCATTCATTGGCTTCTCCAACTAAACTAGTCTGAATGAAATGACGTTGCTTTTCTCGGCGAGATGCTCGGAAGGAAAAAGTAATTCTTCTTCCAGTCTGGGATGACCGCATCGAACTTCATTCAAAATGTTGGTTTTACGCCGGGAATAGGATAGCCACGTGGCAGAAAATCTCTCTCTCTCTTTCTCTTTCCTTTCTCGTCTACTTTCTTTTAGTTTGAATCACGGGGACCGTCTGTTCCGGCATTGCACTTGTTTTTACATGTTTGTCAAGGTCGACGAATGTTGTTATTGCAACGACCTTGAGACTCTTTCTTTCAAAACACATTTATTCGGTTAATTCAAATTTCGAACAAGATCAACAAGAAAAAGAGAAAAATATTCGAAATAGGAGAAGGGTTTTCAGGGATCTGGATATTTTGATTGCTTACAATAGATCTACGACAACAAAGGCGTCAGAATGACTATCAGATTTTCCAGAAGGACTGTCTGCTGTACATACTGTTCATCCAGCGACTGGTTCCACTCCACTCTCGAAAGAAGTGCGATGATCTCTCGGGTTGCGATGAGAAGATCGTCGATAACTCTGACGGCCCGATGAGTTTCTCCGAAATTAGCCACCTGAAAACATTCAGGGGATTTTTTTTTCAATTTTCTGATTTCACTCACCACAGTTGTACGTTGGATCGTAGTGAAACGGAGAACTTCCTCATGAAGGCCCTGAAAACGGTCCAATTAGAACTTTCACACGCGCCCTCTGCTCTTACTTTGTGTCTGGTTCGCTGTTCCGCAGTTAACATTGTTTTTGAGTTGTTTAGCTGAAAATAATGTAAATTAACAGGTTTTCTTTAAAAAGGAAGAAACAATTTATAAAGAAACTGTGAGCAACACTGAAGATTGCTCAATCAAACAAAAATCGATACGACATATCTGTCGATTGAGTTGGAATGGAGGGAAAGGAGGGTAGAACACTGGCGAGTGCGCCGTCCTCTCTGCTCACAGACACTTTTCGCACCATTCACTCGCTCATATGACGCATTCTTTGTACGACTCGAGAAATGAGAGGCATAGAGGAAGATCACGGTCCCAAAATAGATCAAAACTGTAACTAATTTCAAAAAAATGCTAGCGTCTCAGACTCAACGCCATTGAATTCCTCGCATCTTTTCGAGTATATTTCAGGCAAAAATTTAGCACCCCTCCATCATGGAAAAAAAATTTGTTTTGTGACATTTTTCAGATAATTTTTCAGTTTTTTTGCTCGTCCTGAAAAATTTTAACACTACATAGCCATGATTTTATTGCTGATTCTGAATCTTAACATTATTGTTCTTCTGCAAAAAAAAAGTTCACCCCGATCACGATTGAGATCAAGGGGTTTTTATGCCGAAATTCACAAAATTCGGAGTACTTTTGCATGGAGAAAAGTTCGCGAACTTGAGAAAAGTGCGTTTTATCAATTTTCTAAGGATATTCTTGTTCATGATATTCTTGTTTTCGTGTACTTTTAGGAATTTTCGATTTTTTGGAAGCATTTCGAAAATTAATTTTTCTCGAAAATTTTGTCATGCCCTCCGGGTCGACGACTTGGTCAATTTTTTTTAAATTTTTGTGGTTTAGTGGTTTCAATAAATTATAGTTGAATTTTCATGTTGGATTGTGAGTTTTTGCAAAGATTAAATCACTTTGAATGTGTTACAATTTTACTGGAGTAGCATTTACGGTTGATTTTCGCTCCAATCTCAGTGCTGTTTTTCCACTGGCGGAAATTCTCCAAAGAACCGTTACTGAAGCCGGATAAAAATTTTTAAAAATTATTTTTCCATTCCGACGGACAGTCTAAATGTCCCCTGAGATGATCTTGTTGTTGTGATCATCATTGTCGATACCAGCAGCGTGTAGCCACTCATCTCCGATCAGAGTCTGCAGGAGCGTGCCTTGCCGCGTGCCGCCAACGGGACTTCCGGCTTTCTTGAAGCGAAAGTCCTTGTTATGGAACGATCCTTTTGAATACGATAAGGAATCATATTTAGTTCCTGTCTGACAATAGTTTACATAGATTTTAAGCTCATACGGAACTCTGACGACATTTTCTACGTGCTTCTCTCCGGGTTTCTACTGATTTTTGCTCTAACCGATATGACCATCTTGGGAGTTGTCACTGGGACCGGGGGGCCACTTCTCTACTTGTCTTTCAATGCTCCGAGGTGTCAGAAACATCGGGAAGTCATAATAACAAACAATCTTCCGACGCCGAGCTTCCTAACTATTTTAGACGATCGCATTCCTATCCTTGTGAACCCCATAATTACGGACCTAGGCGATGACGGAGCCATCATTTCTCTCAATATTAAGAGAATTGTCTGCAACTTAGACAAATGGTCAAAAATGAGGCGATCAATGGAAAAAATAACATGAGCGGCCATCCCATTGGTTCTGTAGGCGCCAGCGCTCACGCGAAGTTTGGGCGCTATATTTATTCTCCACCCTGTACCATACTTTTGGCGCACCCTGTATTGGGTCCAGGTTACAGACCGATCGGACTATCGACTCTGTGTTGAATGCTTGCATTCGAAATCGGAAATCCTTCAATTCCTTATCACTATTTTTCCCAATCCTCTTGGCACGGTGCCATGACATTTCGAAATCCCAATCGTTCTTTCCCATCGAAGTCCATTGCAGGCGTCCTTATCACTAATCTCCGTCTGTAATTAAGTCGGCTTCTTTGAAACTTGCCGCAAATCCGCTTGAAGCTCACATTCCCACACCTCCGGTCTTAATTAAAGGCGGAGATTAGTGATAAGAACGCCGACAAAGGAGTTTGATGGGAAAGTATACCAGGCCCACAACAGGAATAAGGAAAAGCCAGGTGCAGTGGCCACGCCCACTAACTACAATCAGTAGCCACGCCCACATGGAGTATATAAAGGCAGTAATAATCATTTTATCTATTGACGTCTCGTTTTTTTCATTTCTACCCATCTCTCAACCATCTCTCTCCCCTCTTCCTCTGATTCGACTTTATTGCTTAGCAAGAAGTCAGCTCTTTCTCTCTCTCTTCTTCCCTCTGACGCAAATTTGGCTATGTTCAGGGCATTTCTTCGCGAATTTCTTTCAAATTCAGTAGATATGCTTCTGGCGCACCCATTTTATCACGTTTTTCCGCAATAATCTTACTTATTTCCGGTTCAAATTTGAATTCAAGTTTGCAGATGACTAATGGCCGCCAGAAAGTGTCACAACGGCCAGCATTCAAAGAAGATCTGCGTGGTGACAGAGAAACGGAAGCGTATTGCAGGTGAGATTCAGAGAAGACTTGTCAGTGCAAGTTTCAGGCCTGATCTATTGTTGGTTATACAAAAAACAACCATTCGAGAGAAACTCGCCGAGCACGGACATTGCAGGATAACCGCGTGTGTTAGTTGGTTCGATTTGAGCAGAATGAAATCCTCGACAAAGTGAGACTCAGAGGAAAAGAAAAATATGATGTTTAGGTAGGCAAATGATTCGTTTTTCAGCAAGCTTTGTGATGAAAAGTTTGCTCATTTCAGAGTGAATGAAAGATCGTTGGTTCTAGTTGCGTGTTCATAATCCGACAGGAACTATGCAATTATTTGACACGGAGGACTATTGTCTGATGATGCTAGTGGATGTCAGATGCTGAAATCTTCTTGATGAGGACCTACCCCTTTTGATTCTATTTTTCCGTGACGGTGCGAAGAAACACCAGGATCCGGTAATCCTACTTTTCAGAGTTTACTAAGTTATCACGGTTGTCTCTTCTTTCAAAATAGGGAGAAGAGAACTGCTGATTGATTCTCGCGGCTAAGAACGGAAACGGGACCAATTAGCCGGGGGGCTTCCTTAGGATGCCCTCATGCTCAAAGAGATTCCCGGTTTGCAGGTCGGATAGAAAACACAGTTCTTCAACGTCTATGTAATGTATGCGAAAAAGTTCTCCCGTGCATCCGCCCGTCCTCCCTGTATTCAGGTACTCTCCTCAGACCAGGGATCTAGGCTATCAAGCCATTGCTTACTGACCAAAAGTTGGGAAAAATTTTTTTTTCAAGTAACTGACCAAAAGAAATTGTTGTCGCCGTGATATTTTTTCTTTCTTTTGAAAGGTGTATAATCTGTTTATTTCGTATTAAACTTTTTGCGGAATGCTACCTCTAATTTAGTGACGTCAAAGGTTTCATCGTACAAGTGGGACCGTCTCTTGGGGTAATGAATTCACTCATAGCATCAAGTGGAATGAATTGAGCATGTTTTGGCAATCATTTTGATATTATAACTTGCCAAGTTTTGTCGATTCGTCAGTGAACTACACTCACTGAAGTACTATTGACAGTGCATAAACGTTTGCAGCCGTGTTAGGGCAGCCGTGATATGTACCTCATCAGCAGCAAGTGCGCTGGATAGAGCAATCCAAGAGGATCATTTTTATACCATAACTTGCCCCTTTTTCACTTTTTTTCGCTTAGCTGGACTTGCTGACTTTACATCAATTCGTTCACATTTTAGTACGAAAAGCAGCAAGTCTAGCGCCGTAGCCATGACATATACATACCCAGCAGCAAGTGCGCTGTGTAGAACAATCCTAGAGGATCATTTTGATACCCTTACTTGCCCACTTTTGACTATTTTTCGCTGAGTTAGACTTCCTGACTAAATCTACCAGTTGCAACTGGTCGTTCCAAAAAAATTACCAGTTGCAACTCGGGTAGATTTAGTCAGCAAGTCTAACTCAGCGGAGAATAGATGAAATCATTCAAGTAAGGGTATCAAAATGATCCTCTAGGATTGTTCTACACAGCGCACTTGCTGCTGGGTATGTATATGTCATGGCTACGGCGCTAGACTTGCTGCTTTTCGTACTAAAATGTGAACGAATTGATGTAAAGTCAGCAAGTCTAACTCAGCGAAAAATAGATGAAATCATTCAAATAAGGGTATCAAAATGATCCTCTTGGATTGCTCTATCCAGCGCACTTGCTGCTGCTAGAATATTTTCAACATCCAGAGTGCTGCTCGCAGAGCCAAAGTTGGAAAAATCAACTTTTCCAGTGTTTTTCAGAAACATCCAGAATTGTGCGCGCTAAGGATTTTTTTGGGGTCGATGAACACGTTCCCAAAAAAAGCAAGTGAAATTAATCAGCATTCATCCGACGGCACGCATCTGAACTCAGATAATTTTTTTAGCAAGGGTGGGGCACGCGAGCGGCAAGTGGACAGCAAGTTGCTACGGTAGCATAGGATGAGCATGTCAGCAGGAAAAAAAGTGGGATGGGAAGGAAGCAAGGTTTTTTTGAGCGGCATAGAAGCAGCCACGGTAGCAGGGTTCAGCGCGTAGCATGCACGGAATCGGCACCCTTTACAGCATTTTTGCCGCAGAAAACGGCATGCATGCCGCTTCCAGTCGGCACCCATGAAGATTCTTGCGGCCGCGCTTCTGGCTGTTCTCAGACTTAAGATGCGTGCCGTCGGACGAATACAATCAGTATTTCACTTGCTTTTTTTGGAAACGAGTTCATTATAATGTAAACTAACTAGGGTTGGCAGCGGGGCGCCCTCGCCCCCCGACCGGTTTTTTTCCAAAATCGAGTAGGAATTTTTTTGAAAAAGTTTTTCTCAACGCACGTTGATAGTGAATAAACTCATTAATCTACTAAATTTTTTTCAGAATTTTTAATTACACTTTAAGGGGCCGGGGGCGAACGAGGGTGTGTGGGGCGCGGGGGCGCCCCGTTGCTAACCCTAAAACTAACAAAATGACACAAATAAGCACGCACGAAACAGCCATATTTCGAAAAAAGCTAAATTACTAAAAGCTAGGTCAAAATTCATTTAAAAAAAGACCCTGCTTAGAGAGGCACTTGCTGACCAGCCGGACCTCGCTCACTGACCAGCAGGTGCTTCAGACCATGGGACTTACTGACCACGGACCCCCCTGAGAGTTGGTCCTAGATCCCTGCTCCGCAATCATCTTCCCGAGCACAATGCGCACGGTGACGAACCCGATCTGCTGTTGCTCTGCGCGACAGCGGACGGCGAGAAAGAGAGCACGCTTCTGGAATTGGCGGTCGACGGGCAAGTCGAGGTCGAGCTGGTGTACCTTCCGAAAATGAGATACGAGGAGAAGGCGTGGATCGCGACGATCGAGCAACGAGAGACGATTCTGGAGATTAAGAGGAACGTGGCCGAGACGCAGAACAAGACGGAGGCGACGAGGGAGTCGTACGTGCCGTGCAGGAAAGAGTTTTTGGAAATTGCCTCCGTTAGTTCTCGAATATTATAGTTCTCCTAGTTCTCGAACTTTAACTACTTTCAGTTTTGGCCAATCTTCCCGTTCAACAAGAAGTTGAGCCAGTGGGCGCAGAAACTCAACGTCGACGAAAAAAAGATTTTAAAGAGATGAACCTCTTCCAAATCGCTCATCTTGTCATCAGTACGGACAGGAAAAAGCAAGCAGAAGACTCGAGTGAGTTCATTTTTTTCGCCTTTTTTTGTACCGAGTATCAAAGTTTGAAGTTTGCAGGCGGGATCCCTGTGGAAAGAGCTTGTGGAGCTTGTGAAAGCAAAAGATGCTGCACAAACGAAAGAGTTTATCGCGAAGAACTGGCAGATGAAGATCGGAAACTATACGAGCCAATACGTGGTGAATGCGCCGGAAGTTCGGGCGGATCACAAACTTCTGTGGACCGGCCTGCCGCAGGGGCCGAACAACAAAATGAACAGTCTCGTTGCCATTAAGGCCGTCCACGAGTACCGAATGCTCGCCGTCCTCCTCAAAACGCCTCCGCAATGCTTCCTCGAACCGTACTACGAGGCGAAAACGTCTCCACCGCCGGGAACAAGGATCTCCTATCGGCACTACTGTCTGCTCCATTCGCGATGGGCTTGCGACAGTCTCGGAGGCCGAATCAATGAATTGAGTGCGGCGGAACAGCAAAAGTTGTTCGACATAAGCTTGACAATGGATACCGATGAGCCGGAATCCTGGCACGATATGTTCGTGCTCCTTTTTCCTTGAATGGCGTCGCTTCTCGCCAGATGCTAAGTTCGAAGAATGATTCGGTTCTTTCACGTGATAAACTGCCCTTTTGCCCATTGACATAATGTTCTCCATCTCCACTTTCCCACCATTTCTTTCTAATTCGTCGTGTCGAAAAATCCGAAATGAATCCGATGAATCACTGGAATCCGGGCTGGCAATTCGCAATGAATGCTCAGCAAAGAGCACACGCCGGAGGGAACCGAGCTCTTCAGCCGGCGGCTCCGGCTCCGGCTCCTCCTGCTCCGCTGGTCCCACAGTTGCCGGCTAGACAGCCAATCGGACAAGGAAGACGAGTGGCTGTGGCCCAGCAGCAACAGAATGCGGTCCCGAATCCGAATCCGAATCCGAACAGACGGAATAACAGAAATCAGAACAATCCGGTTCGCAGAGAGCATCAGCAAGTTCGTCAGGAACGTCATCTGGTAGGACAGTCTGAAAATCAATGAGCCAATATAATAGGTTTCAGAGTAGAGATGACGTGGAGAGACTTCAGACGATTTCCAGAAAGAACCAGCAGACGCGCACCGCTTTAGAGTACGATAGCCGAGAAGATCAGTGCTGGACGGACCTGATGAGTGAGTGCCCATCCCAAGTGAGAAGGATTATGGTAGTTTGCAGACACCCTCAACACCCAAAGCCATCAGTTCACTCTGAGCACTCCCAACGGCGGCCCTGACGCCTTGATTCCGAACGATCAGGAGATTTGCTCCAGTTTAAGAACTGAGAACCAGTACGAGACGATTCTGAAAACCCGCGAGCTGCTTGTGAACTTTGGAGCCACCGAGTACGACTTGTCGAGAGCTTTAAACAGTCTGGAGATGCACATGAGAACGAACGCGTGCGAGTTCAATGAGATTGAGGACGTCTCCAGTGATCTGATGCGGACCGCCGGCAAACTGAGCCACGAGATCGAGGAGCTCGAGCAGATTCTGCGTCGAATTGACAATATCAAACTGCAATGACTTTTTGTGCAAATGAAGACGGGCTCTTTGAAAGTTTCATAATATTTATTAGGAAAAGGCTGTAGAAATACATTTAAAAAGTTGAAGTCGGATTTGAAAGAAGTTGGTGAGGAGAACTGAAGGAATGATTAGACAGGCCGATTTGTGCGTGTAACGCGAGAATTGACACACCTGTGCACGTCTGAAACATTCAATTGTTATGGTTCTTATTCTGCTTGTAAACTCACAAAGTGCTCGGCGGAAATGCGCCTCCCTCCTACTCTATCAGATCCCTAATGACTGACACTTCGAAAAGTGGCAGTCACTGCTTGCATCAAGAGTGGGAAGTTTCTTGACTTCTTCGTCATCATCTCCTTGCCCTCCTGCTGCTTGTCGTCGGCCTCTTTCTGAATGCGCGAGTTCTCTTCGCGGATGATCTCCTCGTTCTCGAGCATCGTCTGCAGTGCCTCCTCTTGCAGAAGCACCTGTTGTCGGAGCTTCTCGAGCTCCTGCGACACCTTCTGGATCTCGTCGTTCTTCTCGTCCAATTGCTGCTACAGCTTTACCCGCTCCTCCTCGTACAGGCCGATTTGTGCGTGTAACGCGAGAATTGACACACCTGTGCACGTCTGAAACATTCAATTGTTATGGTTCTTATTCTGCTTGCAAACTCACAAAGTGCTCGGCGAAATGCGCCTCCCTCCTACTCTATCAGATCCTAATGACTGACACTTCGAAAAGTGGCAGTCACTGCTTGCATCAAGAGTGGGAAGTTTCGTGACTGTTCTTCGCCCTGTTCTTCGTCATCATCTCCTTGCCCTCCTGCTGCTTGTCGTCGGCCTCTTTCTGAATGCGCGAGTTCTCTTCGCGGATGATCTCCTCGTTCTCGAGCATCGTCTGCAGTGCCTCCTCTTGCAGAAGCACCTGTTGTCGGAGCTTCTCGAGCTCCTGCGACACCTTCTGGATCTCGTCGTTCTTCTCGTCCAATTTGCTGGTACAGCTTTACCCGCTCCTCCTCGTACAGGCCGATTTGTGCGTGTAACGCGAGAATTGACACACCTGTGCACGTCTGAAACATTCAATTGTTATGGTTCTTATTCTGCTTGCAAACTCACAAAGTGCTCGGCGGAAATGCGCCTCCCTCCTACTCTATCAGATCCTAATGACTGACACTTCGAAAAGTGGCAGTCACTGCTTGCATCAAGAGTGGGAAGTTTCTTGACTGTTCTTCGCCCTTCTTCGTCATCATCTCCTTGCCCTCCTGCTGCTTGTCGTCGGCCTCTTTCTGAATGCGCGAGTTCTCTTCGCGGATGATCTCCTCGTTCTCGAGCATCGTCTGCAGTGCCTCCTCTTGCAGAAGCACCTGTTGTCGGAGCTTCTCGAGCTCCTGCGACACCTTCTGGATCTCGTCGTCCTTCTCGTCCAATTTCTGGTACAGCTTTACCCGCTCCTCCTCGTACAGGCCGATTTGTGCGTGTAACGCGAGAATTGACACACCTGTGCACGTCTGAAACATTCAATTGTTATGGTTCTTATTCTGCTTGCAAACTCACAAAGTGCTCGGCGGAAATGCGCCTCCCTCCTACTCTATCAGATCCTAATGACTGACACTTCGAAAAGTGGCAGTCACTGCTTGCATCAAGAGTGGGAAGTTTCTTGACTTCTTCGTCATCATCTCCTTGCCCTCCTGCTGCTTGTCGTCGGCCTCTTTCTGAATGCGCGAGTTCTCTTCGCGGATGATCTCCTCGTTCTTGCGCATCGTCTGCAGTGCCTCCTCTTGCAGAAGCACCTGTTGTCGGAGCTTCTCGAGCTCCTGCGACACCTTCTGGATCTCGTCGTCCTTCTCGACCAATTTCTGGTACAGCTTTACCCGCTCCTCCTCGTACAGGCCGATTTGTGCGTGTAACGCGAGAATTGACACACCTGTGCACGTCTGAAACATTCAATTGTTATGATTCTTATTCTGCTTGCAAACTCACAAAGTGCTCGGCGGAATGCGCCTCCCTCCTACTCTATCAGATCCTAATGACTGACACTTCGAAAAGTGGCAGTCACTGCTTGCATCAAGAGTGGGAAGTTTCTTGACTTCTTCGTCATCATCTCCTTGCCCTCCTGCTGCTTGTCGTCGGCCTCTTTCTGAATGCGCGAGTTCTCTTCGCGGATGATCTCCTCGTTCTCGAGCATCGTCTGCAGTGCCTCCTCTTGCAGAAGCACCTGTTGTCGGAGCTTCTCGAGCTCCTGCGACACCTTCTGGATCTCGTCGTCCTTCTCGACCAATTTCTGGTACAGCTTTACCCGCTCCTCCTCGTACAGGCCGATTTGTGCGTGTAACGCGAGAATTGACACACCTGTGCACGTCTGAAACATTCAATTGTTATGATTCTTATTCTGCTTGCAAACTCACAAAGTGCTCGGCGGAATGCGCCTCCCTCCTACTCTATCAGATCCTAATGACTGACACTTCGAAAAGTGGCAGTCACTGCTTGCATCAAGAGTGGGAAGTTTCTTGACTATTCCTCGCCTTCCGAAGATCCTTGTGGGTTCTCGTGTCCGACGTAGCGAGAGAAGAGAGAGAGAGAGTTTAAGTAGGGTGTGGCAGTTTCTTCTACTAACTAAAATTCTAACATGTAAGTCATATGCGCGCAAGAGGTTAACCCCAAAGAGTGCCCGTCTCTGTCTGCCCACATCCCTCTCATCTCAGGCTTCCTTCAAGAAGTTATCGTTAGGGTCACTTGAAGGGATCTGATCCGTAAGGACCGTGCAACTCCGCATCAAGTACCCACGGTCCGCAGAGCCGCCGCCCCGTAGAGAAGGGGGTCAACCACGCCACGTGTAAGGTGGGGGCGGTGATTTTTTTCCTCCGTGACAGGGGCAAATCACGTCACGAAGGTCACCGCTGTGGCCCTACTCAGAGAAGGACGTACAGACGGATACTCCCGAGGAATACACCTCTTCTAAGCTATTGTAGTCACATAAAAAGTTCTATTAATTCGAAAAAGACACCACTGGTAGGCAAGATTTTTGTTTAAAAATTGATCGCAGGGAGAAAAGAATTACTCAGAAATGTACGCAATTTTTTTACTGTTTGCCACACCCTACACTATGCCCAACTCATTGAGCACCGATCTGAACGACAAAAAAAGTGAGCATTTGTTCCGGTTTTTCACAAAATACATAGGAATAACAGGACGGTTTGTTTCTACTACATATAGAGGCATCCGAGAGTTCAGCGCAGTTTTTTCAGAAACTCTCCCAAATGTGATATCCTGTGAGCATTTAGAAGCAAAATGAAATTTATGCAACTTTTGTCGGATAAGAAAGGAACTTTACAGAGATCACAGCTGAAATAGCTTCGGAATAGAGTGCACTTCACTTCCGTATGGACTTGACATATGAAAGAGAAAATGAAGTAACGGAGAGAAAGGGGAGAAAGAACAAGTGGAAAAATATCGGATCGATATCGATTAGCAGAGGGTCTGGAAAGTCCGCCCGCCCAAAACGCGGGCAGAACGAGACGATCCGACCGTCCGCCAAGTTGGTATGTCCGAATGAATGGCTATTCTTTCCCACGGGGGCCCTTTTATACTTACTCCTCACATATCGAGTAAATCAAAACGGCCCTTTCCCTCCATTTCTGTGTGTAGTCTGTTAGGATTATGAATGTGTAGTCTGGTAGGATTATGAGTTAACAATTGTTGCCTATCTCGAATCTCTTTCAATTCAATCGCATTACTTTCAGAAGTAACTTTCGTTTTTTCCGGTTTCCTTATAATTTTTCGTGTTCTTTTTGCGTTGCGGTGCCATGAGCTTTCAACGTGAGAATGCGATGAGTACGGAGTCTGACTCATAAAACATTCATTAAACGATAAAACTTTCAAAAATCAATATATTCCAGAATGATTAAAAAATAGCGAGGCGAATCCTCTCATTGGAGGAGCATTTTGACACCTGACCTCTGGGTTGGGTGGATGCTCCGCATGATCGCATCGAAGTTGGCCGCGAACTTGTCCTTGATGTCCTTCACGGACAGCCTCTCGAGGACTGAACCGTCTCTCGTCACCAGTAGATGTTTGTGGCAGACGGTGACGGAGCAGTTTCGGTCGTGACGGTACATCATCCTGAAGTTGCTGGCGGCGGCGTGCAGAAATGCGTCCCTGGTCCGCGACTCCTTTGTGTCGTGGAGCTCGACAATGACGTACTGCTGCAAAGCTTCGTGGTCAAAAACTGACATTCTCTTTTCGAGAAATAAACAAACCTCTACGTTATTGCCGTACTCCAGCTGATTGAAGCTGTCCAGGTGTTCTGCGACGGCCCGCCCGATCTTCTCCGCCACTGCTTTCGGAACCTCCACGATGGTCTAGAAGATTGGAGAGATCGGGTGTTGCCGTCCCCGCGAGGCGTTCGGGAACGTTGCCGCGTCCCAATCCAAATCGATTCTATAAATAATGAGTGTTTAGTCGGTTTTTGGCGCTTGAAATCATGAAATCTTACCCAAGTCGGCCCAGTATGTCGCCGATTCGTGCTCGGAACTCGTCGTCCGACGGATCGATTTGGAACTCAAGGTTCCCGAACACGATCTGCTGCCGACCGGGCGCTGGCGCTGAGCATCGGGTTCTCTTCTAAAAAAAACAAAATTTTCAACTCGAAATTCCGGTATCGGCATTGCTTACCCTCTTCCGGTTCGTCCTGTTCAGGACTCCGACATTGAGCGGAGTCGGTCGAACAAGATCCCTCAGATTGTACACCGTCGCCGTCGACCGCAGCGAATTGTTTGTGAGTGCTGGGGCCAGCGGCGACGGTGTCCTCCCGCAGCTTGGTCGTGACGGCGGCGACTGTGGAGACGGTGGCGTGTGAAAGCCTCTGCGAACCGGCGCCGGCGAGTCATAATCGAGGTCGGACACACGGCGTGGGTGTTGTGGTGTGCCCACTGTATCCGGGTCCTCGGACTCGTTGCTCCGACGCCTTTTCGGTGAGCATGCAGAGTCTTCCTCGCTCTCGTCCCTGTCATCGCCTCCTCCTGGCGCTCCCTGCTCCCCCGCGCCTGCTCCTCCTGAGCTTCTTCTCCGCGCCGTTGTTCCTCCTGAGCTCTCCGCGGCTCCTCTCTCTCTTGCTCCATCGCCGACTCCGAGTACTCCTCCCGAGCCGTTGATCCACGAGCCTGCTGCCCCATGCGCTCGTTCTGGGTCTCCTGACGGTCCTCCATCGGCCCTGGCGCCTGCTCCTCCTCCATTGGCTCCGCCTCGTCCGGGATCTGAGCGAGCTGCTCATCAGACTGCCCGTCTCTCGGAGCTTCCGCCTCTTCCGGATCGGATTCTGTTCCAGAGCCCGTGAAGTGCTGAAAGTAAGCATTTTCTGTTAGTTTTATTTCAGAGTTTGCATCAACTCACCGTCCGATCGATTTGTGACTTCTGCACACCCGAATCCGCCGTCCCAGCCACTTCTGATGTTGGTGAAGTGACCAAATCCGAATGCGCATTGGCCAGTCCTTGATCGTCCGCCTCCTCGCGAGACGTTTCCGATCCATTCAAAGCTCCCTCCGAGCTCCGAGCGAGCATTCGTTCCCGACCAAGAACCAAAGGGGGAGTTAACATAAACAAATAGAGATGAATGGAAGACGAGATGTACGACGGAACCGTACTCTTCGATTCAAAAAATTTCTGTCACTGAAAGTCCACTTCAATGCGGTGGACGGAAAAAGAGTTAGAAGAGGCAGGCAGTTTCAAGGTCATTTACCCTAATAGTGAGCCATTTTTTAGCTTGTTTGTTGACATAGGCGTTCCGTTTAAAAACGAGAAGGTAACAAATTCAGTTAAGTAGAACAAAACATGTACAGTGAACAGTAAATGATGTAAAAAAATGATTGAAGAAGGGTACACGGAATTGTGAGTATGGATGATTGAACAGTTAAAAAAAAACCCAACGACTTTTACAAAGCACAAAAAATTTTCAAAAACGAAGAAGAGAGGGAGGGGGTGACCGCAATACCTTTTAGGAATTATTTGCGGGCAATACAGAAGTGCACGAGGAACATTTCGAAACAGTTTGCGAGAGGGGCGGGGGACGGTGGTTGGGGGGACGAGAAGAAGTACCGAAAAAATAGGGGAAAGTGACGAGGGCTAAGGGGTGAGTTACGCAACAGGAGAGGGAAATCGATCGATGCTGGCCTATATGCATGTGAGTCACTATTAAAACATTCAGGACACAAAAGGTGGCAAAGAAATCTCGAAGTAGCTGATAGCCGCGCAGATCTCATCGGTCAATTCACCAGTTCCGTAGATTTGCGGCTGCAGATGCTTCAAGTACTCGGCGTACTCCTTTCCAACCTGAAAAAAGCAGTTGACTCAATACAAACTCAACGCTGTCTTCTTTACCGCTCTTTTCTTTTGGTGCAACAGGACAAGACGGCGGCAGGTTGTGATGATCGGCTGAAAGTAATGGCCCAATGATACTTTTTCGAATGTTCCTAGTCCCTTACTATTTCCATCTCCATCGTATCCAAAACCATCTGCCAGATGCCGCTGTTTCTAAAGGTGCGAGCCTTCTGAACAGAGAAATTTATTAGTTTACCGAAAATGTGTGCAACACTTACGTTCGCAACGAACTGGAACGTTGGGTTCGTCTCAACGTTTCTTCTCCAGAACGCGATGTCCTCTTCAACATCCGAATCGTCGAAAAGAAGCGAATCACTGTAGACACTTTGCTGAACTTCATCAGGAAGAAAACTCAGATATATATTCGCATGCAGAACTATGAAATTTTTCATATTCTTCAAATGCTTTGTGAAAATGCCCTTCTGAAAATCACAAATTATCATTATGCATCTAAAGATGGTGAATCCATACGTGGTCGTTGAGCTGATCCGTGCGTCTTTTTGTTTGGGCTGCGTAGTCCTTAACAATTCTATTTTTCCAGTTACGGACCTGTTGGATAGTCGCAACGGAATTACGAATATTTTCAGCCTGTAAAATTGCATTGAGAACTGATCATGATGCGAAAAAATAGTACCAGTTTGTAGGGGTAGTCGTCCACGAGCAAATTGGGTTCGAAATCCATTTGTTCGTCTAGAGGTTCACTGTTGGCCGTTGGATCTGAAATCATCAACCGTTTCAGTGCATCAAAAGGCTGCAAAAAAGACTCACCAAAATTCGCCTGATCGTGAAGAAGATGAGCACATCCGTACAACTGGTCAGCACTCAGATTCCACGGATCCAGGTTCAGATTGTCAGTTTCCGACGGAACATAAAGAGAAGACGACTGGCCAGGAAGAGGGGTCGGAGTCTTTGAAGGCGAAGACATAGTGAAGTCAGAGTCGGCAAAAGAGGGAAATGTCGATGAGCTGGAACCGCTCTGGTAAGTGGGGAGAGCAGAAAGTGAATAGTGCGGCGAGACTGTCGGATGCTGACCAGAGGATGGTTTACATTTGGCCGAGAGGGGCGGAGACGTCGCTGGATAGTTTATTTTTTGGCACCTTATAGCGGAAGCAGCGCGCGGAGACAACTTTGTTTATCGGATGCGCGCGGACTGTCGGGGGACGACGGTCCCGCCGTTTTTACGATCACAGGGTCTGGTAGGCGGGAAATGGAGAGGAAGAGGTCAAATAGAAAACATTGGAAGGGGAATGCAGGGCAACGAGGTGTTCTGTATTGATTTTGCAATTTTAAAAAAGAAAAGATTTGACAAAGAACTCTTTATCATCTGCTGCGAATCCTGTGATTATGGTATTTGTGATTGAGAAAATGTGAATAAATACTCTTTTCCTTGTTCTATACTCTTCTACTGCACCATTTGTTCTATGATCTGCAATCATTAAAAAAATATATTTTTGTTAAATTATCTATTTTCCCATTCTCATTCTATTCGTCGAGAAAACTGCTCCCGTAAAATTAGTTTCCAAGGAGCTGGTTGTAGTTAGATAGTTTCTTTAACCGTTACTTGGAAAAGATTTTTCAAAGTTAAAATTGTTTATTTTGCTTTCGACACGTGGAAACTTTTCAAATGTTTCACGCCCTCTCATTGTCTCGCCTTAATTTTTGAGCTCATTTATGTACCGAGCCACCTTCACCAATTCACAAACGACGGTTAAATATTATGAAACACTGCACAGTCACAGTTTCATAGATGATTTTCGAGTTTTCAAAAAGACCCCTTCCTTCCGAAACTTCTTTTTTGGTTTCAATGACTGAATGTATGGCTCACTCTCAGTATTCTCTCTTGAATTAACTATAGTTGTTTTCAGACGGTTATCTGAATCAGTGTCTGTCTCAAGTCTCTGAAGACCATAATTCAATCCCTGTTATTGTTTAGAGCTCAATTTTTACAGGCAACAAACATCTCTTTTTCTGGAAAGCGCTTCCGGGTCGATAATTCTGACTACCGTAGCCTTTGAGATTGGCGACACACGTATAATTATTATCCCGTGGGTGTGTGTACATAATGATAGAGTCTTTCTTCCATGCAGAAGAGATCACGTTTATGCTCAGAGACGCCCACATACAGTGAGAACAAGTGGCCAACAAGGATCATATGGCGGATTGCAAAAAGGTTTGAAACCGTTGAGCAATGAAGAGTATCTGGAAGAAAGAGCAATAACTTGAAAAAAAGCATTCAAAGTTGTCCGAGGTCCGACTTCTGCAACTCGAGAAAAGGGTCCGACTTCTGCAACTCGAGAAAAACTCATCTGAAACATGTTCGTAGAATATTGCACTGAAATATGAGCAAATTTAGCATGTGTCTTGAATCCATACTTTCTGTCACCACTCACACTTTTCCCCCACACCTTCCGTTTGATCCCTTGCAAAAATTTTCCATCAACATTTTCTATTTTTCTGATTTTCTGTCTGTCATATACTGAAAACATCCAATTAGAAGTCCCTTACCATTAACCAAAACACGTGATCACACTCACAAAAAATAGGCGTGGTTCTGCAGCGAATCAGCAGCTTCGAGTGCCCCACGAGCAATGAGTCGGCAGAAGAAACACGAGCTCGACCGAGCAAATTTAGCAAAATAACAGAGAAAGAGGACGGATGAACGAATTTCGAAACAATTCTTCGCGGAATGCAGATGAATAATCAGCTCTAAAATGAATGGACATTAGGGTGGCCGCACATGGAGAGAATGTGCATTGAACGGGGAAATATGAGGCACGTTGACGCGAATACGGACCGTACAGCCGTAATACAGGCTCTTAGATGTTCCGATAGGAATAAGCGAATGGAGCAGGTAGGAGGGCGTTCGGACCTTTTCGGCTGCCGGAAAATTAAGGAGAGAATGGAGGCTAATTTCTTTCGGAAAGATTGAAGTACAGTGTCTTATTTGTGGACGTTCTTTTAGATTCTAAGCATTCTTTATTAGATTGGCAGCGATGCGAACTTGTTTTCTTATTTTGACAGTTCACAAAGCAGAACAATTTTGTTTTACGGTTCGGCCCGACCCGCCAAAAAATTCCTAAATTAATAAAAAATGGCAAAAGTTTGTTCTAATGTGGCACCTCTTCTTAGCAACTTTACTGAACTTTAACAGACCTTGCCAAACGCGTTTTTATAGCTTCACAAAAACAAAGTTCAAAGCTAAAGTCTTCGGCTCGAAATCTTTCAAGACTAATGTTAATACCCGTCAGTTTTAATATTGTCGAATATGTTTTTTGGAAGCCTTTTTATAGTGCAAACTCCACTGACTTAAAATCACGAAGAAAACATCTTTTGTTTGTTCTTTTCTCGATTTTCTATCTAACAAGTCCCTTCTCGATGCATACATTATAAACTTTGGCCACAATGATGATGTGTTTTGTAGCGATAGAAGGGCATCTATTTTCTGATCTGTAACAAAGCTAATCAACGGGCTAAACGTTTCATTGCCCTTTTTCCGAAACATTTCTTCCTTGTCCTTAAAACCTGACTCATTTTGTTGCTCACACATCAAATGAGCCATCGTGACTCATCCGAATCCCTCATTATGATTTGTAGATTTCTTCTGCAAGTCCCCATTCAACCGGATGAAAGGCGGCGGCATAAAGAAAGAACAAAGTTTTCATTCCCCACATTCCTTCGCTGATTGATACCTCAAAGTGCTGGAAAATAATTGAGGAGAAGAACTGGGGTTACTGTAGCGAGGAAGTTTATTCGATATTTGAAAGTTTGAATCTTTGAAGCCAAAATGATAAAATAATCTCTTCATTCCTGGAGACAACTGAAAAACGGGGGATCGTGAAACGGCTTACACACTTGACCGACAGTAACAGTTTGCATACTTTCTCATATGGACATTTCAAAGTTAGAGACAAGAAGAAGAGATCGGACGGGCAAAGTAATCGGGTAGAATAGTGTTCAAAGGGTTTGTGATGAAAACGGTTTGGTATCACAATCAAGTCGGGTGTGAATGTGAGAGATTGAACGGTGACAGATGCAAAGAAAAAGAAGACGATGAACATAGATTGGGGAGAAATAAAACTTTTCAGACGATAGCAGGAACATGTAGGAACTAGACAGGAGAGGAAACCCTAAAGGAGCAAGCAATCTCGGACGGAACAGAATCTCGATGGTGATGGAGTGTGAGAAGGAAACGTGGTCGTGAACAATCACACAGAAACATAATGAAATAGATATGACAGGCAGGATTGGTACATGAATGGATTTGGAAACTCAGCAATAGTGCTCAAAATTTGGTGCGAGGGTCATATAATTAGGACCATGGTGGAGGGTGAAATTAGGAGGAAAAAAGTGCAGTTCATCGTTGTTTCTATGAAAAGTTACAGGTTCGGAAAGGGTCGGAGGCTTGCGGCAAAGCCCGCTTTACAAAATGAGAAAAAGAATTGAGTGCTATTCTGGAGAACGTGAAAAGTCGGAAACACGAGTGGTAGGGTAATAGAAACGCTTCAAATCAAACGTTTGATATTACTCAAAATGTTGTCGAGTTATTAGAGAATAAACAATTACGGGCCATATTGGAAGCGGTTTGGGAATGTTGCGTTGTTGTAAAATTTGAATACAGCAAAGCGAAGCGATAGAAAATGTACAAAACAGAACGGGATGAGTACTTCCGGAAAAGTTTATACTGCCTCTTCTTTGATTCCGAAGTTCTGAATGGCCGCCTTGTAGATAGGTGAGGCCAGGAATCTCGGGTAGCTGTCTCTCTGCATGAGAGTGTAGATCTGGTTCTGAGCTTCGTCGAAGGTTGAGGCCGACGGACGGCCCATGTTCGTGTTAACGATCTCGCGGACTCTCGAGTCGAGGGAGACCTCTTTTGGTGAGAGAATCGAGATGAAGTCTTCGTAGATGATGCGAGCCTGAAAAAAAGTTGGTTCAGTCATTTTCCTTCTACCGGTATTTCCAGCAACACGTGCATACTATCACAATCCGAATGGATTTGAACGTACTTTAGACAGACAGACAGACAGGATTAGACTAGACACATCAGCAGTCTACCGATTTCAATGCACTAATGAGGATGAGATTATGTACTTTGAGTGATTCACCAATGCCCCAACTGACCTTCTCTTCGATCTTCTCAGCGTTCTTCTCACGTTTGAGCTCCTCGCAAGCCTGCCAGAACAGGATGTTCTCATCCGAGTACTCGCCCTTCAGGAACTCGGCAAAGTACTTTTGCCCCGCTGAAAAACAAAAACGTGTGACTTGACTACAAAGTTACGTCTCATACATCGATGTTTCATCAGATTCTCGAACGACTGCGACCAGCCGAAGACGATTTCATAAGTCGGTCTGAAACAGGAATGTTTTTAGATATCTGGTGTATGTGTTTTGAAATGTGCAGACAATCTCTTTTTGATCGTCCGGGCTGCTGCTGTTAACGCTATAAATACACATTGGCGGCAAGCTTCTAATGCTTCCAATTTTCCCCGCGCCGACTGTACTGTGGGGGTGAGAACAATTGCGAAACCCGAAATCCGGTAATCTTCTTCCCACTTGGTACTTTGAACACTGTTTTTTTTTTCGTGCTTCAGACGGAGCACGTGCTGAAGAGCACTTCTGAATATCGTTGTCATTTTTCTCTCCCCGCATTATGTGTAATGTCCAGGAAGTCCTATACTGAAAAAGTGCTCACTACGGCAGGTGTTAGTAGGAAGAAATCAACTCAATTAGTGACGTCATGTATGTATGACAAGTTCGCAACAAACTGGAAAAGAGCTGAAATTTTCACCTCAAAAACTATTTTATATTATCTCTAGATCTCCATCGATATCTTTGGCTAGATATATATATATATATACATATATATATATATATTTGTATATATAAATCAAAAAAATTTATTTATTCACTAATTCGGTTTCAATAGCTCATTCTGATTGATTAATTCCGCAAAACGCGTGACGTAGGCAATCACATTTTCTCAAATTGAGTGGAGTTAGCAATATTACTTTTGATCTATCAACACGTTTGGTTCCGAAAAACCATGCATACGACGACACGATTGGATTGCACTAATCCGGCGGTCGGTCACCTTATCCCGATGTGTAATTCCTCGGATTATGCATCCAGTCACGAGATTCTCACGGTGCGCGTTCTGTTCATGCGTAACGCACTTGCTGTTCTCACGGAAATGTCACATGAGAAGCGCTGTTTCCAGTTGGATTGAACCATTTGACAAACCCTCGAGAATTTCTTTGGTTATCCAAACAAGCAACCAACGCGACCGAGTCAGAACCGTGAAAACAATCAGTTTGGAGACGTCGCAAGGGATTTTCATGAAAAACTGGATGTCCCTTTACTCATTTTTTTCAGAAATGGAATACTGAATTATAGTTCGACTCCAAATTATATCATTTTCTTAGAATCAACACCCCTTGTAGCGAAAAGACGTCAATGATACAAAATTTTTGAAGTTATTTTCGCGCGTCAGAATGTGTACAAAATAATGAGTGGTGTGTGGCTATCGCTCAGCGGCAAAACAAAATAACAACTGAGCAACTTAACCTTTCGGTCTTCATACATTACTTGATATTTAGCGCCCGCCAATGTCTTATAATCCGATATTCAAACAAATTAAAATCAACTTACGGTCCATCGTTTTCCACTTTCTTCTCGACTGAGACACTGCCGCTGAAATTAGATTGAAGTTAATAAACAAATTGGGAAGAAAATGAATAATTGGTGACTTAGAATACTTGAACTTTCCACTTATCAGCTACACTACAAACACATGTTAGTCAAATGAACTCACTCGTAGCTATTGCGAAAGCAATTCAACAGAAGAGCTCCCATTTTGTCACCACAATCACACAGAAACCCTATTTTGAAAGTGTGATTAGCAGTTTTTTGCTGCCGAAAATGTGACGAAGTGGCGGAAGGATGGCGATGAATAAATGATTGGAAACGAATCGACAAGCTGCCGGATTCGGGCGGGCGATGAATCGGCTTTCGCTTGTGCTTTTCTTGTTTCCGATGAAATATAAAGAAAGCGAGACGGAGCTCCTTCTCGCTCCCCCCTCTCTGTTTTTTCTATCTCTTATTTGTTCGTCCTCTGCTCGATAACTAGATGAAGACGAGGCGGAAAGGCGGCGAAGACGTGACAAACACGCCACTGTTCTTTTTTGAAGTATAGTATTCAGACTAGCGATTGAATAGGAGGAAATTGAAGATCCGAGCAAATCGCACGGAGAATGGCGGCAGATGAAGCAGGGAAAAGAGGGAAAGAAGCCGAGTTCTTAGGATGCAAACAAGAGCGATCGGATTAAACGCGTCCGTAGCTGAGTTGACGATTAATCTCTCTTGGCCGCTCGGTCATATGCTTCAAAAGAAGCCCCGCCATCTGGAATCGTCGGATTCAGACGATGACCGATGAGGGGCCCTTTAACCCTTCATCTTACAAAGTTTAATTTTGAAACCCTACGTCTCATGCGAATATGAGCAATGAAGCGGAAGAGGATTAAAACTGTCTGTGGCTAGTACTCAAAGTTCGTTCAATCATGAGATGGACTTTAAGATCATCAAAACTGAATTATCAGCTAACATCCGGTCTTCGAGAAAGTGCAATGAAACTTGATATTTGATCCGCTGGACCAAATGACGACTGCGTTGCATCTTCTAACTTTCAGGAAATCAATACCACTTGTAGGCGTTCTTTTGAGGCACAGAAACAGTTTCGGAATGTAATGTTACAACAGAAATAGAGGGAGACACTTTAATCGGAAATTGATTCTACTTTTCCCCTATCACTTTTTTGATTGTTCTGATAATCGAGAACGTAAAAAAAAGTAGGGATTGTGTCTAGAATTTCTTTCAATCCCCGTCCAATAACTCACTTCCGGTTTTCACAGAAACATCCGCAGAATGCGAAGCCAAATTTGCGAACATAGTCCGAGAAAGTACCGATACGACCGACAGCGATCATGTTTAGAGCACGATGGATAGGTTGTAATCTTTGAGACGAAAATGCGGCAAAAAGAGAGTGTGTCAAGTGGGATTGAAAAGAAGGGGCGGAGTGTGCACCGCTCGTTAATCTCTATGTTGAATATTCGGAAAGCGACACGAATGGAAGGAGAGTAGCGGGTTCCGGTTAATAATTTCTTGTCGTAGTTCCCACGACACGCTATCAAACCGGTGATTGTTTTGTTTTTTCTTTTGGCTGTTTTTCCGGGTAAAAGAGATTGTCGACAGAGGCACCGACAAGAGTAGATCGTGAGAAAGAATGATGTTACGCCACGTGTTTTCAAGAAATGGAGGTACAGGAATGGTTAGCAACAGAAGAGGGAATGAAGTTTTAGACGAAAACGCGTACCAAAAATCCGGACAACAATGGTTGCTCTTCTTTTCCATCGATCGATAAATACAGTCTGAACCCTACTTTTTCACCTGGAAATATAAACGGATTTCGAACGTTCAAAGAAAAGAAAGCAGGTGAAAATCTGAGATCTGACGACGCGAACCCATTCAAAATTCATTCAACTTTTGGGACAGGTGAAAGTCGGAATTTTAAATATAGAAACGTTGGGTGTTCCCTCTGACGTCCGGCCAGATCTTTGAAATATTTGATAAAATGATCTCGTACAGAGGACAGGACTAGTAAGTTCAAATGAAAAAGAGACTAAAGTTGAATAGGAAACTGATGCGAATGTCACGCATCATGGACGGAGTTCCAAACGATCTTCCGGCTCAAACTTTCCGTTTTTTCTTCCTTTGCCTCTTCGACGTCACAGAAAACATTCCGAACAGAGCAATAAAAGACGGCCTGGCATGCCGGCAACTTTTTCACACGCAACCCCCACAGAAATAGCCAAGATGAGGGGAAGAAGGTCCTTTTTGAATCCAGAAATAGACATGGACGCACTAAATATAGATGTGAGTATGTTCGCTCTGGCGTATGAATAGTTGAAGTAAGCGTGGGTTGATTTAAGAACAAATACTTATTCAAATGAAGAGAGGCGGAAGTACAGGATTACGAACTTGCTCAAAACTAGACTCATTCCCTTTATGAACTTTACATAACAAGCAAACAAAGTAGTAGTACAGTAACCTCTAGATCCAATTAGCATAGCACTCCGTCAGAACCAAAAAAAAGAGAATGTTTTAGACTGTCTTAGTGCGTACCACCAGTTCATAATTATCACATACGTTATCGAAGATTCACGGCCACCCATCCGGAGTGTGAGGCCGGAGGTGATTCGAATACTAGATGTTGGTGGGTTAACTGCGGCGGTTCACAATCTACGTCTCGCGAGACCGCCAGCCAATGTAAGGGGAGCGTTTTGGTGCGTTCCGCTAATTAGGGTGGCAACCGTTCGTCGTGAGTGTGACTGGCGGAAAAGAAGATGATGAGGAAGAAGTCGAACGACGTGAAGGAGACAGAAGGTAAAATGAAAGGAAGGCGCAGCATGCAGTTGAACATACGTAGTCAAGGCCACGCCTGGGGGCTCACCTGTGTTTTTGCCCCATAAAGGTACAATCGCACGACAGCAACCGCATAAGGGGGTGTTCGCCAACGACTCCCCAAGATGACGACGGAGTATGTTGCCAAGACGTTTTGGTCGATGACGAGGTGGCTTGAATCGATGCACAAATAAGACGTGTGGTGTGCCTGTGCCACAACGCAATGGGCGGAGAAAAGGAGAGACTAGAGAGAGAGAGAGTGCCCGGGCTCGTTCCTTGAGCCCATCCAAGACACGCCTTTTTTCATTCCGCGTCCTCTCTTCCCTCTGCGGTCTTCCACACCCCGATTCCCGCAAACAAAACATCTAAGGTTCCGCAGAGTCGCAGAGCACCGAACTGTTTTCTTTGAGAAGAAGACGGGTGAGACGGAGATCAGGTGGAAAAAGGAGGGGGGGCAGAGTGGAAAAAGAGAAAGAGAAGAAGAAGGTGGAAAAAGAACTGAGCACAGTATTTGGATAGTTATGTGCAGCAGGAGAAGCACATCGCAAGAGAGCTGTGCCAACATTTCCCGAGGGTGACTATCACATTACATATCATGAATTGAGAAGTGAGGAAAAGGAAGTGAAACTGTAGGCAGGCAGGCTTCTAAGGCGAAAAATGATCTAGTGAGTTCAATATGCGGAAAGATTAGCTCAGAAAAGTACATCTGCATTTGCATCTGGAATTGATTGCACACAAACGACTGTATGTAGTTGGAATGAATGAGAAAGATTCAGGAGATTAACAACACGCGGCCACCCGTTTGGTAGGACGCACTTGGCATTGATCACATAGAAAACATTTTGTTCTCGATTAAAACACATTTTGAGTTTGATTTGATTGAGTAGACGAACGAGAAGGAGCGACAGCCCTCCGCTGTCCAATAGTGTTTGGAACGGATGAAAAGATGGCGGGAAAATGTATAAAGCAAACACAGTGCGGGAGGTGAAATTGGAAAAAAAAAGAACTATGGATTAGCTACAGGATACACAGAACAAAGTTATTGAAATCAAATCGAAAGTGAGGTTTGTGGGCTATATCTAGATTACTACTGTTTTTGAATAAGCGGAAAATGAGTATGTATTCTATGAATTGGGCAGAAATCTAATTTCCTGTTAACCCTCTAGTTTACTCTTGTCTTGTCGCTTTTTTCGTTCTCATTTCTTAGCTTATGGTTCAAATCTTTTGCTCACTCGCCACTTGATTATTCACCACTGAAGAAAACTGAAACCTGATACTGCTAGAAGAAGAGGAAGAAGACCGAAAATTGAAGCGCACGGATTTTGGCATGACGACTGCAATCGCTCACACGCAAATTTATGCGTTTCTCGCACTGTTTCCTCTTTTTTCTTTGTCCGGTGGTCAGGCGCACGGTGGAATATTTTAAAGCGATCCACGCGATAATGTTGAGCAGGAAAGAAAAACGAAGAGAAAGGAGGAGGAAAAAATGACAGATAGTGAATAACTTTGACAGATGGATATAAATTGGCGCCCATCTCACTCATCCATAAAACATGTGTACGCCCGCCCGGGAGAACTTGCGACCGACCGCACACTGTCATCAGAAGAAGGTGAACAGTTGAATTGTCAAGAGACAGAGAAAAAGCGGAAGCGGAAGAGGAAAATAAAAACAAGAGTTAGCACGAAGTAGCGGGCTTACTGGGCCGAGAAACACAATGAGATTAGCGGAGAGAACGGGCGACTCTTAATCTTCGTAGAAACGAACGGGCTTATTTATAACCGGCATAGTACAAAAAGAGGGAGAGAGATAGAGATATATAGAGAGTATATATATATATGTATGAATCAGCCGTGACTCCATTAACACAATTTGGACATATTTGGCAGCGTTTTCTTACGATTGCTCCAAATTGGTTGTTGTCTGATTAGTTTTCTATTCGTATAGTACACGTTCCACGTGCTCATTAGTACTCTATTAGTCATGATGATTTTGATCGTATGCAGCTCGAGGAGAATTCATTGTCCGTGTAAAAATAGAAGGAAAGGTTTTCCGGTTTCGAAGCAATTATCACCATGAATTGGACCAAACCCGGAAGGAAACGAGTGGAGTGTTGGGTGCACTTTTCGCTTTGGAACACTTTTTTGGCAAGTGAAGAAGCGGCAGCTGATTCCTTGAGATGGTTGGTAGCCGTATGTTATGACACAACGGAAATAGTGGAGCGCAAAGGCTGCATGCACAATGCATGCACAAGTGCACAATAACTCACTCTGCCGCTGGTGTCGAACGGTTTCCCAGGCATCCCATAAACACGGACCAGCACGTGTAGGGCTCTTTCTGGTCTGGCACTTCAGATGCCCCCGTCGTGCTGGCGTGTCCTGCCGCTAGAGCACCGGCGTTGAGGATCTCGTTCCGAGTGCTCTTTACGAACTGGCCGTTCGTGTTGGTGCTGGTGGTCGGGGCAACGCTCATCTCGGATAGCAGGAGGAATAGTGATTATCTAATGTGTGTTCAAATTCGAACAGCGCTAAGTGGGAGGATTCAAACTAGGAGGCGGGAAGAGTGAAATACGTCTCTGTTTCTCAATCTCTCATCCTCTTATCACTCAGTCTGATAAACAAGGTGTGGAAGGCGGAGCTACCCAAATGCACTCAAACATGTGATTGGTGAGCATGTTTCACTTACCAGCACGCTTCGGTCAGCTTGCTGAATGCCAAAGGGACGTCGATGCAGTACAATTTCTTCAGAAAACCCGAGAAACATCCTTGTTCTCCATTTTGTAGTTTCCGACAAGTTTCTTCCGCATTCAAGCTCATTGTGAAACAAGGCGAAAAGAAATTTGAAGGCGTTTGAGCAGACAGAATCGGATAAGCGAGACGAAAGTAATTCTGATTTGGCCGGGTGAAGGTGCTCCGGGAAAGGGAAAGAGATTGTAAGACAGAGCTATTTTTGAGAGACGGAGAAATGAGCGAGAGAGGTTTTGATAACAAGTCTTGGTCATGGGGTATGACCAAAAATGAGCAGGGCGATAAACAAGAGAGTCAAGAACTCGATTGCGACAGATGCAGTCGAGATCCGATAACAAAAGGTGTGCTGTAAACGCACTTGCTTTATAATGACATCATTGAGTGTTGGAACAGCTTTATCACTCAAAGTTACGGAACAACTGGTGCGGCAGGCTGTTGTCAACTCATAAAAATCATGGAAAATTACCAAAAGTCTATAAAGCTATCAAACATGGCCAGCATTTGTCCTTCGTCCGCTGTTCCAGTTTTTAGATAGTTTAGAAAAGAATAGGAGTCCTTAACAATCAATGAACACAATCAGAATGTTGTCTCGAGAAACTGCTGATTGGCTTTTCCATTCTCACTGATTCACCTGTCCCTTGTCCTTGATTTTAGGTGAAGCCGATGTACACGTAACAATGCTTAATATCCCATTCTTATATTTGTTTTGCTGACGTCCACGAACCCTTATCCAGATGCAAATTTCTTTTTTGCAAATGTGCTGTTTGTTTTCTTGTGAGAAGGGTCCTCGCTATCGAAATTGACAGGTTCTGGTCGGGCATCGCGCCGATTTTCAAAAGGGATTACGAATATTTGTATCAGAATCGTCAGCAGTCTTATTGTATTTCGTTTACGACATTGCTCTCTGACTACATGTGTTTTTCTAGATTCTTCAAAATCTGAGAATGTGGGATCCCATTCAACAAACATCTTCTCAAACTACCGTAGTCGCACTTCGAAAAGAAATGCACCAGTAAACAACCCTATAACTCCCGCTTTGACATCAGTAAACCGTAGTTTTGCACTTTTGAACTCATGTCTCACAATCCTTATCTTCAATGACCTTTTGAAAGAGCAAGTTCATCGAGACAAATTTACTCCAATTAGACTAGTATAAAGTCACGCTAATCCAGAGTCAGCAGAATGCGCACATGATTGTCGAGCTGAATCACACTCTAATTAAAGAAATGTTGTTGATCATATCAGTCATCATGAAAGTGGAATCCGGAAAGAGAAAAATGTGGGTTCTGGTCAACAAGTATGAAGAAAAGGTGTAAAAAAACTGAAAAAAGTGGCAAGACGGTAAAAAGTTCGCGATCTGCTAGCAAGCCCGGACGTTCGAGGCGCAAACAAACCACAACTTTCTGAAACCTACTCCAGCTCTGTCGCCACCCATGGCTTCGTCAGTTTGTTGAAGATGAAGGTGAACGTGAAGCAAACCGAATTGAACATCGCAACCGGCAACTGGCAAGCGTTTCTAGTTGGAGTTGGAGCAGGAAGCGGCGCTCTGAGACAATGAAGTTCATCTCTATTGGTATCGAAACCAAGTGAATCAACCCAACACTTACCCGAAAATGTCGTCTCCCAAAGAGCTGATGTCACTTGAACTGTTATTAGTTATAGTATTACTTCTAGAGGACATCATTTTCAGAGCAATGGTTTGAGGTAGTGAAATGAGCGGAAGAATGAGGTAAAGTGACCGATTGACTTCAGACAGTGAAATCCAGTCAGTTGACGAAAAGTTATCACCTTTTTTGACAATTGTCTCAAAGGAAACTCTTCCCTTCATAGTTCCCAAATCACTCCGTTGTTTTCTTTAATTTCCAAGTTTCCCATAAATGTTAGACATTCCGAATGCATACTCATTCGAAAGCTCTATATTTAAGGAACGCGAACGTATTCGTCATTCTGCTATCCGTTCTCTCGTTCAGCTGTTCTGATTGCCAAAAGTTCGCTTTTTTCCGGTTATCAGAAGGCTCTTGCTGATTAGGACCTTGGGGAGATGAGGGTGTTGAAGCGTGTCCGATTCAGCTCGCTTGCCCGCGTGCTCAAGTCTTTGAGCTCACGGCTCATGTGATAGTTTACGAGCTTTTGAGAGTAGGCTGGATATATTGATCGTGCGCAGAGCCGGCAGCCCAGTCGAGCCGGGAAGAGTCAAGAATTCGGAAACTATGCAGGTGTTGAGAGGGCGCGTTTCAAAGAAGAAGAAGAAGACGGAATAGTAACTAACTCGCTGTAGATGCTGTCATCCAGAGACATCTCCTCCCGTGCCGGAACGATCCGGTTCGCGAATGGTCTTCCACAACTCATTGTTCCACGTGCTCAGATTGATGATTGGAATGAGCAGAGGTAGCAGAAAACAGTATTGAGCAGAATGAAGTCTTAGAGAACAGATCTGATCAGTTCATTCGAAGAACTGGTTCAACTTTCAAAAATTCAGCAGATCCAGCAGCTAATTGCTGTTGAAAAAATGGCCCGACTGTGAGAAAGTCGAGCTTTTTCAGTTGCAAAAAGCAGCTGAGTCTGAAGGATCAGAGTTCCAGTACTTCCACTTTCAAATACCATGCTGATGATAACGGAAACGTTCATTCAGATCAAAAACACTTTGCTTTGATATTTCGGTTCTTTGTGTCGGTGAAAATGTGTCAGATTTGAAGATTTTATATAAAACAAGTGATCAGCAAATTCCCGTCAAAGTGAGCATCCGGTTAATTGAATCTTTCCCGCATCTCTTCTTTGACATCTTCAGTTTCTTTTCTCAATTTAGGCAGCTATTATTACTACCGTGTGTGAGCAAATGAGCACTCGCACTCTCGTCGCAATGAATTGGATATAATGAGCACAGAATCACATCACACCAATCGGGAAAAGTTTTGCCGAGAAACAGAAAGGGACGTAAACTTAAAAGTTGAATATTTCACACAAAGTTTTGAAAAAAGGAGATCATGTTGGAAAGTTCAAGTCTCGAAAGTTTCACCATGAAAAATCCATAAAAATACCTGACATAAGCCTTGCCGGTGGACGACGAGTTGTGAGTAACACAAACGATGATTTTCCCGAAACAACTGATAGCGCACGACATGTTCTGTTCTGCAAATCAATCAATGGCTCATAATACGAAGAACCGTAGAGGGTATCAAAAAGACCAATCTATGAGCCACTTGAACTAAATTGAACAAAAACGCGGAAGGAAACCTCGGCGAAAAGAGAGACACTCGTGTCCACGATGTCATCTATCTATTCACATGGATGATGCCCCGGACACGCGCATACATAATACCAGAACTAGAATTCTTCTTCTTTTATTTCGTTCTTTCTATGTTCATGAATATATGGATAATGAATGGGCGATGATAGAGAGATAGAGAAATAGATAGAGAGAGAGAGAGAGAGAGAGAGAGAGAGAGAGAGAAAGAGCGATCATTTGACATTTTACATTCAAACTTTGAAAAAATCTGAATGAAAAATGTCAAGGTTTTTGCATACATATTGTGTGAGACTGTGAAAGTAAAATGTTGCCGGTCGGTCTCGCTCATCGTGTGGAATACAAATTTCGTTATGCATTGAATTACATTACATTGAAACTATATTGTTTTAAATAACAGAGCGGAAATGGGTAGTACAAACTGCAAATCTGAAAAAAGTTTCAACCTTTGACCAAATTCTGAAGGCCAATGTGGGCACTTGAAACTAACGGACGGAGGTTTTGGCAAGGCTGTCAACAAAACGGAGAGAAAGAAGAAACCTCCACCACCACCACGTCGAGTTGAATCTTTTAATAGAAAAACTCGACCCGACCACGTGCTGCTTTTCAGGGTCAGCCAGTTTTGCACGCACTGCCCAAGATTAAAAGTGTGGGCCCGGCGGCACAAAACAAAACATTGAGGACAGGACAAAGTACTAGAGTGCTCTCTTCTCTTTCAAAATCGAAGAAGCTCTCTTATTTCACTCGGGGTGGTCTGCTCTCAATTTGCATTCATTTCTTTTCCTTTCTCTATCAACTTCTTCTCATCAACTCGCAAAAAGATGTCGACGCGCCCACACAATAATGCCATTTTGCCGTCGGAGCCTGTGGGCTGCTTGTCAGCTCCAATCCCATCACATTACTTTTACGAACATCCATTCCCATTACATGCACTTCTTCTGAAAGCCGACTTGACATGACATCGCAAAAAAAATAACGCTATCAGCTTTTTGTTTGGAAATCTTATAAAAAAGGGGAAGAGCAAGAAAATGTGTGGTTTGAAGTGAATCGCAACACAACTCTGCTCCGTTGTTCGGTTGCAGAACATGAAAATAGAAGTGAAAATGACAGATCGACAATATTGACATTTGAATGGAAGAGATATTGTACAAAGTTGGTGAATCAAAAAGGGGTGGGTGGATTGGATTGGGGGAGATTCAGATCCAACCTGATCACTGATCCTTTGAGGAAATTTGAGATGAAAAGGTATGTACATTAGGACCGGGAACTTCTCCTAAGAGATCAGTTCGGAAAATCGAAAAAAAACTGTCTGTCTGGCTCAATAACTTAGAGATCACTCTAAATGTTCTAGAGAAACTGTTTGTTCTTGCAACAAACGATTGAATCAAAAATAGAGCTATAAATATAAGCACCAACTCAAATTTCAGTAAGTTGTTATGAAACATGAAACATATATGATATTCGGATAGAATCTTTTCTGCTTTCTGCCCGAAATAAGAGCTCTAACCGAAAGTGGCTCATATTCAAGTCATGTGCACTTTCTTCAAGTTTCTTCGGTTTTGCACACACAACTAGAGAGTCATTGAGAAGAATTTTAGGCGCCGAAAAAAGGCCTTAATCCATGCAAAGCAGCCTCCTATGACTCATTTTTGACACTTTTTGGAGCGGCTCGCGCGGGAAAGCTCAAGTTTCAACCGTCAACAGAGTAACCTAACACCGTTTGAAAAGAGAATAAGAGAGAGAGAGAGAGAGAGAGAGAGAGAGGGAGAGAGAGAGAAAGAGAATACTTGCACATCAAACTTTTTTCTTAATTAGACGGATGAATTGTTGAGGAAAATGCGCGTTTTGAGTGATACGCCCAATTGCTCTAACAAAAACGTGAGGAAAAGCCGACGGCACGGAGGGGGACCATGCGAATTTCTTATGCTCATTAGTGGACCTTCCTTCTCTTCCCTCCATCTTCTTTTTTTCTGCTGCCTACTCTCCTTCATCGTCTTTTTCTTTGAGAAAATAACATTTTCCGCCGCTGCTAAGAAAACTCTAGAGAATGAAAGAAAAGAAAAATAGAGGAAGGCATAGGAACGAAGGAGATAAACTTTAACTTTAACGTTCAATTTATATTAAGAGATAGAATTCAAAAGTGGAAATGGAGGATGTGCATGATTGAAAATGCCGGAAACTCGTGCAAAAACACATTGACGTGATTAAAGTTAGGCCCATTGAATCTGGTGCGCATGATTCCTGTTTGCACACAAGAGAAGAGGCGCGGACCCAAAATCAACCTCATTCAAGCTAGCTTCAAGCCCACGGCAAACAACGGGAATCTCATCTTCTGCTTCACTCGGATGCAATTTAACTGATTTGAAAATGAAAGTGCAACGTCGGCATCGACACTGAAACATTGCGTCATTGTTGGTCAAGAGATGGTCAAGAGTGAGCAAGCAACAAGGGTTTTTCGTTTCAAAAAGGAAGTGAGGGATTCGCCAGGCTAAAATTGCTCCGTCCTTTTTTTATAATTCAATTATTTTAGAGAGACCAACGAATCATTTTCTTCACTCGCTCACTCAACTCAAACAAATTTTGGTGAGAAAGATACATGCCGATATAAAATAAAATTGGATGGTTCAGCGCATTAGAAATTTCCGGTATAAGACTCTTCTTTCAAGAAACACGATAATATGAAGAACACTGATGTCATGCTGTTCAGACCAGATTTGTCAAAAATCGTCACGGGTTCAAAAATTATAGAAAATGTTTGGAAAGGGGCCATCGGATCGGCTCATCCACGACAAGTCTGGTTTGTTGCGATGAACATAAGAGCCCGTGTATAGGAAAGCAAAAGAACATTCAGGAGGAAGGAATGGATGAAACCGAGCATTCCGAATGCAAAAGAGCCCATAGCCCCCACTTCGCAGTTTTCAGGTGATAAAAAGTGGCAAAGGAGGATCTACGTAGAGGATTTCGAAAAAAAAACTAAGCGGCTTTTGAGCGTCCATCAAATTTTCGTGCGTGTGGAGCATTTTCAATCTTCTCTCACATAGCTTTTCCGTCGTTTCTCGCAACGAAAAACCTTGTATAAGCCCAGTCATTTGATTCTGGGGCGAACTAAAGGTCAACCCGTACGCAACCTTTGCATTCAATTATTTCCGGCGGGAAAACAGCTCAACATTTAATTATATTAGATCACAATAGGATCGTTTTCTAATCCTCTCGTCATTTAAGCGCATTGTCCGCGCTTCATTTACTAGGAAATGATGAAACTGAATGTGAGCAAGAGAGAAAGGGGAACTTGGAACTTACTGATCGTTGTTAAAACCTCGACGGCAAACAGAGATGGTTGATCCGAATTTTCAGGCGTTTTAGGAAAAGCATTAATTTCAGTGTTAGTTCCTTCCATATTTCAACAAGGAATGAAAGAAAACTGAGCATTCGAGCAGAGAGAAGGGAGAGTGTTCAGGTGCAAAAGTTCGTTTATGAGAATTCAATTACCTACCAAGATCTCCAGATGTCTTTCTGTCTGGCTCGATCTGCCGATTGTGCTGCTGTGTGCTAATTTTTTAGTAGTGTCCGAAAACAGTCACAGAACTTTTAGATCGATAATATCCAAGTAAAACGATATATATATATATGTTGTTTTGTTTACAAAAAATGTTTAGCGAGTGGGTCAAACATTGTGAAGAGTTGTGAAGATGAAGAAGTATTTTCAAAGTATCTAGAGCAGTTTTCAAGAGTGAATTTGTTCGAAACATAAGGAGGGAATGAATGGTTAAAGATAGTTTGAAATGAGAGTCAGTTTAGAATGTATTGAGGGAGGGTAGAAAAGCGAGATTAGAAATTGAGGGTAGAAAAAAACGAAAGCAGTCAGAAATCAAGGATAGATGGGGACAAAAATGAAAGAGAATTATTTTCAAATCCAAGCCGGATCAAATCGCCCTCCGTTCATCTCCATTATTTCTTTGATGTCCATGAATCTTCTGTTTCTCACTGTACTGGCTTCGGGTGAAGCGGAAAGTACCTGGAAAGAAATGCTGTTCGACGTGAAAGTTCAACTTTGACTAACCGCTCGCTGAAGTGCAACCTCTCTGCGGACTCTATCTTTGTTCATTTCTATGATTCGATCCAGAGGAATAGGTTTTCTGTTTTCATATGCGAATCGTGGGTCTTCAATGTCCTGAATAAATGTTTTTAGCTTATTGTGATTTCCGAAAGGTTTACCGAGTCTTCTGGAGGTGGCGTTAATGACGCTCTCTCCAGTTTTTCGGCTTCATTTGGACACTCTTTTTTGAACACTTCCCAGTGAGCTCTGTCTTCAATGATCTCAAAAGTATGCTCTTCTGAAAAGCATAGCAAAATGAATCTTCAAGAATATAATAAAAGGGAACCGACCAAGCCAGTAGAACCCCATCACGACAGTAGTTGCTGCGATTGCCAGCAAAAATGCATAAAACACGCGGAATTCCTGCATACACACATAAAAGTAAAAACCAGACTCAGCCAGCAGAAACAGGCGTGAAATGAACTTTTTCACTTTTACAACGCTACTAAGTTGCAAAATTTTCCAAATTGTTGGCTTCCAGAGGTATAAAAACATACACAACTTGAATAGAAACGCGATCAGCTCTAAACTGATCAAACATAATGGTATCACCATTTTTCGGCCGTCAGAATGAATCAAATAGAGTGTATATACTCCGAATTTGAAAACCGATGTCAAAATTGTGATCACATTCGTTCGTCTTATGTGGTACTGTTTGTCCATTTCAAGGGCAGCATCGAATTCAGGATACTTTGATTTCTGGACGTACATGATGTGGTGTGAGTTTTCGATATCTTCCACTGGAAAGGTAATCCTGCCAATAGACTCAGCCAATTCTAGGTGAACTCACTTTCTGCAGTATCAGGAGAGGGCTCGGAAGGAGTATCGATGAAGAGAGTATGAATAGGATTTCCGACCGTGACTTTGCAGATGTGGAATACGAATTATTATGAAACGCTTTGACTCGGCCTCACCTAGGAAACCAGCAAAACAGAATCGTTTCTACCTGACTTTTACCTACAACCTTCCACTGATCTCTCCTTTCTCATATCTTTTCATTCTCTTCTTTTGCCCAGTCTTCCTCGGTTAATTAACTCAGGATACGGGCTTTTTCATGGTGAGCTCCGCTAACTCTCAATTATCGTCAACCTTCGCAGGTGACTCCGCGTTTATAATATGCCCGACTATTACGATTTTGAAGTAAACGTAATAGTAAAGGGACAACAAAGCATTTGGCAAATGCTTCATTGAAAGATGAGAATTACGAAAAGAGAATTACAAATTGAAATTTATCTGAAGGATAACTACAGAATTCCAGAGCTGATCACTAATGAGTATGTGTATTGAAGTTACTACGAGTAAAAAAGGAGCTGTTTCTTGGACGTTTTTTTTTTCAATTCAAAATGGTAAATAGTGGAAATCACGGATTTCAAAGCTGTAAAAAAAAACACGCCTTGTGAGTATCGAGAGCTACCACAAAGACGGGTTGGATCCTTAACTGCATGCACACGACACACCGCTAGTTTTTGCTGATTGTGAACGTGTGCATACATTTCCAGTTCGCACCACGAAGAGGTGATCCAACAAGCGAACAGTTTTTTAAAAATTTCTGTTAGACGAATCACCGGATCAAATGTCTAACTGCATCACCACCGGATGGCTTTTTTGTTCTAGAGACCTACCGTGCACACATTAGCCCATGCTTGTCCCCAGCTTGTCCAAGTTCCAGCCGGAGCAGCGGTACAAACGAACGTCAAAAATATCACGACGGACTTCATATTTCTCTTCAGACTACTACAGTATTCATCGGGTCGGAATGAGCCGCAAGCGATGATTTGTGAAGTTTAAATCAAGGGTCATTCTCGGGTAATAATCCGGCTTGAGTGAGAGGATAGGGATCGAAAAACTAAAAATCAATCTCCATAGGTCCCCCCCATTCGCTTAAATTTTCCGAAGTAGAGACTCCGAATTCTTTTTCTCTTTATTCTCTTTATTCTCTTGGAACTCAATCGCATTGGAAACTCGGAGGAATATAAAACAGCAATATGAATTTTTTGGATAATGTGTTACACTGATCGTATCTAAAGAAATGCTATGAATCCGATCGGCGATTTCACCCGGAGAACTTTTCTTCATTCTGACCCGGCTGTCTTTTCTCTAAGAATACGTGAGTCTTTCTCCTTTTTCCATTATTTTTTCATTGTGAATTTTTAGATCAACTTCTCAAACAATGATCTATGCCGCTTTCCTCCTTCTGCTCATTGCCTTCATCGGTCTCGCTTCGCTCATGCCGGTCACTTCGGAGAATCCGATTCAACTTGCCGGATGCAAGGATTGTCAGCATATTTGTCTCTACGACATTTGTGTGAAATACTAATAAATTTTATAGAGTGATTCTTGTTATCTAGGTCTATATTGTAGTCAATTCCTTCTTCAAATAAAACACATGTAGCATTTATCTGATATTCTCAAAAATGGCGAAACATAAATTAAAATTTCTGAGCAAACAGACGTTTGTAAATGAAAAGTGTGACTAGGGGAATAAGGAAAAAGTAAAACAAGATATCCAAGTGATATGTTTCGACAATAGTAAGATTGTTGCTTTCCAGATCAAAGTGAGAGCTCGTGTCGTATTCTGTCACAAAATCAATCCATTTCAAAACACGTTCTTCTGGTGTGAAAGGATGGTTTTGGATCAGTTTTGATATGCGCTGAGCACTTGTGTGATAGCTGTAATTCGTAAAATTTTGATTATTCTGAAGTATCTGAATTACCTAGGATCCTTTAGTACTTCACTGATTTCATTAAAGAACGTGTCTCTGATGACTGTCTCTCTAGCGATCATCTGGAAATTACAAATCACAATGACATTTCTGTTTTCATAACCTTTCCAGCTCCTCTCCGCTCCACATTTTTCGCATTTCTGAACTGATCGGTGAAAACTGGCATGATTATCATTGGAACTCCATAGTACATGGTCTCTAAGACACTGTTCATTCCACCGTGAGACACGAACAACTTCAAGTTTTTGTGCTCTAAAAACTCGATTTTTCTTTTGTTAGAGAAGTTGTCGGTCTTACGTAAAACTGCATTCTGCGGAACCCAGTCAACAAGATCAGTGTTGGGAACATTGGCAAACATTTGCGCCGTTGTCTTATCATCTGAAAATAGTGGTTACCTTATCACTCAATGCACTTTGAATATCACTGACCACTGGCCACTTTTAGAACAAAATGATAGTCCGGCAGGCTTTCAATTGCATTAAACAGAGATTGTTGTATTCTTTCCGGAAGAATTTTGAACGGAGCAACTGTGCCGAATGAGACAAACACAGAGCCCTTTTTCCCTTTTTTGAAAATCGAATCCAACTCCTACAAGCAACTTTCATGTCAATCGTCTTAAAATTGCGTTCACACCTCCGACAGGACATTTTTCGCATGATTTCCTCCTCCCAACATGCCCACATAAACAACTTTAGATGAAATTGGTCTCGCAATATCAAACATTTCATCAGTGTTGACGAACATGACCGAGCAGTTACGCACAATCTGGATAATCGACGGAAAGTCCGGAGAGACTTTTTCTCGGAAAATCTGAAGAAAGACACCCAATGATTCGACCGGTAACAAGCGACAAAGGGAAGGACTGGGTAATGACTGACATTCTGAATGGCTCGGTCTTGAAGGTAATGGACAACAATGGATTGGAAATGTTTATAAGCATTGGACATTCGATCAAAAAAACCCATTCGATCGTGATTGGGATTCTCCTCGACACTTGGCACGTAGGACGGCAATGAGGGCAGCCCTGAAATCCGATCCGTTTTCAGGCTTTCGGCGAGACGTCATCAGTGCTTGCCTAGGTCCCATGCAATCTTATCCATGATCGGCTCACTTGACAGTAGCACAGTCTTCGGAATGTTCAACGACCTGTAAGCTAGATTACATATCATTTCCATTAAGCGGAAGGATATGAGATCTAACTCACCTCACGATTGCTGCATTGCACGGGTCGATGTCGTTGTAGATGGCAATGTCGAAGCCGTAGTCGACAATGTTTTGCATTCGATGTCGCTGCTTGACCATGTCTGCAAACAAACACAATTTTTTCGGGCGAGCTTGGGAAACAAGAAAGAAAAAGCATTGCAAATTGAGCGTATACTGCACACAACAGTTGTAAATTGCGTCGAGACATGCGAGAAACGGGAAACGCTCAATTTTCGGTGAGATTTGCTCACGCAACTCACCTTCACACATTTCCATCCAAAAGTCGACTTCCATCGTCATCCTGTCGAGGAATCCAATGTGCGACACGTCCATGACGTTGAAAAATCCAGACATCTTTCTGTCGTACGCATGGGTGATGTTTCGGAGTCTCCATATTTTGGCGTGTTTCGCACCGTCAAAGTCATCCAGCGAATTGAAATAGGAGGGGATAAATAGCACCTACAACCGCAGAATGAGGATGAGGATGCGGATGACAGGTTGATGGGCGAAGGAAGAGGGAATGGGAGAGGACGAGGTAGAGGGAGGGGGAGAGGGAGGCGGGAAGGCGACCGTCCATGGTGAGGACGGACGAGACAACTGAGAGCTGAATCAGGCGCGGCTTCGTGTGGTGGCTCCTCCCCCTCCATCTCTCAAAGTGGGCGTGGCCTATTCCTCCCTCTTGAGGGACTCGCATCTGTCGGGTAGAATTGGAGAAAGGGAAAAGAAAGACGAATAAAGAAGACGTGTATTCAAACCGTGTCATGTGTTGCATTGTGAAGAAGGTCGGCGTATTTAGAGCACAAAAGGATGTGGCTCTTGCTAATGGACGGACAATAGACGAGTATTCTGGCGGCATTGACGATGAAGCAGGAGGGTTGTAGGAGTGCGAAACAAAAGAATAGCAGTGGCAACAAGTGGCCGTTGCCGCTCTGCTTCTTCATTATGTAGTGCATTAGCGAAGCACCTCAGAGTTTTTCACTAGAACCACTCGAGAAGCACGAAACACGTGTGTCGGACGTGCGCCACGAATATAGAATGTGGAATCGAATGGAAATGTATGTATGTATGTATGAATGTGTGTGTGGGAAGTGACTGGTATCGACACGTCCTGGCTATTTTTTGCTTGATAACAGTGGTCATTGACGATAACAGAGGTCACTTTCGTCGGGGGTTTGCTTGAGAAATTGCATCATGACATTACTATTTATTTCGTAATACCACACCAAAAACGGGTGTGATCATCATCATCATCATCATCATCATAATAAATAATATCAATGAGATCTCTGTAAATAGGGTCTGGTGTGAAAGAAGTTGTAACTTGAGCTTCGTAGATTTTTGGGTGGGAGAAAGACAGGGAGTGGAACAAATTGGATTGAACTGGCAACGCAATAAATTAGGTGGATGGGAAAGGAAAAGAAAGACACATTAACGGAAGAGAATTGAATAGAATAGTATCTAGAATTGGAGTATCGAGGACAACAACAATAAATTAGAAGTCATCTGTCGAGAGTTTGTATCAGGTTAACTTCCACTTGGTCCCCCCTCAAGCATGTTGACTTTAGGCCCCCTCAACTTGCTGACAGCACATCTCAAAGGGGGGTTGAATTTGTAATGAGGTTGCTTAGAGCCATGCGTGTCTTCCTCGTTCTGACAAATTTCGTTTCCCGGAGATTCTTATCTGTTGTGCCCGCACACACACATTTCTGAGCCCGTTGGGATTAGAAATTATGACTTCGGACCTCGGAAAGTCTTGTTTGTGTGTGTGTGTGTGTGTGTGTGTGTGGGTATGTTCCCAACGAAAAAGAGATAGATGGACGAAATTTGATACGGGACGACTACCACTGCCACTCACGGATGGGAATCGAGGATTTCTGAAGAAATAAGGACGGGGCTCAATGATCATGAGTACGAGGCGTGTATTCCAATTGCGGATTAGACCGGCTTAGTGTGATTGCAATTTGCACGTGATCCGGAAATTGAATGTTGAAGTTTACGACCGAGCCAGGAAATTGGCTCGATCTTTGACATGAGAAAGTATGATGAATATGGTAATTAGATTATACATTGGTCGGGAGGCAGACTAATGAAAAGACTAGCCAACTAGCCAACTAGAAAACGACCTATGCGATCTTTAATTACTTTTCTGCTCTTTTTATATCCCTCTTGAGAATGTTGAGTCATGCTTGATCATTTTTCCGAAAACACGTCTTTCTCAAAACGTGAGTGAGAAAAAGGGAAATTTGAATTTCGAGTGGTTGAAAGCCCATCACTTTTTCCCTCCCAATCATTCTTTCCATCTTCCTTCTATCCAGTCAATTTATGTATGTGAGTGCCGGCCTGCTGCCTTTTTTCTCTGGCTTTTTCTATTTTCCGCACCATAAAGAGCTCCGCTCCCCATCATCACCATCCTCTATTCGAAGAAAACGGGGCCGAGGGAGAAGGAGGCGAGCAGATCGGTTGGTCACCCGTGGTGCGAGTCAGTTAACCGTCAGTTGCCTTCGACAGATGAGTGAATACCAACTGTATATACAAAAACGGTGGGGGGTAGTCGGAAAGGGGAAATAAATAAGATGACCTAGAAGGGAGGAAAAACGACAAGACAAAGAGGACCTGAATTGTGGATTGAAACCAAACCGTTCTGACTACAGTGGTTCCGTGTCGATGAAATAACCATCTGCGAGAAGTGACGAGCTAATGAATGAAGAACACAGTGAGGTGGACGGTGATTGGCACTCCATTATCTCGGACGACCTGCCAAAGCACGGCTGCCCTCCGTGACTTGCCGGCGGGCTGACACACGCTCGTACTCTGCAATTCATTCCACTTTGGTGCCTAATTATTCATCGAGAAACTACACAAAGAGCAAATTACCCTGTTTGCTGTGCTAATTCACTATGAAAGCAACGGGGACCCAGTTTCAATTATCAACCTTTTGCGTGCCCTCTGTTTGTATGTGTCCAATTACTATTATTGCCCTAAGAGAAAGGAAGCATGGTTCAGTGGGCGAGCAGCCGGAGGCGGCTTGATGGATGTATTGAATTTCTGATGAGGGGCGTATAAATGCACTTAATTTTCTTCCCTTTCCCTTTAACGCTTTTCCGTCTTGCGACAGCTTTATGAATACATTAGCCTAAGTATACAAGAGTGTGTCCGTGTACGCAAGGGAAAACGTATGAAATGAGATCCCTATCTGATTCATTGCATTCTAGGGAATTGGAATTAGATAGACGAGGGGAGGGGACTTGCTTCTCGAATAATGCAGTCGATTCCCACATTTATTTTCTTCAAAACAAACCTAGTGCGTGTGCCAACGCCGCAGTTACCCATGCAATGTGACCATTCGTTCCATGCTGACCACTCGCCGTCACTCTCTGAAATCAAACCCTATTTGCTTCTTTTTTTGCACGGTATTAAAACGTAAAATTTTGCCAAAGCCATGCAAAACAAAAAAAAAGGAAGAGAGATACCGTAGTCACATGCAGGAAGATCACAAAGAGACGTTTGGTGTGCTAATCCTGTGCATGATTGTCCGCCTCTCGGTTCAGGAAAACTACACGTCCGATCTCGTGTTTGGACGCCAAATCCGCAAGATGCTGAGCAAGTTGTCCAGTCCGACCAACTTGACCAGCCGCCATCTCTTACTGGAAAATGCATGCAAGGGAAATGAAGTGAACAAAAAGTGGTGGAAATTGAAAAAAAGTGACAGTGATATGTATAAATAAGGAAAAACTGATGATATATATTGGATACTTTCGGTAAACTTACAATGACATCTGGCGGGATCGAAACATGGATGAAGTTCAAAATCTGAGCCGGAGCATTGAGCTCCACCTTGAGAAGGTTTCGGATTTGCGCAGAATCTGAAAAGCATCCGTTTGCAATTTCCAGTTCTTCCTCCACTTTTGATCGTTCCAATTATTCTACCTACCTTGTTCTGCTTCTATGACCATTCCTACAATAATCGGTACATTCACTCCATGATGTCCAGTCGGTCCATCCGCCGTCAACCTTCTCGTCACTGCACACATTATCCATCATGCATGGTCGCTGGTCAAATGAGTAGCCCGAACAATAGGCGCCGCGATTCGAGGGTATCGGTTCACTACACATGCGATTCCTAATTTGGTGTCCGGTATCTCCGCAGTCTTTCGAGCACGACGACCATTCCGACCACGTTGACCATCCGCCGGCAGATGGCGAACAACTCTATAAACGGTCTGTTGCAGATGGGAGGGAATTAGGCGGATGATGGGATTAACGTACACCAGGCGCGCAAGGGATTTGCTCTAAGATTGCACCCGCACAGAATCCTTGGACCGTCGGGTCGGCCACTTGACAGAAACGGCGTCTAGTGGAGGTTAATGAGAAGCAAGAGCACGCGCTCCACGAAGACCATTCCGACCAGTGCGGCGCGTCAAACGAATTTCCTGAGATGGCATTAGACAGACGGATTGAAGTGGTGCAGGGCGGCAGATTTTGACACCGTCTGCTCTCTGCGTAGCTTGAGCACTGAAACACACATATCATAATGTTTTTGAGCTTAAACGTACATCGGCATTGTTGAAAAGGCACAGTTTTTGTCTTGTCTGAACAGAATTCAATCCACAAGACTTTGAGCATGTTGACCAGTCACTCCATACGAATAACTCCAAACAACTGTTCAGATGGCATTCTTCCGTTTGAGTGTCCTCGTCAGAACAACTTCCTCGCTCGCATTCCCGCGTTCGTACACGTTTTCCGGAACCGCAAGTCACACTGCACGGTCCCCATTCGCCCCAGTTCGAAGATTGGATAGATTCGATTGGGAAAAGAGGACGACCAAACGCCTGAACCAAAAAAACTTGATTGAAAACAAAAACGTGTACTCTGTTCAGCGTACCTTTCTCAAATCATTACTCGTGATTATCTTTGGTCTTTTTGGGTGAATGGGGCCGAATGAAGTTTGCTCCCGAAGACATGCATTGTCGCAAGTTTCCTCGTCGATTTTATCTGAACTCTCTAGTTGATAGGGGAATCGAACAGTTATTTTGTTAACCTTGACAATTTTCAGTTGTTCCATCACACTTGGCTATTCGTTTTCTGCTGTCGAACGAAGAGCAAGTCTCACAGGCGGTCCATTCAGACCAAGCAGCATAGGAATGCTCACAAGGACCATTGACACAACGACGAAGTTGGGAGGAATCCGACTCGGTGCAAGATCCGCGACGGCACGCTCTTTCTCTCGATTGAGTTCCTTCTCCGCAAGTCGCTGTGCAGGACGTCCATTCTCCCCATTCGCTCCAAACTGCCACTGAGAATACGGATGGACATTGCTGAAAATCAACCATTATCCTTTTTTCTTTGAGCTGTTGACTGATACCTGTTGATTGCATGTCCTTGCTTGTTTGTTTGCCGTCGGACACAGTTGTCCGTCACACAATCTTTCCCTGATTTGGAATCCGATTCCACAAGATACTGAACACGGCAGCCAGTCACCCCATGATTGGGACACACATTTCTGAGTGTTACATGATTCCTTTTCAAGATCATCACCATCGCATTTGTCATCGAGACATTTTCTGAATGAGGTACTGGTTGGAAATCAGTTTTTCTCAAATACCGGATTCTATATCTGCGACCTCCACCACAAGATTGAGAGCACGACGACCATTCATCCCAGTTTGTCCAGCACCCTTCCTAAAGCAATATTTTCAGAATAATGGTAACAACATGATGCTCACGTTATCACACGGTCTTGTCTCCTGCAAATGCTCACTGGAGCAAGCATCAGTGAGACACCCACGGAAACGTTTTTGTATTCCGAGAGCACATCTCTCACTACATGCTCCCCATTCTTTCCATTCTCCAAACTCTTCACAGTCGCGTAGAATCCCTTCACACGCCCGAGATTCTTCCGACACTCCTTGACACTTTCTGCCCGATGAGCATTCACGCTTTCTGACTTGCCGACCACCGGGTCCACATGACACGCTGCAATCCGACCAGGAAGACCACTCTTCCCACTGATGAACACTTCGTCCTTCTAGTCTCGGGCAGTCTTCTTGTTGCTCCACAAGCGCTTTGTTGTCGCACGAAAGCGCTAGGCACTGTCCGCCGACGCAATAAGAGTCGTATCCACATGGGGTTCCGTCGGGGAATTGTCCTTTGTTTCGGATCAGTTCTGAGCCAATCAAATGACACCAGACACGGCAAGGTTGAGTTGAGTCTGCAAGTAAAAATTTGAACTGGCTAGTGTGTAGCAAAAAGTGAGTTGAAGTCACAAATTCTAAGTTCAGCTAGAACTACATAGTTTTCGTTATCATGGGTCGTTGAAAATGTAACTTACGCTCAAACCCTTCTCCGGTCAACTGTTGGTCGGGCTTGTGTGGGTCGTATTTGATGGAAGAACATATTTTACTTCCAAACTCCTCGCGAGTGAAACCCAAACAGTTACTGCTAGTGGCACCGCACACAATTCCTCGAATGTTTGCACCCTCACAACTTTTTCCGCCATTGTTTGGACTGAAATTGGAGTTTTAAATAGGAAACTATAAAAATGGTATAACATACGCAGGATTGACGCAATCTCGATGCTGTGCCTGTACAACTATGCTGCCGGATACTGCACACTGCTGTATGGGGCATCCCTTTTCAGATCCTCCCCAGTCACTCCACTGACCATCAATGGGAACTGGCGGGAGACCAAACAGCCATGGAGAGCATTGTCCTTTGCGACACCACTGAACCCATTTACTTTATATATGTTTGTTTTTCAAATGTTTCTCACTTTATCGGTTCCGCACCAACTTCCTTCCAGCGCCGGATGCGCCGTTGAAATGGTCGATCCGCTATTCCCACACCACAGAATACGGCAGATATCCTAAAGTCCGAATTTATGCATGAATATCTAATGAGCACTTCTCACATCCATCGCTTTTCCGTTGGGAATCTCGACCTTATAGTCGCGCCCCCAAAAGTACGAGCATTGCTGATCAGCAGTGAATCGTTGACCGGGTAAACGAGTGTCACTCAGATGATTCGTGGAAATGAGACCCGGGGACGCGTCTCGGAGGCAGTTGCCGCGACCCGATTCACTGAAATTAATCAGTTTGATATGGCGCAGGAAATGAAATGAAATAAACAAACTCCAATTGAAGCAGGAATGCGTTGAACTCTCTGACCGAGCAGTCCGACCAAGTAGTCTTTCCGGCTCCGTTCACCGCGGACATCAAACAACAACCCTTGTTGCATTGGTTCTGAACTCCGTCGTGCACCATACCCATACTGGAAAACAAACGTGATGTGTGTTTGGGAAAAATGAACTCACTTATGACCCATTTCGTGGGCAAGAACGAATGATCTTCCGAGATGGAGACCCTCGACAAGAGAACAAGCAAACAACGGATCACACATTCGTGCGACGGGCGCAACTCCAGCTACAGACGTTGTTGTGTGGTAGATATCGTAACCGGTGAGGAGTACTCCATGGTCCCAGTGGTTCATGTCTGTCAAATCTGTTCCGGGGTTCATGTGTGCTTGATAACGGCAGAAGGCGTCGAGAAGGCTCTGTGCTTGACCATTCTTGTGCACTCCTGTGCTCAAAGCGCTCTGTTAATGAAAAAAAATGATTTTCTCTCTTTAAGGCTATACTTACCGGCTGGGTTTTCCACATTTCATACCGAACAATAACAATATCCAAATTCGGGGTCAGCGTTTCTTGCTGGTACAAAACGTGCACATTATTGATCAGAGCCAACGAAAACTCGAGCAAATGTTGCTCAGCGTCTTGAATGTACTCCCTGAAACGTTAATTGACTTATTTCGTACATCTTCTTTTGAAACTACCGTTCAAAATGCTCAAACAGCTTAGAATCCAGAAACAACCCGATTTCAAGAGTGATTGGATCCATGTTCGGAAAAATGAATGGAGAATCGAGTTGGGCAGAAGTGGGGATGGTGTAGTTGAAATGAAGATGGGCTGGAATAGCTGAATAACAAACAATAGGTTAGGGGTAAGCGGGAAGCGGGGTTTGAGTCGGCGTTGCAACACATTGAAATGAAAATAATTGGAACACTCACTCATCGAGGGATCATCCAACTGCTCACTGGTATCACAGAACGATTCTTGTTCCTCTTGAAGTCTCGTGATTTCTTCTCTGATTTTGCTCTCCGCGTCTGTCAAGAGTCCCGCAGATCTTTTAAATACCAAGTGTCTTTCTTTCTGAAAAGATTTTTTCTACGGCCCGGCCCGGATCGTGACAACAATGATTAGGCCCCTTTTTCGTTTTTCGTTTTTCTTCGGCCGGCATCAAAGTAAGGAAAAAGCGAACGAAATGCTGGTAGCTGCCCCTAAGCGGCTTACAAACACCGACCTGAAGATGGTGAACCCGTTTGGGCAGCGTTTGCAGCACCAGAAAATGATCCTCCATCACAATCGAACCCATCAAAGCGCCACAATCGGATATGGCGGCTTTCATGTTCCCATGTGATTTGACTTCTCCCTACAAAAACGCAGTCAACAGTTACAGATCGATTTCAAAAGTCTTTTATTCCGTTTCCCGCACCTGGTAATGACACTGTTGGTAGTCACGGAGGCCTTCGTAAGTGGTGACGTCATTGTCGCCGTGTCGAATTACAGATATCTACAAAAACGAGACGATTCTTGGAGATGACTCATAAAGTGGTAGTTGTAAAAGTGTAAACGAAGTCGAAGCTTCTGAATCAACACTTTTCGCTGAATTCATTCATTCATTCTTCTTCTTCTTCTTCCCAGCCCAGACAAATTTAGAATGAAAGGGAGAGTGATAGGATCAAAGCGATATTGCGTAAGAAGAAGAAGAAGAACGTTCACGCAACACCCGCAACCCGATGGAAGCGAAAAAAGAGAAAGCTGCTAGGCACTATCCCTTTCAAGTCTAATGATAAGCTTCCTTTCAAGGAATCGAAGGTCATTCAAACATGCAAAACTTACGACGTGTGGGCTGACGATTCGCGAATTCTTGCGCAAATTCAGATGATACGTGTCATTCCAAGCGACAAACTTCATTTTGAGATCTCCATTTTTGAGCGGATGTCGGGTGGCTTCAATGAGACTGTACTCGGGAACCTGGAACATATGAAAATTTGAGGAGGCTGGGAGGAATATAACTTATGTACATCATGTTTGTTGGAGACACCGAATACTTGCCTGAGCTCTTCTTCATTCAAGTGATGGTGTATACTCTGAAAATTTGAGATTTTTGAAACGGGAACGTCTAGAAGTACAAAAACTTCTAAGCATTCTTGCTTATTAGATAAAGAAGGCGAGGAAACTGACCTGTGATATCCGAAAAACTGTGGAAAAGAGAAAGGTGATAACTATGAATAACGGTGGCATGTGCCGTTCGACGCGAATCGCTTCTCATATGCGGTGTGATCTTCCCTTCTTTTTGCCGCGTCGCTTTTCCGCGCACGATTCTGTCTTTTGTCGTCTGTGCGTCCTCTTCCGTCAGCTTTGACTTCTTCTTCGCCTTCTTCTTTGGTCACTTTGCCGTAGCCAGTTCGTTTCCAACCAATGGCAATCGCGTGTCAGACGTCTCCACCGAATCGCGCACTCTTTCCACTTTCTACTGTACAAAGTTTTAGTGTTGAAAGAGGATGAAGACGAGTAAAAGAGGAAGAGGAAGCACTTTTGGGGTGTTTGGCGGATAGGATAGGGATAATATCGGTTGAAATATTTGAAGAGTATGGCAAGTGGAACGATTTGAAGCTGGAAATGCTTTACATCCAGATATTTTCTGAAAAAAGCAACTGCCAAAGCCAAACATTCAAAAGTTTTGACTCGAAAAGTCAACGGCATCGTGCCTCTCGAAATCGGCATCGCCGGCGCGCATAATCGGCGAAAAGTTGAAGAAGCAACACACACTCTACTACTCACGAACATCCCAACCGGTTCGGTTCTTCCCACCCTCCTCCGTTCATTTCTCTATTATACATTTGACTCTTGAAATGGTATTTGAAGTGAAGTGACGATGAAAGAGGCGAGGCGGCCGCCGTGAAAAGAAAAGAAACGTTCAACCGGAGCACGCGTTCTAGACAAACAAAATCGGCAAGCAGTCTGTTTTTGCGAGATGAGCATGAGCAGTTTTTGATAGTTTCATTGGGAAAATCAGCATTTTAGCTGAAGAAATGACTGCAAAATGCTAGAATTCAATTGAAAAAGTTCCAAATTGCCAAAATCATCAAAATTCTTGTGAAGAGGAAGAGGAAAAAGCGAAAAAAGGAACACCGGGCGTTGAAGCGTTGAGCGTTGCGCAAGCCATGATTGCATCCATAAATTGGATGGTCAGTTGGAGATTCGTCTAATGTTACAATTTTCTGGTTTTTTGGACGGATCCACAGAAAAAAAAACGATAATCGGCGGCTGCTAATCAGGTGGAATTGAAAGTGAAATTGAATCCCTATCATTATTTGAATAGGGGTGTTGAAAAGAAAAAACCACAGAATTTCGTGACTTTTGGAGAACAGTGACGAAATGATGAATAATATAGGTACGCCGCGGCCGATTGTGTTCATTGTTAGCTGAAAGTGTAATAGTTATTTGGGAAATGATTTTTATTCTAGAAGATTCTCGTTTCAAGCGGTGAGTAATAAAGTCGATTCGAAGCTAGACTGTATGACGTGAAGGTCACGGAAAGCAAAGTTCAAAAGATACTGAAAATTTGACTTAAAACTCAAAAATCTCAACTACCTTTTTAAATGAAAATGATTCCCAAAAGCTAGCCTTAAAATCAGGCCAGATCCTCATCATTAGCTGTTGTGAAAATTCAGATTAGGTTGCTAATTGAAACCCTCGGACCGGTTCTGCCAATCGCCTTCTCAATTCTTCCCTTCTACTGTGATTCACAAATGCAAAACACAGAAAGAGAGAAGCCGAATTGGCATATATTATCGATATGCCAGATCATAACGATACAGTCAGTATCTGAAACTTGAACATGTTTCTCTTTCTCTTTCTCTCTCTCTCTCTTTCACTTGTTCGTTTCTCATTGTAACAAATGTAATGCAATCTGAACATATGTGTTGATAAGCGATGAAATGGAAATGTAATGATGATGAAAGGCGTGGTAGATATATGGAAAGGAAGAACGCTTAGCCGAAGCAAAAAAACCAAAGGGAAAACTTGAGGAAGACTAGACTGAACAAAAACTTGGTGTGCGCCCCGCAATTAATGGCCGTTTCGAAACGAAAAGCAAAGCATCATCCACCAGAATGTTTCGGAAATCAAAACCTTTTCTCTCTCTTCTTCTCTCTCTCTCTCTCTTTCACTGAATTGACAGTAGTAAAAGCATGGGCGGATCGTTGTGTCAATGTGGTGTCAGATGAGGTATTAGTTCGGGCCGGCAGTTGGAAGGAGAGATTAGGTTTTGGGAGGGGAAAAGACTAGCTGCAACCGGCCTCCGGTTGTCTGGACAATGAGAAGCAAGCGGTGACCAGTCTACCGGCTAGATGCCAATTCGCACACGAGCCTCCCCACCATTTGGTTACTAGTTTTTTGGATGGTTGGCTTCTCAATCGACTGCCGAAAATTCACTCTTCATGCGGTGAGAGTGATCGACAAGTGGATCAAAAATTTGCGATATTGCGGTTCGGATTATGTAGTACAACATTGGAAAAGTCTATCAGATTAAGGATGGGGGAGGAGACTTTGAAACACGTTTTTTTTTGTGTAAGCCTTACAGTTTTTAAAAACAACTTCAAGCTATAATCTAAGATTACTGTAAGTCACCATTACAATGGTAATCAGGCTTGTGCGAAAATGGTCGGTTGGAAAAATTACTCTTGCCGTGAAAAATTGTATCTGACTTTGACGTAGAGGCTGAAATTCACAAATTTGACTACCGATGTCTTCAAAATACTGTCAATTTAAAACAAAATTGGATTTTCCGATTTCTGATTTCGAGGTCTGAACTCGAAAAATTAATCGGACATGCATAACAATATACAAGCAAATATACGCGCAAAAACGCGTTGCTTCGAAACATTTTATACCAATGAAAGGTGTACTTTATGCAAATACCAGATGATATTCGGATGACGTGAACAGTCAATGCTACGTAATGGGGGAGACGAAGAAAAAGGAAGCAGAAAAAGAAGAAGAAGAAGCATGAAAAGGAAAAATGGGATGTTTCGTGAGATGAACAGTTTGTTCAGCTGACGAAACCACACTAAACGAAACCAAGAGGGGGAAAAAGGAGAATAAGAAAAGCAAGAGTTGTATTTTTCGTCGTTTTATTGTCGGAATCGAATCGAATCTGGATGGTACATTGTAAATAACCGGAGAAACCGCAAACGCGGCAAAGTGTAAGTCGTTTCCGGAAGATCTGAACACTTTTGGGGGTCTGTTCACAATCTCTGAACTTCTTGAAGGTGAGTTTGGATGAAGTTTTCTTAGATTCTCGAATTGTTTTTCGAGGTAGATAATCCGCTTTTCAGTTACCTTCTGCACAAATCTTCCCATAGATTTTGTCCCGACATTTTATTCTTCACTCTTTTGAGCAGGATTTTTCGCGCTTTTTCTCCCAAAGTTGTTAGATGAAAGAGCAATGATCTGCAATACTTCTCGAAGCAGTCAACAAATCTCATTTTCCAGTAATTCAACTCACTTCTCAGTACACCTGTTCTTAGCTTCTATTGGAAAACTTTGATTTAGTTGATCTCTCTTCTAATAATAAGGAAAAAGCAATCCGCTAGTAACAGCTGCCATTAAATAAAGATCACTTGATCGGTATTTTAGGATATTCATGAATAGTCTAGCAGTTTCCAACCTTTAATATTATGATTCTCATTTCTTCCGGACCACCTGTTTTGTGGGGCTTTCCCAGACCATCTGCTGCTCGAGCCTGCACTCATTATGCTCCTAGCCCGTGCTCAGCTCATTCATCCATTTTTTGTCTTTTTTTGTTGCATTGTACTCAATTAATCATTCTATTTCCACTTTTGCATACATCCATGTTTCCTCTTCCACTTCACTTACTCATCCGATTTTTGGTTTTTGACTAATTCCCACCACTTTATCCCGCGTTTTTGCATGTTCTTCTTGCTCCTCGGCCTGATCATCGGCGTAATCCCCCGTTTCTCGAATTTCTTATTAATCTTGCGAGTGTTCTACGAGCCGCGTTCACGTGAACGTGTCATAACAGCGCTGGCACATACACACACAGACACGTAGACTTCGCATACGTCAACATACAGATTGTTTTTGTTCAGAATAAGAAAGTTTTCAGAAGTGTACAAACCTACAGCTTGGGGTCTGAACCCGTAGAGTGAGCCAATACACATTTTCCATAGATCACAGCCATATTATCATTTGTTTTCCGTGTTTTGCTTTCACAACTTCTAAACCTGATTGTTTTGTTTTTGATATTATGCGTTTCCTTATTTCTCACTCAACGCGTCTACTTCTGACTTTCCGTTTTGCATCAGAAGAAACTTGAAGTCGACGACGTCGGAATAAATTGCATTATTACGAAAACACAAAAGTCACAAAGAAAACAGCATTCGAATTATCTGCCTGGTCCTTTTGCAAAAACAGAAAACAGAGCTTGGGCCGAATTTTCTGTTTTCCAAGCCTTTTGATCCTTTGCACCGCGAAAAGTGCACTGCTGATATCAGCCGACAGTTGGCGAGAGGAAGGCACATCCACAACACGTTTTTCCACTTGTTTTCACGTCAGTCACTCTCACTTTGCACCGATCAGACTTGATACTTACTCACATTTCCCTAGTTTTTCGAAAGGTTTTGCAAAGCAAAGATAGAGTGAAGTTGTCGGAATTGAGAAAACAAACTTTAATATTTTAATTTTGCCCCAAGCAGACTGCTCTTTTGATCTTTCCTGTAAAGCTTTGTAAAATGCGTCACCCAAGATTTTCGGTTTTCTGTAACGGATGTTTGCAATAATCCCGTTGGAGGCTAGAGATTACTTCGGATAAGAAAACGCGGCAACGATGACCTTGATACCTGCCGATCTTTAAGAATTCACATTGAGATACCATCCGAAAACAGCCAACGCACAGTTCAACTGGAGCAAAAAAGGAAACGAACGTCGTTTTTGTTTTCTCAATTCCCTCGTTCCCTCGTTCACTCGTTCAGTTTTTGTTCTTCACTTCTTTTGTGTGACGTGACGTCAACAACTAACTCGCAACTAGAAAGGTCAAAAACAGACAAAAAGGAGAGAAGAAGAAAACAAGACGACGAGGAGAAATTAGTTTTGTTGCCAAATGAAGAGTAAGTGAGGCAATGCAACATTTCTATTCTATTTGAAGCGAATATTATTCATAGCTGGAGTAGAAGTGACCAGAAAGAGACTCGCTTCTTCGTGTAACTTCGCAAAAACTTTTCGACAAGTATCTCTGGCGCTCGCCGCTTTCGTGCACTATTCCCTATCGATTATGTCGCAGTATACACTCCCGCCGCACACTCTCGCCCGAGCGCTTTTCTCTACGACCCCTTCTCTCACACCCAAGTTGTTTGTCTGCCGTCTCTCGCCTTTCGCCCTCCTCTAACTTCCTCTCTGTGTGTGGACCGAGTGGCAATGTAATATTGGCGGTTGACGATCGTCTCTCTGTCTCTTCCACTATCTCTCTCTCTCGCTCGCCGTGTTCACCTTTTCGGTTGCTTTTTCGGTTTTTGTCTTGTTTTTGTTTTTTTCAATAAAAGGTGAGAAACACACGCAGAACTAGATTTTGAATGTTATGTTAAGAAATTAGATAAGTAGAGAATTTGAATGGGAAATGTATGTAACAACTCAAACTCTATAGAGAGGGCACTGACGGGCGGTTCGCGTCGACCAGCCGACAACAAAGCACTGTCAAACACCAGTGACCTTATACTTTCGACTAGAGAAAAAGGAAACTACGAGAAAGTTCGTTTCTCCTTCTCACCGACTTATTTTGGTTTCCATTTTGCTTAGAAATAAACTGCCTACCACCTTTACCAGTTGTCAACGGCCTCTCAGTGCCGTACGGAGATTAAAAACCATATCGACATTAGAAATAGATAAACCACGGGTAGGATTTCTCATTTTCCAATTTGTTTTCCACACGTTCCCTTATAAATCTTGAGATATTCACCGGATTTCCGTGGCTAATGAAAAAATCATTAGAGCTGCGGAAGACGGGCAGGAAACACGAGTGGGCACTAATTTGTTCGTATACAAGATTGAGTCTACGCGATGACACTCAATAATAATATAAATATTTCCATTTCTATCGTGCCACAGCGCTTTTCTCCTCTCGATTGCGACGTTGATCACTGTATTATGGCGGTTAAAATTCAGTTTCGAAACCGGTTTTGTTCTCCGTTTCTCCAGTGTTTTCCGCTCGAATATCGAAAGTCCAAAGTTTCACTGATATGATCAACAACCTGTGTGTGGTCATGCGCAGCCTGCGTATCGTATCTTTTAGCATACACCATTATACTCGGAGTGGTGGTACGTGACATAGATACGAAAACGCAGCCAGACAGACTGACGATTCCCTCTAGAATATTCCGAATGTTTACTCCGATGTACTCGTGCTTCACCGGAAAAGCAGGTGCTATTTCCAATTACGGCTGATTTCACGCCTCTTCCCTACAAAACCATTCAGCAAATCAGTGAACCCTGAGCAGAAAACCACGACCTTATTTTGATCCCTTGCCGTCCGCAAATCTTAATCTAATCCGATTTGCATTTGCTTCCCTTTAGAAACTACGTTACACTCAAAAATAGTGCATCGAAACGATGATCTCAATATTCTTATCAAAGTCGCCATAATCTTTTTCTCGGTATGCCTACTACATACGTGCAGTCGCCGACGAAATTCAATGAGTAGCGTGAATTAGCAATTTATTCACGTGCATCTCATGTTCTTCTTTTCGTCCTTCTCCCTCCTTCATCTCTTTTCCACCCCTCTTAAAACTTTTCATTACTTTTCACTCGTTAACTATTTCTTCAGCTATGATGGCTTTTGGGGAAACACTTGGAGAATCAAACTATTCCCGACAGAAAGCGAAAGACTTGGCCAAGAAATTCCTTCCAGGTTTGTAACGTTTTTTTTTGGAAATTCGAAACAAAATATTCCATTTTTCAGGCGAATTATGCTGTGTTTGTGGAGATGTCGCATCTGGAATTCACTATTCGGTGCCTGCTTGCAACGGGTGCAAAACGTTTTTTCGTAGAGTCGTTTTAGAAGTCAGTTTTCTGTTTTGCACGTAGCACGTAAAAATCGATAATTTTCAGAATCGTACATATTCATGTAAAAATAACGGAGATTGTATAATTGACAAGTCGATGAGGTGTTCTTGTCGACATTGCCGGTACAAAAAGTGCATTGTCGCCGGAATGGATCGAGCAGGTATTGAAAATAGGTAAAATTTTCGAAAACCTAAAAAACCTGTTTAGAACTGAGCATGGAACGAAGGAGGAAACGAAAAAAGATGAATGGACTAGAAGGTTCCGAACCGAGTTGGGAAACTTGTGATCCGCTCATCAACCTGCTGCTGTCAAAAGAAACTTGGTACGTTTTCGCGACAAAATTTTAAAAAATTCTACTGAGCTCTCGTGTTCAGGTATCAAAAATTATTGCACTCGGCTGCAATGACGATCCACACGTCGCTGAGAGAAGCCCTGGACATGAACTTTATTGCGTTCAACGACAAAAATAACAAAGTACGTTTGTTAATGGTATGTTCTCCTAAAAATCGTACAATTTCGATTGATACATCGATAGTCTGCAATGATTCAGTCATTTTTCAGTACGACGCACGGATGGATCCAAAGTATCCCACAAATTTTTCGTATTGGAGAGCCAAAATCCTCACGGTGCTTGTGGAATGGGCAAAATCGTTTGAAGTATGCTTTTCACGTCTTTTCATTCACTAACATCGAACATTTTTAGGTGTTCAGTCATCTTTGCGCAGAAGATCAGAAACGGCTGTACATTCACACAGCTTTCTCGAACTTGGTGCTAGCAGAAGCATTCCACACGCCGGAAAAGTACACGGATAGGATAGTATTCCCAGATGGGCTCTGCGGGTACGTGACTTCCGCCCAAACATCAGTTGACTATGACTCATATTCAGATTCCGGAATGTAGCCCAATCAGTGTCAAGTGACGGAGTGTCGAGCAAAACATTTGGATTAACGCCCACGGTTGTAGCCGTTATAAACGACGTACTTGTTCCAATCAGAAGGATGAGATTGACTAAAGTGGAATACGTCTTACTCCAAGCAATCATCTTCTTCGATCCCGGTACGTTTTCTGACATTTCCTTGGAAAAAGCAAAAAAAAGCAAAAAGAAATCCGTCGAGCCGGATTCGAACCAGCGACCTAAGGATAACCACTGACTCTACAGTCCTCCGCTCTACCAACTGAGCTATCGACGGCACGAAAGCAGCGGAGACGGGTGTAGATGAAATAGAGGGGTAAAGGGAGGAGTGGAGGCCGTCTCGCAGCACTCTCGTTTCTCTGTGTGTGAGAGAGAAGGTGATGGTGGCCGAGTTTCGGTGGCCTAGGGTTCCCCATTTCTTTTTGTGACGACTTGGAAATGAAATTTGTGGTTTTATCGAGAGAATTCCGCAGTTTTTTTTTTGGAAAAAAAAAAGAAAATGAAAAAGGTTGTCCCTGCGAATGAAAAAGCCCAAAGGAAAGTCAAACTTCGAGTTTCCGCCAGGTGGCCAGGACTATAACCCAGTTACCAGTCTATGACAAATTGTAGTCTACGCACCTGTCACGGGATAACTCTTTTTGCGGAGCTAATCAAATGACTTTGCTCACATAAGTTACGAAACTGCAAGTCGTCGCGTGACGTGGAGCTGGACGATTTGAGACGATTGGACATCATCTGAAGACTAATCGGCTTTTAGATGATCCTCGCATTAGACCGATGGCATATCCGGTTGATCAACACATTTTCAGTATCTTAGGGAATTGAAACGTCTTACAAAACAGCAGAAAACAACCTCGATCATTTGCACCGTGACCGAAAGTGTTCTTTGGATACCGATGTTTGATTCCGATCTGTCTAAAACCGGTTTCTGAAATTTTTGAAGACCCGGAAGTTTTCTCAGGGTCAAATTGTTACAAAAAGTGCAAATTTTGTACGTAGTTGACCCCGATGCGCTGTTACACCGATAAGCGCGATCATTTGAACATATATATATCCGAAGTGAGAAATCGAGAAATCATATGAACACATTTGAGAAATCGAAGTCAATTACATCTAAAATGTGTAAAGTGATCTCAAAAAGAATCATAAACCTTTTTTTTCAGATTGTTTGTCACTAACTAATCATGGATCCCAACTGATTGCCGCCAAAAGAAAGCGGTTATTGAATTCCCTCCAGCGTTGGCTCCAACAACAGACAAAAGATGCCAACGAATCGGCGACCAGATTCGCCGAAATTCTGCTCAGAATATGTAATGTACAGGTGAGTTTTCAACTGAACATGATCATTGTTCCATTTTCCTCGTATTTTAATCTCAGTCGCCAGAAATACGAACGAAAAACATAATATTCTATGGGATTATTGTTATTTCCACAGCTCATTTCAAAAGTCATATTAGCCAACAGTTCAATGATTTTGTTGTGAATATCACCAAAAGAGGATACAATTTTCAGAAAGTGGCAGCGTTCAAGCGTGAAACGTTGTGCACTATCGAAACGTTCGAACTGATGCAGCCTCATCCGTTTACAATGGAGATCTCGAAAAGTTATCCGGAATTCTCATACTTCTAAGAGTACGGTAACTATGTATTATCGAATTCTTTTTCTGCCGTCTTTACCTTTAGCGATGATTCGATCCGGTTGCAGTATTTCCGCGGTAGAATATATGTAGCATCACTTTTTAGCGATTTTTTTCTAATTTTATGTATTACTCGAAAGACCTACCTCAGTTTGAAAGGTATTTGTTGCTCACAGTTTATTGTTTCATCAACGATTCGAATTGGAACCATTTCTTTCTTTGCTTGTTCTTTCACTTCTTCACTTTTGTTGTTACAGTCATTTCATGGCCTCAAACCTCCTGAAAATGCTTCGAGCCCTCCCACTTTGTCCCTTTCTCCTCATGTTCTCAACGGGTCGATTCTCCGTTTTTCTCAAAGACAGTCTCTTCTGTCCGTCCATTTCTCCATCATTCCGTGGATCTCTTGTCATAGTCAGTTGCCAATCGTTTAGTCAATCACTAACTCTTTCCCACATCAGTATCATGTTGAAGGTCGTGTGATAAGCCCCTAAAATTTAATAAAAAGTTTTCACCGAGCCGGCTTCTGATTTGATTTCACTACCGTAGTGCATGACGCGCACCCCGAAATTGAATCATATTGCCTATTATTCTCATTATTGTGTGCGCGCTATAGGAATCAGAGGCGGAGCAAAGACTCGGCCCACTTTTTCACCGCCCGACTGCTTCATTCGACATCTGAGCAGTCACTATGATGAGCCGGAACGTCTTCTTTCTCGGTAAGTCACTAGAGTGGGTCCGAACAAACAGTATAGGAAATCGTATAGACAGCGATTAGTACACCAACGTTTTTTTTTCAGTTTTCCTCTCGGTCTTGCTCATCTCGAGCTCCGAAGCTCTCCGTGGCGCTCTCTTCCGATCGGGACGTAGCCTTTACCAACGCCAAAACGCTAACGCGATCTCGCTCACTCAACCACACGTTTTCTCTTCTGACAAACGGTCCCCGGTGAGATACTCAAGATAACTGAAATCTGATTAAAACTATTTTTTCAGATACTGGAAGTGTACCCCCTGGTCGATTCAGCAAACTCGGAACCGGAAGTCTACCCGAAATACTTCAGAATCTAACCGTTTGTCAATTCTTTGTGACCAGTGTGGTCTAGTGCAGCAAAAATAACCGAATATGTTGAAAAAATGCTTAATTTTTATGTTTTATGCATAAAGAATAAACGGTTATGTGAACGAAAAGAGGAAAAAGAATCTGCCCCATGCCAGGCTCGAACTGGCGACCTTGGCATAACCTATAGACTATAAGTACCACGCGCTAACCAACTGCGCCAATGGGGCACGCGCATTCAGCTCCTGTTTTTCGTTGAAGGGAACACCGAGAGGCGCGCGCACTCAATACTGAATATGCATGCTTCGACGTGTTTCAGCAACGTTTTATGCACGTTCCGGGCAATCAAAACATATTTGAGACCAACAAACATCGCTTCTTTTTCTACAATGTTGGTGTTTCTTCTCGTTTTTTTTTGCTCAGTGAATCAAAATGAAGAATGAAAGTAATATAGATGATATTTAGAAACTTTCGTAGTCTTAACAACTCCCCTGTGAACAAAATTTTGTTTTCTAGCAGGATAGCAGGATAGTTGCTATCACAACAAACGGAAATATTAGGACTATTTTGTGTGGGATGTTTCTCAGGTCAAAAAAGTCGATCCCTAACGAAATTGCTGTGTGACCAACCAGAAAAGCGGCTGATTGCAGGGACTTCAAATGATAATTATCAGTTATGAAATTCTTGTTTGTCATTTGTTACCATGTTACATATCCTGTATGTGTTTAAACTAACGTCCATACTCACTTTCATTCACAGATTCTATCTATATCTGCCTTCATACTAATTCTTGTTTTTGACAATAAACTGTGCCTCGATTAAGTCCCCTCTTTTTGAAGCAGTTTCAGCTTTGACCCGTTTTGTCATAGCTCCATTTGCTTTGATGAGAACGTAATTCCTTGTGAAGCAGTCTTTAGAAAGCCCCCGCTTCCGTTCTTCGCCGCGAGGAGGCATGAAGAACTAAAAATTGGTCGACTTCTTGAATAGCAATAACGTCAGAGGGAGGAAGAGAGAGAGAGAGAGTTGACTTCTTGCATAGCAATAACGTCAGAGGGAGGAAGAGAGAGAGAGAGAGTTGACTTCTTGCATAGCAATAATGTCAGAGGGAGGAAGAGAGAGAGAGAGAGAGCTGACTTCTTGCATAGCAATAACGTCAGAGGGAGGAAGAGAGAGAGAGAGAGTTGACTTCTTGCATAGCAATAACGTCAGAGGGAGGAAGAGAGAGAGAGAGAGTTGACTTCTTGCATAGCAATAATGTCAGAGGGAGGAAGAGAGAGAGAGAGAGAGAGAGCTGACTTCTTGCATAGCAATAATGTCAGAGGGAGGAAGAGAGAGAGAGAGAGAGAGCTGACTTCTTGCATAGCAATAACGTCAGAGGGAGGAAGAGAGAGAGAGAGAGTTGACTTCTTGCATAGCAATAACGTCAGAGGGAGGAAGAGAGAGAGAGAGAGCTGACTTCTTGCATAGCAATAACGTCAGAGGGAGGAAGAGAGAGAGAGAGAGTTGACTTCTTGCATAGCAATAATGTCAGAGGGAGGAAGAGAGAGAGAGAGTTGACTTCTTGCATAGCAATAATGTCAGAGGGAGGAAGAGAGAGAGAGAGAGAGTTGACTTCTTGCATAGCAATAATGTCAGAGGGAGGAAGAGAGAGAGAGAGAGAGAGCTGACTTCTTGCATAGCAATAATGTCAGAGGGACGAAGAGAGAGAGAGAGAGAGCTGACTTCTTGCATAGCAATAACGTCAGAGGGAGGAAGAGAGAGAGAGAGAGAGCTGACTTCTTGCATAGCAATAATGTCAGAGGGACGAAGAGAGAGAGAGAGAGAGAGCTGACTTCTTGCATAGCAATAACGTCAGAGGGAGGAAGAGAGGGAGAGAGAGCTGACTTCTTGCATAGCAATAATGTCAGAGGGACGAAGAGAGAGAGAGAGAGAGCTGACTTCTTGCATAGCAATAACGTCAGAGGGAGGAAGAGAGAGAGAGAGAGAGCTGACTTCTTGCATAGCAATAACGTCAGAGGGAGGAAGAGAGAGAGAGAGAGTTGACTTCTTGCATAGCAATAATGTCAGAGGGAGGAAGAGAGAGAGAGAGAGAGAGCTGACTTCTTGCATAGCAATAATGTCAGAGGGACGAAGAGAGAGAGAGAGAGAGAGCTGACTTCTTGCATAGCAATAACGTCAGAGGGAGGAAGAGAGAGAGAGAGAGAGAGAGCTGACTTCTTGCATAGCAATAATGTCAGAGGGACGAAGAGAGAGAGAGAGAGAGCTGACTTCTTGCATAGCAATAACGTCAGAGGGAGGAAGAGAGAGAGAGAGAGTTGACTTCTTGCATAGCAATAATGTCAGAGGGAGGAAGAGAGAGAGAGAGAGAGAGAGCTGACTTCTTGCATAGCAATAATGTCAGAGGGACGAAGAGAGAGAGAGAGAGAGAGCTGACTTCTTGCATAGCAATAATGTCAGAGGGAGGAAGAGAGAGAGAGAGAGAGAGCTGACTTCTTGCATAGCAATAATGTCAGAGGGACGAAGAGAGAGAGAGAGAGAGAGCTGACTTCTTGCATAGCAATAACGTCAGAGGGAGGAAGAGAGAGAGAGAGAGTTGACTTCTTGCATAGCAATAATGTCAGAGGGAGGAAGAGAGAGAGAGAGAGAGAGAGCTGACTTCTTGCATAGCAATAACGTCAGAGGGACGAAGAGAGATAGAGAGAGCTGACTTCTTGCATAGCAATAATGTCAGAGGGACGAAGAGAGAGATGATTGAGAGATGGGTAGAAATGAAAAAAGACGGCAATAGATAAAATGATTATTACTGCCTTTATATACCCCCTGTAGGCGTGGCTACTTATTTTAGTTAGTGGGCGTGGCCACTGCACCTGGCTTTTCCTTGTTCCTGTTGTGGGCCTGGTATACTTTCCCATCAAACTCCTTTGTCGGCGTTCTTATCACTAATCTCCGCCTTTAATTAAGACCGCAGGTGTGGAAATGTGAGCTCCAAGTGGATTTGCGGCAAGTTTCGAAGAAGACGACTTAATTACAGACGGAGATTAGTGATAAGGACGCCTATAATGAACTCCGATAGGAAAGAACGATTGGGATTTCGAAACGTCATGGCACCGTGCCAAGAGGATTCAGAAAAATAGTGATGAGGAATGGAAGGATTTCCGATTTCAAATGCAAGCATTCAACACAGAGTCGATAGTCCGATCGGTCTGTAACCTGGACCCAATACATATACAGGGGGTTTCTTCAATGACTTCAAATTGGAATGTGGATGTACTTGAACCTTCGACTGAAGAACGCCCCATACAGAATAGTTAAAATCCGGTGACGACACTGGCCATTCAGAACTGCTGATGAAACGAGAAAAGTTGTCATTTGACACCTTTTTTCTGCTTTCAAAAGTTCTGTTCAACAATTCTCGTTGTATTTCCCTTGGAAGCTATGATCTACTTCGTCAAAGGCTTTCTTGAAGTCGAAGTAGATGATGTCTTGGGATTTTTTAGGATTGTATGTACGTCACATCGTCAAAAACTTGCAGTTAGTTAGAAGCCACAAACCTTATATGTACACAGTTTATGTCTTCCTTATTACTAAATTACATAGATTTTGTTGAATTTTCACAATTTATTGAAGCGAAGCAAAAACCTTTGTAAAACCACATTACCAGAAAAGAGGTTCAAATCGATTCTAGAAGAGCATTTTAAAAGTTGGATAGACAAGCGATGCGGAAAAATGAAACTATTCCAAATGACGAGGATTTCCGACGTATGAAAATGGTTCCTAACAATTGAAAAATGAAAAGGTCGGGTGAAGTCTTGCGAATATTGTGGGGATACAATGTTGTTTTTGAAAACTACGGTAGTGTAGTCACAGTTGTCAAGGAAACGGTAATAAATGGAGAGGCATGTTGAAAAAAAGGAAACGCGTTTAATTGTAGTAGGAACGAACATTTTCGACGTGAGTGCGGCTGCAGGAAGGCGTGGCCGACGTGGTCAGGACTCTTCTGTTTGTGAACGAAGTGAAGTCCTGGAGTGTGAAAGCGAACAATTCGTCTTCGTTGATCTCCTTGTTCCTGTATCTCTCGTGCTGCAGAGCAAAGTGAACATCACGCTGCTCCTCTCGGTCCACAAACACGTCGACACGCATTTCTTGGTACAGGAAGAGCGCGTAAATAAGAAACTGGACGAGTTCGCCGACTTTGGAACGTTCCTCAACACAAGCAGACGACGGGCAGCGCACTTGGGCTTCACTGATTTCTCTCAAGAACAAGATCTCGGTCGCGTGCGTTTTGTGCCAGATCGTCTCCAAGAGGGGGAAACGGACAGGATTGTTATCGGCGAGCTTGAGCACTCGGTGAAGAATGGTGAACACCTCATAATAGTCCCGCACGATCTTGTCCAGGTCAAAGCGCAATACTCCAGTTTCAAACTTGTTAAAGTGGAACTTCATCTCGAGATTCTCGCCGAACATCATGTGATAGAGTCCTTCGACTTCGCCCTGACTGGTCGTTTTCACTCCACGGCTCGTGTTGATTCTTCCCTTGTTCTCGAAAGCTTCTGGAACAATATTAATCAAAATTGGATTTGGAATGATCATCTGAATACCTGGGAGAATGCGCATTTTCGAATAGGCGACGGCAAACTTGTTGCGCTCAGCTGGTCGAACCTGGTACCGCATCCAGCGGTAACCGACAACTTCCGGCTAAAATGGAACTGTATGCAATCTCAGACCAATTTAAATTTACCTTCAGATGTACAATACCGAAATATTTTTCGAGGTTCGCATGGATAAATTCTTCATTGTTCACTACCGGCTTTTTCGAGTAGACCATAATCTCAGCCTCGCACGCTTTTATCTGCAAAATTCAGATCTTACACAATGAAAGCACACGGTTCAATATGGATTTTATGGGACCGCCGGACCGTCGTGCGCAGACGACCGCGAAAGTAACAAACACATGTACTGTGTCATTCTAACATGAATTACCCACCAGATCTTTCGAGTTCTTCAGTTTTTCGTTGACGAAAATGATCGCTTCGTGAACGGGCGAGAGTCGCAGATGTTTCTCGAAGACGACAAGAGCTAGGTCTCGCTGTTCATCGGCACTCAGTGCCCCCTTTGCCTTCTTTGACTTCTTCTTCTTCTTTTTCTTCTTCGCAACTGTTTCCGACGGACCTTCCGCTGACTCTCCCGTCTCGGAGGCTTGCTCTGAAGATTCTAGAACCTTCTCAGTCTCGCTGTCAGAATCCTCTGCGAGCAATTTCTTGAAAATGTCCTTCTCCATCTTTTCTTTGGATTGTTTGTTATTCTCGGCTACCCTCGTGGAACACCAGTGCATGGGATCATCAGGAAACGTCTCGAGAGTGCCATCCAAAGCTATCTCAGTCGGCGCTTTTAGGGAATTCTTCTTCTTTCCTTTTCCCATCTGTAAGAAAAACAGAAAACGATTTGGCAAACCGGAGAAAAACGAGAAATGGTAAGGGCACGACGGTCGGATGGTTTATTGTGATTTTGATTAGCATGCATAGACTAGGCGAGAGTGTTTGTGCATACAGAGCAAAGAGAGGCGAACATGTGGACGGTGCCCCTTTCCCCCATAAACGGAGACTGTCCTTGCCAACGCTCCCCTCCCGATTGTGCTGCCCCCTCTCTTGTTTCCCTCTTCTCTGACTCAACAGTTCACGGAAAAACATTTGACAGCTACGATTGTCTATTCGACATATTCCTCCACTTCCTTTTCTCCATCTCAAACAGTTTGTTTCCTTTTTTGCGACTCCGCCTGTTTTTATCTCCTCTCTTTTCGTTCTAGTCTGCACAGAACGCATTCCACAACCACTGTCTTTCATATCTCACGTTTCACGTTTCTCGCGCGCACGCAGTAGCAGCCTTTTAGACAAAAACAACAGATTTTGATTTGAATTCGAATTTGAAGCTATCAAAGTGTTTGCCAATTACCTTGAGAGGATAGCGTGCACACATTTGAAAATATCTCGTTCCTACTGTACCAGAAAATTCAAAAAACATGTGATCAATGATTTAGTCTTTTCAAAAGTACACAATCTTTGAAATTATCTAAGCCCCTATTCCACTCCATTTTTCTGTCTTATAAGAACGAAGCACTTCATTCTTTCCTCTTTCTGACTCCATCAAACCCACCTGGCTATTATAATTGGTGAGCCAGCCAATAAAAATAATGAAAGGTGCGGGTACCAAGGGCAACAGAAAAGAGGAGGAAGGAAGGAAGTGTTCTGCAAAGGCCTCTTCCTAGAAACCTTGTTTTCTGATTCCTATATGTAACAGTACAGTAACGACACACTTTGAATTTCAGATGTCTATCCAACTTGGGTTTGATCACCTTATCATCGACAACGCGCTCGTTTTCGTCAAGGATGTAAAAGAAAAGAATATCATTCTGCTGAGAACCGACAACTGCTGCTTCGAGTTGGAGCTGTCGGTAAGTAGTGAGAAATTGAAAAAACGAACAACTGACAAGGTGGTAATAGTGAACGTACGGAGAATGACAGTCAGAAAGAGGCGTATGCAACAAATCATCGGAAATGAGTTCTCTGCCTGATAAGACCGGTTTGAGTGGGGATAACCAAGTAGCAGCGAAAGTGAAAGTGAGAAGGAAAAGGTACGATATTTTGTTTATTACGAACCACTCGTCAAAGATCAGATACAAAAAAGTTCAGTTACAGTAACCCAAAATATCGTTGCAGAAAATCGCAGAGACGCTCTACTACCGTACCCACCACTTTCTCTGCTTTTTGGTAAGGTTTGAAAACAACAAACGTTTGTTCAAACGCGTCGAACGTTTCAGGGAACCCCGGATGCCTCGACTCACAGATATTTCCATCACGTGGTCGATCTAAGAAGAGGCAATTTCGACCGTCTGGAGTACATCATGGTCAACGCCACCACTCCGTACCATGAGGTTTGTACAAAAATTGGGTTGGGAAGCGTAAGAATCGCAAATGACTCATTTTGCAAACCGACAAAACCATTTCCGTGCGACAGAGGCTACCGAACACATGGAAAGGGCACGAGTACGGAAAAATCTGCAAATTTCATCTTGAATCTTGGTTAGCAATTCTACAAAGTTTTCAGCGAATGAACGGTCTCCTCCTTGAACTCCTGGCCACCTCCCTCTACAACGAATCGCTCGCCGAGCACTACCTCGAGATGATCGAAAATGAAACCATCATCGAAGGAATCTTCGCCGATCAATACGTCGACTAACGCGTCCGCCGAACTATGTACAGATTGCCAACGATTCAACTCTTTCTCTCTTCAGAGATCCCGTCCGCATAATTCTCGTTCTTACTGTACTATACTGTGTCAAAATACCGTTGCATTGCAACCTGTTAACAAACTCACAACTCTATGCACTTGGCAAGTTGAGAAAAAAAGGAGAACTGGTGAAATGTAAGCACAAGTGTGATAACGGCTTCAAAGTAATGTCGAAGCCGGAGGTAGCTGTCAAAATTGAATGAGAGTGCGATCGGAATAGATAAGAACAGTGGGCGGAGAGCTTCGAAAGTTCTTTCTCGTCGTATCATTTCAAATCACAATCATTCTATATAAACTAGCTCATTTACTATTCATTTGATCATTCAGCCTTATCACTATCAAATTCTCAATTTCTTCCTACTTCAATTCTGATTGAAATATAGTCGCTTCCTCTTAGTTGCCCTTATTCTACTATCTTGGCGCGGATCCCCTCTCGTTCTGTCTCCACTTCCCCTTTACGAATTGCCGATCAGTCGTCGCGACCGATTCGACAAAAGGTGTCTGCGCCCCATTCGGAAATTGCTTGTCTGCCTGCGGCCGGCGTTGATAGGAGAACATGGAATGCTGGTCGCCGTCTTTCGCCTATCGGTTATCAACAAAAAGAAAAAAGTGCGTTTCGGTTGGTGATAATGACTGGATAGAGAGTGAGTCGAGTCGTCCTCTGCGGCTTCGCTCATTCATCAAGTTGATGTTATCAAATGGAAATTTTTGGCAGTTGGATGAAAATTTTTCTACATGGGACAGCCAAGCGAATAGGGAAACGAATAGGGAGATTGGCAACGAATAGGCAACACAGCAACCAATTTTATCACTTCAATTCGATACATAATAGTAGGGAAACGAAAGCGAGCAATTTGTTGAATCGAATACTGTCGTATACCGTATCGCCAGCGCAAGCATCTCCTACAGATTTTGTTGTTAGTGATCCGTGTATTGTTTTTGATGATTCACCAAAACATTATGATGTCTTCTTCGAAAAATTGAATTCACTACCTTTCGTATAGTTTTATGATTGTTGGAAGTGAGGGACGTTATTTTCCGGCATGAGCTTTAGCCGTTCGCTAAAATATTCGTAAATTCTTCAGAGTTGGAAAAAACGATTCCGATACTACTTTCCGCAACTGCCGGACGTCTCGAAAGGGTCTTGGCCTTTTCCAAAAATACCAAATTCTTTGCCGAAAGTGCAAGACCCTTTTTCTCTGCCCTCAAGAGTCCGCTTTTTCATCAGTCTCTCTAGAACATTTTTTCCATCAGGCGCCTTTTCTCCCTGCCGTTTCCGCATCCAATTTGTTGTGCACACGGCCGCGGCGGCACTTGTTGATTGGCGTGCTGTCCAAGAGAACATTATTCAGGCAAGCGAGGAGAGTCCCCTCGGGGGACACACACAAGCAGCAGCAGCCGCATGAGGACCCAGAACGGGCGGTGCCGTGCGGTGTCTTGCCGTTCGTGCGATGCGGAGTCAAGCGCCGGCGCCCCGCGTCCCCCCGCTCCCTCTCTCTCTCTCTCGTTCCCGTCTCCGCGTTGGAAAGCAGCGAGAGTTCGGGGCGCAACGAGAGACGTAGCCGCCGCCTCCCACTTTGACAACAAAGGCGAACGAACACACGAACATTGAAAAAGAGAAGAGTGATCCGAGGAGGAACGAAATAGTGACCCACTGACCGTTCCCCGACTTTCACTCAGGCCAACAAAAACGACAACGCACGCAATTTCGAATTTACCCAGTCGTCACGAAAGACAATTGCCGGATAGACATGAAAGAAATGAAAATGAAATGAAGAGAAGCTATGAAAAAGAAGCGGCCAACAGAACCTGAAATGTCCTTTTTGGAAAGAAGACGGACTCAGCTTTCCGGGGGTGTGCAGGATCATCAACCAGTAATTAATTGTTTTTTTGAAGAGGTCTCTGCTCATTTATTTAATCAAATTATAAAGTAAATTTTTGCATCCGGGTTCTCTGATCTGAAATCTGAAAAAGTTTGTAATTTGATCTCATTCAGAAAAATTGCACTCCTATTAGTTGTCATTATTACAATATCGCTTGTGATTGTGATAGTGACAATGACAAAACTTGTTTAGCTTCCAGTTTTTTCGTACTTTTGAAGAGTGTTCTATGTCTTTACAACTTGTACCGACTTCACAGCCAGCCGACTTTAATACAAAAGATCTCGTTAACTTTTTAATTGTCGCGTGCAGTCATTTTGAGGGGCTAAAGTTCATATCTTCATTTCATGGAAGCCAATTTATCTCTTATTCCTACGCAAGCGTCTTATCTCTCCAGAATGCCTTCTATTTCTGCATGCACTTTTAGTCGCCCCCTCTTCTCGAGAGGGGGGCACTATCTCTGCGTCTCTCTTTCTCGCGCACTATTTCTCTGCCATTGGCGCCGGGCAGGAGGGGAGCAGGCGGCTTAGCGCAGAGCTGGTACTGACTGATACTGAAACATGGGCATGTGCGGCCGAAGACGCGGCGCCTCACGTCGCTTGCTCCCTCCGGAGCGGCCGAAAGAGGCGTGCCCGTTTTTGCACACTCTCCTCAATTTCAATACATCCCTCACACAAGAGGCCGAAAACACATCTAAAAATGCACGGCGTCACGGCGGAGATAGCGCGCGTGTTGCAGAGGGGCGAGAGGAACGGGTTCGCCAAAAAGTGCATACGAACTTGCGAGTTGTGTGTTGCGGAGACCGCGGGCGGTGCCAGTCCGCGTGTCCCCCGCCTCGGGACGGGTCACAAACGAACATCTGATAGATGGGTGGGGATGAGACGCAGAGACTGACTGCACCGCCAGTCATTTCTTCCTATTCGTCGCGATTTTATAGAGGAAGAGAGGAAGGGGCTAGGCGTTCGGTAATTTTGTCACACATCCCATTGCTTTCATTAATCTATCCTATTTTGTTTTTTAGGTTCTAGCCATCGACGGGATACGGTAGACCTATGTCTGTTTGTTCGAGTCGTGCTCTGCTTCCCCCGTTCGTTCTTCTCCGTTCGTCTGGCGATGAGAGGGTATAAAAGGCTAGACCAGTCTTAGTCGCTCAGTTTTTTCACCCGTTCCACCATCCCTTCCCTTTCGCGTTCGTGTTCATCATTCATCTCAAAGCGGCCACTATACGATTCTCCACCTCTCCTTGTTTCTCCTCCATTTTCCAGCTAGCAATAACAAACTTCTTCTTCGCAGTAGTAATCGTAATACTGACGTGTTCGCAGTGCGCCCTCCCAGCTTATAGAAAAACAAGTGGGGGTGGGAACTAGTGCGTCGAAATAGTGACACCGTTCCAGAGGGCGCCAGACATCCCCTCACCGCAGAAGCGAAAACATCAAGCTCCTATCTTGTCCTATCCTTCATTTCTTTCTGTTTTATTCTCAGAGGCCTTTTTCAGTACTATTAATCTAATTTCAGGGTTCTCCCAATGACATGGGCTCATTAGGCCTCGCTCTTCCAGTCCGCGACTTGTCGCAAGGTAGTTCAAAACACAAAAAAGTAATTTTAATGACACGTACTATATTTATTTCAGACAGTCAGTCGTAAGCGGGACGACAGCTGGTTGAAGGCTAAACCAACAAGCCCAGTGTTGTGATCGGTGCCGCGGTGTCACCCAAAAAAACAATTGTAGCGACTTCCTTGGAGTATAGTAGGGGGCAATTTCATTCCAACTTTTGATATAATAATCGAAAAACAAATGGAAATAGTCCACTGTCACATCGCCACTAATGCCACACTGTAAAGTTCGCCGAACTGCCGGTTTTCATTGTAAGTTTATGAAAGTAGTCGTTCATTTTATAAAAATAAACTTTCAGCGCGCATGGTGGCGCATCATACACAACGACTGGCTCACTAGGTGGTCCGTTCCGGAAAAGAAAGTGCTGTCTTCCCGCCTCAGGCCGAGTTGAGCTCCGTAACTGATCAATTGCTGTATGGTGGATCAGTGACCATAACAAGTATGCACAACCTCTTCGGACTTTCTGCATCTATGGTGGCGCTGTATCTGATTGTTGTAATGTTAGATGAATGAAAGAAAGTTGGGAACCAAATTCGTGTTTTTATTGTTATGGTACACGTTTTTCAGCAGATTTAAAGATTTACAGGCAGTTAAACCAATCATTGGAAAGAGATCTTGGATACCCAGGTTCTATTCTCATCGGATCCCCAGAAATCCTCCAGTACTTGTCTGCGTGAAACAGGAATGATGACTTTTCGTTGAACCGGAATGCTGCGTCGATTTCTGGAGGATAATCCTGAAACATTCAAAGTTCTGTTCTGTCCTTTTTCAGACGTTCGAATGCTTGCCTTGTAGTCGAAGATTGATAAAATTCCTCTCGGCCAATATTTGCTCTTTCCATGACGTGAATACTGCCAAAAATAGGACTCTGAAATAAAGTTCGGAGTCGTCGTCTTCAAAAATGTTGTTTATTAGTCTATTGATTGGCAAAACTCATTTTTTTCCACTCACTTTTGAAAAAGTATGGTTTGTCGTCCTCATGATAATACAATGCTGCACTTATCCCATCTGGAGTTTCCGTCAGCCCAGTCGATATCTTCTTCGGATACCCGGACATCAAATCTCCGTGTTTTGTCATTACCCAGTAGACTTCTTTCTGAAAACGACAGCTCAACCAATTTTATCGAGATTTTGCCACTCAAGCCTTGAATAAGTACACATTTCCATGGCGGTCCGTGGTTGCAGCTTCAATTGGGCCATCAAATGGAAACACTCTGTTGATTTTCATCGGAATCAGCCGTTTTCGATTTGTTTTCAGTTCGAAGAAAGTGTCACCTTCAGAAGAGTATTGATACGACTACAGTTAGTTTCATAAGTATAGGGCCACCCCCTAAAATTGAATATATCGTCTTTCCCGAACAAAATACAAAGGCAGGACTTTGAAAATCGAAATCAGCATCACAAATAACCCCCGGAAAACAAGTTTGAGAGCAGTGCATAGGATAGTTGGGGAATGAGGCTGAAATATCTGAAAATGTTGCATCTGCAAGCGGAAAGATTCAATTTTTGGGGTTGCCCTATACTTATGAAACGGACTGTAGTGGGGGATGATAAACAACCTCGAAAGGCAAGAATTGTTCCGTTTTTCAGTTTGGTGACCGCGTCCAAATACGGTTTTGTGCAGAGTTCAGACCTCCAAATTTGATGCTCGGTTGGTTTCTTTCTCACTTTCAATGATGAACCATACAAGCGTTTCACAGCTAGGATATCGTCTACAAATAAGTTTTTTTCTTCAGAAAAAAGCGGAACCTTGACGTCTCAATTCCCACGTGAAGTTTAACAGTGCCACTTCTCGCTAACACGAAACGTCGGGGTCCACAAAAAGCTCACCCCGGTGAAGATGCATAACACTTCCAGTATACTGTTTGTAAAACGGAGCCATTATGGACAAGTGGTTCGAAGAGTGCTTCAGCCCGAGCGAATGACCGATTTCATGCACAGCCACGGCGTACAAGTCAACACCATCTGAAGTGTTCACGTGTACATAGTCGGTTGACGTCAGTTACTTGTTTTGTTCGGACTCCAGTTCTCCTCTTCGTCAAAGTGGACATCTCCTCCGTACCTCGGAAAAAACGCGTGAGCCAGAATATTTCCTGCAAAGGTTTAACACTTTTTGCGTGATGTCAATCGTTAACTCGATTCTGAGCAAACCCTTTCCGTCGAACGGCTCGCCATCGTCATGATCGCCGGCGGCGAAAACGATGTCAATGTTGGCTTTCTCATCCTTGTCATCCACGGCGACAAACCATAGACGCGTGTGTTCTTCCCATGTATGCAAAGAAAATTCAATTAGTTTGTGCTTGCTCTATCTGGAGCCGCCAAGACACTCTTTGACAGCTCGCAGTCACTTGGCTGCTAATTCAGTTTTTGCACTTTGTGCCTTACTCCTTAGCTTTCTTAGTCTATCTCATTTTACCGTGAAATCCCTTACACACGCTCAGTTCCAGTCTTACTGGTATTCATTCCTATTTGAACTGTCCGAAACAAGGTGGCTGATGATTGTAATGCGCGCGCAAACATAAAAGTGGCGTACCGCAAACGCTTTGGTGAAGACTGCTCTTTGTTGGCTCAAACTCATCCGCTGGCTGGGTTGCTTCAATCGGTACGTTATTATATTTTTTCCCCAGTACGATCCTGCAATTTGACCAATTATGTGGGAGCAGAAATTGCCTTTTTTAGTTTGGTTTAATGAAAAACATTTTCGGGAAAGTACTGCGAATAGATAATTGGTTAAATTATTGAGCTTCTATGTATGACTATTTATGGGGAGAGTAAAACCGGATGCTCCTAGTCATAGTTTCAACTCGATCTAGCTCATTATGAAACGCTAGCTTCGAAACTTTTTAAAACGGTGTTTTCTTTTCTGTTTCTCCATTTGCAACATTTGGTAACTCGACACCGTACCCACCTTCAATCGAGTACCTCTTCACACGCGATCCCGTCATTACGTTCTGCAACGACCTTTTCTATTCGTATTTTCTTTTGACACCTAGATACAATAACTAACTCACCATGATGAGAAATGCCGATAAGAATAGCGGGTACCACCGCCAAATGGTCATAATAGGATTATGATGAGAACGGGGTTGAGGGGTGAGGTAAGAAGGTAAAAGTAGCAAAGAAGGTCACCGGACTATGGTAATTACTTGGTTTGGAAGGCGAAATGCGTCATGGGTGCTGAGGGTATTGTTGGCGGCGACGGCGTTCTCCAACCCACCCCTTTATGAGCCATTGTTTCAATCTGAGCCGCCTGGCTACTATGTACTTCCAAGACATCTGGCCCTACTGCATTCCGGATGTCCTAGTGATGGATGAATCATAAAGAGCGAGTGGACGCAATGCACTTATCCCAAGATTCGATCTTTGTGTAACCAGATCCGATGACAAGATTCAAGTGTGTTCCTCGAAAGTTGTCACCCACACAGCGTCCTTTTCTTACACGCGTCGGTGTTCTGTCCTCAATTCGGTGCCTCGGATACGCTCGTCACTCGTCCTCACTCCAAATGCATTGTGAGCGTTCCAAGGACAGATGCCCATGCATTTTGGCCCTCGCAATGAGGAAAAGGATGCCTTCAGCGAGTTCTTTTGTTCTCAAGTTTTTGAATTATTCCCAGAGAGGGAAAATGTTGGTACTCACTCATTTTCGGGTCTTCCCTAATCTTGTCAACCATCAGCCGGGAGGCCGGCTCCTTTTCTCCTCTCTTTCTCTCTATCTCCCTCACTCGCTTGTTTCTGTTTCAAAACCAGCGTGGCGTCCGTGTTTATCGCTTTATCCAAGTCCATGTCGTTGGGCGAAAATTCTTTCCGTCCTCTTTTTCCGTCTTCTTCTTCTTCTTCTACAGCTGCTTCCTGCTTTTCTCTCTCTCTCTCTTTTTTCCCTCTGTCCAATACTTCTTTTCCAAACGAATTGCTCTTGGACCGACTAAATATTCATTAGTGTTTGGGAATAGTGGAGGAGGGGAACATCAAAAAGCAGCGGCTTTGCCTTTCCCTCTTCCCTTACTTGGTATTCAATTCCACTTCGTTTTTTTTTGGTCTCTCATTCTCTTTCTTCTTCTTTTTCTCTACATCCAAACAAATTTCAACAGAGCATAATCCGTCTGCCAAACAACTTGCTCTGCTTCTGTTTGACCTTCGGTAGCGGCCGCTAAAAACAAGTGAATTTTCCATTTCCCCTGATGATTCATCCGCCAAAAGCAGCAGTAGAGTGCGATGTCGAAATCGAGATCCTTCAGAAATCGTAAATTTTTTTAATGGCCTTCTCTACCCGATCGGCAATCAAATCTTCACGCAAATATCTCAGTGGGTGGTCCTTTTAACGTCCGACTTCCCGCCGACGCCTCTTTGTTCTAAATTCCCTTTCCTGTGAAAAGACGCTCCCCCCTGGGACGGTGCTACTATTCAAGAAGTTTATTCGTGTCTTGTCAGTGTCTTTGAACAAAATTCAAAAAAAAAGAGAGAGAGAGAGAGAGAGGTGTAAACAAACACGTAAAGTTTCTCACGTGTCATCATCATTTCTCTCTTTTGCCTCGCTCGAATCCCTCATTTCGTTCCTCCGATTCCGCCCTACTATTTTCGCTTACCTTGTCCGCCTCTCTGGTAAACTTTGAGGGTCGACTAGCCGGTTCTGTTCTCACTATTTCCCCACCAACAACTTTTTCCTGTTGGGTTCTTCAATATCGATCTGAAATGGGAAGGAAAAGGCTGAAAAATGCATTGCTGTTCTATTCTATTTTCAGTCGTTTTTAATTATAAAGCCCCCGACTGCCGCCCAAACAATACCTCACTCGTTTTCATTTTCTCGCCGGCTTCTCCTTCTCCTCCTCCTTCCGTTTCCGCTTTTTCGTAAATTAAAATTGTTTTTTTTTCATTTTTTTCACGTTTTCCTCTGTTCGCTCTTAGCCACTGCTTTTTCAGTTTTTAGCCCAATTAGCCCAACTGAAACTGAACTTGAACCTTTTCGTACTTCACATCAAATGTAAGAAAATTACATAAAGAAAATGGAAAATTAATACGGACCGGAAGCGGAAGTACGTATGCCCACATGAATGAGCAAACAGTCTAGTTTTTGCCAATTCACGTGCACTTTCAAAATACTTGTAAAATCTCAGTTCGGACTGGCCTGCACAGGCCAAAAATTGGACAAATTAAAAAAAATTGCTGGTCCCCCATTGCAAGTATGTCTTTTAGTAAGATTCAAGTTAACTGGGAGGGCAAAGTATGCTCGCCTCTTCCAATTCCGCTTCCGATGAGATGATGATGCACATCGGAAATAGTTGTCCGTCCGGACGTCTTCTTCTCCTTCTTTTCTTCCCTTTCATATCAAATACAAACATTTCATCCTTTTCACCCCTCCCGTTTTCCTTTGTTCATCAACCTTGCCGTCTTCTTCCCGAGACGCTTTCCTGTCCGTCAATCATATCAATTTGTGCCGGTTGGATGAATCTTAACGCCGGGGCGTTGGTCTTCACTTATGTGAACTGAGTTGATTCAAGCTGATCACCTTTGCCCCTTCGAAAAAAAAACGTTTATTTAATTCCGCGTTTTCTAACTGACATCATCCGAGAACTACTTACTTTTTCAATTTCTTTATAATTTCTTTCCATTTCAATTTTCCGCGTTGACGTCATTTGCGTATTGCGGTGAAGAGAAAAGGAACTCTAATCAAACATTGTTTTGTTCTCTTCTGTTCCGACACCTCAAACACCGAACTGTTCTTCTTCTTCTTCTCGTTCCACCCCTCAACTCTCCAGTTCTTTCTAGATACAAAAGTTTTTATGACGGCCCACATCGTCTTCCACCTCTTTTGATGACCTGAAGAGGCAACAACCTTGCCTTCGGGAAGCAGCGTGTTGAGAGGCATTTAATTGACCATAAATGGACAGACCAAGAAATTTTACCTCCCCGCACTAGATACAGACACTGAACCGAGGGACTAATTTTTTTCCCTCGCAATCCTCATCCCCCGCTTGCTGTTTTCGAGGTCCTTTCCAAATTGCATTGAACATCAGCTCCGTCTAATCCAATTTCACAATGAGTATCCCTCCGCCACTCTTTGTGACGACAAGAACGTGCAGAAAGATGGATGGTAGTCGTTGGTCCGGAAAGGCTAAAAACCTCAAAACTAAAGACACCTGGGTTTTCCTTGTTCTTTTTCTTACTCTTTTTCTACCCGTCACCTGCCTACCTTGCTGATTATTTATGTTGAACAGACACCTGCTTTCTTTCAAATATTTTTCACATCAGCGACATAATATTTATGCTTTTCAGATACCTTCGAAACTCGATCGATATGATAGTTTTCTTTGGAATTGATGATTGGTTGACATCATCTGGACGAACTTGCAATGTCAGCATGAAGGTTTGAATCAAAGATCACTATTACCACTAAAAACTTCTTTTTTTTCCAGAAATCCATACTGTGTGCTGTGCTCTTTTTGCTACTGTTCGCCGCTGGAATCATGCAGTTCTTCTTCATTGATCATTTCAAGTTGGTCGTACCTTCAGTTGGTGAGTCCTCCGGAGCAAAACAAAACAAACAAAGGCAATTTCTGTGGCTTCAGGTCACGCAATCCTCTTCCTCTTCGAAATGATCTGCTTCCTTGTCCTCATTAATGCTATTTTTAACGAGCGACCTCTTCTTTTCCTTCCCTTCGTCATCACGGAGCTTGTCCGATGTGTTTGTCTCGTCGTCGTCATCGGATTGTATATTGTCAAAATGTTCCAAGTCCAGGGACGCGAGGACGAGAGGTATTTACCTTAAAATATCAATTGATACCTAAGTGCTTGGTTTCAGACCGAACATTGTCCTCCCAGCCCTTCATTACGACAACGAGCACAAAACTGGTGAGCTTGAGGCTATTTTGTTTGGAAACAATTCATTTTTTCAGTCCGCCAAATGGTGAAACTGGTCCTTCATCTGATATTTGTCTTTTTCGCTCATCTCATGTTGGCTGGAATTGCATACCGCTGTTATCAGGTTCGCGATGCTACTAGTCCCTTCTAGGAAGAAAAAACCTATGTACTGACGAAAAGATGACAATTTGATGAACACTGTGCTTATCAGTCAATTTTCCTGTCCTTTGACCAGTCAAACGACTTCATTCATCATTCTCAATTTTCCAGATTTACTCGTGGGGCAACCGCCGGAACCGGATGAATCCTGGAGACTACCGTGCAACCCAACAGATGCACTCGGTGATCGTTCTCGAGCAACCCATCGAACAGGCAATGTACGGAAAGAAACCGGTCAACTAATCAGGACCGACATCCAGAAGAAAGCTGAAGAAATTTACCTTGCGGGTCACTTTCGAATCTCTGAACATCCCCAATCTATTCCACTTACTCTCATCTTCAATTAACCCGTTATCAGTTTCAGTTATCATTCAAATGTTTCAACTCGTTTATAATTTTTGTAATGTAAACAAAACACGTGATGCTAATTCCACTCGAGATTGTTATCCGATGAATATGTAAATAAACAAAGATTCTATCAGATTCTGATAAATTGCATTAAAGAGAAGTTGTGAAAGGAGTTAGGGCGAATCCCGGAGAATTCGGCTTCTTCTACCTCTCCCTCTTCCTTCCCCATCGTCTTCATAATTGCATGTACAAGCGACACGTTTCAAATGCCATCATGATCTGTCGGTCGGTTCGTTCGCCGTACGAAGTCTTGTGTGTGTGTGTCAAACGGTCGCGCAGGTGAGACGATGGAAGATGCGCAATCAGTTGCGCCAAAATCATGCGTTGAGAAAAAGCACCCCCCGTCGACGATGTTGTTCGACGACTTTTTCTAACCTATGTGAGCGGCTGTGTGTAACTGCCGATGAAATACAGGAAATTTCAATGTAGTACAATACCATACGATGCAATGAAATTTATGGTTCGGAATTGATCCCTGCTCCCTGGGTAGAGCATTTTTGAAGGATGCAGCAGCAATCGTGTCATTACGACAGTGAAACCTGATAGTTCTTGCATAAATATTTGGCTCCTTCTCATTTCAGCGTGTTTTTGCATTTTCGATCGGAGATCAGTCAAAGCAATTTGTTTTTTGTAATTTTGAGTTTGCAAGATACGTTTTCCGGCTTTCACTTGCTAATTTCAACGAAACAAAAAGTTTTCGGGTTAAATTTTCGACCAGTCTGACCAGTAGTTCAGTTCTCATTCCCATAGCAGAGTTCAGTTGCAGTTTCAACGCAGACATTATCATCAAACACTTTAATAACATGCTTTCTTGGCGCGCGTCGCTAAACGAACAACTTTGGCAAGACGGCGGGCGGTTGAACCCGCCCACGGAGGAAAGTGTAAGCGACACCTAACGGCCAGGTTCTCCCTTGGCGGCGGACCGTATATAAGCTGTCGCAAGCACTTGAGATTCCGACATCAAACCGTCTCCAATCATGAGTGACAAGGGAGCCACGGCGCACTTTGCCGCCTACAGTGCCATCGCAATCTGTGCCGTCAGCATTGCTTCCATCGTCTTCTACCTACCTTACATGTTCGCTCAGCTCAACAACGTTCGAGCTACTCTTGCTTTCAACATGGAGGAGTTCAACACTCTTCAGGTATGTATTTGTATTCGTTTCTAATCTAAAACAAACATTTCAGGCCGAGGTTTGGGGGGATATGGTTCATCTTCGTGGAGAGGTGCCAGGAATCAAGAGACACACGGTCAAGAGACAAGCTGGCAACGAGCAGTGCAATTGTGACGAGCAGAACTTGTGCCCATCAGGACCAAAGGGACGGCCAGGAGCTGACGGACTCGACGGACTTCCAGGAACTCCGGGAGAGCAGGGAGAACAAGGACTGGCTGGAATCACTCCGGAAGCCGAGAAGGCGAAGGACGGATGCAGAGTGTGCCCTCCTGGACCATCAGGACCACCAGGATACCCAGGACAACCAGGACCACAGGGTCTTCCAGGAAACCAAGGAGAGCAAGGAGAGATCGGACGCGAAGGATCGCCAGGTCCACAAGGAGCGCCAGGAGACATGGGAATGATGGGCGAAGCAGGAAAGGAAGGCGAGAAGGGAGTGCCAGGACGCGAGGGTGTTCGCGGCGAGAAGGGACCTTCCGGACCACCAGGACTGCCAGGACTTGTCGGACCAAAAGGATTCTCCGGAAACAGCGGACCACCGGGTAATCCAGGAGAGCCAGGACCGGAAGGAGAGCAGGGACCGCCGGGCAAGGACGGAGCTCCAGGATACGACGGAGGTTTCGGCAACTACGGAGAGCCAGGACAGCCAGGAGAGGACGCCGGATACTGCAAGTGCCCAGCTCGCAAGCAGAGAAAACATTAGATGTTCTGATTACTTACATAAATTACTTTTGCAAATTTCATATAAATCGTATATAATCCACATTATTTCCTCCAAACGTGAGACTATAAACAATCTCATTTTCATTGCGAGTGCGCGCACATTATGCCGTGCACTTGGGTTCCAAAACAAAACACTCAACTAGTGATTGGAGTAGTCCACGTAGTTTCCTCTCCCTCTCTCTCTCTTTCTTTCTCTCACAACCTTTGGTCCGGATCGACCTCGCGTCTGCATCTTTCCCCTCCTCTCGCGCACCGTTCTCTTTCTGTCCACCAGACGAGAGGGCCCCTCACAATAATGCAAACGTGCGCTAGTGCACACCATTACCGGAGGGTCGTTCGAATCGTGACCCTCTGCCATTCGGACCATTCCCTTTTTCTTTTCTTCCACTTTTTTCGGTAGCGCATTGTGTTTTGTCGCATTAAGAGCGGATGGCTAGTGAAAGATCAGAGCTCTTGAGCAAATATTTTTCTTTGTCTCATACTCAAGAAACATGCGCTCATTTTCGATGATTGGATTGGATGTGTGTTGTTTTGACTCTTTTGAGTACCGCATGACAAAATCTGAAAAAGGACATTTAGCTGTTCTCTCCTGAATCGATTGAGCCTTTTTTGTGAGAATCGTCAAATTTAACGAGCGTTTTCCTATCTATTGCCTGGGAAACATCCCTGCTTTCTGCTTGTTTTCTCTTTTGTTCCCTAGTGAAATCATTTATTCATGCCCCCCTCTTTCCTAAAAGACTCTGCTTACTTGGAATAAGAAACGCGTTCTTTTTTGTTTCAGAATACGTCATTCATCGGAAGACGACAAAGACGACAAGTTTGGCGGCGGAGAATCCCCCCTTCATTCATTCATTCCAATCAATTCCCATTCCGCGCACATCCGTCGCTAACTAGGTTTGAACTTTGATTCAGTTCCCATTTGGTACATACTTCGCTTCTTATCATCCGGGCCGTAGGACGACTAAAAACAAAACATCAAAATGGAGGCGATGGCAATTGCAATGACGCGTGGAGTTTTTAGCCAACACATACTTTCCCACACCCCGACTCTCGTTTAGAAGTGCAAACAGCACAAACATCACAATTCGATTTCGCTCTGCAATCTCTGGAGGTCTCCTGACATTTTTCCGAGCTTCAAACGAAATTTTCTCGGAAAACGGCCCCGTCTTATCAGCTTGATTTTGTACACATAATCGGGTGTACAGAATGTGAATGTGAATGTCTATGTCGACTTATCATCAAAGTCATGTCCTTCACGTGCACCTTGTCAGCTCTTTTATGGATCGGTAGAAACCCTTAACACTAGACATCGAGGATGCCAGCAAAGATCAGAAAATCAGAAAAGTTCCCGGCTAGGTTGACCAGCTGACACGCGTCGTTCCGCAGAGTGTTTTACGAGATATTTCTATCATAACACTGAAATGTATTTGTGCGTGGGCGACTTTATCCTTCTATCAGATGTATGGATAAGTACGGACTAGAGACGGATTAGAAATGCGTTTCCACAAAGCCTGGTGGTCTGAGAGATTTTGCATGGTGCACCTGACCGCATTTTCATTTCTCTCCATTTCCGCTTCAACTTTTTCTTCCCCTCCCATCTCCTTTCACTTCACCCGCCACCGCGCGACATTTCAAACATAACTTGCAGACAGTTTTTTCGCTGCACGCCCTACACATCTGTCTCTACACGGTTTTGCTGCTGCAAAAATGAATAATTCCACTGAAGCTGATAACCGAGAACATTCTCCCCACCCCCTGTCATTTCGTATTAATTTAGTGGGTGTATGTTGGTCTCATCTGATCTCTACGGTTAAAAACCAGCAAGACAAAAGTAGAAACGGATCTGGTCACCGACCGATCAGCTGGTCACAGAGCCTTCTGTAAAAGCCCCCGCTCCTTCGGTTTTATCAGTTCCACAACAAAATTGGTGAATGAATGTTTGCGCTGACCGAACCGAACCATTTGCCACGCGGGGCATCTCTTTGAACTATTTGCACACGTGCGCGGTTTTTGAGCTTCTTCAACGAGGTCTAGGGCCCGGTATCATCATCATCTCTGACGCTTTGCACCTTGGTCCCAGTCTCCGATCAGAGGCGTAAACGTGACAATTGCTGTGTGAGAATGGAAGGGAGAGCGAAGGAGAGAAGAAGCTGCTGTGACCCCTCCCACGGAGTGAAAAGTAGCCATTCGTTTGGGAAATTATATATATATATATATATATATATATCTATTGACGAATGTATCTTGCTACATTCTACATTTAGCGTTCATGCAATTTGCTCAGTTGTGTTCCACCTGTTCCTACACACTGTTCCTCGTTCTTTCAAAACTCAAAAATTTGATTTGATTCATTTATTTCCTTTCGCAGAACAGAATAGAATCCAAAATGCTAATCCCTTTGTGTGCCTGCAGATTGGGTTTTCAACTTTTTCATTTTGTGCTTTCCAACTTGTAGATCCGTCCGAAAAGAGAAGGAAGTTGGGGAGTGAGGCGACATGTGGCACTTATTGCAACATTCAGTGATACTCTTTCAAACAAAAGTTTTCAAGGATCACTTTTCAGAGTTGTTTCTCTCCTCGCTTTCTCTTTTTCGTTTTCCTATCAGAAACAGACCTTGACCAGTACTCATGTAGAAAAACATAGAAAAAATGTTCTGTTATTCGCCACCATTACCTCTCCTCGGTCCTCCCAAGCACCACAAGCGCCACTGAGACATGCGCGTCTGTTCTCTCATCTCATTCCGGACGATGAAAACATGCGAGATTGTCCGTTCGATTCCTACATTTCAAACAAAGAACGTCTTCTTCTTCTTCTTCCTCTTCTTGTTCCGTTCTGATCTTTAACCATTTCTCCTGTTCCTTGACCATTTTGCGTCGGGGGGAGGACGAAAAAGGGTAACCCCCAAGGTTTTGTCTCATTCATTAGTTCTTATCTCTTTTTTACCTCTCCCCTTCGTAACATGCCTGCCCCTCCACTCGCTCTTCTTCCTTCATTGTCGGCGCGGCCACACCACACAACCAAAAGTCTACTTGGCACCGCCTCCTCTGCCCTTCGCACCAATTTTTGACTGTACAAATACGTGCCGCTGCCCTCCCTTTCGTCTCAAAAATGATTTCTAAATTATCAGTGCTGATACGCTTCGATTCAGCTCTCCGATCAACTTTCCTTGTTTTTCCGTGTTCTAGCAAGGCAATCTGCCGAACGGAACAAAAAAGAGAAAGCAGTGAAATCAAACATTTTGGAGCTCTAAAATTTTGTTGTTTTTCCGCTCGAATAAAATAGCACGAGCCCTTCTGCTCTGCTCTGCTCCACTTGACGTTTTCGATAATTTCCATATCGTGCAGTTTTGCGAAACGAAAAAATTGTCGGTCAACTAGCCAACTAGCCCATACATACACACCCTCCCTCTCCACGAGCTCACAGCTCTTTCCGCAAACATTTCGAAAACAGTCACATGTTCGGTCCCTTTGCTCGCCACATTCACTTGGACAAGAGCCAAAGATTTCCTCGCCCATTGTCTCTTCATTTTTTCTGTCCAAAATGAGCGCAAAATCGAAAACATTGCACTTATTTTGCACTTTTCTTTGCTTTCGTTCGCCGCTTTCAACACATATTTTGTGCTCTGCTCTTCCGTTTGCAGCGAGTCCCAGACAAAAAATGATTGCAATTCGGATATCCGCCCACGCGCCATTACATATATATATTCAGTTCACGAAAGTGCCCTAGGAGGTCCCCGAGCATAGAAAGACAAGTGGGGGTGGTAGAGGGTGTGTGTTTCAAAAACGGCTTTTGGGTGTGTGCGTGAGGCTTGCGCGACGCAAAGGCCAGCCACGGAAGCAACAGAGAAAGAAGAAGAGGGAGAGATGCGGCAAGAACCAAAGTCGTTTCAGAGGGCCACAGACCGCAGAGCAAGAGAGAGCGGCTCGCGGAGCCGAGGGGGAGGCCCACACGCAGAGCAGGCGGCGCAATGAGAAAAAAGCGCATTGACCGACCACGTGAATTTGTAGTAAGGGAATGGAGAAAAAGAAGGCATTTGTTGCATTCGTTTTTCTCATTCCATTCCAATCCTTCTCATCCATTTGTGTTTTCAAATTGTTGGTGGCAACCAACTCGCTCCAAATTCTCATGCTCCTTCATCCAATGACGAATTTTTCAGCCTCGGCTCCTTCTTTGGTCTCTAAAACCGATCCCTCATTCTTCGTTCTCCACTATCATCTCAAAACAAGATGCCGCTCGAACTGAACATCGACCTGACCGAGGAGCGGCCGAGAGTTCCGGAAATTGTGGCGTTCGCCATGGATAAGCTGGCTATCAAGGTGAGTTTTGGCGGGGATTATCTCTGAATACATGCACAAGTGAGTCGCTCTTTCATTTTGACGAATGCTCTCAATTTTCAGACCGATGTGCTGACTCTGATTCCGAAAAGGAACCGCTCAGCGGTCTCGATGCGTGCTGATGAGACTGACAATTGGGGACAGGAGGCGCTCGACGAGCAGGAAGCCTACACCCTCGTTCTCCGCGATCCGAGCATCAAGGTGAGGCTTCTTTTCTCATTCTTTTCTTTTTGACTAGACAATAGTGAATAAGAGTACAATCCTTGGCTTTCTTACACAAATTGTATGTAACACGTGCTGTGCGAAAGTTTTGAATTTCAAAGAGACCTACTGAACTTTCTCTTTGCAGAACGAGCTTCTCGATCGCCTGAACACGTTCCGTCGTAACCGCGAGCTGTGTGATGCCGTCCTTTTTGTCAAGGAGCGCGAGATTTTCGTGCACAAAGTTGTGTTGGCCGCTGTTTCGCCGGCTCTCTTTGACATGTTCAACGCGGAAAACGAAGGAAACCAGGAAGGTAAAGAGGGCTTGTGATGAAGCAGAACGATGCAGACACGATTGTTCCAGAAAAAGCGCAGAATGGAAGCCCGACGAACGGAAACGGAAATGTCAACGGTGTGATTAACGGAAACGGGCATTCTCCGACGAATGGTGCGCCGGCCAAGACTCAAAAGTCATCGACCACGTTCTACGAGTTTGCGCAGACTGATTTCGAGTGCTTCGAGGCGTTGGTCAACTTTGCCTACACTGCCAAGTATGTTTTATCATTCATTCATTCATGCAGTCCGTTTCCAAGACACGCTATCTTCACATGAACACGATTTGTGTCGGCTGAAGAGCTAATTTGATAACGTCGTTTCGTTGCATGCGTGTTATCAAATGAATGAAGAATTGCCGGGCATCGACCTGTCCGTCGGAAAAGAAGATTCTAAATTTAAGACTGGGGGCAATACACAGAGATCCACCGAACAAACAAGTGAAGAACACATTTTCAGCCTGGAGATTAGCTCTCGCAAAGTGGCCGAGCTCTACAAGACCGCCTACGCTCTGCAAATGAGCCCAGTCATCAAGGCGTGTGCTGCATATCTCGCCGACAATTTGCAACTGACCAACTGCATTGGTTAGATTCTGCAGACATGCAGAATAATGTTGCATCTTTGTCGGTTTACAGGAATCCGACGTCAAGCAAACTTCCACAACGACACATTCCTGATGGACAAAGTCGATCAGTTCATCATTGACAATTTCGAAAGTGTCGTCAACGACAGTAAGGAGTTCACACAGTTGCCAGTCATCCAGGTAAGATTTCTCAAGTCTCCTTAAAATTGCATCATTGGCAGCGGTCTGTGGTCCTTCTAAAAATAGGTTTCGTAAATCGCGTGGACAATTGAGGCGCAAAGTGCACCCGAGTTTCCAGTCGATTCTATTTTGCAATTGTCAACAACGCGCACGGGCGAGAAGTGGGGAAAGGGGGGGTTGGGCAGAAGGCCGTGGCCGAGTTTTCTTCTTTGAAAAATGACGAAGCGGGTTCACAAGTGATCACAATCGCGTTGATTTGTCAATGAAAAACTTGCGAGTTTCGGCGATTGTCCAAAAAAAGAATCATCATTGATATTCGAATCTTTCAGGTCAGAATCATCGTTCCCGCTGAAGACGGAAAAGTGACGAACAACGCCAACAACAATGGTGGATTGGCGGAAATGGCCCTGTTCTACTTTCAAAACATGCCACATGATCGTGCGGAACACTCGATTGATCTTCTTACTTGCAAGGTTTTGGGAATGAAATTACAAAGATCATTTGGGGGATTTTTTCAGACTCACATCTTGTACATGGAAGAGAACCATCTGGCTGATTGTCTTGAGATGGACGAACGATCCTCGGTCGGAAGTTGTGACATCATCCAGGACTACAAAAAGTCCACCAAGGATCGTAAGGATGTGGCGAAGGCTCTCACCGTCCAGGAGCCTATCACCAACTCGGTCGTTCAGCACCGTGTTAATGGAGCGGTGCCGGTTCGGCTCAACGCTTCTCGTCTGCCAAACATGAACGCGTCGAACGAGAGTTTGGAATCCGCCGGTACAGACGACTCGGACCCGCAGGATACCATTGAGACGCGTCTCATTGCTACTCACCGCACAGCTCGTATGTTGTTTCATCAAAACTGTTGGCTGAAATTTTACTGAAACTACTTCAGCACAATACTGGGTGGCTCTGGTCGTTCTCTACCGTCGTCTGTGTGTCCTGAGCATGCAACTCACCGACAACGAGGAACTTCTCCGTCCAAAACGCGACACGGCGGCTGTTGATGCCCAGAAAGTCGCACTTCTTTCGCGCTTGATTTCCTGCACCGGAAAACAGCAGAAACCACTGGAGTACATGAGCGCGCCCCGTTGCTCTATGGGCGCCTCATTCGTCAACGGAAAAATTTTCGTTTGCGGTATAACAAACTAACTTTTAGGCAACTAAATGGTTGCATTTATTTTCAGGAGGATATGATCGTGGAGAGTGCATGAAGAGTGTCGAGGAGTACGACGTTATGAATGGAAAATGGAGGAATGTGTCGAATATGAAGGCGGAGAGAGGTCGCTTCGATTGCACAGTACACGGAGGAAAAGTGTACGCCGTGGCGGGAAGCAACGGAAACAACGATCTCAAGAGCTGTGAAATCTATGACCCGAAAGCAGATTCTTGGGCTCCATTGCCCAATCTCAGCATTGCCAGATGTCACAACGGATGTGCCACCTTGGAAAACTACGTCTACTGCATCGGAGGATCGTACGATCAGAAGGTCCTCAAGGATTGCGAGCGGCTCGACACTTCCTCGCGGATCTGGGAAACGATGCCTTCAATGGAACAGGCCAGATATCAAGCCGGAGTGTGTACTTGGAGAGGATTGGTGGTTGCCGTTGGAGGCTGTGACCGTTGGGCTTGCATGGACTCTGTCGAGGCGTACGATCCGAAGATCGGCGGATGGCGTCAGCTCCCCAAACTTCGTCAGGCTCGTCGTGGTTGTGCTGTAGCGGTGGTTCGGGATGTGCTTTATGTGATCGGAGGACATGATGGCACACAGTCTCTGGATACCGTCGAGATCTTGGACAGCCCTTCGGCTCAATGGCGTGTTGGACCAACCCTGACTACTGCAAGGTGATGCGGAAATCAAAGTGAAAACCTAATTATTCTTGTTTTTAGAGCCAACACGCATGCCGTCGTGACTGCTGGCAACGTCATCTTCTGCATTGGTGGATTTAACGGAGCCAAGTTCCTGGACACCATTGAGCTCCTCGAAAATGGTGAGAGGTCATATGTGTTCTATTCAAAATCAGTTAAAATTGCAGAGCAAATTGGATGGCGTAACTGGCAGCACTGTCCGGACCACATCCTCGAAGAGCAAGAAGAGGAAGACTCGCTTCACATGCACCACGACGTGTCTTCGACTCCGCCATCTTCTCCATAACCTGAATGCTTCTCATCCGCAGTATTTTGTTTGTACACCATTTCCTTCTCCATCCACCTTTAATACTTATATATTATCCATCTCTAGTTAATTTCTTCTCCTCCAAGTTTCGCGAGGGCTGTCGGTTTTTGTAAGATATCCAACCTCTATTGATTGTGATTTTTGAACATTTTCTCTTGAAACACTGTATCACTGCGCGTTTTCGAGTGAACTTTGCAATCGTCACGATTGTCGGTTCGCTTCACTCTTTTTTCACTTTGGATGTAAACTTTGTTGAACGCTCACGTTTGGGACCACTCTCAAAACTTGAGTAGCATTTTTTACTTTTGCATTACCACTTTGCAATAATTGTATATCAAATAGTGGTTACTGGTTGTAGATGATCCCCTCTCTCTTCCCATACTTCGGTTCTTCCCTCTTCCCCCATGCATCCCCCGTCTTTGATTGTAATGCATATTGTGACGAGCTCGCAAAACGAAATAAACATTTTGAAATATTTTCCCAATATCTTCTTCCGTACATCATCCGTACCTGTTTATTATAATGAAATCTGTTTATTAATATGGAACCTGTAAGTCAACCTTGGGTCCTGATTATTATGGGACCTGGATCCTGTCTTTAAAACCCGATTACTCAGATAGAGCCGGAAACTGAAAACTGAAAGATAAAATTGGCAGGTGCTTTCCTGTTTCAAGGGTATTATTAATTAACGTAACATTTGAACTTCAGAATCACTCGTGAAGATTGTTTAAATAAAAAAGAATGGGCCGAACCGGGGATTGAACCCGGGACCTCTCGCACCCAAAGCGAGAATCATACCACTAGACCATTCGGCCGCGATTCTTTCAACTTCCTCGCTTCATGTTGAAGGAACAATCCGTCGCATGTCTGCTTGTCAAAAGGCACATCGGCATCAAAAATCACCAACATAATTTCCTGCGCTTCTCTTTTGAAACATGTTCATGTCGAATTCGGAAAAAGAGAGTGTCTTTCGTGTGGCCGAATGGTCTAGTGGTATGATTCTCGCTTTGGGTGCGAGAGGTCCCGGGTTCAATCCCCGGTTCGGCCCATTCTTTTTTGGATTTTCAGATCAGCAGTGGCTTTAAGGAAGTGTTCCATGCTGTAGGAGGAGTTCAGCTTGCGCATAACAGATCAGACACTGGATACTGCGGACAATATTTCTTGTACATACAAGTTGTTGTGGCTCAAACTGAACTTCATGCCTAAAGTTATTACAATCGAGAGGCTGAAAGCAACGGCCGAGTCGTTCTGGTGACAGCATTCCGTCTTGTACATCTTCTGCGTGTCCTCTTTTTACCTCCCCAGCACCATAGACGTGTGCGTGTTTGCCCTCGCGTTCGCTCAACGTGCACCGATTGATATTGACCGATTTCCGCGTCGTTGTGCTCCTTCTGGCCGGTCATTTTCTCGATCTCCGTCAATCTCGCTCTTACGTATTGAATTCTCGCTTCATCTTATGAAAACGTATTTCGGTACGAGAGATCTTTCGGTTCCCCTAAGAACCTGCTTTTAGCTGAAAAATGCAACTCAAAAAGTTTTCGTTTGAAATTTGTTAATGTTCAGGCAGAACTTGTTTTTTCTATCGTTTCCGCTTCAAATCCACCAAAATTCTCGAATTCTGCGTTCTGAAACCCATCGAAATCAGATTCCAACGTGTCCAACAAAAAGACGCCAGCACTTTTGATTGACGCATCAATTGTAGGTTGGCGCATTCCTCGTTTTACCGTTATTAAGGTACAAAAACACAATATTTTCTAATTTTTTAATGAAAACTAAAAAGAAGAGTTGTATGTCTATCTTTTTGAAACAAAATTTTAATTTTTGCTATTACCCAATAAGTATTACCCTAATACACGTCACCATAACGTTAATACTCGTTTCTTTACGTCGCTCTTCGAGTGCTTACTCCCAAATTCGTCAGTTTCAGCATGAAGTCTATTATCCTCGGACCGTTGGGCCTTCTGGTCGCCTTCTGCTGTCTGTATCAACCTACAGGTGAGCGCTCATTCTCGAAGTGTTCATATTCGAAATAATTTTTATTTCAGATGCCGCCCTTGCCGCCATGTCGATAGACTTAGGCAGTCAATTCATCAAAATCGGATTGGTGAAGCCAGGTGTGCCCATGGACATTGTGCTGAACAAGGAATCTCGGAGAAAGACACCGAACGTGATTGCATTCAAGAACGATGAAAGATTCTTTGCCGAAGCTGCCGCTGCGATGGTATTTAGACCAGAAGGACCGTTTCATTCTATATCTTTTTCAGTCGTCATCCCATCCACAATCGTCCTACAATTTCCTGCTATCGTTGATCGCCAGAAAGGAAGGAGACGACGCCTTCACTACCTTCAAAAAGACGTATCCGTTCACGGCGTTTGAATTTGACGAGACCCGCAAGACGGTCATATTCCCTTACAAGTAATTTGAACAAACATTTATTCAAAGACCCATCCGATTCAGAGAGGAGAAGTACAACGTTGAAACCCTTCTGGCTATGATTTTATGGAACGCTAAGAAAGTCACTGAAGCTTACGCCGACCAGACCGTTAAAGTGGGTTTTATATTTAAGAAACGAAAAAATGAAACTCTACGGGGAATGATGATGGAGTCACGAGAGGGGATGAGAAATCAGTACATTGTGATCAGTCCAAGCTTGCGGCGATGGTTGTTCATGGCCACGAAGAGACGGTAAATGTTGGAGAGGACGAAGTTGTAGCCGTAGTCGATCAGCTGAAAATGACCACGAGGGGATGATGGAATAGGAAATAGCTAACCTCGTCAAGCCACTCGGATCTTCTGGAGAGAATGTGCTCGAGGATCTGGACGTATGTGTTGACAGCACGAAGGTGCTCGCCGCAGCAGAAGTTGCAGTACAAACGGTACTGGAGGTCCCGAAACAATGGAACACGGTAGTCCGTCGGAAACATGCGCACAGAGATCTGGGTAATACCGTCGACGTTGGACGACTCCGCGATGTACTCATATTGCTGTCCGAATATCGCAGAAAGCGCTTCAACCGCGTACAGTTCCATAAGGGTCGCAGTCGGACTCTCATTAAAACCAAAGTAGGCCTGACGGAAAAGAGCGTCGACGCTTTCGAGCAGATCTTGCTGGTCCTCCGGTTCGACCGCCATATCGGTCAATGCAGTCACAGACAGATCCAGATCCATTACTGATTTCTTTTCTGAAGTGATAGTAACGATTAGTAAAATACATAGACAACATTGAAATTGTAGATGGACACGTATGAGAAGCGAGAATATTAATTTTTGAATAATTTGCCGTTCACAAATCACAAAAACAGTGGAAGAGCGGAAAAGAGATCGATAATAAGCGAGAGTTATGTGAAGGGGTCTGCGTGAATGTGTGGTCATGAATTATCAGTTGATGAAACGATGCATTTTCCTATTGATGGTCCGGATGACGAACTCAATGCCAAGAGAAATCAACTGAAATCCAGATTATTAACTTTGAGAGGGATCTGTTGGTTTTTACGTGGAATACCATTGGACTGCTGTGCGTACGTGATCTTTCGGCGATTTGGAGCAATAGATATAAGAAGATCGGGTTCAGTGGATCAATAACTTGCAGGGCCAGGTAGCTTAGCTGAAACGTTTTAAATAAGACGATCTCCAGAAAAATTTCGAACATTAGCGGTGTGAATCTGAACAATCAGTTGATTCTCTGATACTTCGTGACTTCCCGGTGGCATTTTGAGCGTCATTAGCTGAAACTACCAATACTCATGGGGTATTTCATGATTCCTGCTCACCCTGTGCACATGGGCGGCTTGGAAGTGAGCCTGAATTTTCGTGAGCTGCATGCACCACGAGGCTAGTATCAGTGAGAACCGCTGAAACTGGCCTGTTTATTAATTTCTGACATTTTTGAGTGGAAACGTACGTGATAGAGAAAGTTGTCCTTGAATTTGGTGACGTCTCTATAATCCACGTTCAACTGCTCGGCCAAATTGCAAAGTTCACGGTGCTCTTGGTGTTCTCTCTGATAAGTAAGACTATTAGCGTTCCGGGACCAAAGACTCACCACAGCCCACTCCAGCTTCAGCATTCTGAACGCCGAACGAGCGTATCCAGCAATCGCTTTCCGTGTCGGCTCGTGCTTCTCGCAACATTTCTCTTCGAAGTTTTCCTGCAATCCGATGGGTCTCTACTCGAGTGGTCCCTGATCACTCACCAAAACTTCCTCGTAGACAACAAATTGGCGACTCTGCAAGTCCATTAATTGACATCCGTGGCTCACAAACGACGAGTTCATCCCCCACTCTGTCTGAGAAAAATGTGCAAAATTAACGAAAAAAAAGGAGAAGAGATATAATGCGGTGTGAAAGAACAACCGATGGTTGAGAAAACAGAACGTTTCGACCACATAACGACCGAATATTTTATGCATAACCTGAAGAAAAATGTCGGAGAATAATGGAAGAAGCTGCGAAAAAAACAAAGAGGTTCGGATGAGTAATTGGGATCATTTGAATAGGCAAAGAAAGGGAGATGGACAATTCAAAAAGAGGCTGGAGGCTGTCAATGAGGGCATCTTGAGAGAAAAAGGAAGAGCGGGAGGATAGCTAATTGCACTGGCAGACCGAGAAGAGAGCAGAACCGTTACTTTTTTGGGGACAAAAGACTCGCGAGTAGATTCGAGAAGGACAAAGAAGGAGTGAAAGATGGGATCAGACCGGAAATCCGTCGTGGGGACAGTCGTGGAACAGGAGCATATTATCCGGAAGAACCACGTCAGGGTTGTTCAAATCCCGTTGGAAGATCTCTTCAATGGGCTCGACGTTGACCGCCCGATTCAGACGACGGACACACAGGTGCGTAAGAGAAATGTAATGCTGAAGCAAATTTTGAATACGAGCAAAGCAGTTTTTAACCTTAAGGCGCCGTCGTAGAATATCTGCATACAGAAGAGGTTGCGTGACGAGGTCCAGCGCGTAATCGTACACCTGAAACAATCTTTCTTTTTCTCTCTCTCTCAACGCGCGGTTTAATTCTGACAGTCCCGACTTACCTCTGACCACAGGCGCATCATGTCCATGTGAGTGTGAAAGACAATACCGATCGGCCGCTCGGCATCGACTAGTTGTTGTCTGATGTGTTCGTTGAAATGCGTCTGAAAAAACAGTTGTGACGTGTCAAATAAGGATTGAAACTCGCCACAAACGCGGAGACCTGTTTTCCGAGATCTTCCGCATAGTGAATGGCGCAACACTGGCGCGCAACTTGCTCGTTGAGTTCGTATTTTTGTGCCGACATCTGGAATGGTTTTTTCGAATATTGGGTGTGCAAAGGTTTCAAGCACAACAAAACACGGCACACTCAAAAAAAGGCACGATACGATACGATTCACGTTTCAATAGATGCAAAAAAAAAGAAGCAACGAAACGAGCACGTATGTCACTTTCCACGTTTCATCTGAAACGTCTCTGCACAACGATCGATTCTGCGAAATGGAGTACTGCTGATTGAGTCACGACACTCTGAAAGCCTCATTTTGATAACTATTCATTACCAGACACTGTTACCCATAATGTAGAAACCTTGAAATTAGCTAAATATCAGCGAGTACAAATCAAATGAATGAAGGTCTTTTGCACTCCTTCGCCCTTCATCTCTCTTCTTTTCGTTGCTAAATTTACAATCGGGATATTGGAAAAAGGAGGGAATGAGGCGCGCTCTCTGTCTTCTTGCACAGAAAGTCCGTCTGGTTGGATATCAAAACATACGCACATAGTAGCGTTGTCGTGTGACTCATGGTGAAAGTGGAAGAGAGTGACGAAAGAGCAGAAAAAGATTGGAATATCGGTGAGGCCATTAGCCACTCTGTTCTTTCTCTCTCTCTCTCTCTCTCTTCCGAGTGAGAGAGCGACGAAGCCAATGTTTACCAACCTCCATCAGTGGGAATTTGAGGGTAAAAAGCCATTACTGTAATGGTTATTGTTTGGGTTTTAATGTGTTACAAATGGGACAGGGGTGTGAATGACAGGGAAAGTGGTAAAGAAGGAACGGGGCACAAATGAAACTCAGCGAGAACTCATGCAATAATCTTTCAGGATGTCGTCATCACGGTGCCCATCTTCCTCAACCAAGCCGAACGACGTGCGATTGCTTCCGCAGCCGAAATCGCCGGACTCAACCTACTGCAGGTCAGTCCTAATCCTTCTCAAAGCGCTATACGAACTCCAAGTGTACTTTTTCAGTTGCTCAACGACGGATCAGCCGCTGCTTTGAATTATGGTGTCTTCAGACGGAAGGAAATCACAGAGAAGCCCATGCACATGCTGATCTATGACATGGGAGCCGTTAAAGTGAGTAACATTGGATAAATCGAACCGAAATGGAAAGGGAAATAAAGAGAGCGCCGCGAGTTAGAGTTAGACTGGTGCCAAAGGCAGATGACTCAACGCGCATTGGCGTTCTGCCAATGTTATTGGAAACGGTGATAGAATGCCCGCTTTTGACAGAAAGATGAAACATTTTTGTGCGCGTTTTGATTCAGAAAGATAAGTGCCCGGAATGCGGCGTCATCGAGATAGCTCCCGGATCCGATTTTCAGTGTTTGGGTGGAGTGGAAAGAATGACAACGCTTGATGTTTCAGACCACCGCCACCGTTGTTCAATACGTTCTTGAATCAACCCGAAAGGATGGAAAGGACAAGCAGCCGACCCTCCGCACCGTGGGAGTCGGATATGACAAGACCCTCGGAGGACTCGAAATCACCAACCGGCTGAGAGACTATCTTGAGAAGGTACATCGTAGATTTGGAAGACAAAGTTTCGTGTATCGGGACATTTCAGGTGTTCCGTGATACTGTCAGTACTTCGAAGGACATCTCCACCAATGCTCGTGCCATCGGAAAGCTGCACAAGGAAGCGGAACGTGTGAAACAGGTTCTTTCGGCTAACAAGGACACTTATGCGCAAGTCGAGGGTCTTTTCGAGGAGCAGAATTTCAGAGCAAAAGTAGAGAAAAGCATGTTTTGTATCAGATTTCAAATTAAAATAATTGAAGGTCACAAGAGACGATCTTGAAAAATTGATTGAAGACCTTGAACCACGAATTGCCGCTCCAATTCTTGATGCCATCGGGATGTCCCAAGTGAAAGTTGAAGACATTGATTTGGTTGTGCTCATGGGAGCTGGTACCCGTGTACCAAAAGTGAAAGACACGCTCAAGGACATTTTGAAAGGAAAAGTAGGCTCCGTTCAATTATCCACCCATATAAATCATAATTTGTTCAGGAAATCAGTAACTTCTTGAACACCGACGAAGCCATCGCCATGGGAGCTGTCTACCAGGCCGCCCACTTGTCCAAGTCATTCAAGGTTCTGCCGTTCAACATCCACGAGAAGATCCTCTACCCAGTTTTTGTTAATTTCCTTACGAAAACCGAGGAAGGAGAACTGAAGCCAGTGAGACGGTCGCTTTTCGGAGAGAACTACCCAGTTCCGAACCGTGTCATGCACTTCTCGTCGTATACCGATGACTTTAAGGTAAATTTAGAATTTTCGGGGCTTCTCACAAACTTCTATGCTTCAGATCGATGTCCAAGACGCCGATAAGAACCCATTGTCGACAATTGAAATCTCAGGTGTAAAGGATGCTATTGAGAAGGAAGTGACCGATGAGAACTCGGTTCTCAAGGGAGTCAAAACCACATTCTCCATCGATTTGTCTGGAATCGTGTCCGTTGAGAAAGCCAGCGTTGTTGTGGAGAAGATCCCAACCACGGAGGAGAAAGAGAAGTACGAGAGCGACAAGAAGGAGTTCGAAGATTGGGAGAAAGAGCAAGAAGAGCTGAAAAAGAAGGAGAAGGCCGAGAAGAAGGAAAAGGAAGAGCAGAAGAAGGCCGAAGGAGAGAAGAAAGATGAGGAAACTGCTGAAGAAAAGACCGAGGAGACTGATAAGCCAGTCAAGGTCAAGAAAACGAAGCCAGTTGAGCCCAAGGTCAAGAAGGTCAACGTAGCTTTGACCGTTGTGGAGACCAAAACCGACAACGTTGATCTCAACGAGGAGCAGGTCACTGCCGCTAAGAAAATGTACGTTTCCTGGTTTCACATGCAGTGTTCATTATAATTTTTCAGTTTGGGAGATTTCGAACAGACAGAGAAGGCAAAGCACGATCGTGAAGAGGCCATGAACAGTTTGGAGGGTCTTTTGTACGATTTGGCGGTCCGATTGGAAGATGGCGAGGAGTACGCCGAGTACGTCACTGAAGAGGAGAAAAAGGCGATTCTCGATGAAGTTGCTGTCCTGAAACTCTGGTTCGATGACGATGTATCGCTGGAAACCAAGAAGGAGGAGTTCGACGAAAGGCGTCTGAAGCTGGAGGAGCTGACCGCGAAGCCAAACGCCAGAAAACAGGAGCGACTCGATGTTCCTAAAGTAGCCGAGGTCCTTGAGGACCACTTTAATCGATCAATGACTTTCCATGCTATGGCTCTGAACTTGACCCAATTCGAAGAGGGAAACAAGACGTTCACGGACACCGAGCTCGAAGTTCTCACCAAACTAATCGAAAGCACGACGGAGTGGTGGTCGGAGAAGAAGGAAGTCTTTGAGAAGCAAGCCAAGAACGAGGACCCAGCTGTGAAGGCGTCTGAAGTTGCGGAAAAGGCCCGCGATCTGGAGCGTGAAGTCCGTTACCTCGTGAACAAGCTCAAGATTGCCAGTTCCAAAAAGAGCAAGGATTCCGAGAAAAAGAAATCGAAGAAGGAGAAGGGAACTCCGAAAGAAGAGGAAGGAAAGGCCGAGGAGACTGCACCGGAAGAGTCGAATGAAGAATCACAGGTATCTGCTCATCTTCCTTTCCTCCCCGTCCATCCCCAAGATTTTTGAGAGTTGAAATTCAGGTAGATGTTCGGGCCTCAATTAACAGTTAGCAATATTGCTGATAGTACGAGGCGGATGTTTTTGTTTTTTCCCGGATGACCGTTCGAATTACTCATTATAAAGTTCCCCTTTCTTAAAAATAAAATTATTTTCAGACGCCGCCACCGAATGAGTCAGAGACCAAAGAGGAGGCAAGGAAAGAGACGGAACACGACGCGTCGGAGCTGTAAACCTGTCAAAACAGATCATTGGCTACAGTAGCCATCAGAAGTGCATTCGAACTTTACCGATCTGTCAAAGACCAATCATCTAAAACTATCCACATCAGCTTCATCAACTGTCGCATGTCAAACACCTATCAATACTTTTTTTGAATAATTCAATATCATTTGTTTGTCTGTCTATGGGGCACAACTAGAGTCGAAATGAATTTCCAATGAGATGATAATGGGATGATGACAGAAGATATAAGAGAGTTTCCGTCATGTCTGATGCAATCTCTCAATATTGTCCGTCAAAACATCTCGTTCAATTGGATACTTCTTTTCGGCTCGAGTTGTGAGTTTCTTACTGTGAGTTTTCATCAGCTTTCAACTTGTTTCTAATCAAAACTTCTTCCCAACGAGACCTCCAAAAATTAAATTATTTTCCTTCTCTGTTTGTTACTAACTTATTTTTTTACCTGATTTCTATCCAACGGTTGTAGCTCACTAGGGTTTTCGAATTGTTCTTTTGACCTCTTTTTCCCCCGATAAAAGTTTCTGGAAATGTTATCAGTCCCTCGCCTCGCCTTCTTTTCCGATCCAAAACTGGTGTTTGGAAGAGAATGGTCTTTGTGATCGCGTGGGAATGTGCAGAGCTGTCGAGGATCGAGAGTTGCCGTGTTTTTGAAGAGAGAAATCTTTGTGCTGAATTTAAGTTCAAATACGTCAGCAGCAAGTGTTCATGGGAAATTGACTCTTTTCAACGGCGACCATCATTCCTATTCGTCCTCAATAACACGCCGCTTTAATAACAATACGATCCGAACACCTTGCGAACAAGATTCGAATGCCGACTGACGACGATGGGCCAAAGACCATCTCATTCAGGCTCAAACTATTCATTTTGGGTGCATGAAAGAGCTGACCAGTCATTTTTACTGTGTGATTTGCGCGACACTACTTATTTACTAGTAAATGGGGTTGATTAGTAGTGGTCATTGAATTATACAGTAAACCAGCAGATAGATAAAAAGCTGATATGGCTTTCCTTGTCAATGACCCCGACGGAAAAGTGATTGCTTTGCTTTTAGAGAAGTACGGTATCCGTTACAAAAATAGAATTGTAGTTCATGACATGAATGGCACGTGATCCGTGTATGGATCGCAATGGTTCATGTTATTGTCTATTTCCATGTGAGAAATCTATTTTTAACTTGAAACCTATAAAGGGCAGGTTGTACTAGCACGAGAACAGAATGATCACTACTTTTTGAACGTCAGCTGCTTGAATGCTATCAGTTAGTCGTACTGTCCACTCCGTTTCCTTATCAGGTCGCTCCGAAAATATGCCGTCCCGATTTCGCAACATTTCGTCTCAAGAAGCATCAGGCGATCGAGCACAAATCGCGCGCTGGTTGTTCGAACTTCAATGACTATGACGACACCTGTCAACAAACCCACGTTGCTGGCGATCCGATAAAACTTGGCTGCTGGAGGCACTAGTTAGAAAACTGATAAGACACGTTCTCCTCTTCCCTCCCTCTCCCGTCTCTGACAGGTTTTGACGATCACTTTCTGCGTGCAACGCATCACTCCATCTCTCCGCGTTGCAGAAATGAAGACCGAAAGAAAAGAGACAGTTGTCTCAACTGGGCCACGTGGGGGCCCGTGGTCGACTGCAAACAGTGACGTCGCGGACGACAGGGGTCTCTGATAACAGACACTGGACCGTGTGTTATCAGTGGAAAGATGATCATGCCAGAAAGGTTGTATGCAAATGAGACTTGTGTCGGTGTGTCCATGCTAGGATAGTGTAGTGCGTCGAAGTGAGGGCGGAAGTCGAAGATGTGAGGTGGCAGGTTGAAGAGATTGAAGATCAAACTTTCATGGCAGCGGGCAAACACTGAATTGTTGTGCTGCAGTCTTGAGCTCTCAAAACAATCGAGCTGGAGTTCACCTTCACCCCCAACCCTCAACCCCCTCACCAGCTGGGCACCGAGATCAAACTCTCAAACCTATCTTCTTCAACTACCACTGCTCAACTCTCTTATCTTTGATGCAGAAACTCTGCGCACATTCCGCGGAAACTTTTGAAAGTCATGTGATGTATCTTTAAAAGTGTGGGCGACAGCTTCTTATCGTATCTGTGGTGTGACTGCACAAACTACACGCAACGGCTAGAGAAATGACGTCATCTTTGCTGGATGGTCCCTGTGTACGTAGTTTGCTCATTGGACTGAATGGGTGCACTGTGCACCCATTTACGACACCATTATCTCACAAGTCAGTCCGCGTTCTGTTTTGATAGTGACACAGAGATAAATATACAAGTGCGTGGCAGTTTCCGCCGTAAGGATGCGTGTGCATATTATTCATAATCTAATCTTGTCTTCAGAAGATCACGTGACGCAGTTAGTCATCCTCGTCATAATTTCTTGCCCTCATTCGATGCCAATCGTCTACTGCGGTTCTTCAACCCTTCTCGGGTTCTTGTTTCTTGATTCAGGCGATCTCATCAATCCACAAAACATGCCTCCCAGATCACATCACTTTGTTTTGAGCGGGTGGTTCTCGCCCAGCTGATGTCAGTGATAGTAGCGATGAGAATCCACGTACTCGTCTAGTCCTCACTGCTTTCATCATCTAATTGGTCGAAGTCGAACAGTCCATTTCCTGTCTTCTCCTTCTCTCTTCCCCTCCTCCTTTTTTAAATTGAAGATAAGGTTAGCGATATCTTATATAATCTTATATATATTTATACATATAAATTAGTGAAAGTAGTGGCTAACATTCTATTACTTTCGATTGCGGTACGCTAAGATTCTCTTATATCAGTTGGTTCATCTTTTCATCTCCCCCTATCTCTCAGCTATCATCAAAAGGAATGAGCTACTAGATCCACCAGAAACTAACCCGAGTGACCAGCAGCGGTCACTCGATCGAGTCACTCCAACTATACGATTTTTCGCCTCTTCAACTGATAACATCGCTTCCACCCTCGCTTTTCGTCGAAGTGATAACACATTTCCGTGTTCCAAGAGTCGTTATCAGGAGGGGAAGAGAAACTGTCAAGTTATATCGAGGCAAACGCATTTTTATTGTTTCTGGTCTCCGATCCAACCATTATTATTTAAACCCCAAAGAACAATCACACTGTGGAAGGGGTCGGTACAACTGGACTGGACGGTGATGTTCCTTAAGACTGCTCGTTTGTTACACTGAGGCCATTAAATCGCCTATAAAGCGGTCAAATCAATGTTCTCAACGCCAAGAACCCTTTCATAGTTCACAACAAAACTGTCTGCCACCCATCAGACCGACCATTATCTTTTTTCTGTCGTCTAATTAGAAAGGAGAAGTGAAATGGGAGAAAATCATCTTTTTCGTCTTGATCTTCTCCATTTTGTTGCGCTACGAAAGTTTTCTGTGAATGTATTTAGCTGGCCGTTTTTGCAAGGCTGTGACCAGAGATGATGCAATATTGTCTCCAAGATTTCTCGCCCCCGTCCCCGATCGGCCATTTGATGATCGTCTTTCGTGTTGCTCGTCGGTTATGGTATTGAAATGTGCGCCTGATATTACATCACATTCAGCACCGACGGTCAACGACGAAGACGAAGCAAACATCTTTCACCGCCATGAAAGGGCACTATTCTCACGGTCTCTTCTCGTTTTTGTTATTTGTCTGGCCAAGCATCTCATGATCGTCAAACTCTGACGAGTCAACCACGAGGAGCTCGAGTCTACGTTCAAATTGTGCAGACCCCACGTGGTGGCACAAAGGATCTCGTCATTTTGTGACATCATGATGAGTAATGAGTACCTCAGAAAAAAACTTCAGAAAACTTTGTGAGTGGTACTGTAGACTTCCTTGTTTCTCCCCTCTCCATTCTTTCTCAATAGTCTTGTGATGACAAAAAACGAAACTACAGTAGTCTATAACTGAGCACAAGCAGCTGGGCTCTTTACGTTTTCGCAACTTACTACTCAAACAAACGCACTCACGTGGACACATATTGTTTGAACTATTTTTTGCGACCACAGGTCTGCTAACTAAATCGGTTGAGGTTTTGTTTGAGCTTTTTTTTAAACCAAGGCTCAAGTGACGAGCACATCTATCTCTTCGCCGATTCTTACATTCTGCCAGACGTTTTTTCTTAGGGGAGGCAGTGGCGCCAGATGCACTCGCTCCTGCCAATCTGCTCCCAGCAACACATGTGCGTTATGCCGTTTCTCTCATAACCTCCGCCGAGTGGTCCTGACGTGTAGTGACTACCTTTGACTATTTGGCAACTGTTACCCATATCATGACAATTGTTTTTGCCCCCTCGGGTCAAAAGCTTTTCCATTTCTTCTTCCGATCAGTGGGCGGAGTCGACGTCCTGGCTGGAGGCCGCGGTCGGTCGGTCGGTCGCCGCCGACGCCCGCCCGCCCCTCTGCCTTTCCCTTCCATCGGCCACATTCTTCACAACATCTCATCATTTGTTCGCGCTGCTCTCCCCACGTGCGGCGGGCCTCCGCCTCCCTCCCTCTCTCTTCGGTCTCGGGTGGACTCGAAGCGTCCGCTGCCACCCCGGCCGAGATGTTTTCTGCCGCCGTTGCCGCACTGCAGAGAGGGCCCTCCTTTCGTCCTCCGACCCCCGCGCACTCGGCCGCAACTCTGCGCCTACCACACTCACACACTTTCTCCTCTTTTGGCGCCAATTCGCCCGTCCACTCTGCGTTCAAACATCAGCTGGACCAGCTAACCTCGCACGTGGAAACGATACATTTTCCGCTTCCGCAATTAATCGTGTTTTGCATAATGTCGTTGATATCACTTCCGCGCTTCCGTTTAATACAGCCTCAACTAGCATTTCTTGCAGATTTACTACAACCATGCCAGCGATTCTCTCCCGTGTTGCTCCACGCATTCAATACATTGCTCCAAGACTGATGGCCACTGCCGCTCGCTTGGAGCCAGTTCATAGAGAGGATATCCAGAAGGAATACGACCCGAAGAAGACTTTCTACGTAAGTGATCAGTGCCCAGGTTCTCAGAGAATTTATTTTTTTCAGCATAGAGATCTCGAGATTCAACTCGCCAAACCCTCGCAGCTCAAGCGCAGACCGATGGACCCTACCAAACTCAAGTTCGGCCACAGCTATGCTGACTACATGATGACCTGCGATTGGCACCAGGATAAAGGATGGGGAGCGCCCAAAATCGAACCGATTGGGCAGCTGAGCATCCACCCAGGAGCTAAGGTAAAAGCACGATCTTTGGCTTTTTTTAGCTTTCTGTGGGGCTTCAATCAGAAATGGCGCCGGCGCGTCATTGTTTGTAGCGTTCAATAGACTGATAAGCGTGCAACTACTGTTTCAGGAAAGCGTTATCAGTAGGGAAATGAGCGAAAGTGCATATTTTAGCGATTATGTCAATCAGGGTGAGATGTATCTCGAGACGTCACGTGGCAACATTGGCACGGGCAAAAAGCGCACATATCTATCTCTTGCGAGTTTTTCTATCCGTCGGAGGTCGCAACTTTCAAAAATGATGCAACGACGTCACCTGTCGGCGCCAAAAGTTCAACGGCCCAGAAATACATCTATCTTCTTGTTTCCCTGACCTCTCCGAGTCCAATCTGTGAAACCTGATAGGGTGGGCATGTGGTGTGAACCGTGAAGTGAAATGCGAAACGAGGGGAAACTAGAAAATGAATTGATATCACTTGAGCACATGGGCTTAGCTTCTGGTTTAGCCGATCATAAAGCGAGGGATGATTAGCACGAGGAACTAGGAAACATTATCGGTCCAAAACACATTTTAAAACTAATTAGTTCCGTTGTTTTTTTTTCCAGGTTCTCCATTACGCCAGTGAGCTGTTCGAAGGAATGAAGGCCTACCGTGGTATGGACAACAAAATTCGGATGTTCCGACCAGAGATGAACATGGCCCGAATGAAGAGAACCGCTCTCCGCGCCGCCCTTCCGGTAATTGACTTTCTACATTCTTTGGCGCGTCGTAAAAACAAAAAAGGCAAAAGCGTGACGAGGAAGCCCATTAAGTGATACGCATCTTAGTGTGGGCTCAATCAACTTAGAGCACATGCGAAGGAAGAAGTAATTAGTTTGAAAGACGAGTAGCGCGATAAAACAACTGACGACAAAAAAAGGAAGAGGGAGAAGGAAGTAACGGAAAGAACTTGCAGGACTTCGACGGTGAGGAGTTCATCAATGTGATGACCGAGATGCTCCGTTTGGACCAGGAATGGGTTCCGCACTCGGACATTTGCTCCCTCTACATGCGTCCAACTCTCATCGGAACTGACGTAAGGGATCGAAAAGGAGAAAACCATTAGATGAAAGAATCATTGCAGCCAACGCTCGGCGTGGGATGTGCTACCGAGGCCAAGATGTTCGTGATTACCGGACCTGTCGGAGCCTACTACCCAACCGGATTCAACCCAGTCAACCTTCTCGCCGACTCCCGCTTTATCCGCGCTTTCCCAGGAGGTGTCGGAGCCTACAAGATGGGATGCAACTACGCCCCGACCATCTGGGTTGGAAAGGAGGCCGCCAGCAAAAACTGCCAACAAGTGCTGTGGCTGTACGGAGAAAACGAGGATCTCACCGAAGTAGGAACCATGAACATCTTCCTGTTCTGGAAGAATGAGGAGGGAGACTTGGAGCTGATCACGCCGCCACTCCACAGAGGACTCATCCTTCCGGGAGTCACCAGAGACTCACTGCTCGAGCTCGCAAGAGAATGGGGAGAATACAAGGTGACTGAGCGCACGTTGAACATGATCGAGGTGAAGAAGGCGATCGCTGAGAAGAGGCTCTACGAGATGTTCGGATCGGGAACCGCTTGCGTCGTCTCGCCCGTCGGAAAGATCCTCTACCACAACAAGAAGACGGACGAGTACGAGGAGCTCGTCATTCCGACGATGGCCAGCAAGTTCAACGTTATGAAGAAGTTCTACCGCACGATTAACGACATTCAGGTGAGAAAACTGTTTGCATCTGAACGAATTCCAATTTTTTTTTCAATTTCAGTACGGACGAATCATCAAAGACGGATGGATGCGCGAAATCTAATCTCCCCTCAACTGCCAATCTTCACATAATCATCGCATTTTAACACTAACAATGGGTTCGCTTCGAAATCTCGGATTTTAAATGACAATCACCAGGCCTCGACTTCAAAAGTCGGCCGTTTCGTAATCTTCTTGAGCTTTTTTTGACATGCTAAAAACAATTGTAAGCCGGAAACTTCCCCCGAATTCTGGTAGACAATTCAGAATAGTAAACGGGACAGTTTTTGGCGCAAAATAATATTAGTTCATTAGACACGTTCATTTCAAAAGGTTTTCTCCCTCACTCCCCTCCCCCTCCCCTCAAAAACGCTTGTGTCCCGGTTTTACTACTCCGCTTGTTTGTTACTTTATTCAATCAGCCTCTAATTCTAGCAATATTCTCATATGTATGAGCAATTTTTGTGAATATGATTACAAATTCTGTTCTATTGCATGCAATATTATTCGGTTGACTCTTTTCTCTAATAAAAATCATTTCTTTAACGAACGGATTATTTACTCTAGAGATAGGGTCTGAAAGCTTGCTCTAAATCATCCGATCGAGCTGATACTTGGACGCAAGATATTTCAGTCCAAATCTAAGAAGCCTGCAAAGTTTGGATACGATTGGAATATTGCAAGTGGTTCCAAAGTCCAAGCCCAGCCAGGCTCTCGAAAGGCCCGGCCCAGTCCTGTCTTAAATACGGGGAAAGCGACTATAAAATGTCTATTGGACCCTACCCGATTGGGCAACGGCAGATTAATTTCCCGAATAAGTGAAGTCTCAGTTTGTGGTTATATCATTTATTGTTGCATACAATTATCAATATTTTTGCGGGAAAAAGCGCATGCCACTGGAAACAGTGATCTTCACTCGATCTATGAAGTGAATAGTCAGTGTTTCGGGGAGCAGACGCTGAAAAAACCCAAGATAACTGGAAAAGAGAGCAGAAAACGACATAACAAAGATGGTATTCCTAGAAGATAAATGGACACTGAATCGAAATCAAGAATCAAGGGGTGCGATAAACTTGTTTCGGATTTGGTTAATGTCGTTTCTGGGATGGATAGAGAGAAAATAAGAATGGAAGGTTGTGGGAAACGAGAACTTGGGTCTTAGAGAACAACGCAGCTCTTCTTCTCCTGGAACGGATTATGCTGGTCAGTTGGTCCGGAGGCCAGCATGTCTTTTGTCTCGTTTTTCTCGCAGTACTCGAGAAGTCTGGAAAGGAGCAATCGTTACTTTAATTTTCCCCACCAAACTGCTTTTTGCCCGTAAGAACTCACTCTTTTGCAGTCTCGGAGACCTTCTTGCGTTGAACAGAGGCCTCGACACGCAGTTGGTCAATAGTAATCTTCATGTGATCCATATCAGATGGTTTCTGTAAGAATATTTGCTGAAAGTGGGGAGGTGGTAGTGGTAGCTCGCCCGACATTTTGTTAGAAGTGAAATGAAAGAGGTGGACAAGTTTGGTGCCGGCTCAAAATGAGTGGGTTTGATGGGTGAAACTGCCAATTTTACGATCGAAGGCCTTGCTCTTTCGATAAAATTGCAGGCTTCGGCATGGCCTTTGAGTGCCGGCACGCGCTTAGGCTCGAGCCTCAAATTGTTTATGGTGAAGGACTGGAAGGAAACGGAGCGGCGGGGTAAACGGCCGAAAAGGCCTTATGCTCAGCCGAATGCAATCTGGTGTTGCGCCAAAAACTTACCTAATCCGTATGATTTAATTTCGTGTAGGTTTTCTGGAAATTGTCACTTAGCGGCAACTGCATTTTATTCTATTCTGGCCACTTTTTTTTTCTAAAAATCAGTTCAGTTTTGGATACTGTACCATTTGTTGTTTGTTATTGATGTTCCGGTACTGCCAGCACTTTTCACAATTAGCAATTCATTCCTCATCTAAAAATTAAGGCACCTAAGATTGTTATGATAGAATGAATTTGTCGTGGTCGGGACCAATGAACAACTGATCTTACTAGTCTCCTTTTGAACCTTCTCAAAACGGCAGATTATTTCTCCGAATAAGTGAAATGTGAGTTTGTGGTTATATCATTTATTGTTGCATACAATTCACAATATTTTTGTGGGAAAAAGCGCATGCCACTGGAAACAGTGATCTTCACTCGATCTATGAAGTGAATAGTCGGTGTTTCCGGGAACAGACGCTGAAAAAACCCAAGATAACTGGGAAGGAGAACAGAAAACGACATTACGATGGTATTTGTAGAAAAGAGAAAAGCAAGGATTGAGATAAAATGGAAGACCGGAGGATGCGATCAACTTCTCTTTGATCTTGTTTATGACGTTTCTGGATTGGGTCAGAAGAAAAATGGGGGAGAATCTTGAGATTAAATGATTATCGGAAGCAAATTTAGAGCACAGAGCAGCTCTTTTTCTCCTGGAACGGATTGTGCTGATCCGCCGGACCGGACACCAGCATGTCGTTCGTCTTGTTCTTCTCGCAGAACTCGAGAAGTCTAAAAAAGGGCAACAATTAGGGGAAAAATAATGTTGAGAGCAATCAGAGGACTACAATTCTCCCACCAAACTGCTCTTTGCCCCATCTGACTCACTCTTTCGACACCTCGGACACCTTTTTGCGCTGAATAGCGGCTTCGGCACGTAGTTGCTCAGTGGTCGCCTTGATGTTGTCCATGTCAGTTGGCTTCTGAAAAAGTTGTAATTGTCAGTTATTTTGTTAGAAGTGAAATGTAAGAGGTGGACATAATTGATTCCGGCTCAAAATGATGGGTGAAACTATCAATTTTACGATCGAAGAGCTAAATTGTATGCTTCGGCACAGGCCTGAGCTTGATCCCCAAATTGTTTATAATGAAAGTGCTCCATCGAATGGAATCTGGTGTTGCGTCAAAAACTTACTAAACTGTCGTGACGAAGGACATGACTGGTGGAGGAAGAGGGCAATAAAATCCTTGTGAGAATGAATGGTTCTCCACAAAAAGTGTTGTTCAAGATTAGGTCTGGCTCCTCTTTTTCCGCAAGTCATTTTGTCAAATCGCCTTCAGGGGATTCGTCGACAGGATTTGAGCGCAACGGATTTGCCACTTTTTTTTCTACTTATAGCCATACCTCAGGAAGAGCCGTCATTTTTTCTCTGGCTAAGAGTCGAATAGAGAAATATGAAAGCAGGGAAGGCAGTATTGATACTAAATGTGACTTATTCGCGTATATGTAGTGGACTTCTACCGTATGCCAGCTAGATTGACTTCAATTTTCTGGCATCCCTCCCTCTTTTTATCCTCTCTAAATCCCGCAGTGTGCGCACCTTCTGTTGTTTGTTTTTGCCACATTTTACGCAAAAAAAACGATGTCATCACTATTGATGGTCTCTTCAGAATTACTTCCATTGTAAGGAAATGAAAGTATCCTTGCATTTGCTTTTCGGAAAAAAACTAATCAGCAAAAAAGTACACGGACTACGTGGAGCACAAACTACTGTGTATTATTAACAAACGAGCAAAGTGTCGTTACACTGCTGTATGACAATTTTTAACCCCATGGTCTTTTTTGATAGCTTTTATCCTTGGTTGCTAACTACTATTAATGTGAACGCTTTCAACCAGCCGGCACCTAATCTTACGGGGTACCGAGGTACGGAGAGGGCAAAATGAGAAGAAAGGTAGATGCGGTCTTAGCTCGGAACACAACATGTACCGACTATTGCATGCAAAAAAAGAGGCGATGATTAAAGATGTACAACGAAATAACTGTCTTGGAAATTGCAACGAGTGTGATATCCGAAACGGAAAGAGCCGCGAGTATAAAGTAAGCGAGCTCTACGGCGGAAATCTCTCATTTTCGTTCCCACACAGCTCACTTTTTTCAGCCTAGACGGTTATATTTCCCATAGGAACGCGGACATTCGAGTTCACTTTGAAAAGTGCACTGGGAGCCTGGGCAAGTCACATGCTTTTGAGCATTGAGTGAGCTGCTCGGAAAGTGCCAGAACCACGCTCGAAAACACCTGGTTACCGCGGGAAAATAAATTGGATAAGCAGATGAAAATGGGTAAATTCAATGTGTCCAATTGATGTCAGTTACCTGCCGGTGGTGACTCGCCATTTTTTCTGGGTGTATTGCTGAATGAATACCGGAAAGAAAAGACAAGTGTGTGAGGACAGATAGTGATGCACTGATTTTCAGATTCAATGAAGCCAATCAGAATTTTCGTCTACTTGGCTGGATCAATCTTCAGAAAACTAAAAAACGGACGAATTAGCCTCGTCGTGTAGTTATGAGTCAGACTGGGCTGAAAAAGTTCGAGGACCATCGAGAGTAGAAGGACTTGAAAGTTTGGTTCTTCTAGCTAAACTAACATAAGTGTACGCTCAAGCCGACAGACTAATTTCAGCGAGCATACTTCAATCGACGTTCACTTGGGAATGCACGAGCGTTGATATAACTAATCCTGCTTATTGTCAGCAATGAATACGCTTTAGCTATTATTATTATGGGCTCATGAACACGAAGAAGAAGAGGAAGGCTGGAGCTAACCTCCGTAATAAATATTGAAACTCATAATAAACGTGATGTTCAGACAAGTAGGATAGCTGGCAGTAGCAAAAGCACGCAAATTCAAGCATTCTGGGGATAATGGTAGAAGGCAGGTGAAAAGTGAGAAAGCCGCATAATTAGAAATGATTGGAAAGGTGCTTTCACAAATAGCCTCGAATTGACTCCACCCACAGATTACTGGCGAGGTAGGCGTGATTGCCTATTCGCTGTAATAACAATAGCGGCTAATGGGATTTTGATTGGATATTAGATTGTGGAAATGAATATTTTGGGGGGAGAACGAGTAAGGAACCGAATATCAGAGTGACAGCGGCTTATTACGGAACGTGATACGCTCAGCTCACGCCTCGTCGACCTCGTTAGCGATTGGATCGAAACCGAAATCTCTTTTGTCCGCCTCTTGATCTATGCTGCCGAGACACACGGCAGTGGCTATTCAGGTGGAGATGTCGGGAAAATATTCCATTAACGGATTATCATAATGATATCCACCTGGCACACCTGGAAAGACTGCCGTATGTTCTTGCGGCACACCAGAGCAGACAGGCCCGGGCTTTTCGAAGACTTGATCGGACCCAAACTTTGCAGGATTCTTGGATTTGGATTAAAGTTTCTCAAGTCCAAGTCTCAGCCGGATCGGAGCATCTGGTCCCAAGATGATTTAGAGCCGAAAAAGCCACAATCTTCGCAAAAACGACACTATTGACGGGGACCGAGTAAAATTGTAGAGAGAAGTTTATGGAAACATCTTCCTGATGAACAGTAATGTGCTGGATTTCAGAAATAAAGTCATCACACAGATGATTATAATACATCCTTTTCCAAGAAAACTTACTTACTTCTAGAAAAGAATAGTTTCTTATCACAAGTTCTAGTCACAAGTTGACGCGGTTACATGCGTATCAGTCTCCCGTTGCCCGCACACCGACCACCGCCACCACCAGCGCTCTTTTTTCGCGTCGGCCAGCCAGCATGCAGCGAAAGAGACCCTCGCTCTTGTCTCTCCTCCCCATTCCTCTCGCATCTTTTGTTCGGGTGTCTACTGCGAACGCTCGCCTTGCCGCTGTGCAACGATGTCCGAGTGGTTAAGGAGATGGACTTGAAATCCATTGGGCTTTGCCCGCGTAGGTTCGATTCCTGCTCGTTGCGTTACGTTTTTGTTCTCTTAGAGTACATTACGAAATACTTTTTCTTCGCAATAACACGTGTTTTATCCTAAAAAAACTGCACAGAAGTGCCTTATACACTTAAATGATTGTCATTTCTAAAAACATCATCACAATCAGTGTGCCTTACCGAAAGGGTTTCGATAAATTTACCGGTAAATTTACCGGTAAAAATTTCGGTAAATTGTCGGTAAATTTTCGGTAAAACTTTTTTACCGAAAGAGTTTCGGTAAATTTTCGAAACAAATTACCGAAAATTTACCGATAAATTTACCGGTAAATTTACCGAAACTATTTCGGTAAAAGTTTCGGTAAATTTTATCGGTAAAAGTTTCGGTAAATTTTATCGGTAAATGGGTACTTTTTCGAAACAATCTTCAATTTTGAGAACGGAACATTGAGGCGACTGTTCAGCGTGTTCCTGATGTTTGGGATGTTGTTCAGAATGTTCTAAATTGGTCACATCAGTCACTTCCCTTGTCAAAAAAAGAACGCCGGTGCCGCGCCTTTTCGGTATCGACGGCACCGCTCGGCGCCTCAATTTTTTTCTGTTTTTCTTTTTAACGAACAGTTTATTTTCGAATGAGGAACTTTGGTGACACATTAAATGCGAAAATCGTTGCATAGCATTATAAAAAAATTTGATTGAAAAAAATTGAAAAAAATTTGAAAAAAATTATAAAAAAATTAAAAATCAAAAATTTTTTTCTTTCGGTAATTGTCGAAAGGAACGATTTACCGGTAAATTTACCGGTAAATTTACCGAAACTCTTTCGGTAAAAACGTTTTTACCGAAAATTTACCGAAATTCACTTCTTTCGGTAAAAAAAATTTCGGTAAGGCACACTGAATGCAACATTTTTCTTCAATTTAATAACTACAACATAGTAAATGCGCTCTGTTGAAATTATGATTTTCGACAAGCAAAAATAGAAAGAAAGTTATTTCGCGGATGGAGAACTCAGCCCCGGAGATATCAAAAAGATCGGTTTCTCTACAGAGCGCATTTTTATTTTCACAAATAGAGTCTATGGACAGAAAGGAATAGTTCAGAAGTCGAAAAGAAAAGAAACGCATCTGGTTTGTGCATATTTATCAACAAGTAACATTCCGTCCGCTTCGATGGCACATTCACTCCGTTTCACAAATTCCTAATTATGCCGCTCCTCTGATTTCAGGTGACATTCGCATGACTTTGACGTCAATGAACAGAACCGCAACATTGTAGTTTGTAACATAAAAACGACTTTCCTCAAGATTACTGAAAATGACTTATAGGGAGAACTGAAACAAAGTTATTTTTAGAAACAAAGAAATTCTCAATCTTCGATAGAAGTAACCTTGTATGTACTTCAAAAAATCGAAAAAAGTGAACGCAACGAGCAGGAATCGAACCTACCCGGGCAAAGCCCAATTGATATCAAGTCCATGCACATCATGTTCAGAGATACTGTCTTGTTTCGTCGATCCCCTTAGCCCATAGACGACCGGGCGCACCGCGCAAAGCGGGAGGAGAGAAGGTGTACACGATGACAGTCCAGTTTACGGGAACATCGATGCAGAGATGCGGTGTTCAAGGCCGTCTACAGGTGTACGGATATATGCGAATCGTCTTCCAGGCTGGCATAGCCGCGTGTGCGGCAACGCTTCTTAACCCATTTATTTCGTGTTTGTTTCCGAAACAGTAACTCAGTGTTTTGTGTGTGTGTTTGTTTTTGCTATTTCGGTTTTTCACACTGACCTTTCCGGGGTGTTAGTACAAACTATTTAGGACTTGATCTTTTACAGGTAGCCCCTTTTAAAAGTGAACTTGAACTTTTCATTGATCAGATCAAGTTACCGTCGAATCGTGTTATTTGATACTCATGTTTAGGCTATCTTTGTTATGAACTTGCAATGTCTCATAAATTTTGAATGTTTGGAAAAAAACATATAAAAACGAACGGAAATATTCCTTTTTCTGCTGCACAGTACCATAACTAATGAGAGCCAATTGATACATATTCTAAAAGCAAAAGAGTCAGTCCTACTGGTTTCGTGTTCGGCTCCGCTATACGTCATGTTCAGTGTTTGTTGTTTCATGTTGCGAAACAGCTGATCATACAAGTTTGAGTTCGGGGAAAATGTTCCAAAACGTGTCGTCGAAAACGATTTCTAACCAGAATTTTTATAATTTTTCTCTGACGTGTTCACAGTTTTATCCAGACTTGTAAACTAAAGATTTTGCTGGCCCGGTCTGAATATTTCACCTTTAACAATTTATTTGCACATTTATTTGAAAATTTTGGACTAACATAAGTTGGTGCCTCCCATTGAGCTATTGAAAACAGTCACACTCTGCGGTTTTTTGTACTTTCTCGGAGCAACCGCTCCTGCGTCCGTTCCGAATGAATGCAAATTGCAAATTCATTTGTTGCAAACGCATCTCTTTGATTCAAAATTAGACGTAATAGGATTTGGTTGCAACTTGCAGTAGCATTCTGGAATGTGGCAGACTGTATTCTTCTTCTTCACTCATCTATGATCTCAAGTTTACCAGCAAGATTTGAAAATTGAACTCTGGAATGTACGAGAGAGATAATAATTCGATCATCCTTCTTATGTCAGCCAGCGTCATCATGTTTTCTTGCATTCAAGTGGAGACTTTGCCGTGAATCACAAGAACTTTCTCATTGACATAAAGAAATTGTGTTCAGCGAACAAGCAGAACACCTTTTTGCTTGCTTCTCAACTGCATTTTTCAAAAATCTGTTGAAACTAATTGAATTCCTTCCTTTCACATATATTCCCTTCATCAACACAAATCTGAATAGCGTCGACGACGCACGGGCAGTCCGATTGCAAAGGATGATGGGATTTTGAACCGAAACGCATTCACTTTTTGCTTTTTGCATGCTGAAGTACACAGTGAAAGTGGTGGATGGCAGCTTGTACGTATGTGTGATTATCGGAACATTGGAATGAAGTTGTCGAAGCGAAGACCCCCCGGGAGCGGCCTGTATGAAAAGACAAAGTGCACGTGTTTTCGTGAGGGTAGATCGCCGCTCGCCCTCTGCTGTCCGCCTGTTTGCTTTCTCCCCCTTGCTTTGTCTATTTTCGGAACAGACCGGCTCCCGATCTGGACTTCAATCGTCTTTTTCTCCTTCTCAACACTGTTTTCTTGCTTTTCCTCATGTCATGGTCATCATGCGGTCATACTTTTGTAAAGTTCTTCCTTTTTTCGTGAATATGACGATACATTTCATTGAAAAGTTTTTTTAAAGCCTTATTCAATAAGATTCTCCGAAATGATCTGCTGTTTTTCTGTCAAAATCTGACATTATTATCCATAACTTTCGTGGAAAACGTAAATCGTTGTTAGGTTGATGCTAGTCCATCAAGGGCGAGGTCCAGCCGGCAAAACAACTAATGGAAGATCTTGTTTTGGAAAATAGTCGCCTCCTTGTCGTATATTCGAATGAGCATAACTCATAACACCCATGAACACAAGACGGACCTCTCCTCTCCTCGTCCATGTTTTTATTTCAAAGAGGGGGAAGGAGGGAAAAGCGGAGAGGCGAAGAACACAGAGATTTTCTTTTCCGTTGACATCCAGAGAACCAGTCTGGTCGTTCGTTTATGTTTTTACTCCCAAATGAGAAGAACAGGCTAAAGCCTTCCGCATTTTTGTTTTATGTATGTAAAATCTTGAGATTAATCTCTCATATAAGCTCTACTACGTCATTATTTATTGGCAAGCAAGTAAAGAAGAGAACACAAATGAAACTTTACAAGGGAAGTGACAACCGTTTTCAGATTTATTCCTATTTTTGGGCATTTCTTCAGGATTTTCCAAATCGGTCACACCTCTTTTGTTTCAGACAAGAAAATGTCCTTCTTGAACCTTTTCGCCCTCTTCCCGTCCCTATTCGTTTTTGAGCTCGGAAATGCTGCTGAAGAACATCGCATGCGCTTGAAATTCGAACTCTCATGTGACCCTCTTCCTCGGCTCCACACGCACGCTTTTTTGTTTGATGACATGAAATGCATTGAAAGATGAGTTGCATCTCAACATTTTCATGTTTCATGAGACATATCAATTTTTTTTTGTGTCGCGCTGATTACTATCGATTGATTGTCCAGCGAGAGGCAAGAGAACAACGGCGATGAAAAGGAAAGCGATTTTATAGATTTAGAGGGAATGGATATTGGAAGAAAGACCAAAAAGGATTTGGAAAGATAAAGCTAGTCTTTCATGATAGTCTTTCAATAACATTTCGAAAATTTTTCAAAAATCACTTTTCCCGAAAAAGTATTTCGATGAGGCACACTGGGCTATGAGACTGATCAAATTTTGTTAAAAAGTTAATCTAGTCACAGAGCGTATTGAACATTTCACATTCCGTTCTGTCAATTGTTTATGCTATTCGAGCAACTCAACAGAGTTTATTCCATCCTATCGTTTTTTTTTTTTGATAATCATAACTTTGATCACATTGTTCATTTCACCGAATATTTATATAAACTATCCATTCCTTCCAGATTCCTCTAGTCCACACTTTCCAATCTCACATTCCCACATTCGGATCTGATTCTGGAAACCGTTGTCCCCTTTCGTCGCAAAACCAACATCCCTTCTCCCGCATTCTGGTATATAGTCGACGTCGAAAGTTTGGTCATTTCGCATCGACTTTCACTTTTCACTTCACTCTGTCATTGCCTTCATTTTTTCGTTTCATGTTGTGTTGTTTGTAGCCAGCCGGTCACAAGTACTTCTCAGAACAGATTCTCTGATTTTTCTCCTATTTCTTTTAATCATTCCATTCTCCTCATGAAGATGGTGTCGGTGTTTGAGCTACAACTGATCAAAACAGAACGAATGGAACTTCTTCGCTATTATCCACTTCTAAATCTAAATCTGTCTGCTGGTTTCTCTCCTCGACTCAAATTGAGCAGCAATAGGAATAGGAATAGACAACTCACGTAGTTTGTTATGTTTTTTTTCCAAAATCAAATTTCCTCTAATTCTCGCGCACAAAACCAAAACAAATGATATCCGTCCATGCAGAAGAGGAGGGCTTAGCGTAGCATCAGGGGAAAACGCCCACGTGTGATGAGTCTGTTTACTGCTTTTGTAGAGGTTGAAATCTTCGGTTGTATATAAGCAAGATTTTCTGTGTGTAGAAACCGTCACTCAGATTCAAAAACCCCGGATTTTTTAACCGGGCTGTGTCCACCGGCCCTGCCCGGCCCGTATCAAGCCTGCAGAAAATACAATTGTAGAATTAGATCTCTCAAATACCTCTGTCTAACACCCCCGGCGCTTCTCTGGCAGGCTCTTGCAGACGTCATCGTAGTTCTACAAAAACTACGTACTTTCATTCCCCGCTTTATAAAATACAACTACTACCAGTCTGCCGCCGCTTGACACCCAGCGACTACAAGCATAGAGCCATCAGAACACAAAAAATCCAGATTTCGTTGTGACTTCTTTCCGATCACTGGTGTATTCGTGTGTGTGTGTGCCTGATTTTTTGTTTACGCAAACTTTGTTGTGTTGTTGTTGGTTAGTTCGGAGGGGGTAAGGGGTAGGAGGGTAGGGGGGCAAGCTTCAACAACTCCCAGCAGCCTCTGTTTATGGAATCCGCGTTCATTGCTTCAACGCACGACTAGTTTTAATTTGGCATGTGTCCCTTCCCCCCTCACATTTATTCTTCTCGGCCAGCAAGCATCAGGAAAGAAAGAGAGAGTGAGTGAGAGAGAGAGAGAGAGAGAAAGGCAAGCGGGATAGGCTGACGCTCGAGCAAAATCCGGCGTTCGTTCGGTTTATTCGAAGAAGCGAAGGAATGCCAAAACAAAAACAATTTGCAGCTCAGTTACGCACTGATTTCGCAGTCAATTCTATCAGTTTACTTCCAAACCTTTTTCTTTTCACATTCCCATAAACCGTTCGACTTGAGCGTCAGGGCATTCCCAAGACAACAAAAACACCTTGACAGAGGACGATAACGGATTCCTTTCATTCCGCCTTTCCCCCCTCTCCAACCTCACAGATTTTTCTCATTTCTATGTGAGATTCAATCAAAACGCCCACCGACAGGCAGCATCAAACTAAACAGCTTTTCGGGAAGACGATCAAGTGCCAAGAGGCTTTTCGAATGTTTCTTTGTATTCCAAGAACCCAGCAAGCGGCAGGTTTGTTTGTTTTACGTCCGTCCCTCGTGAACAACGGTTTCTTGGCCACCCTTCGTGTTGCGTATGGATGGCAATTTGCCAAAGAACTAACTATATTTTTGGGTAGAAAGTCATCTTTATCACAGTTTCAAGGGCCTAGACTTTTCAGACACTTGCTATCTTCCCATCGGTATCAAACTTTGCAGGCTTCTTGGTCCAAGTTTCAGACTGATCGGAATATCTGGTCCCGAGACCGAAAGTGCTGAATTTTCGCGAAACCCGGCCTTTTCTGCCTCAAACCAGTTTTTTCCGGATCAGAAACTTGAACCAATATACTTTAATCCAAGTGCAAGAAGTCTGCAAAGGTTGGCTCCAATTGGAATATAACCAGTGGCCCAAAACTCCAGGCATCGGTAGGCCTTCAAAAAGCTTGGGCCGATGGTTAAAAAAATGCGTTTCATTGGAAGGTCACTTTCGAGAATGAGAAGAAAACTAGGAAATAAACGTGGTCTCAAATTGCGTCAAATAACATTCTCGCTCCCTCTAGGCTCCTTCCTCCTACCCCTTCCTCAATGAAGTTTCGCGCGACATCACAGAACACTCACCGTCTTGTCACTACGTCGTTTTTCCAAACCTATCCCACACACAAACTTTTTGTTTCACGTATTGCATGCTGTTTGTGTGTAGCCCAGTAAACAGTGTCGATCCCCCTTATCCGTTCATTCACTCGGAAACTTTCATCTCTATCTCATCAACATCACATGTTGTACGTTCCTTGTATTGCAGCCAAACGGAACATGACAAACAATCAAGAACTAGTCAGTCCACCGTCCATATCTTCTAATGTCATTTCGTTCTAATCCGCCATGTTTATGTACAGTGGAACGGACGAGCGAAACGGTCAAAAACATTACCACACTTTCTGAAAA